TCTAGTTAATTTTTAAGTCTATATATTAGGTCTACGTAATTTTTAAGTCTAGTTAATTTTTACATCTAGTTAATTTTTAAGTTAGTATATTATATATAGGTAGTTTTTGTATCTAGATATTATATCTACCTAATTTTTAGGTTTAGATTTTAGGTACTAGCTTAGCGTATATATACCTATTTTTACGTACTTTTAGGTTAATAATTAATAACCTAATATTTCTAGAATAGTAGGCCTAGACTAAAGCCTAAATTAGTAGAATCTAATCTAAAAGGTTTAAGTTTAGAATCTACTATCTTATCTAATAATTCTAAAGCTAAAGTAGCCTAAATTAGTATATAAGGGCTAGAATTAAAACTAGAAAAGGTTATAATCCTTATAACGCTAGAATTAAAGTTATTAGCACTAAAAGAATATTATAACAATCTAATAGTAGGCTATTTTAGCTAAAAGAAGATATTAGAAAAGCTTTAGTATAAGTATTAGTAGATAAATATATTAAAGGACGTAGTAGACTACTCTATAAACTATAACTATTATAAAAGGTTAGTTATACTAAAATACTAACTATATAGGCTTCTCTAACCTCTAAAACTACTCTTAGAGCTATAAAAAGACGTAACTATAGACTTTATTATAAAACTACCTACTAGTAAATATCTAGAGTAGGTATATAATTTAATCCTAGTAATTATATATAGACTTATAAAGATATCTTATTATATTCTAGTAAGAGTAGATTAGACTAGAGTAGACCTAGCCTATATATAGGTAAGGGAAATTATTTAACTCTATAAGGTACCTAAGACTATAATTTTTAACTAAGGTCCTTTAATAAACTTAAAGTTATAAGATATATTTAACTATTACTTAAACTTTAGAAGGATTTTAACCTCTACTTACTACTCTTAAATAAATAATTAAACTAAAAGGTAAAACTAAACCCTAAAGTAGTACCTTTAGTACTTTTATTATCTAGAATAGAATAATTAGGTACTATAGATCCTAATAATAGAATTTACCTATAATAATAGTATATATATAATAACTAGAGTTACTCTATTCTAAGCCTACTATAGGGTATACCTAAGAGTCCCTAATTAGCCTAATTAGCTCTTTAGAGAGGTTAAAGCCCTTCTAAGAAATAGCCTAGTAGTAAGAGTAATAGTACTATAAGTAGAGTATAAGAGAAAAATTCTAGTTTTAAATAAATACTAAAAGAAATATACTAATAGAAAGAGACTCTACTATAAATTTAAGGTAGAGAATAATATTTTTATATTAAACTAGTATATAAGGTCTACCTAACTAAAGAAAAAGCTTAATTAGAGGATATTAAAACCTAAAAGAATTATAGGCTAAATTATTCTAACTATATTTAAGGGTAATCTTTTAAGAGTAAATAATACCTATCTAGTATATTATATATCCTTATTAGAACCTTATATAAGAAGAAAGATAATTCTATATAATAAACTCCTACTTATAAATACACTCTAAGAAATAGAAGATAATATCTATAATATAAAAAGAATAGTTAATAGGAGATAAAATAGTATAGGTATATAAGAATACCTAGTAAAGTAGAATAGCTACCTAAAAGATAAGAACTCTTAAAAACCTAAAATAAATCTAAGTAAGAAAATACTTATAGTATTCTAGAATAGGGTTAAAGCAGTTTTAAGATATATTAAGAAAAAGAATAGGCTAACTTAAGTATAATTTTAAGATAAACTCTCTAAAAGAAAAGAGATAAAACTATAAAAAAATATCTATATAGCTATCTTTCTCTATTTTTACCTACTAAGTAGGATTTTTATAAGGTTTAATAGTACTATATATAGTAGTTAGAATTCTTAGGGTAGAATCTAATAAATTAACTCTAAAAGTAAATATAAGAAATTACTAAGTTAAATAAAATACTTAATATTACTATATAAATATAAGATTAGAGAAGGGAATTAAAATAAATTAGTATAAATTATTAATTATATTTATAAGAAAGTATAAAGAGTACTCTCTAAGCTCTTAGAATATATAGATAGGGTATATAATACTAACACTTTAAAAATAAAACTAATATCTCTTAAATTATAAAAGAGGTACTTATATAGCCCTACCTATACTAATTTTTACAAATTCCTACTAATTCTAGCTAAACTTAGAGCTTTTTTTTTTTTCTACTACTAGTAGAAGCCTTCTTAGCTAAAGTATACTTAGTATTAGCTATAGCTACCTTCTTAGTAGTATTAGTAGTAGTAAGAATATTCTTAGTTATAATCTAAGCCTTTTAAACTAGCTTAAGATTAGTCTTACCTATACTATATATACTATAGTAAGCCTAAGATAATTAGAGCTAATTCTTACTAATCTTAGCTAAAGAAACTTTATAAGATAATATACCTTCTTTCTAAAAGTTAGATTAGCTTTTTTATTATTAAAAGCCTTTAGAGTATACTTAGTAGCCTAATTCTTTTTCTTAAGGGTCTTTTTAGAATAATTATAACTAGTAGTAAATATACTAGATTAAGTAGACGTATTAAGCTTTAAACTACTAGTATAAAGAGTTAAATTCTTTACTTAGAGCTTATACTTACTATATAAAATTAGTTAAAACTAATTTAAGCTAATTAAGAATAGAAGTAGTACTTATATAAATATATTAGATAGAATATAACTAGTAACCTTCTTAATAGTCTTTTTATAAGTAAGCTTCTTTTTTAGAGAAATAATAACCTTAACCTTACTACCTTTACTAGTTTTACTCTTAGGTTTATTAACCTAGATAAAACTAAGGTAGTAGGCTAAAATATAGTAGATAAGCTTACTAAAATCCTTATTTAAACCCTTAAGAGTATTAGGTAGCTAAAAGAAGTATTAGTTAAGCTATACTAAGCTAATTTCTACAACTTTACTTACTATAAAATAATTCTAGCCTAAATAAAGGTACTAAAGATAGTAATAGAAGTAAACGCTATTAACCTTTATTATATACTACTCTTAAGCCTTAATATTAAACTTATAGCTCTTATAGTTATTATTAAGCTTACTATTAAAATAAGTATTAATATATTATATATATAGGCACTAAGTATACTATCTATTAGCCTTAGTAAATATAATATAATAAGTCTTAGCCTAATTACTAGCTATTATATACTTAGTTAAGAAGTAGTTATAGTAGTCTTACTATAAATATATTAGCTAACTATTATACTAAATAGGCCTAAACCTAACTAATCTAAGCTAATTCTAGCTAATTTCTATACTTTTAGATTAAAGAAAATACTTACTTATTAAGAAGTTAGTAGAAGGTAAGTAGAGGATTTTAGGGGTAAGATACTATTATATACTATTTAGTACTAGGAGCTAGAGCTACGCCCTAGAGGCCTACCTAAAGTAAAAGAAAAGTAAAAGTATTTACTTAGAATTACTATATTTACTCTAATATAGTTATAAATAGTTACTAAACTTTCTTAACTACTTTTAATTAGCTTAATTAGGTATAGATTAAACCTTTATACTCTATATACTAGTATATAAAATAATATAATAATATACTCTTATATAAATACTCTTATAGGTTTATTAAAATAGTAAACCTTTAAGAGAGAGATAATATTAGGTAAGTATAAAGGTAGTACTTCTTCTCTAGGCTTTAGTAACTAACTAAGTAGGCCTTAGTACGTATATATATAAATATCCCTACTAAGAAATAGTAGGTTTCTTAGTAATTTATCTTATTATATATTAAATACTATTATTTTATCTTTACTATACTACGTTACTACTATAACTAAGTCTTATAACTAATTACTTTCTTTACCTAAAGATACCTAATAAACTTACTTAAGTTAGGTATATTAAAAGACCTATCTTTTTTCTTTACTAAATAAAACTAAAGCTACTTAGTTTATTAACTTATTTACTATAAGAGGCTAAAGTCTTCTATATAGTAAATAAAGTAGATATAGTAATTAGAGAACTTCTTAATTATAAGTATAGCCTTATTAATATTAGAGTTACTAATAGTAAGACTAAAATAAATAACCTTTAATATAATATATAGTATATAATAAATAAGTAGAGTTTAGCTAAAGATTATATTTATACCTACCTAGAATAACTTCTTAATATATATTAGAGCGCGAATATACGTAGAAAAAAGTAGAATACTAACTTAATTATAACGTACACTACTAGAAAATTTCCTTTCTAGAATATTAATATTATATATAATACTATCTAGAATAGAATTATAGCCTTTATAATTAAAAAGATAGAACTAATCTTCTTAAATAATAGTACTAGCTTTATAGGTTTTATAGTAATTACGCACTAGCTATTTAGTTAAATAAGATTAGAGAAACTTATTAAAGCACTTAAAGCGCTTACTAACGTACTTAAGGTTACTAACTATATCTTACCCTTAATACTAGATACTTATAAGATATAAAAGGGGTAGATATTTAACTACTAAGCTCTAAAACGGCGGCAGTTATACAGCTTAAAAAGCTATTACTAGTGCAGTATACCTAATTATTACCTAGTGTAAGTTCTATTAGGATCTACCGTAGTAATTCTTTTCTTAGCTAAGGAGTATACTTTCGTCTCTTCCCTCGCGACGCTTAATTATTAATTGTGCCATCGGGTCCGCAACCAAATTCCAGCCCATTTTCATAACAGTGGGTGTAGTCCCCTCTGCCAGCTTGAAATCATACTTGAGCAAGATGTGACAAAGCGCAATCTTGACTTCAATCGCTGCAAAGAAGCGCCCTGGACAAGAGTGTTTCCCAAAACCAAAGGCCATGTGCTCAGGACTCGTCGAGACAAAGTGGCGGAACATCTCTTTCTCTGGATCATCTGCCATCTTGACATAGCGGTATCCGTCAAACTTGTCGGGCTCCGAGTAGACCTTCGGGTTGAAATGCGAGCGTAGTGGGAAGCCAATTTGTGTACCTTGGGGTAGAAAGACGCCGTTGGAAAGAGTTACATCCTCCATTACCAAACGTCGCATCATGACTAGAATCGACAATGAGGTTTACATTAGAGTGCAGGAGGAGAGGTACTCACGCATAGCTCCGGGCTTCAATCGCTGGCTTTCTTTCATGAAACTGTCCATAAGCTTGAGTTTGAACAGCCCAGCTTTGGTCATGCCGCTCTCCTTTAGAACAGTAACCAACTCATCTCGCAGAGGTTCTATATATTCCGGGTAAGAACACAGGTCGTAAAGAGCCTGGCTTAGATGGTCGGTTGTCGTATGAATTGCTGCCAGTGAGAAGCCGAGCTGCAGTAATGCCGGATGATAAGGCCTGCCATCGGCCAGTTCGTGAGCCCATTGAATAGCGTCCGTATACTTTGCCTTGCTCGAGGAGGCGGCTGAAGATCGAGACCCAGCAATCCTCTCATCCACGACGGGCTGGATGAGGCGTACCGCCTGTTCGATCTGCTGGCGGACCTTTCGGACCTCTGGAACGAAGCGCCACACGATTGGATGCAGAAGGCGATTCCATTTCTTCAGCGCCATAACCCCGAAAAAGAGGTTCATGGTGTAGTCGACGGTGATTCGTAGCCAGGCAGGGTTCCGACAGAGCTCTGGCCCGAGGAAGACGCGCGAGGATATACGAGCCACAATCTCGAGGATAGTTTCCTTCATATTTAGCGCGTGCCATTCTTTACTAGGTCAGCCTGGAAGCGTGATTATTGAACCTTGGAGCCCATGCCTACATACCTGTATTATCCGTCCACTGGTCGCGGAACGTGAGTGTTGCCTCGGCTGAGATATCTTTGGTAACAAGGCCTTGCCAGATATACATCAGTCCGTCTTACGCACATTCACACGAAATGATTGTAGCTTACCAAGAGATGGGTTAAGCTTCTTTGTCAAGACCTCTTTTGCCATGTCGTTCAGGCCATTGTGCGGACTAAAGTTGACAAAGGCAGGGATGTGCCCCAGAAAGTCCTAATTACTTCCATCATCAGCTCCTCGCATCGATTTTGTGGCCGTCGGATAACAGCTTACCTCTGCTAGAAGGTGAGTGAAGCTGAAGCGATCGTCGTTCCGAATCTCGCTTGAACATTCAGGTGCCAAAACCACCACTTGCGCGTTGTCTGTCTGTACCCGGAAGGCCTTGGAGGACTATAGAAGCAAAGGAATAAGCTAAGCTCAGCCTTTCATTTACGATTGATACCGTGGTAGACTAGAGTAACTCACCTTTGCGTATCCGTCGTCCAACAAGCTCTGGGCGTTGAACAAAAAGCTCTCTCTCGACCTTTTGTCAGACTCGAATAGACCGAGCCCATTGACCAATGGGAGTGCCCGTAAGCGGTACTTTGCCAAGCATCTGCTCCCAATCTCTCGAACTAAGGCGATGGCAGCAATGGAGATGATAAATTCGACGGCAAGTCGGGTGCCCTGATGCTGGAGCAATTCGCTGAGAAAAATGTCCAACATTTTGCAATGATCAAGATTACTTTGGTATAGCCAGGCGGCTCAGCATTCCGTACGAGATACGTCTTGTTTTACTTTGGTACACCCCAGAAGACACTTTATAAAGCTCGCAGATAATAGCCCACTGGTGTTTTCAGAACGCTTCCGTTATTGATACCAGAAACCCGCCAAGGTAATGGGATTGGCACCTCTGCACTACGGAGATAAGCTATTGTTGCACGCGGGAGACGAAATGCCTTCCACCAGCCGGACTCAACATACGTTTCCAGTGAATGGGCAACGATAGCCGATACGTAGTAACAATAGCCGTGGTCTTTCTAGAAACGTTTCTCTCTCATAGCGAGGTAACTCGATAAGTCTTGCCTTTTACGGTAGAGAACAACTTAGCTAGGATGCGTGCATATGTACTTACTCAGACAAGGCTCTAAGCGACGCCGCTACCATCCCTTACCTAAGGGCGGACAACCGATTGGCTACCCCAAATACATTGTTCTTCTAGTCCTAGCGATCCTACCGCTGCAAGCGCAGCCTTAATTGGACTTTTATTGGTGGAGTTATCGCGTGTTGAAGTTAAGGTCTTGTCATAGTACCTTGGTGGCTCACTTTGCCGTCCGGCTCGCTGCGCGATTAAGCTTGGTAAGCATGTATTTTTGTTGGGAAGGGTCACACCATGTGTGTGAATACCCGAAGGTTTGGTTCAGGAAGGGTCACAACCGTGCGCGGGCTTTATCTGTGGGGCGGGTGAATTCCCGCCTCCACACCTCGCTGGAGGATAAGAGGTATTTAAATCTGTTTTATTTTCCATTCTGCTAGACCTTAGTAGTAGTAAGAGTTATCCCCTACACTTTTTCATTTGCTAGTCTCTCGTGTTCAGAATCATCCTAGAATCAGCAACCATGTCCAAAATCGCTCTTATCACCGGCAGCACCCGCACCCCCCGTGTGGGAACCGACGTTGCAGATTGGGTTTTCGAGGTGATCAAGTCACGCCCGGAAGACAAGCTACAGGTCGAACCTCTGTCCATCGCCGACTTCAACCTGCCAATCTATGACGAGCCCGTCATGCCCGCCATGGTCCCGGCCATGCAGCAGTTCACCAAGGAGCACTCCAAGAAATGGAGCGAGACCATCATCTCTTTCCAGGGCTACGTCTTCGTCATCCCCGAGTACAACGGCACCATGTCGGGGGCCACCAAGAACGCCATCGACTACCTATACAACGAGTGGCCCGGGAAGCCCGTGGCCATCATCAGCTACGGCACGCAGGGCGGGGAGCGCGCCAACAAGCACCTCAGCGAGAGCCTGGAGCTGGTCATGAAGATGAAGGTCGCCCCGACCAAGGTCAAGCTCGCCTTCGCCCCGGGCAACGATGTGATGACCGCCATCAATGACGGCAAATTGGGCGACGACACCCGGAAGGCGTGGACTGAGGCCGGAGCGAAGGATCAGATCCTCAAGGCTTTCGGGGAAGTCAAGGACATTCTAGAGCAGTAGGAATCGGGAGGAGCAGTTGCAAACCAACATAACACCTACGTAGAAATGCTAGGTTCGCCCTCACCAATGAAAATGAAGTTTAATATATGATATGAAAACAGCTTGATTATTGTAGAGCATCTAGACCCTGCGAGCGGCCCCGGAGAAAGAACGTCGTGAATTCCTTCCATTCTTGTTCAAGTACCTGATATTCTACCGTGCTTTCATACTGTTTATGCGCCAGCATTGATGACTGCCTCCGACCTCTCGTCGTTGACCTCTTCAATGAGGCCCAGTCTTTCGAGCCAACACTGCCTCTCTCCATGCCCATCCCAAGACCAATGCAGTGCCAGGTCCAAACATCACAAGCATGCCGCCGAGTGCCCCAAGAACCTTAAACCAACCTGCCTTGAGTCGTCCAGTACTTTTCAGGTCCCACAAATGGAGAAGGGCCCAGAAAAGCCCGCTCCCTAGCACAAGTAAATGATGACGTTGAATGAGTTTCTCCGGCCTGATCGCTTCCAGAAGCAAGTTGGAGGGTCCTTGCCGTAGCCGACCTACGATGAACAGAATGTTGCGTAGGCCCCACGGTGACAAGGTCGAGGAGTAGACATATGTTATGCCACTGAAGATGCCACTAATGGCATAGGATACAAGCAGGTACCTCATATCAGCACGAGGATTTCGAACCCGGTCGGTGGAGGTAGTGTTGGTGAGAAACGAGGCGAACAGATAGTGGAAGACAGCCGTGCAGGCAGGTAGTAAATACCAGTGGGCATACACAGCATAGTTCTGCTGGGATGCCACGCCATAGGCTACGAGGAGAAAGTAGCCCATTCCGGTCGCCGCGACAGCGGATCTGGCGTAATGTGTGGGCACGAGGCGGTTGTCAGGGGCGGCGTACCGACTCGGCGGGGATGAAATGTACTGGAGGAAGAAGTACACTGGAAAGGCGTACCCTGTGCTTCCCCAGCACCCCGCGAGTCCAAATAGAGGCCAAAGAGCAGCAATTCCCATGCTGTTGCCTCGGCGGGCAGTCTCTACCACGGCGATGACTTGGAGCGGGAAGAAGTCACCCAGATACGAGAGCATAGCTAGTTGCACTGCCTCGGCGTCTTGATTGGCCGGCAGGGCAGATCCTGCAGGCTCCAAAGCATGAGGAGCCGCAAAACAGAGAGCCAGAAGTGGGATGGCACGCAGGACTCGCCACGCAACATGAGGCCCTTGTCGGTCAAACTGTACTGCCTGGAAGATGGTGTCCTGTCTCAGCGACCGCTCCGGCGGTGGGAGGAAATCCAATGTGGGTGCTTCCGCGACTGACTGGCAATGAACATCGACGAGCATGTCGCCTGCCCATGGCACAACATACAACGCCATTGCTTTGTGCCAGAACTTGTCAAATGCTTCAAGACGAGTGGCAAAGCCGGCCGTTGTGCACACCTCCCTGGTGCGAACTTGCCGGCTCTGCTCGTAGTCGCTCAGCGTGGCACAGACCTGCCCGATCGATGGTCGTCGTGTTGTCCTCATCATTGAGTGCAGCTTGTTGGTCAGAGCGGCGGCGCTCTCGATGGCCCAATTACCACCCTGGCCACTATTTGCCTCTTGTGTCAATGATTGTTTTCGGTAGTTGAACAGGGAAGATTCAGGGCGTCTTACATGTTCGGTGTCATCTTGTGTATAGAATCGCCCAGGCAGACAAACCGCCCATACGTCCAATGATGATATTGGGCCTCCTCCAATACCGCCAAAGTGGCTGCTGTTTTTCGATGCCAGAGAGCTTCAAAAGCCACGTCCTGGGAGACATGGCGTTTCAGAAATGGCTTCACGAACTCGGCCTGGTCAGATTCTGTGTATTTTGGCAAATTCGGCAGTCTATGTGTTCCATTTAGCTTCTCAAATACAAACCAGAAGCAGCACTTGTCCTTCCCGACAATCACCAGAAAGGACCAGTCTTTGTTGAAGGTACGGTAATTGCTCGTCTCCCGCAAGCCTGGCACTGGGGAAGACATGCCATAAAGACACCTGTAATCGGCGAACATAGCTATAGACCTGTTATCGGCTGATCTCTTCCGCTGCTTGTGTATATGATATCAGTAGCTTACCTTGTTCATCGTCTTTTAGGTGCTTGAGGGCACCGTTGCTTTTAGCATGGCGCCACATCTCACGGCGGATTCGACTGTGCACACCGTCGGCTCCCGCCACTATATCTCCAGTGAATTTGGAACCATCTTTACACTGCACTTCAACACCATCCGTCAAGGTGCGAACAGAGACGACCTTTTTGCCAGTGAGAATCTTGCTCTGGTCCGGGGCATGGTGATGGAGCATGTGGAGAACCTGCCGCCGCTCGAGAAATGCTACCGGATAGCTCGTACTGTGATGTATCTCAGCTCAGCATGCTTACATAGTGTTTGCGCAGCTCCCATGACGTACCGTGCCTCAATCAACCGCAGGGAATCATCACGCCGTACTAGATGTCCCTGCCCGGTGAGCATGTCGTGCCACTTCAGCGGCTCCGTACACTCCAGAATGCTTTTGTAGACACCCAGCTGATCGAGGATCCGGGAGCCGTTTGAGAAAAGTCCGATGGAAGCGCCAACCTGTGGGTCGATGCAGTCGTGACCTTCAAGAACGATGTAGTCGATCCCGGCCTGGTGCAAGCTGTGGGCAAGAACCAGGCCTGAAATGGATCCTCCAACTATGACTACCTTGAAGTCATGATGTTTCTCGAAGTCTGCCATGATCTGTTGCTCGGCGTATTCGATTGGCAGGTAGGTAATTGCGTAGCAGCGTGACCCACTTCTGTATGAGGATAACAAAGATAGTAAGAATCACGACTACATATTATAGAACCGTTGAAAAGAAGGCCCTTTGAAGAAATAATAAGAAAATCCCAATAGCACGCGGAAATATCAAGGCATCATTAAATGCTCTGGTAATAATTGTTAATAGTCTATTCCACTTTTGCTTGGGGGGAGTGTCTGCGGCAGTTATAGGCGAGTTAGGTCCACTTGTCAACTCGACACGACACTTCTTACAGATTGGAAACCCATTCATAGCATTTCATGGATATATCCGATCACTGTTCGGCCATAGATGCAACCTCAGTTGTTATTATTCCGTACTTACGAGAGTATCAATCAGATTAATTCTATATCCTGCGTTAACAGTCATGGCTACTACAAAGCCGATCTGCCTAGTCCCGCTCCGCGTTGTTATTGTCGGGTATGAAGAACTCTTCCGCTTGTTTTCTGATTCTCTACGATAACGGGCTGACTAAAAAAATTCAATACAGAGCAGGTAAGCGGACTGTATTTCTGGTCAGTGAAGTAACGAGGTCAACATCTAAACATCTGGATCGAAGGCATCGGCGGGCTCTCGGCGGCCGTCGCACTTGCGAACCGCGGGCATTCCGTGCTGGTTCTTGAGTCCACCTCTGAGGTAGGCGGTTGTTCTTTTACTGAAGTACTTAATCTGGCTGTTTCGTGCGCTAACAAAAGTCCAGCTATCTCACGTTGGTGCGGGAGTGGCATTGCCACCAACCACGCGGCACTGGTATGAATGTAAGTAGACTGCTCCGTGTTGCTAAACCAAAGCCTGCCTCAAGGACTGATGAAGCTGTGAATAGCTGAAGGAGTGCTCCAGGCGGATGACACTACATGTGTCTCCCTGGAGGGCATCGAGATCACTAAGTGGGACACTGGGGAATTGATCACTCGAACCGCGGCGAACCCGGTGGGGAAGCAGAACGCCGTACATCATGGGGACATGCAATTGGCACTTCTTGCGCGTGCTCAAGAGCTCAAGAATATTGAGATCCGACTAGGAGCGAGGGTGGCGGATGTTGATATCGAAGCCACCGTCGCTCTTCTCTCTGGTGGAGAACGCGTGGCGGGTGACTTGATCATCGCGGCGGACGGCGTGAAATCCACCCTAAAGGCCAAGGTTTGTCCACCTGAAGCAGTTGTACCGCTGCCCACAGGCGAGGCCGCGTATAGATTCACCCTCTCACGGGACTTGCTGGAATCCGACGCAAGGTTGCGGGAGCTGGTGCAACGGCCCTGGGCCGTCAGATGGGATGGACCTTCCCGCCACGTGGTCGCCTATCCAGTGCGGAACCACCGCCTGCTCAACGTCGTTCTTATTCATCCAGACAGCGGGGACGCAAAGGAATCCTGGACGTCGGTGACAGACAAGCAAAACGTGCTGGCGGACTACCAGGGATGGAATCCAACGCTTCTCAAACTGATTGCACTTGCCCCGCCCGAAGTGCCCAACTTTCGGATGTTCGTGTACCCCCCGTCGCCCGTTTGGGTCAAAGGCTCGACCATTCTTCTCGGGGATGCGTGCCACGCAATGCTGTCAGTCTCGTCCCGTACCTCTACCTGTACCTGTTTTTGACCGTACTAACTTGTACCCGATTAGTCCGTTTCTTGGCCAAGGAGTTGCCCAGGCGGTCGAGGACACGACTGCCATTGCCACAGTGCTCTCGTTGATTGAGAACCGACAGCAGCTGCCTTTAGCACTGCGGGCGTACGAGTCGTCTCGCAAAGAGAGGGTGAATCAGATCCAAGCGGCTACGTACCGTGCGAGGGAGCAACTACACCTTCGGGATGGTGACGCACAGGCGGCCAGAGACTCGCAAAGGAAAGCTACTTCGGACACGGGCCAAAATAGCGATGTGGTCAAGATGCAGCACTCTTTCTGGACGTGGGATGCTGCTGGGGTGGCCGAAAAGACACTGACCGCTTTGCTTATTGCCTAGTAGGGTAGTATCTGCAGTATCGTCTTTTGATCTGTAATGCGACATCCAGGTACGCTGATAGGTTTGGGGATTTTTCGCCTGATAACGAGAGGAAGCAACAAAGATGGCATCAAGCGCTAGGCTAGAAGAACAATCTATCATTAATTGATGATTTGAAACAACCAATATCCTTGCATGCTTCTTACATGGCCTAAAGTAAATATCGACAATATGACTCCTATTTTCCTCACAGCTGCTCGTTTCCAAACCTGGCAACATATTCAGCCAAAGCTCGGATTGGCCAGTAAAGCTTATAATTGGAATAAGATATAACCCTGTCGATCGTGTTAGTTCTCCGACCTCGACAAAGAGAGCAGGGGTAAGAAGTACACACCCATGTCCGATACCACCCTCGAGTGACTCTTGGCACCATTGCCCTTTGGACTGCTGGCGAGACATGATCAATCTCAGTCCCCTTTTCACAGGCTCCCTCTCAGCGTATCCGGCATGAATCAGCGCCATGCAGGCCCAGGCCGTCTGCACCACCTGGGACTCTTCATGCTGAACGTACTCTTCCTGCCGCAAGCTCAGGTAAGACTCTCCCCAGCCCCCATCTTCCTTTTGCTTGTCCAGGAGGAAGTCGCATCCGCGACGCGACGCCTCACTAGTCGCGTACGTCTCTCCCGCGAGGGCTAGGGCTTCCAGCGCAAACATTCCCGCATAGGTGAAACAGACGCCCCAGGCACCATGCCAGCCGCCGTCGGGCTTTTGTGATTGTTTGATGAAGGACAGCCCGTGCGCTGTCGTCGTCTCGATTTCGACGGCGCGGTAGTCGGGATGCAGCTTGCTAAAAGACAGAAGGGCGGATACGGCGGCGGTAGTGCACTCGACATGGTCGTACGTGACCATGGTCTTGCCCACAAACTCGCCCATCTCCAGCCACGCGAGCTTGGGCGAACCTAGTCGCTTCTCGTAGACGCCGAAGCCGCCCGTGTCGTTCTGCAGGTTCAGCAGACAGTCGACGGCGTCCCGCAGCCTTTGCTCGGGTATCCGCTGGGCCAGATGCAAGTGGCTCATCTCTTGAAGCTGCATGACGGAGCGGAGGCCCTCGGCGGTGCACTCGCTAATCATGTAGCCCTGGTATCGGGTGCTGAACGGCCACCCGCCCTTGCGAGGCCACCGGTGGCACTTGTCCTGGTCCGCTATGTCTTCCAGCAGCTGGTGGTCCGCCAGGAAGGCATGGGCCCTAACGAGCGTGGACTGGAACCGAGGGTTTGCCTTGGCGCCCGCACCCGCCGCGGCGAGCGCCTGCACCCCGAGCGACGTGTCCCAGACCTGAATCCCATCTGAGAGGTTGCACGCCATGCCGTCCTTGGTCATCCAGAAGTACTGCGTCATGGTTCGCCGGTGGGCGCGGACCGAGCTCCCGTCAGGCCCCTCGTGGAAGTAACAGGCGACGAGGTTCGCGGCCTTGCTGATGGGCGAGAGCCCGATGTACTCGGTGTTCCTGTCTTCGGCCACGATGAGGTCCCAAACCTTGCGCTCGGCGCTCTCGGCGGTGGCGGGCTTGCGCAAGTACGGGACGTAGACGGTGACGGTCAGCCAGTTAACGAGGTTCACAAGCCACCACTTGGGATAGTTGTTGTCCACGGCGGCGAGGGAGCCGCGGTGTGCAGCAAAGTCAATGGTGTTGTAGGGCTGCGTGTAGAGCTCGGCTTGGAGCTGCTCGGTGACGGCATCCCCGCCATAGCTCCACTGCTTGGACCACACGTAGGACATGGAGGTGAAGTTGGTGCGCGTGTGGAGATACCATTTGCTCGGCGCGGCGGGATCCGAGTCGGACGTGAGCCTGTTTGCCAATACATGGCGACACTGGTCAGCCTAGGCCTAGGGGTTCAAGGTATTGAACATGCAAAAATGAGTAATCGACTCGTCAAGATCTGCACTGTGTGAGAGCATATATAAATACACTTCAACAAACATAAAGTAAGGCTACAACCAAGACAGGACAAAACGTGAGTCACGTGACTCGACCTACCATAACTCGGGTAGGAACGGATTGACGCACTCCCACTTCATGACGCCGAGGACGCAGAGCCAGAACTTGGCGATGCCGGGAGCGTGCGTAGCTCCGCCGAGCTCGTGCAGCAACGCCCGGGCCCTGACCAGGCGCGGGTCGTCTCGGCCCGCCCCCAGCAGCCGCAAGACGACGTAGTTGAGGGCGGTGCCGATGGCCGAGCTTCTGCGCGCCTCGGCGTGCCACCCCCAGCCTCCATCCACAACGCGCTGGCGCGCAAAGAGGTAGCGCCGGATCTCGACGGCATACGCGGCGGGAAGGGGGCTGCCCGTCACGTGCCCGGCTATGACTACGCAGGGCAGGATGAAGAGGGGTCCGGTGCACTCGCTCGCCCACTGTCCCGAGGGCAGCTGCAGTTGGCTGAAATATGACATGGCGCCTTGGGCGGCCTGTAACGGGGTTTGCGCCTTGGGTAGGTCTGCCAAGTCCTGAAGGAGGGTTGTATCAGCTACTGCTCGCACAGTGAGGAGAAGAGAGACAGCATTGGGTTTCTACTTGCAGTGTCCAGACCAAGGAAATGCTTCTCGAACGTCGTCTGTGGCCAGTCTGCCCTCTCCTCGTCAGACTCAAGATAGCGCCAGGATTGGCGGCCTTGTTCGTCCATCAACCGCCATCTTGAATAATCAGTCTTTTGGTCTCCGCTGGTGTCCAGAGACACATCTCCGTCGACGTAGTGTTCCATTGTATTTCTTCTTTCTTTCCTACTCAGAATGGCACTCCACTTAGACACAGCTGCTAACTTGCTAGTTATACGCAAAATAAAAAATGATATTAATACACAATGCAGTCAGCAGTCTCCGCTATCGACATTATTGACGGTTTCCTTATTGGATAAAACTTACTATGTTCGGGTCGACCTGCCCTACAAAAGAGACCTGCTAGGCTGCAAGTGGCATCCTCCATCTTGGCATTCCCAGATAGATAAAGTGCCGTACACAGTATGTTTTTGCAAAGCAGATTGTTAGGACTACGGGAGGGTCAATACGGGATGAAGCAGTAACAAGATGGGTAACGCAGTCGGTATTGGATAGACGAATTGCTACCATCCAAGGTAGCTCTTCGGAGGGTTTAAATTTAAATACTCCAGATTACGCCAAGAGTCAGGTGATTGGTCATGTTCCTGACACAGATGCAAGGGCTGGGATGACTACCACACAAGCCAAGGCATAATCAAACTGAACCATCTCTATTTTGTAGTTTAATGTTCATGGAAAATTTCTAGCAGCCGACATCTGGCTAGCTTACCCAAGTCTGTGATGGAGGCGCTCTTGGTCAATTCTAGGATGGAAATGTGCGTGCCGAAGCTTTCGATCCACCAGCTCTGCAACTCAATGGCAACGAGCGAATCGACGCCCAGATCCGCTAGACCGAGCCCAAGGTCCAGGCTCGAGTTGTCGCCGAAGATCAACAATCCCTTCAGGCACTCGGCCACTTGCGCCGCCAGGAATTGCGTGACCCCCAGTTCGTCGTTCAACGAGCTCGGATCGCGCTTCGCGCCCTCCAGAAACCGTCGCAGCACGTCGCCGTCCTCTTCCGTACTGTCTTTCAATTGTGTGGTGGCACGTTTCCCCGGACCTTGATGGCTGTCCTTCACCCTCTTCAACCCCAGACCCCGAGCATCCGGAGGGTGCTGCCCTAGTCCAACGACAAACTGCGCCCGGTTAACATAGGCCGAGGACAGGTCCGTCGGGAGTAGAGGTGCCGGCGCAGAGGAGGCACGGATTCCCAACTGCAAAGACCTCAGGAAGTCGTTCTCGCACAGGAGCTGGGCTCCTGCGCGTCTGAGGCTCTCCAAAATGGCCGGGCGCTGGCTGACGTAACCGACGTCCTCCATGACTCCCAGGTCGATAACCGAAGCCGGCAGACCCAGTCCCTGTCGGAACTGCACGAAGGCGTCGAGGAACGTGCTGGCTGCCGCGTAGTTGGCCTGGTTCGGGTTGCCCTGGATACCGTAGATGGAACTGGCTAGGACGAAGAATTCCAACGGCTGACCCTCTAGGGCGCGATGCAAGTTCCAGGTTCCCTGCACCTTGGCCTCGGTCGCGCCTCGCCAACTGTCAAACGTCATGTCAAGCAGCGCTTCGTCCTGCGTGCGTTGCTTAGTATCAAGTCCTGGCGTTCAATTCGTTTCTTCAGTATTGCATGGGAAGACTCACCTTGAGGACCAGGGCTAGATGCAGCACTCCGGCTACTGGTTTTGCTGCATTCGCTACCAGTCTGTCCACCGCTGTCACATCTGTCACGCTCCCAATCGCAATCTGAGTCTCGCAGCCCAATGCCTTCAGCTCGTGTACCAGAGACCGGCTCTCGGCACCGGCGGAAGCCGAGCGCGACATGAAGATGATGCAGCCGGCCCCCCTTTCAGCGAGCCAAACGGCGGCCGATCTGCCCAGGCCGCCCAAGCCTCCAATCAAGACGTAGGATCGGTCCTTTCGAAACTGAATCTCGTCGCTGTACGATTCAGCTGGCAGACTCTGTGTGTCGTCAGGGAACTCTAGAACCACAGAACCAATCGGCCCGCCGTCGGCATGGAGTTGGTGGAATGCTTGCTTGATGTTGCTTGGCGTATATAGTTTGATTGGGCTAATTGGCTTGATCGACCCGCCTGTGTATAAGTCCATCGTGGCTTTCAGAAACCTGTCGTAAGTGATCAGCTATGTAGACTCAAAGGAGAGCGCCAAGGCCCCGTATTAGCAAGAAGAGCAGCCTACCTGGGAGCTAATGATGGCTTTTGGGTAATCAGCGTGGGTATGTCGATTCCGTGGAATCCACGGTTTCCCCCAAACATAGTCATGTCTAGTCTGCCGTGCCCAGTGATGTCTCTGCCTGAGAGCTCAATCATATTGCCTCCTGCTGCTACACACTTCCAGCTCTCGTGCAACAAATCTCCTGATAGGAGGTTGACGACAACGTCTACGCCGCGTGATCTTGTAGCTTGCATGATACCTGCAACAAAAGAGTTATCCGAAGATGAGAAGACATGGCTTGTCTGAACACCTTGCTCAGTTACGAGAAATTCCCTCTCGGCCTCGGTTCTAGCAGTCACAAAGATCTGCCGTGTCGCGATTAGTGTACGAAGGAGTGAATGAAACTTGGACTGTGAATCCTCACCTCTGCCCCTTGCATTCGAGCAATCTGGATACCGGCAAGCCCCATGGGGCTGGAAACGGAATTAATAAGGACTGTGTCCCCAGTGGCTAGTGAATTGATATCCAATAGTCCCCTGGTCATGGTAGCATACGCAGTTGGCATCGTAACCGCGTCATTGAAGGATAAGCTGTCAGGCAATTTGATGCAGCACATGGAATCGACACGTACGTGGGTCGCCAATGAGCCTAATGACCAGCAGAGCACACGATCGCCCACCTGAAGGTCAGTGCTGCTAGTACTAGTACTAGTATTAGTACTGATACGGGAGACAATGCCGGCACACTCAAAGCCCAGACCCTGCTCGCCATGCGCAGCCCCAGACGCGAGCAGGACATCCTGCAAGAAAAGATTAGTGACGAAGTACCTAGTCTGACCTTGCGGCGCCATCCCAGTGCTTTGCTTACCTGATGGGTTACCGCGGAAGAGCGGACGTTGATCTCCACCTCTCCTTCTCTCAAGTGGGAGTCCCGCAATCCTTCCTGCCATTGGAGACTAGCAAGTATGCCCGGCTTTCCGACGTGGAGCTTTCGAAAGACCCGGGCGTCGGGCATGGTCACGATTTGGCCGGCTGTGCGAGTCACGTACCGTGGCACTTGTACCGTGCCGTTGACCAGGGCGTATTCGCAGTCCGCCACGTCCCGCTTCGACTGCCTCTGAATCTGGTCAAAAACCTTCACTACCGTGCCAAAGGGAGCCAGGTCGGCGCCAATGTCGAGTTCCATGGTCGCGAAGTGCGAATCCAGCTCCAGGCGAAGCGTGCGGGCAAGCCCCAGCACCATGGCATGGTGTGGGTTCTCTGTCGATACCTGTGCCAGGCCTGTGAGCCATAGTATCTGCTGTCCGCGGGCGTGTGTGATGAACCGAATGAGTCCGCGGAGGCCTTTCTCATCCAAGTCCTCGAAGAATGTTCGAGGCCCGTCGATGTCGAGAAGCGATACAGTGTCGACAGGGGAGATCGGGGGTTCCCGCAGCGAACACAGGGAGACGTCGTAACCTGCTCGGCGGAACTCCGACAAGAATGCGTTGGAAATAGCTGACGGCTGGTTTGAATCTCTAACTAGGAGACTGAGCGCCTTGGATGGTGTCGCAACGTCGTCATCTACAGTGGCGACAATGATGTTGTCAAGCTGATATGGGGGCTTCTGATCCATTATAGCTGTCATATTCCGAAATCCGGCTTTTTGCAGTATGACATCCCATTGTCCACCATGTATATACGGCTCGTTTGGACGACCGTCTGCTTCTCCAAGCCACCAACCAGGGAGTGTACCCTATAGTGTCAGATTAGCAACCAGCAAGGTCATTATGATAAAAGGTGATATTGGCCTACCATGATATAGTTAACCCATTTCGCCTCTGCATAATATGATTAGCCGTCTCATTTGAGATCAAAAACATGGTCAAGACTTACCAGTGCATAATTCCAACATGAAAAGTCGACCACCTGGTCGTAGGAGAGAACGACAATTTGTCATTGTTTGGACAAGGTCTGGGGTGGCATGAAGAACCTAATTGCTGTTAGTCTTCCTTTCTCCAATTTCAGGAAGGGGTTTTGATTACGTTTGCGGCAACGACAAGATCATAGCTGCCAAGTTCCAAGCCCTGTGAGGCAGGATCTTTGCTTATATCCAAAACGGTGTACTCAATGCCAGCGTACTTCCCAAAGCGCTCCTTCGCAGCCTTGAAGAAGCCCGAGGATATGTCGGTGTAGGTATAAGTACTGAACAGACAGCCGCCGTCAGAGTCCATCAAGGCTGGTAGTATGGTGGAAGTGAAGCCTCCTGTCCCGGCTCCAATCTCCACCACTCGCAAGGTTCCTCTGTTCTTGTGGCCCAGGATCTGGAAGAAATCCCGGTGGTTCAGCATGTTGAAGAAGTTGTAAATCTCCATGAGCAGGTTATCCTTCAGGAGTACCGCAAGAGGCTCTACTGATCCAGTGAAAATGCTTTCCACGTCGTTGAATATCCTGACAATGGCAAGGGCAATGTTTCGCGCTGGAGTCGCCAGAGCCTCTTCCGTCAGAGCTTTAATAGCACAGGCACGCTCCTCCGATACCATTTCAAGGATCTGATTGATACCTTTCACGACGCGACTGCCGTTTCGCTGTAGCTTGTCGATGTATTCCTCATTCCACTCCTTGAATTTTCGGAAATGGTGATGCGAGCTGTCCATGGGTTTGAGTATCCTAGCAGTTTCCAGCACACAGAGGATGTTGAGTCTCTCGACGACTTCGAGGCAGCTGCTCAGATCATGGGTTTGATGCACCATCTGGTCTAAGTTGGTTAGATCAATGTCCGGTCGCCACTCAAGTAGGTGAAGCTCCTTCAACGGGTCCTCTTCGGTGCTGGTATGGATACCAAGTAGGCGGAATTGGATCCCTTTGGCCTGAAGTGCTAGGGCTCCACCCCTGGCCCCTATCTGTCCATGAGCCGAGAGCGTGTCGTGGCCGCTGAAGCGGGTATATGCATCGCATTGAAGGTCGTCCAAGTTATCACCAGCGCGGATAGACATCTCTTCGATGTAGACAGGTAGAGCCGTCCGATTCAAAAGTCTTCCATGACCCTTGACTGAACCGAGAATGCAGCACTGTAAGAGCTGGTCTATAGTTGTGGGATGAAGCAACCCGTAATATTGCTTGGTTGATTGCAGCGTGGCCGATGTACAGTCGCGAGAGAGATCGTAGAAGATATCTTGCAGACCCTGAAATAAAGGCCCGTACTCTAGACCAACCGACTTGGCGGCCTGGTACCATTTGGCGGTGGCCACTTCTCTCTTGCCTTCTGGTGCGGAGGGGTTCAATTTAGTGGCGGACAAATCCAAGGCATCTGCGGTACGGATCTCTCCGCTGCAGTGTCGGCTCCATCTACTTCCATCGTACGACATCACACTGAAATCAAACCAGGCTGAATCCTGATTGTCCGTTAGCCTATGGGGCTGAAGCCGGGTCATGATCTCGGTGGTCTTTCCGTTATGTAGAGGCATGGCTGATCCGATGGATAATGCACGGATGGTGAATGAAGCCGGATGCGAAGAAAGCTGTCTCACAGCCTCTGTCGCCATGGTGATGTATCCGGCAGCAGGAAAGACGACGTCACTAGCGACCACATGGTCGGAAAGCCAGGGCACCTCTTTCAGACTCAGCATCTTTCTCCAGCTGGGCTCGAGGTCGTTGCCGCCAATGACGCGTGCACCAAGCAGCTCATGCTCGGGGTGAGCGCGTGTGCGGATTTCCCGGGAGATTCGGTTCTCATGCCAGTAGGATGTGTCATGGGTCCAGGGGTATGGAGGCAGGCAAGACATGGTGGTAGCCCCGGGATTCATGGCCGCGAAGTCGACCATGATCCCCTGACAAAACAAGCGGCCAGCGGCACTCAACACCGATCTAGTGCCATCGCTTGCTCTGCTTAGACAGCTGTCATATGTCATGGTTTTGCCTCTGTCTTTGCATATTTGGCGGAAGGGTCCGGATAAGGCTGAGTGAGGGCCGAGCTCGACCGCCATTCCAAAATCTTGCGTGCTCTCGAGGGCGGATTCCACCGCGGACAGGAACAGAACGGGGTTCTCCATATTTGACTTCCAGTAGTCTGGACCCAGCAGACTTGCATCTCGATTTTCCTCCCCTGTGACAGAGGAGAAGAATGGGATTGGAAGAGAGCCATCATGCGAGGTAGTGATGGTCGAAATCAACTCCCTATAGACTGAGCCAACTGATATCATATGATCTGTGATGTGTTAAAGCCACTTTCCTCTCACGACCACACCACTGGAGGCACTTACCTGAGTGGTATGCCCTATCAATTTTGAGCTTCCGAGCTAGTACTTCTGCTCGGTGGTGACGCACTCTATCCAGTGTTTCCTCTACTGCGCTGAGATCTCCCGAAATGGTTACGCTCGATCGGCTGTTCTCACAAGCGATAGTCGCCCCGAAGCTCAACAGACCGGATACCGCATCTCTACCCAGTCCCACAGCCGCCATGGCGCCAGGTTTCGTCTGCTGGGAACTAGTAGCACCCCGATAGAAGGCTATCAAAATAGCATCTTTCATTGCGAGCGCGCCAGCAGTATAGGCCGCTGCAATCTCTCCACTGGAATGACCAACAACTCCATCCGCATGGATATTCCAGCTGCGCAATAGGTTGACCAAGGCGATTTGTATGGCTGTGCAGAGGGGTTGTGCGTATTCTGCTGCGTTGATATCCTCTGCATTGGAAATCTTATCTAGGTTGAGGTGACGTGTTAGTCAGAATGTCAGGGTGTTCCTCCATAGGGTTCGATTCTTACCTTCCATCCTCCATGGAGGTGGAAACGGACACTCTGAGAGACATTCATCCATCTGCTGGACATCCTTCCTGAACGATGGAAAGTCACGAATCAGTTCGCGACCCATGCCACTCCACTGTGCCCCCTGGCCGGTGAAAATGAAAAGGAGACGGCGGTTCTCAGGTTTTCGAACTGTTGCTGCAGGCTGGAATGACAGCCCATCAGTGACGCAAAAAGACCTGAACTTACGGTGATGCCGTCTTGCGCCTAGAGTGTAGGCTAGATCCGTTAGTTGAGAGGATTCAGACCCGATGAAGGCTTCATATTTGTCCAGCATGGTTTTGAGAGATGTCTCTGTATGAGCTGAAAACACTAGTAGCCGCTGCGACGAGACAGGCCCGGTATTGCCGTTAATCTGCGCAACCTCTTTGGGCCCGCGCGCGGAAGGGTCTGCTTCGATAATCACGTGGGCATTCGCACCACCAAGGCCAAATGAATTGATACTGATCCTGCGATTTCGCCCTTCCGGCCAGGGTACTGCCACCGTCGGTACTACCAGATTGGCTTCGGTGAAGGGAACTGCAGGTCTGTTTCAGTCATTGAATCTATCAAGGAGTCACTGGGGTTACTGGAGGTGCATACTCTTAGGATTAGGGGTCTGGAACTTGATGTTTGGCGGGATGGTATGTCGTTCTAGGGAGAGAACTGACTTGATCAAGCTACTCAGGCCGGCAGCCCCCTCTCCGTGACCGATGTTTGGTTTTACCTAGAAAGGCTCACTCAGCATGGGGATGACCGATGTTTTTTCTCTTACTAGATTGTTATTACTCACACTACCGATATATGTCTGCTGGTCGCCAAAGATTTGGACGATAGCCGCCACCTCTAGCGGGTCTCCCGTCGCTGTACCTGTGCCATGGCATTCGACCATTGGAGTTGCGTATGGATTGCAGATGCCCGCCTTTTCATATGCTCGTCGGATCAAGCTGGCCTGGGACTCGGTACTGGGATTGGTCAGACCCACGGTCTTCCCGTCGGCGTTGACCGCTGTGCTGCGAATGATGGCGCGGACGGGATTGCCATCGCGCACGGCATCATCTAGCCTCTTAATATAGACCGCATTGACCGCATCTGCTCTGGCGTAGCCGTTTGCGAACGCGTCGAAAGCGCGGGATGATCCGTCGGGAGACAATGCGCCGAGGTTGTTCAGGGCAAGGAAGTACTCGGGTGAGAGTAGCAGGTTGGAAGCTCCCACCAGTGCTCCGGAACAGTCGCCACGGTTCAGCGCCTCGCACGCCAGATGCAGCGCAATCAAGCTCGAGGAGCAACCGGCCTTGACTGTCATACTGGGCCCGTGAAGATCGAACTCGTACGACACGCGGTTGGCAAAGACGAAGTCGTCCATGCCCGTGATGTCGTAGACGTTTCCTTCTTGCATGTCGCGGGCTTGCATCTGCAGCCAGTCCTGGCCAAAGCTGCCCGCATATACCGCAATGTCGCTGCCTCGCCAGTTGACCTCGCCTGCGTTCTCAAGCGCCTCGTGCATGACCTCGAGCAGTAGTCTCTGCTGGGGGTCGACGCGGGCAACTTCGGCTTGGGACATGCTGAAGAAAGCTGCGTCGAAGCGGTCGACGGGCTCGTCGAGAAAGTACCCATGCCTCATGGACAGATTGCCGGCCCCGAGGACCTTTCCATGGAAGCCGTCGATATTGAATCGCTCGGGGGGTACCAATCGCCGTGCGTCTTTCTGGTTGACTAGAAGGTCCCAGTAGGATTTCGCATCGTGGCAACCTCCGGGAAGCCTTAGCCCGATTCCAACGATGGCTATAGGGCTGGGATCAGAGCCACTTCTCGTGATAGTCATCGTGAAAGAATAAATTGAAGAGCTTTACAGATGGAACTCAGCGGCATAGGTGGGTGGGTTGTTGTGCGAGTTGTTAATAAGGATGGCTGACCTCAGCTACTTTCACGGTGCAGGATATTTTATACATTAATCACGCGCAATAAACCCACGACCCATAGATTGCTCAAGATTCCGGAAAAATACCCGCGTTGTTCGGGACCAACTGTGTATTAACGACGTAACGTCGTACCGAGGTGATTAAGCCGATACCTAATCCGCATCAGCCGATGAGCCTCTTTTTACTAGTAAAATCAGCAAAAGACAAGAACTAATTCTTTGAATGACAAAATGGCTATTTTATGTATTGAAAAGGTTAATTATTCGATTATCTAGCTCTCTAGTTAATTTACTTTATCACTTTTTTACCTACGTTCAAGATATCTAGCTTACTAGTTCTGCATCTAGAGCGAGTTTGTTAGATGTTTTACCTAATATACGCTTACCAACCTTTATTTACAAGTACTTACTAAAAGGATCCTAGCATTTCGACCCGGCTGCTTATTAAGACAGAAGATAAAGTTTTCTATATTTCCCAGTTGGGCTGTTTTTCTTAGCGCTTACTATCTATGCTGAGTCTAATTGACAATCCGAGTCGCCTTGCCTAACCTGTCGTCTTCGAGCCGAGTCTACAGGAGGCAACTGAACCCCCCTGTAGAAAATTAATTGAAGGATGCTTAGATAATTCTCTAACGGTACCTAGCGTACAGTAGATATGTGGTAGTGAGTTGCTTACATCCTGTGTAGCAATCTCGTCCTTACTATCTACTACTACCTTCCTACATATATACAATAACTTTTCAACACAAGTATTGATAATCATGGATGTCGCAGCTCAAAATATCCTTCTCTTTGGGGACCAGGCAGATGCCCCATTGCCCATGATTCGCCGAATAGCCGAAAAATCTCGCCATTCTAAGAATCTTGAATCATTCCTTCAAAGCGCCATTGATAATGTGCAACTGGAAGTCTCTAGACTTACTCCTGCGGAGCGGGACACTATTGGACCATTCCACTCGTTGCAGGGCCTCACGAATGCCTTGAAAAGAAACTCTGACCGTCATGGAATTGCACAAATGGTCTCAGTCTTTATCGCACGTGTAGGAGAGTTGATTCTGTAGGTGCAAGCTCTTCCTTGCATACTTCATCACCGCGGTCAAAATCGTCTAACGTGATCCCAGACATGCAGAAAGCGATCCAGCCCTCCTGGACAGCTCGACGCCACTGCTCTCTCTTGGCATTTGCGGGGGCCTTCTTCCTGCCGCAGCTGTTGCAGTGGCGACCAACATCCACGAGTTGGTAGAGGTGGCCAGCTATCTCGCCCGAGTTAACTGCCGAGTCGCGGTCGTGATATCTAGGCGCTCGATGGAGATCGAGAGTGGAACCGGGAGTTGGGCGTTTTCGGTTCTAGGGAAAGTTGTTGCACAGCTCCCGGATATCTTAAAAGATTTCCACAGAAAACAGGTACGATCCGAACATGTAGAAGACCATCTTGGTTGTGAGCACTATGTTGACTTTACATTTTAGTCGATCCCGCGCCATAGACGAGCTTGGATCGCCGTCAGCACACCCACCTGGGCCACAGTCTTTGGACCCCCTTCCGTCCTTTGCAAGCTGAGAGAAACTTCCATCACGTTACAAAAGAGTGACACAGCCGCATTACCGGCATTTGGGGCCGTACATGCGGCTCATTTGGCGGCTCCCGAGTTCGGTGAACTTGTGGGCGAAAGCCCTTTACTCAACAAACCCCTCAAAACTGGCTATAGGCTCCTTTCCGGAAGTACGTATGCACCCTATGTCGCGTCTACCTTGAAAGACCTGCTTCCCCAAATCATGCTCGACATCTTTCAGAATGAAACTAATCCGGCTCGTCTCTTCGAGGTGGCGGGGTCATATCTACGAAAGGGGAGATCTCCTTCGCTCTACATGCTGGGTGCTACTAGCTATCTAGTTCTTCTGCGCCGGTCTTTACACGCTCAGGGGTTTGAGGTGAATCTCAAGACCAATCCACCTAGTCTGCAGACCGCAGAACTTCGTGGCGGCTCTGGATCAGTGGCTGTTGTCGGCATGTCCGGTCAGTTTCCAGGGGCTTCAAGTGTGGACGAGATGTGGGAAGTGCTCATGCGGCGAGAAGAGCTTCATCAGAAGGTGAGAATGCTTTTTGATCCAAACCCTCAAATTCATTGGCCAAGCCGAAGGCTAAGACTCATGTTACAAAGATTCCTACAGAGCGGTTCAACGCCGATGATTACCTGGATGAAACAGGTCGTGGTCTCAACGCGATAGCCACTGCCTACGGTTGCTTCCTGGAGAACCCAGGTCTCTTCGACTATAAGATGTTCAACGTCTCGCCGCGGGAAGCAATGCAGATGGACCCCGGACAAAGGCTTCTCATGCACGGCGTGTACACTGCTCTCGAGGACGCAGGTCTTGTCACTGGTGGCACTGCATCTGCTGACAACAGACGCATTAGCACATACATAGGCGATGGTAGTGACGATTGGCGAGAACTTCAGCAACAACACGGCGTGGACAAGTACATTCTCCAAGGGACCCAGCGATCCTTCACCCCCGGACGTCTCAACCACCATTTCAAGTGGGAAGGTGCCACCTTCTTGGTCGATTCGGCATGCGGCTCGACAGCGTCTGCGGTAGGGCTGGCATACAGGGCCTTGATCAGCCGGGATTGTGACACTGCCGTTGCAGGCGGGGCAAACATCATCGCCACGCCTTTCTGGCAGTCTGTCCTCAGCAAGGGTGGCTTCCTGTCCAAGACCGGAGGCTGCAAGACGTTCCGCAACGACGCCGATGGTTACTGTCGGGGAGAAGCGATCGGAGTGGTTGTGCTCAAGCGTCTGGAAGACGCTCTCCAGGACAACGATAATATCATCTCCGTCATTCGTGGCTACGCTAGAAACCACTCGGCGGATACCGTCTCGATCACTCGACCCCACGTTCCGGCGCAGGAACGTGCCTACCAAGCCGTTCTCCACGCTTCTGGCCTGGAGCCAGATGACATTAGTTACGTGGAAATGCACGGGACGGGAACCACTGCGGGAGACTCTGCCGAGCTCGAGTCTGTTGTCAATGTTCTTGCTCAGAAGAACACAAGGGGAACGCCATTGGTCGTCGGGGCCATCAAAGCGAACCTGGGGCATTCTGAGGCGGTGAGTTATCTGACAATCTGCGAGTTCGTGGCTTCTCGCAGCTAACGTTGGATAGGCATCGGGCATTTCCTCCTTGATTAAAGCGTCCCTTATGTTTCGCAAGGGAATCGTTCCTCCTCAAGTAGGGCTTCCCGAGAAAATGGGGAACTTTGACTGCCTTGCCCGTGGCTCCGTCCTCATCCCTGGCGACCCAGTTTCTTTCACACGACAAAGTGTTGGAAGGACTCGGGCCATGATAGTGAACAACTTTGATGCTGCGGTACGTATTGACCTAGATTTCCATTGGTTATCACTGCTCTCACCGCTCGGAAGCATTCCGCTAACATTTTTTCATTGCTTCATTTAGGGGGGAAATAGTTGTTTTGTATTGGAAGAGCCACCTATACCTTTACCGAAAGGCTCTGACCCCCGCCCCTATCATGTCGTTACCATTTCGGCACACTGCCAACGTTCACTCGAGGAGAACAAACGGCGATTGCTCCAGTTCCTCACCGAAAACAACAACACCAGTCTCGCAGACCTGTCGTATACAACGACGGCTCGCCGCATGCATCACACATTACGCTCTGCATATACTGGTGATGGTATTCAAGACATCATCAACAGCCTGGCCCGTGATCTCGGTACCAATAACCGTGATGATAAGACTGGGGAGCCTCGTGTCGCGTTCGCATTCACCGGTCAAGGGGCACACTATGCTGGCATGGGAGCAGATCTGTTCAAGCTTTCGCAACCATTCCTGGCAACCATCACTAGTCTGCAGAAGAGCTGTGTGGCACACGGGTTTCCTCGGTTCGCACATCTCATCTCGGATCCGTCTACCCCAATGGAGAATGTCAGCACGGCGCAGGTTCATCTGTCCTTGATTGCCCTGGAAATCGCACTCGTGGACCTGTGGAAGCTCCTGGGTATTTCCCCGGACCTCGTCATCGGCCACAGTATTGGTGAATATGCCGCGCTGTATGCGGCGGGGGTGCTTTCAGCAACAGACGCTATGTACCTGGTGGGAACACGGGCAATGCTCTTGCAGGACAGCCTGGAAGAGGGTGTCCACGGAATGTTAAGCATCTCGGGAACACAGCAAGACATTGCGGCCATTGTCTCAGATAAGAGCGTCATGTTCAACTGCGAGGTAGCCTGCTACAACACCCCAGGCATGGTAGTACTTGGCGGCCAACGACCACGGCTTGCAGAAATCGAGGAACTGCTTACAGCAAGGAAGTTCAAATGCAAGATGCTGGATGTTCCATACGCCATGCACACGAGCCAAACGGATACCATACTGCGAGGAATCCGTGAGGCCGCCCGGGGCGTGCGCTTTGGCACTCCGAGAATCAAGGTTATCTCAACCTTGACGGGCACAGAGCAGCAACACTTTGATGGCGACTATCTCGCGAGACAAACAAGAGAGGCTGTCAAGTACACCCAAGCCATATCGCACTGTGTCTCTGAGGGTCTCGTCGATTCGGCTACGCTGTGGCTAGAAATTGGACCCGCTCCAGTATGCCTGGGACTTATCCGTTCAAACACCAACGTGGCCTCGCATCGTGCCATGGCTAGTTTGAAAAAAGAAGACCAGGATTGGAAGTCTATTTCATCAGCTTTGGCATGTCTCTACGTGGCTGGTAAGGCAGTCGGCTGGCGGGAGTACCACAGCGACTTCATCGACAGCCTGTCACTCATCTCCCTGCCATCCTATTCTTTCGACACCAGGAACTTTTGGATGCCATTTACGGCTGGCGGCAAGCACCAAGATGTACAGCCCATTTCCACGTGTTTGCATCATCTTGTGAGTCAGGACGATGACGGCAAAGGACAATCGGCCACGTTTACGGCCGTCGTATCTCAGCCGTCCCTACTCCGAATGATTCAAGGCCACAAGCTGTCGGGGATTACAGTGTGCCCCGCTGGGGTATTCGCCGAAATGGCCCTCACAGCCGCCCGTTATGTGCTGACCAACGGGTCGATGGATGCCCAATTTCCATCGCTTTCGGTACTCGATATCCAGATCGATCATCCCATCACACCCCAATCTGACTCTCAGCAAATCATCCAAGTAAACGTCAGCAAGCCAAGGCAGTCGAGAGACTTTGCCATTTCCATTCGGGATCAAGCCAAGCCTTCTTTGATAACCGCAACGTGTTGCATTCGCGAGAGAGATGAGCAGGATTTCGACGTGACGCGACAGCAACGACTTGACGTGGTGCGGCCCAAGATTTCCAAACTCATGCAAGACGCTGCGGTAGGGCTCGCGAACCGATTTCAAGGAAGGCTCTTCTACAGGCTGTTTGCGAAGCTCATGGATTACGCTGGGCAGTATGAAGGTGTGCAGGAAGCCATTGTGAGCAATGACTTCACCGAAGCTCTGGCCACCATTCGGCTACCAAAGGCGCAGGACTCGCAGGAGTCGTGTACACTCTCGCCGTATTGGATCGACGCCCTCACCCATCTGGCGGGTTTCCTTTTGAACGGCAACCCCATGAGCAGCGGAGATGATGTATACATCGGAACGCACATGGAGCGTATGGAGCTGGTGGCGAAGGACTTGTCTCCAGACGTCGTTTACCAGAGCTATGCCTTTATCGAGCATACGCAAGGATCAGACAACTACCGTGGTCATGTCTATATCCTCAGCGGTGATAGGATCGTGGGCTTCCTGGAAGGTGCGCGCTTCCGTAAGATGCCACGGACCACGCTGCACCGAATCCTTGGCAAGGTGGAACCTCGCAAGGCGGCCAAGGAGATAACTGCGGTAACTGCGGCCACTACTACTAGCCGGTCCATTCACAGTGCTACGGCGCCACCCGTAAACGGCACCAACGGCGCCAACGGCACTAACGGCACTAACGGCACCAACGGCACTAACGGCCACAACAAGACGATGGAGTCAGTGCTGGTAGAGCGTCTCATTGAGGAAACGGGCATGGAAGAGAGCGAACTCCAGCCGTCGACCTTCTTTGCCGAGATTGGCGTCGACTCACTGATGTGTATCTCCATCCTGTCCGACATCAAGGCCGAGACCGGGTTCGAGCTAAACGCCTCGTTCCTCCTCGAGTATCCCACGCTCGGGGACGCACAGCGGCAACTGCGCATGCTGGAGCGGAAGAATGGCAATGGCGCAGACGGGGTAGCGGTCGCGGAGCCGGAGCCGAAGCCGGAGCCGAAGCCGGAGCGCAAATGCAACGTCGTCCTCATGCAAGGACACGCCGAGTACGAGTACGAGTCTTCCAGCAGCAGCGCGCCGCCCCCCCTGTTCCTGATGGCGGACGGCGCCGGCTCCGCGGCGGCCTACATCCACCTGCCAAAGCTCGGGGGGCCTGTCTACGCCGTTGAGTCGCCATGGGTGCGCGACCCGGCTGACTTCACCTGCAGCTTCGACGAGGCCGCGGCGCTGTATCTAGCGGCCGTGCGGGCGAGGCGGCCGCATGGGCCATACCTACTAGGCGGGTGGTCGGGCGGCGGCGTCTTCGCTTACGAAGTGGCACGGGCGCTGCTCGCCGCGGGCGAGCGCGTGCTGGGCCTCATCGTTATCGACATCCTGGCGCCCAGCCTCCTCCCCCCCTCCAGAGTGGTGACGGAGCCGACCATGGACATCATCAACCAGATCGGCATGCTCAGCGGCATCGAGCGCAACTTCGCGGACAAGTCGGCGAGCCCCGAGGCCGCGCGCCTCAAGCGCCACATGCTGAGCACCGTCACGTGCTTCAGCCGGCTGGTCCCGATTCCCATGCAGCCCCATCTGCGGCCGGAGCATACCTTCGTCATATGGGCCAAGAAGGACGTCCTGCCCAAGGCCGCCTACGACAAGCTGCCTCCAGGGCTGGACGCTTGGTTCTACCCGTCATCACATGACCTGGGTCCCAACGGCTGGGATGCTCTAGTTGGCGACACGGTAGAATACTGTCAAGTGGAAGGCGATCACTTCTCCATCATGACGGCCCCGGAGGTCTCGGAGCTTGGCAAGGTTATACAGGCTGCACTTGCCAAGTGCAAAGTGTAGGAGGCTACGACATCAATATCCCTAGCGCCATTCCTTGAACTAGATTAGGTATTCAGCTGTCATAACGTTTACAATGAATGTACAGGAGCAATGGTTTTTTTATAAATTTGGAGTCAATATATATGCCATAGATTAGTCTTAAGTCACTCGCGCTTTGCATGCCAGGAAATTAGAGACTTTATCCCAGATATGTTACTACTACTACTACTACTACTACCACTACTACTATGTCTATTCCAGCCCGAACTGATCTCACAACATAAGCATGCAGGCTATCCTGTTCTTCCTAGTATAGAACTATGTACTAGTCTATCTAACAATACAAAATAGGTATCAACCTATAGTACTATAGTGTACTAAAGAACACCGTTTCATCTACAGGCAGCAGCATGTAGATACACAGTATTCAACGCACTCTCTATTCTCGCATCTATCCTACAGTACTCAACCACTGCGCCCACACGAACAGGGGCGGGTGGTTAGTGAAGCATCATCCTCACCATCGAGACGACCTGCACGTGAACGGGGGCCCGTAGGAACAAACAAGAGCGTACAAGGCAGTCCGAAACGAGTTAAAGTGTGAACTGGGTCGGGATTCCGAATCCAGCACAGTGGAAATGTTCTTACTATAGCGGTTGTGACCGAGTCTCCTGCTCCTATAATAGGCACAAAAAGACTGTCAGAAGATTACATTCAGTATCTCTTGATATTGGCTTTGTAATCATCACAGATTCTCAAATTCTACCCGTTTACACGACAGAAATGGCACTACAAGTAGAGAAAGAAAGTGCCTCGGGCTCTATCCACTCGAATCACGACCTGGTTCGGGGAGTTTGGCAATTGTTCCGCCTCCATACACTCGAGGGATTATCGACGGCAAGCATTGGATGTACGTCTCTTCATCGATATCTTCTTCTCCCTTTGCCTTTTCTGACCAGAGATGTTGCGATTTGTCAAACTCCACAGGGCTCGCGCTTTTCTTCTATGCGATCCAGCAGCAGCTGGCGTTTGATTTGGTGCGACATGTATTCATCGGCATCTTTGCCACTTATCAGATGACCCACTGCGTCTTCTGTCTGTGGAAGTGAGTTCCCCGACAGTCAGCACCATTCGCGACAACAGAGCAGTAAGGATTGACCATGTGCTAGTGATATCTGCGACCGCGACATGGACGCAAAGGTGGCGCGCACCAAGAATCGCCCTCTTCCCTCGGGCATGGTCACCCTCACCGAGGCAGTTTCGGTCTTCATTCTCGGTCTCTCCGCCTCGCTGGGCGTCGCGTATCGGCTACTCGGCGCAGACGTCACGCTAACCATGGTCCCCATATGGGGGCTCTCCTTCATATATCCTCTGTGCAAGCGGGTCATCTGGGCCCCGCAGGTAGTCCTGGGTCTGACCATGGCGCTGTGCGTACTCCCTCCATGGGTGGCCGTGAGAAATGACAGCGGCGATGCGGGTCTGCTACCGGCCAGTCTCTTTGGGGCCATATTCTGCTGGCTCGTGTACCTTGACTTGATTTATGCCTCCCAGGTAAGTGTTTGATGCATGCATGCATGCATGTTCACTCCAGCCACGCCCGCCCTTAATCCCTCTCACTGTAGGTTGTATCTAACGCTTGCGTTTCCCCTGATAGGATCGCCCTGATGACCAAAAGGCCGGCGTGAAGTCGCTGGCCGTGTTCCTGGGCGACTATTTGAAGGCTGGCCTGACGGTTCTGGGCGTTCTGCAAATCGTCTGTTTTGCGTTGGCGGCGTATGAAGCATCGGCAGGCGTCTTTCTCTGGATATTTGGCATCGCCGTCTGGACGGCCTCGGTTCCCTGGAGCATCATGTCACTAGACACGAGTGACCGCGAGTCGGGCGGGCGCATTTTCCTCGTGAATGCGATTCTAGGCATTTACCTGGCGGCAGTATCAGGGCTAACCGTGTCATTCGCTATGTGGGGACGAAACAAGGCAAGATGAAGCATGGGCAGATGTTTTCAGGGGTGGTGGCGCGAAAGGAGGTTAGAGTCATCCAGAACCGAGGGTCAGACACTTGAACAAGACGCATGGGACGTTTAATTCTTTCTATTTCCGAGATTTCAAATCAATATCGGATTGAAACTTCCCCGACCCCCAAGGTGTGTTTTGAGTAACTCTATCCAGAATTCGACGAGCTTCTTCCTTGACTTCAGGTTTCTCAAGATAACGAACAGCAACGGAAAGACAGCTGATAGCCACGTAGCCAAAGTCTCTGTTTCATGCAAACTGGTTATTAGCGTTCCCGATCCACAAAAAGGAGAAGAAGAATGGAAAAACCAGTTCATGCGCTTTCGTCAAGGAATAGGGTCCCGTACTTATCTTCACTCTGCGAAGCAATCCCGCATATATCCATAGCGTGCCTTGTCTGTCTGCGCTGGGCTTCTTGCGCCTCGTCTGAGCTTCCGGTTACTTGGATCCTGGCAAGCAGCAAGCACGACACGTGGTAAAGCAGGCGCGCGACCGTCGACGAGGACCCGACGAACAAGACCTGAGGGAAGTGGGTTGTAGTTGGTAATGACGAATTTTGATCTGGGGGTGGGATGTAGCACAGGGGCATCATCGATCTCGGTACATTACTGGCCCACTCGTCGCACCAACCCTTGTACTGCTCACAGTCCTGGTGGAGACGGTGACATGAATGGTTATATGTGCCCTGGGCCACCTCTGTGTGAAGTGCGGCAACCTTGGCACATATGGACACCATCCGGTAAGCCCATCGGTCTTCGTCGCAGTAAAATATACCGTTGTTAGTACCTGTACCTTGGTCCGTGTTCAGTACCATCTTCATTCTATCGGCATCGCACGTCAGCCTCGACTCGCGAACGAGACTATCTAGGACAGAATTGAGATTATATGACCAAAAGCAGGCCCCAGCCAGACCTGAATTTCCGCCGCTGAGGTCGGCTTTTCCAATCAAAGCTGGCGTGCGATCCGAGTGGCCTTCGTTGGCCCCGTCACCCATAATTTCATATGCATGTAGCAAAGCTGAAATGGTCACACACAGGAGATGGTCATCATTGGGCTTGGCTGTCTCGAGCTGAAGTCCCTGGCATGCCTTTCTATAGTAAAGGGATTCCTCGGTAGGCATCAAATATCTCTCCCCGCAAGCCATTACCATACTGTAAAGTGCTGGATGGCTCAGAGCGTAAAAGGGCGCGATATTTGTGAACTATTATCTGGTCAGTCAGCGGAAAGGGGGAATGATCTGTTTGTTCTACCCACGGGTTTGCTCGCGACCAGGCAGTCCATCCAAGGGGCCACCTTCCCGAGGAATATCTCCATCAGCAAACCCTCATCATGGTCGGTGATAAGCCGCAATGAGGGCAAGGGGCTGCACTGTGCTGAAACGAGCGCGGCCTGCTCTGCAGAAGACGCGATCTTCATGGGCGGTATTGCATGTGGGCCATCTTTCGATAAGACCGCTTGGGGTAGCTCTGTCTGCGGTGTAGGCTCCGTGTGCGAGGTATGAACATGTTTCTCCTTCTGCGGGCCAACAGCGTACCCCGACGCGATGGCTCGCGACTCGTCATGGAACTTCAGCTGGGTGCCTGGGGGTAGATCTGTGAGAGGCTGCGACGTGGATGTCTGAGTGTCGATGAAATTCAGACGGATCCCTCTCTCACAGAGCCGGTTGGATTTGCAGCAGTTTTTACACCTAGAAGTGTAATCAGCAAGCTGAACGGTCCTGGTGCTGCTGTGACCTGTCACGATGCAAAACATACTTGGGCAATGCTTCGTCGCATTTGATATGCCTGTCCCGACACGTGAGACACCCGGTCCGAGCTCGGAACTGCTCTTTGCCCATTACTTGGAGCTACTGGAAAGATACTGAGCTCTCGCATAGGTCAGTGTCGGATAGCATTGATGCAACATCGACATCTCACTTCTCTCTCACGGAGTTACCCATCAAACAATAGTATTCCGTAGAAGTGGTTCGATACGACTCACACGAATACAACCCACCCGCAAGGCAAGGCGAAACGAATCCCTTCCCCTCGCATGCGCTTACCCTACAGGCTACCCCGGCTTCTTAGTGCATACGACCCGCAGAGGCCACATCTCGCGTGTTGTTGAAGTGCTGTCCTTACCCCGGTCTTGCTTTCTCTAGATCAGGCCACACTAGGCCTTTCTTGACACATGTGCTCTTACTGCAGTTGTCAGCTTGAGAGGCTTCGGAACATCAGACGGACTTGGTCGAGGATTTTCCCGTCAGTCTCGGCCGAAAGGTGCAGATTGTACGGAGTACCTGGACAATACGGATGACTGTACCAGCTCCTACACATACAAACACACATAAACTCAATACATAAAGTCAAAGAATAAGCGAATCGAAAGACATACAGCCAAGGCATTATTACTGTATTTTCCCGAAAAGTGGGCGCACCACTACGCTAGTGCGCCCCGTAATACTGAGGGTTAAAGCCAATTAGAGATAAGCGGGGAAACGGTCCAATTTAAAGCCAATCATCGTTTTGGATTTGAGACTGCGGAAGCTAATTTATTGTTGCGTCTTCTTCACGAGAAAATACGGTATATCAGGCCATTATGTGCCGTATTTTCGATCACACCATGTCTAGCCCAGCTGTTTTTGACTCGTAGCTATCTACATGATCTTTATCGTATATCAACATATCAGTCGCGCAGGAAATGGCTTTCTTTCTAATCTTATTACCTGTGGCCGGAATTCTCCATCACACGATGAGAACATTTCGCGACTTGTGAACCCGTAGATGAGAGAAGTCGAAAGTGTCGTCCTTTACCTCGCCAGACACTCTTGATTTCCAGCATTCCTCCAGTAAATCGAGGAGACCACAGTGTCTAACAGAGTTTCTCATCTGGGATGAAAGCAGCTGTCGGAAGAAGCCGTGCCACTCCTCTTCGACGACGCACCCCACGACGAAGAGCGGCCAGCCTATTACCTCGAGGAGCCTCGCGTCTTTTATATCTGCCAGGGCTTCGAGAGCGCGCCCAGCTTTCTGTTTAACCTCTGGCAATCGCGGATGCGCACCCGACACAATGACCTCCAGGAGAACGGACACGGCGCAGGCAAAGGTATGGTTGACAACGTATATATCGTAATGACACTGACCAGACTGCAGGGGTCTGTCTTTCTGCTGTTTAAGATCCTCTTTGCTTTTACTCAAGAGTATCATATTGCTGGCCATTCTCTTCTCAAGATCTACCTGGATTGTATTTGCTTTGGATGTCAGTTCCCACAGGCTCAGGAGGCCTGCTGCCCTCGTTTTTCTCTTCCAGTCCCGCAGTAAATAAACGTCGAGAAGTGCTTCGAAGACCCAGTTGTTACAGCCGCAAACTGCTTCAAGAAAGAATTTCTGGGAGGTGGATTTGAACAACTCCTTGTAGTTGTGGGAAAGTCCTGGAGCACTATCTTGGTTGATGGCTGATAAAACGTCGATACGTATTATTGAACTAATGAAGAAATCTCTCGAGGACTCCTCGGGAGATCTGTGAGACCCCGAGATTGTCTCGGGCCATGCCTGGGCGATCCAGGGGGCAATCAGCGACGTGCCCGCTCTCAGGTGGGAGGTCCAGTCGACTTTGTCGCCGTGGAGGAGCTGTCGACGGTGTGTCAGTACTGTGGTACAATGATGGGTAGTTCTCGAGCGACCTACACTGGAGGAGATGAATGAAACGGTGCAGGCCAGCATCGATATATCATCGGCAGCTTTGGGCGCTCTCAGATTGCGATTAAACTCTTCCATTGCCACATCGTATCTTCCGGCGTGGTCTTCGTACCGTAGTTTCGAGCAAGGCTCTTCTACCGCTCTTTGATGGCTCTTGTGCGAGCTGCTCAATGCGAGAGATGCCAGATAAAAGGGTCGTGACTTGGACATGAGCCATATGAAGCACCCTTGGCTAAGGCCGCTCACGGGTGTCGAGCAGAAAGGGAACTGCCAGTTGAAGACATTTTCCATGCAGTAGGCTAGCAACATCGCGTCCTCTATATCGGTGATGGGAAGCATGCTTGCAGAAGTCCCGTGCGGTGGGTAGGCTGTGCTGGTTTGACTCTCGGGCAACAGGTAGCCGCCGCAAAGGTCATCCGCAACGCCCAGCCCAGCCGTACCTTGTGCCATGTGCACGTTCCCTGTCAGGATGGGCTCGAGCTCTAGTAGGTCAAAGTTCTGCTCAGAAAGAAAGTCCATCTCCTCGAGAGGAGCATGATATCCGGATAAGAACGTCATATCATCGAACATTGTTTGTGAGCCGGAATCATCCGATGAAACAAGAGGATCTGCGACATTTGTGATTTGAACATCTTCTTCAAGAGCTTCTGCGAGCCGACTCCTTGCAAACTCGTCTTGGGACGTGTCGCCGAAGGTCTGTGTGAGAGAGCTGGATTCATGGTCTATGAGCATGCCGTTTGAAGTATCAGGAACGTCGATTCGGCTGTTGGAACCTTCTGTGTGGGAATCTGGCGGTTGCTTAGCTGCCCAATCGACTTGGGCTCGCACCTGTTTGTTCCGTCGATTCTTAGTCAGCTGTGCCACCTTCTGCTTCATCTTCGCCGTTTGTGCCTTTTGTCGAGCACCACGGTCCATCCAGGCGGGCCTTGTACCAAACCCGTGGCAATCGAGGCCCAGGCATATGCAATCCGTACATATTGGTCGCCTTTCGTCACACTTCTTCTTCCGGAGCCTGCAAGACCAGCACCCATCTTGGCTGCGAGTCTCGGTAGCCATTGGATCTTTACTGTTAATAGCGGACAGGAAGAATAGTAAAGATGGTGGCTAACGGTCGGGAACCGTACCTTGAAGTCTCGGCCTGTACACCTTGACGCACAGCTCATGCTGACACTAAGTACAGCCTCTTTTCACATACATACGACGGAAAGTGGCAGGGATCCCGCATGAGGCTAAAATCTCACTACCGTATCTCCCCCATATGAGGGAGCTGAATGTGTACTCGGCCCCAAGGCTCGCAGGAGCTCGGCCCCCTGTCTACTAGACCAGTTAAAGATGACTGTGCATGCTGACGGTGTCGATAGGGAAGGAATGGATAAGCGTGCAGCCGCGCAAATTTTATCCTCTCTAGAGCTCTAAGCAGAAGCGATCTATACTCGAAATTATAGTTGTTGAGATACTGAACTAAACTATATCAGATTAACAACCAATTAGACTTCGGGTATCCAGACACATGGTGTGCATGACTACAAGGAAGTCGCAAATACCCATTTCACGAATAGCCCAGAGGCTCCCAACAGTCCCCACATCATAGGCATACCAATTTCCCTAGTCAGGTTGAATGGCAGGACCCACGCCGCTTCACCTGCGACGATACGGCGCGATGGGAACATGTACCAAGGAGAAGTCAGGGACATCCAGAACACTACCCAGCTAAACCCTAACACCTTCTCCCAGATGGCAATTTTCCTTGCTTTATCCGACTTGGTAGCGTGAAGTTTGTTGTAAAAGGCCTGCACTCCATCCTCGAGCATCATACCCAGAGCGAAGGAGGAGAAGTAGGGGATCGCGCCAGACTCCACTGCCGATAGACGCATGATGTTGGCCGAAACAGCGTGCAGGATGCCAGACAAAAGGAACACGAGGAAGTTGTTGGTATAGCGCTCCAAGAGGGAGGGAACCGGTAGTTTCAGGATCTGACGGGTCAGAAAGTTCGTGTTGGAAGTAAATGGCCAGCGCAGTATTTGATGCCAGAAATTGCTACAATGGAGTATCGGTTAGTCTCGTTGTGACCGAGTCCGTACTTGGGCGTACCCTTTTGGACTTACCCCCAGAATTTACGCAGCGTGTACGCGTCCCACATGCTCCCAAAAAGCGGCCGCCAGCTTTGAGGACTGCCCAGGCCTGATGCCACAGACAGGATGGAGAGGGCGCGCCAAGTCGAGTCGAGGAGCAAGCGACTGACCACGAACCAGGAAACAAAGGGCGTAAACGCCCTGATGAACCATTGCTCTCCCGTCAAATTCAAATACTCGTACTCCATCCCGGGGCGGTAGAACTTGTCCATGTTCTCGGGGGGCTCGTGCATGGTGACCTCGAGCATGACGTCGAGGAACAGGTACTGCCAGGCCAAGATGGACCCCTGGCGGATCAGGAACCTCGCGCGGCTGCCGCCGCCGCGGCCGAGCGAGGAGGGGTGCGGCGGGATATTCTTGGTCTCCCACACCGTGTCCACGCCCCGGAGACTAATGACCAGGCGAGCTGCGCGCACCAGCTTGCGCACGAAAGGTGTGTCATCGGACGAAGGATGGAACTTTGCCCCCGCCTCCTCGCCGTGGCGTCGTAGGTCGCTCCAGGTGATGCCGCCATCCTGGAGGATGAGCAGCAGGTTTGCACAGTGCGCAACCACGAGGATTCCTTCGCAGGCCAAGAAGCTATTATGGAAGATACTGTTGGAAAGGGTCGGCGCCAGCTGGAATATCAGATAGGCAGAGAAGCCGATACACGCCATCCCGAAATATCGCAGCCATGAGTATTTGGGGGTCACGACGATCAAACCCGCGGGTATCAGTATTTGCACGGCGAAGAGGAGAGCGACGTTGGCGAATGCCTGGATAGAGCTGTTAGCTAATGCCATATTGCCTATGAGGGGTATAGTGATAGAACTCTAGGAACAGAGGATTTAACAAGTAATTGAGACCGTTCAAGTTCGGGTCGGATCGCCTTGCCTTGGTTATTGCTTGTTGACCAATCAGATGAAAGACTATCTATCACACAAAGTATCATGTGACAACTACGATATAATCAAATATCCCAGCTTCTCATCCTACTGGAATAGCGAACGTTATCACTGTACTTACTATTTCCCCTTGATTTCTCGCTCTCGCGCCCCCCAAGTCCAAACTATGTCATCGTGGGCTATCACAGGCGCCTCCCGTGGCATTGGAGTACGTTTGATTGATTTTAACGTACCATGAAACCCAAGTACTGACAAGTCCTCTTCTTTAGTTTGAATATGCCAAACAGCTGGTGCGTAGTCCACACTATTTTGCATTTTTCAACTGCTTCTCAGGGGTAATCTCTATCTGACACCGTTATGCTATATTAGTCTGCAGATGGGAGCAACCAAGTTTTCGCCCTTATCCGCAATCAGCCAAGCGCGGAGCTCATCGAACTCGATTCTGGCAGAAGAAATCTTCATATAATCCAGGCCGACGTCACCGATGCCCAAGGTCTCTCTGAGGCGGCTGCCAAGGTGGGAGAGCTGACTGGGAATAAGCTAGACGTGTTCATCAGCAACGCATGCCACCCTGGACTTGACTTAAGGTTTTACCCAACCTCGGCATTGTGAGTGCAATCCTGCTCTTAGAAAAGCTGAGATAAGGCATGGCTGACCGGTGCGAGCTGCGTAGCCTTGGGAAGGAGAAGGAGCTCAAGAATGAGATTGATGCCTGTGTACGCCTCCTTTTCGCCCTACGACGCCCGCCACGCCGACTCTTCTTCTTCTTCTTCTTCTTCTTCTTCTCCTTTTAGTGATATGTCTGACTGTACTAATATGGGCAGTAGATGAACGTCAACCTTCTTGGGGCTATAAACTCCATCAATTGTTTTCTTCCCCTGATCCGCAGCGGCGAACTGAAGAAGATCATCTACATCACTTCTCCCTCGGGCGACGCCGAGTTTACCCGCAAGTGCGGCGTTACCGTCACCATCGGATACACCGTTACCAAAGCTGCCATGAACCTTGTCATATCAAAGTACGCTGCCGAGCTCAAGGGAGAAGGGATCAAAACTCTGGCCCTCAGCCCGGGATGGGTCGACACGGACGGAAGTAAGCAGCTCCCCGCACGCTTATCTCTTGATGATTCCGTCGAGGCTGACCACATGCGATTTGTAGCTCGAGATATGGCCCCGACGCCAGAGGTCTTAGAAATGGCGCTACAGGTTTTTCAGAAGGTGAATCCGGATCTCACTGGGCTGATGTCTCCGGAAGAATCGGTGAGAATGCAGCTCGACGTTATCAATAGCCTGACGGCAGATCAAAGTGGCCTAGCACTGTCCCACCATGGTGACTACAACTGGCTTTGAAACAAAGGAGTGATTCTAGTACACGCATAACTAAATCTAAAATGGTTCTTCAACCCCCCAGGCCTGCGTCTTGACATCTTCTCACCAGTCTTGTGTTCTCCTAGCTATGATCCCGTTTCGAAGATTGCGTTGCATATGTGAACCAAATTGGAACGGATCACATCACTTGAGATTTTAGGGTCTCAGGCGTAAGACTTCTCTTTAGTTTGCTGTATCAATGGCTGAACCGATGTCGCCTTTTCCAACACAACCTTAGACCAACAGGTGGTACCCGCCAGCGATGCTACGGGCCCGAGAAGCACTGTGCTCACGAGTATGACTGCCCAGGCCTTGACCAGAGTGACCTCCGTAGCGAATATCCGCCGCAGCTCCCATGACATGTACATGCCCCACGCAACAGTAAGGGCAGTCAAAGACGCAAGCGTCCTCGCAAGTGGTAACGAAAGCAGGCTAACGACGCCTTCGTTAAGGAGAGCGGCGCCGTGGCTCCAAATCAGGGTGACGTGCACAGCGCTGGAAACGACGGCAATGGCGGTAAAGAGCCGTCGCTGGTAGGGAAGGTCGACGCTGCTGAAGACAACTTCCACGCCTTGCGGGATGGCCTTCATTCCCCGGGGAAATTTGCTGCTCACGTATACCAATACCGGAAAGGTACAGTGGGCGACGGGCCACCAGTCGAACAGGCTCTTGTCGGTGCTTTCCAGGGCAGTAAGAATACTTGGGATACTGTAGGCCATTATCAGGCACGGTAGTAGAGCTTTTGCTGCCCCGAGGTTTGTCATAAATTGTGGAGTGTAGTAATGTACGGCGTGTTGGCTTGATAATACGTGTAAACACAGATAGACCGGTAAAGTCTTCTCCCACCCCCAGTAGTTGGAGGCAAGAATCCATGGAAGAGAGCTAGAGTAAAGTCAGCCAGTTAAATAAATCAAAACAGGTAGAATAGCAAGTACCTGCTCATTGGTGACACTAGCAACGACGCCTTATAAGACTCGACAACCCAAAGTCCGCTAATCGATACTGCCATCACAGAAATGTACAGCTGGAATACTTCGGAGAATCCGAGAAGGCTGCTGGTCGAAGCTGGGAGGAACCTGTGAGCCGACAATGGAAAGCACGCAGCGAGCATCAAGAGGCCTATCCACGAAATTGTGGCCAAGGGGGACCGTGGATTCGGCTTCACCTGCATATCTTCTGAAAATGGGCACATTCCTGCCTTGGGCGGCGGTAGATGTTCCATGCAGCGAGCTGGCGTGAAGGAGGAAGCCAGCTGAGGTAAGAAAGCCACCACGAACGGAAGTTGAGGGATGACGTGCAGGGCCAAGAATCTCATGATTGGGTTGTCCAGGGACTCCATCCGCTGCACCAGATTGGCGTCCTCTCGCAACGCTGTCGTCCTCACAAACCTCTGCTTCTGGAACTCGGTCAATGCTTGGTCGACACGGACTGCATCGTGTAGAGCGACGTTTTCTCGGAGTTTCCATAACATGTCCGCCACCAGAGCGCTCTCCTCCACAGCCGAGTTCGCTCCTTGGCCAGCTACGGGGTGCAGCTTCCGGAAGGTGTCCCCGATGAGGAGAATGTTCTTGTAGAAGCACTTTTCCAGAACGAATTCCTGCAATGGGATAACGGCCGAATAGGCGGATTTCTTGTACAGCCCTCCCAGAGTCAGACCGTGACCTATCTGATCGTCTGCGTACTTGTCCAATAGAGCTTGCTTCGTGTCAGGGGAGAGCTTGGGCACGATGCCCTTGATCGGCTTCTCGTTCTTGGCACATAGCCACCAGTAGAACTCCCCGGAGCCTTCGATGCCCTCCTGGAAAAAGTAGGACCGTAGATGGTTGTACACTCGCGCAGATCCGCCTCGGGCCAGCCCTGGGTCGTGGGCAATGCCAATCACAGCCGTGTACAGGGACACAATGCCTAGATGAAGTGGTTAAGATATTTCCAAGACCAATGTGACAGGTCTCGATCTGCTTACCCGTCTTGTCCCGTTCGGGGATATAGCCGGGCTTCTCCATATCGGCAATACGCCAAACCTCACTCCTCACGCTACTCCTAACACCGTCTGCACCAATGACTAGATCTGCAGTGTATACTGAGCCGTCTTTGGTCTCTACTCGTGCCTTTTCTCCAAGTTGGCCGAGACTGATCCTGGTGACTTCTTTCTGTAGGTGGATGTTGGATTTCTGCTTGATCTTGTCAAATAGAATACGGAGACAGTCGTGACGCGACAGGAAGTGGATTTTGTAACCAAAGCTATTGGTTATGGCAAAAAAGATTAGCAGATTGCTTCTAGTATGAGTAAAGACATAGCGACGGGCAACTGTTACATACAGCTTCTCCAGCCACTCTCCCATGTGCGGATTGAAGATGACGGTTTGTCCCTTTGGAGAAAGCGCGAGGCCGGCATTCACGGGAGACGCATACTCGCACATAGAATCCCAAACACCGATCTGGTCTAGTATGCGTGCCCCGTTGGGAGTTAAACCCACTCCTGCTCCCAGTTTGGGGGCGACGTCTGGATGCTTCTCAAGCAATTCGTATTCAAATCCATACAACTCGAGCATTATTGCCAGGGTCAGCCCTGCGACCCCTCCACCCACGATCAGCACCTTAAAAGGAAGTGCCATAGTTTTTGCGGTTTTTGCCTATGCTGCGTAGGAATGAGGATTTGAAATTTCTCGTAAACTAGATCAAGCAACATTAGTTCATAACAATTTAAATATAATAGTAAGCTTATTAAGGATCTTGTGTGTTAAGCACCTTTAAGCGATGTGTACTGAGATGCAGTGTCCGGAACTACAGTAGTCCCGTAACGAACTGCCTAAAGTTTTAATAGTGCCCCCTGCCTAGCTCGCCTTCTCTAGATATAAGGCGAGCGGCTGAGAATCTTCGTGGTTAAGGAATCGGGCCACATGGAGTTCTTTGTTAGTGGATTTCCGGGCTTTGAAATCGTCCTTAAACGCCTTGAGCGACGGCACCCCTATCCTAATTGAGACTACGCACTTGACCCAGCCCTCTAGCGGTTCTGGGCCCCACGCCAGCTGCGCCTGGTTCTACACCTCCCGCACTAGGTAGTTTGCGCCTGTCGCCTCGTCTACAAACTCCTCGCTACATCTGCTAACCGCGATCGGGTTAAAGAAGGAGGACACTGCTAAGGTCGCCCAGCAGGCCTCCCATATCGTCACGCTGTTGAGCAGGTCGCTAGCGCCGTGCGGAGTCTTGTAGCTCGTAAGGCAGACGGTCTCACTCGTCTCCTTGCTCGTCGCGCACACAAAGCTGTAGCAGTCAACCCGTATTTTGCTCAGTCCACACCTAGCTTACACTTTGCACACTGCTTCAGGCGCATCCTGAAGCAGCGCGTCCTCCGGCAGGCTTTGCTGCTTCACTACTTCTTTCACCGCCCGCGTCAGCTCCTCTGCGTCGAACCGGCCCTGCACCTGGCCCTTGACCGTCACTCGGCGAGCAGAGCAAAGCGCAGACAGGACTCGAGATCAACCAGCCAGTCCGGCTCGGCTTTCCTCTTGCCGGCAGTCGCAAGGTTGTGTGTAGCGCGAACCTCGGCTCGCAGCCGTTGGCAGAGTATGGGAAAAAGCGTACAGCGCATCGTCTTGAGTGTTTCTGGCGAGTTGACATATGCAGCTACCTCAGACGCAATGCTTAGCATGTTTCTCGGCTTCTTCTGCTGCAGCCGCCGGAGATCAGGGTTGTGTTGACGTGCGCGGAATTGCTGTATTACTTCGGCCATTGCTTCATACCCCCATGTAATCTCTAGCGGAATCGTCTTAATAGTAAAACGGATAAGCAGTATGTTGAACAGCACAAAAAGGAGCTAGTTAAAATGGTCATCCAGCTAGGTGCCGATAAAGTTGCAGCACTCATATTAGAGCCTGTAGTTGGTGCCGTAAGTGGGAGTCTCACTACACGAATAGGCGCTCGGCTGCGTGCCTGCAGTACCCGGATACCTCCAGGCTATAAGAGCTGTATGCGATAAGTATAGCATCTTTCTTATCTTCGATAAGGTCATGTACGGCATAGGCCGGACTGGGTATCTACATGCATGGCAGAGGGAAGAAGTGGTTCCGGATATTCAAATCATTAGTAAAGGTCTTGCGGTCGGCTTCAAACCAATCTCGGGGTTGCTTATTGGGGAATGCGTTACTGCCGCCTTAGAGAATAGGCCATCCCAAGCTAGATCGAGTCTGCGAATTAGTCGATCAGCTTGAATTCGGATGGGCAAAGCTTGCAGGTGCTGGCGGTGGAGGTTGTGCCATTATCATGCCCAGGCTGAGAACTAACACTACCATTGATGAGTCAAATTCTCTAGAGTCGCCGGGATCAGTTTCCCAGAAATTTGTAGCTCTCGACCGAATACCGATGCATGAAGGGATAGAGCTGTTCACTACAACGCTTGCTGGAGAAGGTGTTGGAGTCCTGTGCACGTCGAGTTTGCGTAACTTGTCGAATGAGAATGGCAGTATGGATATTGATTACGAGAAGTTTATGCAAGCGGAGGGAAAACAGGCTATCGAGAGTTTGTTAGGGATGAACGTATCGTGGCCTGAGAGTGAGTCGACGGTAGGATGCAGGAAATTCTGGAGATTCTGGAGTCGATGAGCAGGATCAACAGTTACCGGCTTTGAAACGAACGGTATGTCAAAAACGAATGTTATAATCGAGACACATTACAGACCTTGTTACGGTCCAAACGGGACCCACAGAACATATCGTCACCAGCTTTATCGCAATCATTCCGGCTTCTCAATATGTTGGTGACATCTGGCGGGGAAATCGTCTTACAGTATGTTCTTTGTTTTGTTCAGCCCCTGAACAGAAATCCAGTCGAAACAAGAAAACCTAGGTGTTCATGTGACGAAAAGAGTTTGTAGTTAGCCAGTCAGTTATCACACCACATCTGTTCCAGCAGGATCCATGTACCAGTTTTTCGGTGTATTTGTGTGTTAAGGAGGCAGCTTCGCAAATTCAATTCCACATCACGTCTCAGTAACGTGATCACCTAGACTAGGTAGGAAATCAATGCCCAAGTACAAAACCATCGATTTGTTAGTGCTTTTTTAAAGCACTTTGCACGTTTACGTATCTCAGCCCCAGGTTTAGAAAGCAGACAACGGAGCACTGCGCTCGAAGTGCTTTATAAATGTCCTGAGACGCTGCTCTTGTTGCTGAATAATTTGTACCTGCGCCGCCTCCTCTTCGGATAAACTGAACTTCACCCAAACCCTTGTATACAATCGGGTGAGCCTGGGTGTTTGGCTCGCGAGCAGAACATTCATCACACGCGACCACTCTCCACGGGAGTCGATATGATAGTTTCCCAAATATATTCGTTCATCCTGTCGGGTCTCCTCGACCCTGCTCGTGGGTGACGGCGCTGGTGTCGAAGCGCCTCGCCATAAATTGACTAGCTGAACTTCGGCCCTTTTGTACTCGGCTCAATGGTTCGCCACACGGCTCGTGTGCTACCCACAGCCGAGTTCTCCGGGCTTGTTCGAGAAAAACACAAGCTGAGTAGTGAGGCCCTGCTCAGGTCTATATCAGACTCCGTTGTCTAGTTCTTCAACTTTATCTTTTAGTTAAGACTTGCTGTCCCTGCGCAAGGGTACTTCTTTTGCATCTTTCATGGTGAGCTGCATCTTTGGACGACTCTACACACGCTTTAGTCACCGCAAGGACAGCTCTATGTGAACGTTCATGACAAAGTTTTAAGGGCTGAGTTTCTTGATCATTACATGCCAGCGCCTAGACCTACAGAAAACTCCAAATCAGGCGTGCTTCCAGATGATCAGCATCTAGCCTTTCGGGCAATGATTTTTACGGTCTAGAATTGAGTTTGAGTGAGTAGAAATGCACTAACCTGCACTAGCTTCTAAAGTCTAACCAGCTTAAGCTTTGCCACCTGCGAAGCCAAGGTTCCGTTTTCTGCAGCCATGGAAGCTTGTCACTTTGGGACGATTTTAGCCCGTAACTTGTTTGCTTTGAGAATCGTACAGGGCACCCTTGCACGAGGTTGAAAGTTGAAAATAGTGTGGTGCAGAGACGCGAGGAACACAGAAGATCAACTTGATTATGCGAAAACGTCTCAAGATCTTGAAGTCTAGCAACCTTCTTATAGTCTTCTACTCTGGTTTTGGCTCTCACAGATGCAATACTGTGGTCGTATGACTTCCTCAAAGTAGCGACCTTGATCACGGCCTTTTACACTGTACCTCAGGCGAGTCAGTGTAGTCCTATAGATCGCCTTGGCATCATAAACACTAGTCGCGCCACAAGATTGAGGCTGGCTGAAATGTCTCGGGACATGTGTACTCCGGCAATAACGTCTACTCTAGCATAGTTATGGGTTATAGCCATTGCATTTAAAAGAATAGGTTCTTCCACATAACTGTCTTTCTATTCTATCTATCTTTATACTATCTCATCCAATATTACGATGTACCGCTACGCACTCCTGTTGCTAGCTGCTTGCGAAAGCGTGCTAGCTGTTAAAAGTCCAGCTTGCTCCAGCGTCCCCTACAAACAGATCGCCTCTTATTCAACCATCAAACCCGTTTCGAGCTTTTGTTTGTCAAAGTTTCCCCCGCAGACCCAAACAGCTATTTCGAGCACATCAACCACAACCACAATCACTTCCACAGCTACAGTGTAAGTTGCTCTATACCTCGTCTTTGAATTTCAGAATCAATTGGCTGACTATAAACAGAACGGCTACAACCGATACGACAACTACTCAGACTTCAGTAGCAACTGAGCTTACTACGGTTACTGTGACTGCCGCAGCCGCCAAGGCCAAGCGTGCTGCTAAGACAACTACTTCGTCAACGCAGACCGTCAAGACGACCACATCTGCGCAGCCGTGTCCAGAACTTGTCGCTCTGCAACTTCTTGCTTCAAACATCGTTGCAACGGCCTGCTCCTGCATCATCTCTACGCCCACTATTACCGTAAGATGCTCCTTCCGTCCACCGCTATATCGATGTCCTAAATCTCGCTTTAGTCCACAAAGACAGCCACTCTTACTGCCCAAGCTCAAGCAACCACTACTACAACGGTCGCTCACGTCCTCACCACCACGGTCACTACAACCACCACCTCGATTGCTACCGTAACCGTTGCCCCTACTCCCGTAGATTACGCTCCTGGCTGCAACACCCCTTCCGATGTAGGCTGCTCAGCGGGGGTCGCTTGCGGCGGTGGAAACTCCAACAGCTGCATCTGCGAACGAACAACCGAAGGTATAAACACATGTATTGATGAGGCTGGCATAAACTGTGGCGCAGAATGCACGAGCTCTGCACAATGCGGAGTCGGATACAGGTGTGTAACGTCGACATGCTGTCCCGGGACAGGGACTTGTCTGAGGTCTTCAGCAGCCTTGGGCAATGCATGCACAAATGTGGCGGCGAAGATGATACGCATGCTGAGGGGTCACGTCGAGAAGCGCGCCGCTATCGGCCTCCCGCTACACTTGCCGCCTACATCAGCATAAAGCGATTAATCGAGCATACCTGTCTTATGATAATTATTAAAGACATCTAAGTAGTAGAAGGTAGTGCATTAGAAGAAACATTATATAGAAAATAAAAGCAATTTTCTATACAATCCTTGGTATACTATCTTTGTCACTAAGTACACCCTCGTTAAATCACGCCCCCAACCTCTTTCGAGGAGCCGGACCGCCCTTCTGCGGGCCCTGCCCAGGAACAGGCGCCCCGTAGACCCCCTCATTGCTCTGGGCGGCGGCGATGCTCTGAATCTCGGCGAATCCGATGGAACCAATACCGAGCGAGATGAGCGTCCTCTGGACTTCTGAAAAAGTAACACGAACCGTGCGGACGCTGCCATTCGGGTCGCGAGCCGCTAGCAGCGCGGTGCTGTCACGGGCGGAGCGCTCGTCCAGGACAGCGAAGAAACTGGCGGTATGAAAAACCGGGTGCTGAGCAGCGTCTTCGACAGACTGACCAAAGAATGGTGAGGTGAAGGGCTGCAATGGTGGTTGCGATGCGCTAGAGGAGAGAGGGTCGCTACCTTTGTTGCTGGTGTTGGTAATGGTAAGGATCACGAGGCTCGAAGGTGTGCCTGGGACCAGCTGCTCGCTGCCAGTGTAGGCATCCTTTAGGAACGTTTCCACAGCCTTTCGTTTATTTTGCATCAACAACTTTGCCTTTGCTTTGAGAGGAAGTCGAGCCGATCGGAAAGGACGCTACTTACGGAGGTGGGGATATCTGCAGTGCAGATGACGGGGAACAGCTCTGATTCAGGCATGTTGGGCAATGAATTGAATAGTGTCTAACATGTGCCTGTCTTCGCGCTGGCTCTTCTCCGCAGCTATATATATCGCGATAAGTAGCGAAGCTGAAGGGTGTTATATACTGGGAAGTTGCACTTGCAATTAATTGGCATAACCCCGCTGATAATGATTGTAAGGAACTAGTTAAGCAACAGAAAGACCTCGCGTCTCGGCAACGCACTATTGCAACAGAGGAATATAGGTGCAAGATGTTACTAGAGGAGGAGAGGTATAACTGCGTACTGCGCCAGCAGCGCAAAGACGAAAAAGGCAAAGCCAATTCAAATTAGAGTCTCTAGCATCTCGAGGAATAAAACTCCTGCTTGCACGTAGGTCTAAACGCGACTACTTCAGCACTTCTCGATTGCAAACTGTACTTTGGTTTGCATCCGGCCAACATTCCCGACATAGTCTCCTAAATCCATACCAAGTTTTGTTTATATTAAACTCCGCGAAGTTTCGATCCATGGTAAGGACTCAAGTATGCAGAATTGCACATTCCGAATTTGGCTAAGCGCTTGCAATGTTCGGACTTAAAAGTCATAGACCTGGTGTCACGCCATTACTCGGACTTTCCAAAGCGAAGTGACACAATCGAGCGTTCTCCAATGCGTGTTGTCTGTTATACAGACCTCGCTTGATCTAGCTGTAGATATATATTAAGCAACATAGCTAAGAAACTCTTAACTTCAACGGACCAACTAGCATAGGTTTACAACAACACTGAGTTCAGCTTGTGGGGAGTATTACATGTCACTGCACCGCTTGCCTGAAAGTCCGAACAGTGAACCCCTCATGTCGCATTACTTCGAGCTGACATTTAAATTCCGGTGCTAGTGTAGGTCCACAGTAGGTTTACGGCACAGCACTCAACAAAACGACAATAGGCGCCGGACGAAGCATGCTCATAGTTTGTAAACCCTGCACGGTCGAATCGTTGTCCGTAGAATTGACCAGTTTAAGTTTTGCTGTATTCGTCGATTTCAAACGAGAATACCAACACTCGTCTTGCAGCAATTGATTGATAGTCATGTATCTCCCTACACGTAGACTTGGCAAGAACGGCCCCGAGATTACGGCACTTGGTCTTGGACTGATGGGCTTGAGCGTTGGGTATGGGAAGCCCCGATCGGATCCTGAAAGACTGGCATTTTTGACCCATGCATACAAGCTGGGAGAAACTAGTTGGGACACTGGTAAGGGTCGTGTCTTTATACTTCAACATCAATGGATACGCTGACATCTTTTGATTGATTGTAGCCGATGTATACGGCGACAATGAAGACGTCTTGGGCAAATGGTTCGCCGCAAACCCCGAAAAGCGGTCCGACGTCTTCCTGGCGACCAAATTCGGCCTCAAATACACTGCTGAAGGCCTGGTGATCGACTCATCTCCGCAATATGTGAAACAAGCGCTCGAGTCCTCGCTGAAACGACTTGGAGTCCCCTCTGTGGACCTCTACTACTGCCACCGCCTCGATGGTAGGACACCGATTGAAAAGACAGTGCAAGCCTTGACCGAGCTAAAGCGTGATGGTAAGATCAATTACATCGGGCTCAGCGAGTGCAGCACTGAAACTCTTCGCCGTGCTTGCAAGGTCACTCACATCGACGCCGTACAGATCGAGTACTCGCCCTTTGCCCTCGATGCTGAGAAAGTGGGTCTATTCCAGGCCTGCATCGAGCTCGGCGTCGCTTTTGTTGCCTACGCGCCTCTCGGTCGCGGCATGCTAAGCGGCGCGTACAAGTCTCGCGACGATTTCGATGAAGATGATTACAGACGCCACACTCCAAGATTCAGCGAGGAGAACTTCCCCAAGAACTTGGTACTCGTGGAGAAGATAACGGACTTGGCGAAGGCCAAGGGTGTAACTCCGTCGCAGTTGACGTTGGCTTGGTTAATGGCTCAGGGCGACTACGTCATCCCCATTCCTGGCACGACCAAGGAAGTGAGGCTGGAAGAGAACCTTGGGGCATTGAAAATCAAAATCACGCCTGAGGAGATGAAATTGATAAGATCGACGACTGAGGCGGCAGAGATACACGGAGACCGTTATCCTAAAGATGCTATGGGTTCACTTTTCGCCAATACCCCGCCATTGTAGACAACCTGGTTATCACCATAGTCTATAGACACAGAACGTGTTTGGAGAATTTAAAATGTTGTCCAAAATCTCACTTCATTGAACTGATAGACTAAATTGTCACCTGTATATTACCAATGATTGAGCAGACAAACTTTGAGTATGATAAGTTGGAAAAGGAAAAAAGAATGATTAATAAAAGATATGTTTAACAGCGAGTCTAAACAACCACCTGTTATGGATCTACACGTCGCTCTTTGCTTCGCCGTCCTTCTTCCCGTGACTCTTGCCCTTCACCTTCCCACCCACCTTCGCGAACGCTCCAAAGAGCTTGCCGAACCCGAAGCTCCACCCCTTGATCCTTACGCTCCAGACAAAGAAGTATACCAGCGCCCAGTTACTGATACAAAACGCCAAAAAGATACCAAAATCCCTCCACTTTTCACTAGCCCTGATGTTCAGCGACGACAAGTAATCGTCTCCGGTCGAGTAAGGGCAGTACATGCATGAGGTGGTGTCGTTGGGGTTAAGTAAGTACCCCGGAGCTTGCGAGAGGAAATCTCCGGCGTAGCTTGAGCATGTCTGGCCTGGCGGAGCGTCAAACTGAGCGGTCTCGATGGACGCGCATTCCACAGGGATGTCATGTAAGGTGGCAGCAAGTACACCACCAATCCAGTACGTTGAAGGGTTGCTACTCGAGGTTAGTATCAGTCTCTGAAGGCTTTTCACAGACAAACTTACACGTAGTACATCCAGTAGCGCCAGAAGACAGGGAGAGTCGCGTATGGTCTGACGACGCCGTTGAACAACGAGAACATGACGAAGAAGAAGGGCAACACGTTGCTGATGACGGTAAAGGATGGCGCGAATGCGCAGATCCACTGGCCCCAGCTACTGATGAACAACCAGAAGAGCATGGTCATGAGGAACGTGTATCCAGCGGTTGAGCTGTCGGTTGGGAGGCCGGTTGGGAAGTACCATAGACACCAGTAGAGTACTGAGCTTACAATTGCACTGGGAATCTCGGCGACAACCTGAGCGGTGGTGAATGCTACCCAGCCGTAGATCCTAGATGGAAGTTCACGGGCCTGCCATAGGGCCATGTTCTGGTAGAACTTTGGAACGACAGCGTTGACGATTGTGGGCGGAATCAGGATGATCAAGAAAGAAGTGAACATCCTGTTTTGCATGTCGCCAATACTATTGCCGAGTTGATAGAACGTGAAGCCGTTGAAGATGCCGATGATGACAGCGGTGAACAATTTACCATAGACGTAAGAAGGGTCTCGCCAATGCTGGACAAATGTTCGTTTAGTAAGCATAGTAGTCTGAAGCCAAACAGGGGCAGCGAACTCAAACTCTTCTTCCGTACTGTTCTCGTCGGAGACCTTCTGGCTACGCTCGCTCTTCAGGCGGTCGATCTCTTCAAGCATTGCTTTGTTGTCATCCGATTTCTGCCATTCCTCATTCCAGTTAATTCGGCTTCCGTCCTTGCGCTTCACAGGTTTGGCAGCCGTCTCAAGAATGAACTCGGCAACGTTCTTGCTAGGTGGGCATTGAACACCTCGATCACCAAAGTATTTGATCACATCCTTACCATTTTCGCCAACTGGTCCGAAGTAGAATGTGTTACCACCGGGATTGAGGGCAAGGATCATGTCAAACTGCTGAATAAGAACACTGCTCGGTTGGTGTATGGTGCAGACAATAGCTTGACCCGCTGCTGCTAGCTTCTTCAAGAAGGTGACGATGGAATAAGCGGAGTTGCTGTCCAGGCCGCTGGTTGGCTCATCGAGGAACAGGAGTAGAGACGGCTTTGCGGCAAGTTCGACGCCGATCGTCACGCGCTTCTTCTGCTCGACGCCTAGGCTTGACACTAACGCATCTTGGACGTCATGAAGTTCCAGAAGATCGATGATTTTGTCGACGTATTCAAGCTTCTCTTTCCGCGGGATCTTGTTGTCTTGCCGGAGGATCGCAGAAAACTCGAAAGCTTCTCTTATAGTCGCCGTACCGTCGTGCAGATCCATTTGCTCGCAGAAACCTGTACCGCGCTGGAACGCCTTTCCAAGGTCTTTTCCATCAACAAGCATCTCGCCAGAGACCACACCGGTGTTTTGGCGCTGCGAAAGCGTATTCAAAAGGGTAGACTTTCCAGCGCCCGAAGCGCCAACCAATGCAATCATGACACCTGGCTTGGCGTAACCGTTGACTTTGTTCAGAAGTTTGCGCTCGCCGCCTTGGTAGGGAACAGTGTATTCAACGTCCTTCCACGTGAAGACACTGTCGCTGCTTGAGATTGACGACAAAGCCTCGTCCTCTTGGGCAGTGTTTCCAGACCCAGTTCCGGGCGTGGTTCCACTCGTTTCTCCAGCAATCACCTTCTCTTCATCCGTAGACTCTTCCTTGAGGGCTTTCTTACCGTTCTTTGACTTTTTGAACACTAAGGCTCCACCTCCCGACTTGGCGAATGAGAACACCTCTGTCGCGAAAATCGTGATAAGGAGATACAACACCGCAAATGCGATGACCACACCCCAGTTTCGCCACAAATGAGATCTTGTGTACTCGAAAGACGTCTGGATATAGGCAGCTCCATCAACAGTTGCCGTGTTGGGCTGACCACCAGTCAAGCTACAGCCTTGGTACTCTGGTTGAACGTTTGGTCCCTGCGGAACCAGCTGAGAAGGAGAGCATTCCATGACACGACCCGAGAACTCGTTGGAAAGAACCGCCTCGAATGAGTACGCAACAGGGTTTACATGGAAAAGCCATCCAAACCAAATGTACTTACCGAGGAGTTGTGGTTTCGGGATGACATAGCCAGTGAAGATGATGAGGATGTTGAGCGCAAGGCCTGCGAACCGTACCGCGTCATCGATCGTCGGAGACAACGAAGCAAACATTCGATAAAGCGATGTGATACAGAATGTGGTTGTATAGATGAACAGGAAGTAGATGAAGAACTTCCCAGCGTCTAGATCGAGGCCAGTCATGAAGTACATGATTATCGCTAGGACTTTGTCAGCCAAATCTCATGCAAGAAACGCTTGAATTACTCACAGAAGGGTATCACTTGCGCCAGAAGCAGTGGGATATCTTGCACCACTCTCGCAAGGCTGACAGCACTTGGCCGATAGAATGCGTAATCGTTATGTCTCTTGACGACCTCCCTACCCGAAACAGCCTTCATAAGCTCGGAGAGCTGGAGCCAACCCAGGAACAGAATGGAGAAGAATGCTGAACCTCCTCTCGTGAAGGCTCCCGATGTGTCGAGAGGCTGGCCATAAAACAAAGACCCCACAATCAGACCGTTCGAGATGATGATGAAGAACTTGGTATAGAGTGTAGTCTTGTCACCCCACGTCAGCCAAAATTCTCGTTTTGTGCACGCCAGGACTTGGCGAATAAAAGAGACAGTAAACGGCGACTTCTTCGACACCGTCTTGCTCTTGCCCTCGTGGACGGCGCCTTTGAAATCTTTCGCGTCACTGTAGTCAGACCTCTTTAGCTCATCCTCATACTGGCTGATATTTCTGATAACCGTCTTGTAAGCTTCCGATCCCCTGAAAGCCTTCTGCAGGTCTTCGGGTGTCTTCGGGGCTCGGTCTTCAAAGCCTTCGCGGAATTGTCTCTCGGTCGGATCGGTTACGGCGGTCAGAAAGTCTGCAGTTGTCTGTCGGTCAGGACAATAGAATCCTAGATCGAGAAAGTATTGCTTAGCCGCTTTCGCAGGGCCTTCGTAAATGCAGCGTCCTTGGTCGATAACCATGACTTTGTCCATCACCTCGTATATCCCCTCACCTGCTTGATACAGGGTGACAAAGGTTGTTCGGTTACTGATGTCAGTCATGATGCGAAGAGACTTGGCGTAGTCAAGGGCAGTAGAGGCATCGAGACCTCGTGTACTGTTATCCCAGCAGACAACTGTCGAACTTTTAGTACTACGCTGTTCGCAAAAACGTTCGAAACGTACCTGTTGATTTGGACGCAAGTGTTTCAGCGATCGACACACGCTTTCTCTCTCCGCCACTAACACCCCTAACATATTCATCGCCGACTGGGGTGTACTTCGTGTGCTGAATGCCAAACATCCTCAACAACGCGTCAAGGACAATCGGTATTTCCCCTTTTTTGTGCTTTCGGGTCTTGTTGGTTAACGCAAAAGACAAGGTCTGCCAGACGTTGAGATTCGCAAAGTGTACATCGTCTTCTTCGTTGTAATTGACTTCGCCACGAAACTGCTTCTTCTGCTTCCCAGCCGGAATACCGCCATATGAAACATCTCCTTCCACTGATGCATAGCTTTCCCGGCTATTCGATATGGCTTTCAGGAAGGTTGAGCATCCTGATCCTGGCCGTCCCAGAACCAGCATCATCTCGCCGTCTTTGAGCAGACCGGAAAAGTCGTTGATGAGAGTCCGAGTTTGTTGATGCCGTCCGAACCGCAACGCGGGAATAAAACGCGTGATGAGGCGATAAAGATCGGGGCCGAATGTGCCTATAATTGCGTCGGGGACTGTTTTGGCGAAAGTTGCTGTTGATCCGGCACCCTTCACGGTGAGCCCTTTGTACACAACACCTACTCTCTTTGCCGATTTGCCATCCTGCCTCTTCTCAAAGTAGCCTTCTTTCATAAACTCGCCAAGCTCAAAATCGTCTTCGTTTTCCGCAGTCGCACCGCCTTCACCTTCCTTCTCTTCATCTGCAACGGTCGCGTCGTTGCTGTGCGCTTGTGCAACCGAGCTCCGACGTCGCGTACCATGGCTATGACGCGTGGACTTTCTGCTGAGCGTCCCGAAAAGCCCGTCTTGTCGTTCCGAATGCTCCGTATGTGATCGCGCCCTAGACAGTGTTGTAAGTTCTTCTCGTAGTACGTGAAGATCTTCCGCTGCTGTGCGAGAGTCAAATCGGCCAGCGTCGGATTCGCCCCAAGTCCCCGTCCTGCCAGTATCTTCAGGGCTGTCGCTGCTCTCATCCGCACTTGTTCGCTCTACCCGTTCTCTTCCGTCTTGAAGATACTCGGCCTCATTGTGCCATGGATTCCGCCTGTCGTCCTGGTCGCGCGCATTTTGGAGGCTGGAACCCCACAACATTATGAATTACGAGCCTAGAGGCCGAAGTCGTTGAAGATGAGTGCAGTACGTAATTGGGACAATTACTCAACGAATGATGGCAGAAGAAAGTGGTTCGAAATGCGCAAAGCCCGGTATCGAACAACGGTGAAGGACAACTCTCTCTCGAAAAAGGCTCCGAAACCAATCTAAGAGACAACGGCCCTAACTATCGATTTCGTCATGCTGCAAAGCGATAAGCTAGCCGGACTCAACGCCTAGTACACTTGAGTAGGTGCACGTCACCGCTACTAAATTATTTTTTGTTGAGTACGATATCTATTACCAATCACGCTACCCACTTTAGGGGTTCAGCCTGTGTAAATGGGGTATTGTTCCTGCATATCATTACCGCAATGCAGCACGGTATGAGTCAAGCTATGTGCAAGCAGAGAACAAATCTGACACAAGAGATCTTCACGCTTAACTCCGGCCAAGATCCATACCCTTTGATTGGCCCGTCGCGTGGTGGCGTCTATCTTGTCAGTTATCACGGAGATAAGCTCGCGTATGCGGATATGAGAGAGGAGTTTTCTGCGGACATAATTAAGTCGTGCTTACGCAGATTTTGTCTCATATCGAGGCATTTTCAGGATGGCACGCAATCTGCTCTGCAACTGAGTCTTTCGCGCTTCCACTTAGACGCTTGGAAAATACTGCCGTCTTTCGTTTCCTCAAGATGTCAGATCCGTGGCGAAGTCGATTGGCAAAATGGCTTAAACCATGTTGTGAAAGCGCGATCTCGCAGCTGAGATGGGTTTTTTGTATTCAAAGTCAAAACTACATATCTCTTATCATCGAGTCCAGTTATGACCATGTTTGAGATACTCACACTCTTTGAGTTCGGGGACCCCAGTATATACTCGTAAACCAATGCAAGCAAGACTTCTCCGGGTAAGGTTCGTGACATTATCGTTATTTCTTCATACTTTGACATGGAAGAAAGTATTAAAGCAATAGAACAGCATGCGAACAACTTGAGGTTTTTAGTATGCCCAAGTAATCCTGTAAAGCAAATGCTTACTTCATAGGAATATATACCTTTGTGTTATTCCGGAGTGTGTCGAAAGAACGACTTGCAAACTATACACGAGGTACGCGTTTTGGTACTTTTCCGCGAACTAATCGATCCAGATAGATAAACCACGCAAAACACAACATAGGTATCTTCTTCGAGCTTCTCTTAGTCAAAACCATCCGTAGCTCCATGTACAATGTTTGTGTGAACGCTGGAGAGAAAGTGGCATGTTTTATGTTCGCTTCTAGAACCTATTTGGTTCTTCTTGTGTTGATACCGTGCCAGCTCCAGATTAGGTATGCTTCTAGACGGATAGAGAATCATTGCAGCCGCATTTCTTGGTGATCTTATTTCCAGATTTCAGATCGGGTAAGCGAGTCACGTAGTTACCGTTATTCGGTTCGACGGCTGCGCTTCGGTAGCGAACCGCTGCCTACTCACATGGGACATGTCACCAAGAGCCTTGGTGGATACCCTGCCGAGGGTAACGACTTGAGGCGATTTCAGGACAGTCGCTGAGGTGTAGTCTGTGCTAGAATAAAGGCTGGTGATGTGCTTGCCTCTATGCCCATGGAGGCATCATTACTTTTTCCTCCGGACTGTGATATATTGTCGTGGCACGAATGCGACACCCGCCGACTCTTCTCCAACGCTGTTCATTACATCGATCGTTGTGACCACACTTCTTGATTGTTCAAGATCGTTGCTACTTACAGCTACCAGCCTCGTGCACCCCATACTTGTCCTGTTATATATGTCACATATCGCAGACTTATGTGCGCAAATCAGAAACGAGGGGAAGAACATCGTGAAGAGGAGGGCATCAAGACGCTTTAAGGGGATGCATCAATGTTCGTGGCCAGTGCTCTCCTATCGGTGCATCTCTCCCGAACCAGGAAAAATTAGGATTGTTGAAGATGGTGGGGTGATCCGGGCGGGTGTCCCCGCACTTAGCACCGCATAATGTCATCCTTCTTGACAACATGCGACGAGAGCGGGAAACTGAGGTACAACAGCCTAGAACCCACGTTTTAGGGAATTATCATGCTTTTTCTCGTCAAATGGTCTTGTTCCCCAGAGTGTAAAGTCGAAGTCAATCCAAATCAGCACATTTCACGAGCTGGAAGATACACGATACTTCTCATTCTACATACATAGCGGGGTGGTGAAGATCAAATGAGCACTCTGTTACGATGTGTGGATCTCGCGATCCCGCGCATGGTTCATAATACTGCATAACTCTATTCTTGCTGCATCTTCACTGCCACGTTTGATTGCTCGCCTATGATGGATTAGTTGGTACTCTTTGCAGAGGAGAAAAACACGTACCTCCTAGAAGATCCGCAAAGACTTGACCGTCTTCCGATATCAGACAGGCATCTGGAGAGGTTATTTCGTAAGATCACAAGCAATACAGAAGTTATTGTTTTGTAGACATACTGGCAAACTTGAGCTGGTATGCATCCCCGTCCTGGTGGGCAGTAACACGCTGGATCCGCTTTTCATTATCCGCGCCCGCTTTGAACCATGAGACTTTCTTTGGAAGCATGCTCCGATCCTCGACCAACGACCGCCCAAGAACCCAATCGCCACATTGGAGGCGGCCATCTTTGAGCTCGAAAACAGCCGCTTCGGGTCCGGTCTTTGCTTGAATTTGGTCTTCACCGTTGTCTTCAACCTTGGCAATGGACACTCCGTTGACCTCCACCGTGAAGGAAGAGCTGAGACTGTCCATATTCCTGATGTGGGCAAAGGTGGGTGAGAGCTGGAACCAAGCAAATCCGAATATCCACAAAAGGGTGAAGTAATCCTTGAGAGTAGTTAGCATTCGCGGAAACGTGTGATACGTGTCCTAGAGAGCTGGATGCACTTGACTTGTACGGGTAGCCAGGGCAGGTAACGCTGAGTGTAGTTGTTCACTGAGTGACACTGAAAAGCAAAGCGCGCGCGTGCAGGCGATTTCGGTCGTACCGCAGACCGAGAAGTCTTGACACCTGCCTACATCAGTAACGTCCTAGCGCTGGGACTAGCGTGGGAGGCAACAAATGCCAACAAGTCGTTGAGAGCTTGTATTGGAGCGGGGTAGATGCCAAGGTTCGACTTGGCGGGTTTCTTCCGACTGCCTATTTGGGACCATTTAACGTCGCGTCAAACGTACTAGAGCACCTAGCTCTGCATCCCTACGAATGTTGATCGAGCTTGAAATTAATATCAGCATGGTATAGTCCTGCCAAGAACCAGTATAATCTACAGGCAGTGTTTACTTACTTCTTTGTAGCAGGTCAGATCGTATCCATATCTACACTCACACGTACTTGTCAGTTCAAACATCTTATCACCTCTCGTAGCGCGCGATGTTTGTGACTAGGATACGAGTTCCCTGTCCGAGGTTGCATCTCGTGAGCCTCACGAGGTTTGCTCAGGAGACACGCGTCTATACGTTGGGACGCTTTCCATATGTTGCACACATACTGCACAGACGTATTTCGCGAAAGTTGATGAACGCTACATACAACACGAAGTGTTTTGTGTGATAGCTCTAGGTGAGTGAAGTTCTCGCTTGAGAAAATAATAACAGGGCAAAGAACTAGCTGACTAGAGCAGGAGTGAATAGGTAGTCCAGGGAGGAAGATAAGCTGCCAAATCAGCTTCCTCTTTCGCCTTTGGAGTAAGGTGATTGGAAAGCGTTTAGATTACCATTGCCTTAGTACATCTGATAACAGGTTCACATCGTCGGAAATGTAGTCCATTGCGTCTCCGCCGGTTGTTTGATGAACCGAATCAAGGTGGTCAGTTGATGGCGCTGGTCCGGTCGTTATGGAGCTTTCCGAAATACAGGACAGGAAGGTGATAGTTTATCAAATACTCCCGAGTAGGAGAGTCTGCTTTTCTATAAGTATGGAGTGAACAGCCTCCCTTCAAAAAACCATCCACTCACTGATCTTCGCTTCCATACTTGCAACTCTCGCTCCCCGGCAGCCTCATCCTCTCAACCAATCATGTTGGACATCAAGTCACTCATCGTCGCACTTGCGATTCCCGCTCTTTGCACCGCTGCAGCCCTGCCCCAGGAATTCCCTGTGGACGATGGTGACTCCATCGTTGGCGGAACAGCCGCTGCTGCGGGCGAGTTCCCATTCATTGTCAGCCTCGCCAGGAGCGGCTCTCACTTCTGCGGAGGCACTCTGATCAACGCCAACACTGTCCTCACCGCTGGTCACTGCGCTGTTGGCCAAACCGCCTCATCTCTCACTGTCCGCGCCGGAAGCTTGGTAAGTCGCTGATGTCCTTTCATGCTTGATTCTAGCTGTAGTGCTCAAGAGTGGCATATGGTGGAATGAACAAAGGCCTGGGGCTAACTATCATGTAGAGCAGGACCTCCGGAGGAACCGTCGTCAGGGTTTCATCCATCGTTGTCAACCCCAGCTTCTCGAGCTCCACCTTGGACAGCGACGTTGCTCTCTACCGTCTTGCGACTCCCATTGCGGCCAGCTCGACCATTGCATACGCAACCCTGGCAGCAGCAGGCTCAGACCCCGCATCTGGCTCTTCCGCTACGGTAGCAGGCTGGTACGTATAGTCATGTTATAGCTCTCAGCAGAAAAGAAAACTAACCAATAAACCAGGGGAACTTTGAGCTCCGGTGGATCAACCCTCCCAGCCAACCTTCAGAAGGTTACTGTCCCAATCGTCTCGCGCACAACATGCCGCAACAACTACAGCGTGTCTGAGATCACCACCAACATGATCTGTGCCGGTGTCGCTACAGGTGGCAAGGACTCCTGCCAGGGAGATAGCGGAGGTCCTCTCGTCGACGCTTCCAAGACCCTGATCGGTGTTGTTTCATGGGGTGAGGGTTGCGCTGCCGCTGGAAAGCCCGGTGTGTACTCCAGGGTCGGTTCCCTCCGCTCTTGGATCGTGGCCAACGCTTAGAGAAACCTTTCATGTTTCTTATATAGCTTGCATGAGAGAGAGGTGCCCACTAAATCTTTGGTATTCACTAGGATCTAGTGTGGGGGGAGAGCTGCAAGTATCGTGTTGGATTTATCATATGATTAGGTTATTGGCTTAGAAGATCTTCAAGGCATTCTGTAGAGCATTTGAACTTCTTCAGCTTTAGTCAGTAGCACGTAGTCAGTCTTTACCAGAAATTTCACAATTTCTTTATGAAATATGAAGCTTCGATTTCATGGATTGTGACGTGACGCTCAAAAACTTGAGGAAGGTATAAATAACCAGAATAACTACAAACCTTAAGATAAGTTGTTTGCCACATGTAAATGTAATCGCTTCAATACTGCAGGCTGTAGAAGAGAACTGCAAGTGATGGAAGTAACATAATGAAAAATGTAAAGGACTATCCATTCTCACATCAAATCGAGAGATGGTTAATTTTTGCCACCACAGATGAGCAAGTTGATCGATCATGATATGACGTGCCGATTTTGTGGCTGCCGCATTTCAGAGATACTTGATCAAGGCTATGCAATGCCATATTCCATGATGTTCCGTAACCCTGACCTTTTACCATTTGACTCTCCAGTCCGATCCCTTCATGCGCCATCTGACCCAAACGAAACATAACAAAGCGACCACATAGCAAAGCCCAGTGAAAACAGCAACACCCCAATATTTTGCTTTTCCTGGAGCTTCTACCGCGTCGAGTAAGCCTCCAGCAATGGGTGTACTTATCAAAACGCCAAAAGATACCACTGTGTAGCAGGTCGCGTAGTACCTCCCATACTCTTGAGTTTCGCAAAGTTGACCGAGGCAGACTGGTAACAAACTGACGTTGGAACCGCTGACAAACCCAAACATCAGTACAAAGACCATCAGAAGCCCAGTGTTGGGGAGATCCGAGATGAGAATATCTGGCAACCAAAAACAGAGAGCTGACACCGCACAGAAGAACAACGATACAATCATGGTGTTGTATCGACCCAACCGATCGGCTACAACTCCAGCCACCAAACGTCCGAGGCAGGAAGCAGAGTTCAGGATGGCGAGCAACTGATATGCGAATGCTGCTTCGCCTGTCAAGGCCGCATTGGAAGGCAGGTTTTGTCGTGCAATATAGTAGCTCGGAACGTACGTGACAGGGATGAAGTATGCCAGATCCGTGAGAACGACTCCAGCAGTGGTCACCGCCATTGCTCCCGTACCGTCAAAAAAGATCCTAGAGCTAGGTAACGTATCTCTCCATGTAGTTGCGGTTCCATTACGTGGGGGCACCCTGCTCCGACAAAGAGCAACGCTGATACCGCAAAGTAAGAACAAGATCAGGCCGAGGACACGGATTGACCAAGCCCACCCAATTTGGGGGAGGAGTGATTGCAGGATTAGTGGGAACAGCACACCTCCGAAGCTGCCTCCGATGAATGCTACGCCGCTAGCGAGACCGCGGCGCTCACTAAACCAATGAGCCACGGAGCCGTTTGCTGGGTTGACGAGAAGAGACGTGCCAATGCCCGTCAATATAGAAAACGCCAAAACGATTTGGTAATACTCTGTCTCAAGATCAGCCATGACCCAAGCCTCGCAGTCACTAGTCAACATGATGTCAACAAGACCACGAGCAGCACATGTTGTGCTATGTGAAACCTTGTACGAGGGTGCGTCTCACCTGTACATGCGCTGAGCGCAAAAATGCCGCCGAGCGTACAGACACTTCCTGCCGCCATCAGTGCGGTCGGGCCCATAGCATCGAAGGTCGGGCCAATTTGTACTCCGAAGAACCATGTCACGAAAGCGTAGATCCCAAATATCCATCCCACACTGGATTTGGACTCGTTTGGAAGAAGTTCCCCTGACATGAAGGCTTCAAATATTCCAGATGAGTTGTATATCCCAATCGATGCGCATATGCCGCAGAAAGCACCGAAGACTACCGACCATGCTGCACGACCACCCTCCGGGTATGTGGTTTCCGCGGCGGTCAGTGTCTCATCTGCTGTTCCGTTTTGCGACGATGAACGTTGGACAGAGGGAGGACGGCTCTTCTCGTCGGGAACCTCTTCTTTGTTACGCAAGTGCACATCGTCCGTCTGTAACGCACTTTGCCCGGAACTCGTCGCCATGGTAGCCTGTTGCTGAGGTCAGGATATTTGTAGAAAAAGTTCGAAACTCGCCTTTACTTGGTGTGGTCAACGTACTGCACAACTCGGGAACACGCGCAAAGGTACAAGCGCTTAGCAAAGTTCGTTCAATGGTTTGTAAAGTCTGTTTACTTTCAGTTGGAGATATTGAGTGAACGAATCATTTCCCAAAAAGAAAAGAATTGAAGTGAACGGTGAATAGTCGCCGATTGCTGACAAAGGAACCTGTGCCGCATGTGTTAATCCCTAATGACGACATTGGACTACCAAACGTGCTCTCGATATGACCTATCACCGTTTGCGCTCGGGTACAAGGGGGACTGGACTGAAATACTGAAATCTTGTGTGGAGATAACCTGGAGAGACGTGGGGCCTAAACTTTCGAATGTCGCAATTGCACTCGATACGGTTCTCAATATACAAGGTGCGTGAGGGATCGCCCAGGTCAAGGAGGTGAGATATGCGGCTATTATCAATCACCCACATAGGTATTAGCTAACACCCACGTGATTTGTTTCTTTGTGTACTCAGAAACCAATCGTTTCTAAGCTAATCATCTTGGACCAATTTTTCGAGAGTCGACGTTTCTAGATTTTGCGATTCTGTCTTAAAAACTCAATATCCTGCCTGTCATAACAAGCAGATGATGTGAGAGAAATAGAGATCTTTCCTTGATTGGGAATATGCCAAGCATCTAGATCCAGCGGGTAGCCGGTGATCAGTTCCGGTGAGATGTATTTCTCACATCAGCGTTCGTTGGTGTGCGCCTTGCGGGCCTTCCCGCATGGATCGGCCCACCGTGTTTCAATGTGGTGCTGATGTCCGCCTGAAACGGGAAAGAAATCATCGTAGTTGACACAAGTAAACATGTCAAGACGATTGGAAGCTGTCATCACAATGCCCAATAATCTTTTGCTCTCGTGGTTACCTGGTTCTTACTGGCCTGCTCAAAGGAAAACACCAAAAACTGCGCTTCGCTCAAGAGGAAAGTGTGGGGAAGCCTGGACTCGTAGCTTCTGATCCTAGGCAACAAGCAGCACCAATGCAGTCACGTATTGTATTCATATGTTTGCGCAAATCTTGTCAAAAGAACTAAAACAAGCATCCAATTCGATGGGTTTTACCAATCTACGTAGATCCGATCCTGGGACAATTACGCATCCCTCTCCCATTCGGCACTCGCTGCAATAGGATAGCCTTGCCTCGTGTTCGCTAAGCAGTGCTGTTCTTCTCCAAAATGACCAGTGTTGCTTTGTCCCCGCGCCCCTTCACATAGTCTTCGAGCTCCATGCTAACGACCCTGATTAGATCCTCCGCTTCCAGTTTCTCGACTTCCGCTTTGAATCCTCCTGATACCCATAGCTCGTCAATGATGGTTGCAACAATGAGACCGCCTCTCTTGGCAACCCTGACAAACTCCCTCAATGCAGGGTCAGGGCCGACGTGGCCATGTGTAAAGGTACCGACGCACATGACAATGTCATAGAAATCTTCTAGCGCATCGATCGGCTGGGTCAGATCTCCAACAGTGAGATTCTGATATGCGCCAGTCTTTTCCGCCACCTTCAGCATGTGCGGAGATAGATCGACGCCATCGATGATGGTTGCGCCACCCCGCGAGAGAGCTTGTCCCACGAGCCCGGTTCCACAACCGGCATCCAAGATTACAGCCTTGGCGGGGTTGTCTGAACCAAAGCGAAGAGCAGCTTGGGCAGCGAGGACCGGAGCGACGTAGTTACCGGTCGACTCGGCAAGGTCGTCGTTGTAGGTGGAAGCCCATTTTTCGTAAATTGACATGCATTGTTTGCTGTCGACGCTCGCGCGGGCTTGGGAAAGCTGGGTGGCTCTTGACATAGTATTTGAAGTAATGCTTCCAGGACTCTGAGTAGATTTAGGAACAAAGATAGAGAGACGGAATCGCTGTGCTGTGTTCATCAAAGTGGAGTATCATACGCCTTTATATAAGCTTCTGTTCCCACATGTAGTCCGAGTTAAAACGCAAGATTTTACAGATATGATACAAGAGCCTACGCAGGTATGTCAGCAAGCAGTTCGCATGTCAGCTTATCTCATACCCTCAGCTGTAGTAGAGCCGTGTTGAGAGTGGTATTTTCTTTGAGTTTCTCTGTCAACACACGGATGGTCAAATCCGAGCATGAGCGGCTTACAGCTAATCACACGGCGCGGGACGATCCTAGTCTATCCCGCTCCCGGCTCGGCGCCTAGCGTCTATCCTATGCAGTCATCAAGTATGACAGAAGACCTCCCTCCATACAGACCACAGTATCGTTTGGATCTCCTCTTGAACGGGAACAACCTCGACCCTAGTGCTGATCATAGGGCTGACTGTAATTGGCAATACAACCAATCTTCTTATCAGCTGCAAACCTCTTCAACTCTCTGGGTTGCACCGAACCATAATCCCATCTGGGAAATGAACTGCAATCGAGATGTTTCGGCTTCATCACGTATATGCAGAAGACTGGGTTGACGAGTTGACGAGCTTCATGATCGAGATCGTCGTGGAATGCTTATCCCCGTCAAAATCTATGCTCAGTAATTGCGGATGCGGTATGTTGTCACAAGGTACCCCAAGCTTGCGAGAAATATGCAGAGCTTACATGGTCAGACGAGGATGCGTATTTCCACTCGACAAATCCCAATGAGCTGCCTTCGTTCTGCGATTTCCGGTCACTAAGCAGTACACACGATTATCAAGCGGTGATCATCTGCCATATCAGATCTCCGGTGTCAAGAGATCTAACGAACGCATTCAAGTAGAAGAATTTCGTTGTCATAGCTTCAGTTACGTGTTTCTACTCGGTGACATTTAATGCATTACAAAAGCGAATCTCTTGTGAATGTTGGTAGCTTCAAACTTGTCGTTGCCAGGAACTACGGTCTCTTGAATCGAGGAAAATGGAAAGTCCTCAATCGGGTCGTACTACAGCCACATGCGGGGATAGCATTAGTTTAGCATGAAACAAAGGCTTCTGCAGAGCTGACAGCTAAGCTTTATGTACTACACAGAGGACTATAAACAAGGCATTAGTAGTGAAGATCTATCTGCAGCACCTTTGTTGAAGCATATCAAGGGTACAGAACGACTACAGGGTTCTAGTAAGCGTTATATTCGGAGTCAGATCTGGCGCTGTATCCCCAACTGGTGTTCCCCCGCTTCCCGGCTTTCTGTCTCGACACCAGTTACAACACGGGAGAGTTGGACAACTCGTGAACTTACCTAGATATGGTCAAGATATGCTGACTGACAACCAAATCAATCAGGCTGGACGTACAATAACACATCACAGATACAACATCTAATCACTCTACACATTTCAGCAACGATCTTCGCCAGCCCGTGTCCTTCGCCCATGTATGTTACCACCACATAAGCCGGACACAACAGCAATCGTCGACCTTTCAGTCAGCGTTATAGTGAGACAGCTACTTCACCGGATTCTCGGGTAGATACTCGTTGGGGAAGGTGTCTTGCTGATGCATAAGGATCTTCGCACAACATGCATAGATTCTACAAGCATGGACTCACATTGCGTACGCGGACTTGCAGAAAAATGATGCAGTTGACTGAGAGACATATGTCATGTGTAGGCGATAGAATCCATGAAGTATGTTGAAACACATGACGTGACGAAAAGTTACGACTTATAAAGTCAGAACGATTCACTTGAATTTTGAGAATGCGCATCAAGTTATCAGTAACACTGCCATATCTGCTTTAATTTACTAGAATCTCAAATTCAAGAATCGCACGATTCGAACTGAGTACGTATGTTTGATATTTCACCACCCTCACAAGGCTGATCATGTATTTGCAGCACGCGAAAATGGCCGCAATCCTCACACTAGACTACAGCCACTTCACCTCAGGCACCAAAGAGCAGCGTCAAAAGTTCATCCAGCAACTTCTGGAGAGTTTTACGACCACGGGGTTTGTTAAGATCATCAACCATGGCTTCGATGAACAGCAATTGAAAGAAGTGTTTGGATGGGTAAGGCTACACGCAAAACGTGCTGTACCTACAGATTGCTGATGCTACCCTGCAAAGACCCAAACGTTCTTCGCCCAACCACTTGAGGTGAAGAACGAAATCCAGAACAACACAAACCCTCATCGCGGATACACAGCGTACGGAGTCGAGGCTGTCGCGCAGCTTTCTCAGGATGAGAAGATCCGGGCTATGAAGGACTCGAAGGTTTGTCTGATACGGACTCTTTCGAGGAATATCCGAACGTGCGGCTAACCATGTGTCTTAGGAGCACTTTGATCAAGGTCCTAGATACGATAAAGAGTATCCAAATCAATGGCCCAAAGAACTACCAGGATTCCAAGCGTTCATGGATGCCTTCTACGAGAAATGCGACAAAGTTTGCCTGGAGCTCATCGACGCCCTAGAAGTCGGCTTAGGCATTGATGACAAGTCCATCACGAAACGCTGCATACCCAGCGCGACAGACCTCAGACTGACTCATTACCCTCCGATTCCCGTAGAAGAGTTGAAGTCTGGGAGGCGGATCCGCATCGCTCCTCACGTAGACTTTGGTGTCATCTCGCTGCTGTTCCAAGACGGTGTTGGAGGACTGGAAGCCGAAGACCGAACTAGTCCTGAAGCTGACTCCTTCCTTCCCATCATGCCGTCCGACAACACGGAAATGATAGTTAATCTTGGTGCTACGATGCAACGTTGGACCAATGATAAGCTTTTCGGTGGTCTGCACAGAGTTACCGTTCCGCCATCAATGAAAGACAGTAGCGACTCCATCATTCCAGCAAGGCTGTCAGTGGCGTATCTATTCAAGGCGGAACGTAGTGTCTCGGTTGGTCCCCTGCCAGCGTTTGTGAGCGAGAAGGAGCCCGCACATTACCCTGAGATGAATGCTCTTGAGTACCACCAATGGCGCAACAATGCCATATACTAGGTTGGGTGGTCGTTGAATTTTGACTTGTTCAGCGCATTCATATCCACGAGTCAACTCAGAAGTAGCTGTGTATCAGTGCAATAAAACATGTCATAACACACTTAATTTCTCATGCCAATCACTTGTGAAACAAGACTTGAAGTATGAACAGGAATTTTGGATTTTAAGTGCTCTGTTCTGAAAAGTATATACAATAACAGTCACTCTGGCAGAGAGAACAACCCGATCAAAATACCTTGTACTCAACAAGCCTGACCTTCTGTCCGGCCTTCGGAGTGAAGACAATTCGCGTCTTACTTACTGTTGCCGACGTCCAGCTCGCGGCCGTGATACCATTGGCCACTGCGGTCGCATACTTTGCTCCAGAAGCATCGACCCACGAGCCATTAACGTTGGATTGTATGCGGTACTTTGACGGAACATCGAACCCTTGACTCGAGTCGACGAAGAAGGCGAGCTCAGCACTAGCAATCGTCGTGTTCGCACCAAAGTCAATTTGATACCATAGTTCAGTACCATTTCCAGCTGGCGTGCTCCATCCGTTGGCAACCTCAGTCTGGGGGAAAAACCAGATGCGACCGTCGATGGTACCGTATAGGGATCGTACGTCGACATTGGGTTCGGAGGCGCTACCTTTAGGGAATGCAGTGCTATCGCTCAGCTGGATGGATTTCGCAATTCGGCGAGTGATGGCCGGAGGGGCGACGCGAGACACAGAGACTTGAAGGCGACTTAGTGTCGCAGACGAAGCCACTTGGTTGCCATCGACGAAAACCTTGAGTCCAGCGGAGCCGTAACGCGAGCCAGTTGCGTCCCATTGCACGGCGATTTCGTGTCCGTGGTACAGGATACGGTCAGCACGGAAGTAAGAGATGGAGGATGCGCTTGCAGCAGGATTGACCTCGAGGATATCTTTCGCACTGGGGCGAATACCCACGAGACCATTGAGGACGAGATCCACGTAGCCAGAATGGAAATAATGAAGCGAGCGTTTGAGACCAACGATAGGTGCTCCGGTGTCTGGGTAATAATCCTCCTCGAGATCCAAGATACCGCCGCGATTAGGGTTGTAGTGAAGTAGAGCGTACTGCTTGAGAAGACGCGTATAATCTGCAGTGGTAATCACACCAGTGGCTGCACCTTTGCTGTAGTGATCAAGGAAGTTCGCAAGTCCGGTGAGCACCTGCGTAGTCTGGAATGGCCACACTGGCCCGTTCCACTGACATTCGGGTGATGTTCCCTCATACCGGTATTGACGCATGTAATACTGGTAGCTAGGCTCAACGGTGCGCAGTCCATGAGGGCCAGCAAGCTGACTGGTGTCAAGAATGTGCTTCCAGGCTTGCGCATAATTAGTCGCATCGTCTGGCAAGTCATGCGTCCAGGGCACGTAGCCGACGAGTTCGCGGCCCCGAATGAAGGTCCAGTACTTTACGTAATCGTTGTCGACTTGGTAGCGGTCTATGAAGTGCGAGAAGGTTGAGTTCCAGAGCGACTCTTGCACTCGTGTCTTGAGTGCCGCTGCTTTCGAGTCGAATGATGTGACAACGCTGGCCAACCCACCCTTCAATCCTGCCAGGCTCGAGATGGCTTTTGCGTTGGCGTATTGGAAGCTGTTGATACTCGGTCGGAAAGCAAGGCCCCCGAAGAAGCCATCGACACCGTTCGATGCGTCGATACTGGAGATAGTGTACTCGGTTGCATCGCGGATAGGTTCGACGTAATAAAGGCTCTTTGACGTATCGTACGCATCCACCCACGCATTGAATACAGACTGCATGGCATCGAGTCGGGATACGGCGTCTGACGCAACGCCATCGACCAGATATCCCTGCCAGACGGATGTGGCCATACTCTCAGAGAACTGGCGGGTATTGCTCTTGGAGCTGTACATGAAAGTTGCATAGTCCTCCTTGAAGCGTCGATCGCGTAGCCAACGCCCTTCAAGGAGGTGAAATCCGGTTGCATCGTTCAAGGACGCATAAGGTGCGGTCTGCCAGCCAACATCGTCAAGGAATTCCGTCGAGATGAAGCCATCAGCACCCAAATCGCGCTGGTGGGCTCTGAAGACTTTCCAGCGGTAGTAGTAGACGTCGGTGATGTCTTTGTCACTAGATTCGAAGAAGGGGATACGATTACGGTACCATGGCGCGTCGTTACCGAAATATTGCGTCGCTAGTGCATCTGCATCGAGAAGAGCGTGTGCTTGACCCAAAAGGGAGGTTGAGAGGAGAACCAATGCATTGGAGCGCCTCATGATTGGAAGGATCTTGGCTATCGTGAGATGCCAGATGTGTCGATGAAGCTTCACAGCTCAATGCATGCGACAGCAGACTTATATAGTGATTTGCATATTACCCGTTAGACCGTAGGATTTACGGTAGCGGCGAACCAGCCAGATCCTATACAGCATTGACATTATGATCTAACAATACTATGTTTGACGTAGATCCTAGCAAACATAGAATATACTGGGGGACGACATAGCAAGGTGACATCGCTCGGTCCGCGCTCACCCATCTCCGAACGAGCCTTCCTTATTCGGGAAGGCCACGCGGGGATCGTATCGCGTTCATTTCTGATCCCCAGCCTTTCTCCGCACCGCAGGAATATTTCCCCAGATTCTCGTTTTCGCAATGCGCATGGGCCTGCTGGTCCAGCGACTGGTTATACAGTTGGAGAATACCTCTCAGATTGACGCGTCGTGTCCACGCATCTCTTCATTTGTATCGCCCAACTTATCTTTCCGAATTGCTGGCTCTAAAACCTCCTTGATCCTAGTAGCTTCTGTGCAAATGCCGTGATTTTTGCCTTTATTCTCGACGAGCAAGTCCGTCCGGATCGCCTCCAGGATCTATTGCGCTGGTCAGGCTCGCCAAATCCGCTTTGACCGACTCCTTGGTTTGCACAGGCCCTCGTGACAAGACGGATTATTTCTATTTTCGACGTTGACGATCGTTCTCGTATTAGTCCCTGGACATAGACTCCAACTGCTTTAGTAAACCAACATCACAGGCACTCTCCAACCACGTCTCCAGAAGCAATAGCCTGCGAAACATGGCCTTGATTTTGACCGCCGTAGTTTTGGAGCACACGAGCTTGGCCTGATATTGAAGATGGGAATTAACAACTTGACGTAACGACGCCATACAAAGACCGTCATTTTCGATTCACGCAACTACAATGCCGCCTTGGGTCCTCGGCCATTCTCAGGGCATAGTAATCGTTATATTCAACGAAAGGTTGTAGGATATTGGACAGTGTGGAAACTGTGGTCACTTAATCCAACCCACCAAGCCTGTTTCTGTGCCGTCTCGACTCATATCTTCCAAGTTCGAAGAAGCCAGATTTGTGACGCCATCAGTAGCATGCACTTCAGCGCCGGAAAGGCATTCAGCATGATCTACCTCACTGTCGTCAGCTCTCACACCATTGCACGCATCCGTAGAGTTAGTTGGCGCGCAGGAGATATCTCAAGTTGGGGACTTTTTATTTAAAGTTGAATCAAGGGGGATCTAGTCGAGATTCGAACTCAAGAGGTTCATTTGTACAGCATATGATCACCAAATCTCCCGTTCCATCAGTACGAGCATAACACTTATCCCAAAAATACCCCCAAAGGATTAGCCGTCGTCAAGAGCAAATAAAAGCACAAGATTCATTTCCTGCAAAGTAATATCTACGTAAGCGCAAGCAAACAACATACTCTATTCCCAGACAACTAAACACGCCAGTAAATAAACCAATAGAAGAATATCGGGTAACAACAACCTTCCAGAACACCCAAAAGCGCAGGAATCCTGTACCGACACAGGTGATAGCGGAACAAGACGAAGTCTTCCTCGCCTATAATGCATGAAGACAGTCGCTGTATCCGGATTAAGCGTTCTGCTACAGACTTACAGTACACTTCACTAGCCCTTACGGGTCAAGCGTACATGGAAACGTCGTTCGTTGGCTTGTCGACTTCGACGAGGTTGTGGGGGTTTGTATTCACAGATCAGTGAAAGATGAAAGTGTTTGTTTTCTCGCCCCAACATGAAAATGGTACAACTCAACTCTGCATATTCTGTTCAATTCATTCCGATTTAATTCTCATATTCATATTCACATAAACCATTCATCCATCCAACCCAAAGCAAAAGAAAAACGCCATTATGCACACACCCACCCACTCACAACTTCGCCCTCGGCCAACTATCCAACAGATCCGCCATCTCGAAGCGCGGCCAATCCGGGTTGAGCGACGGCGCCGGCCTCTCGCGATCCCACGCCCACTTCTCCTTGTGCTCTGGCGTGAGCTCGTCCTCCAGCATCTGAATGACGTACTTGCCGAGGACGGGGAAGAACTTGTAGCCGTGGAAGGAGCCGCAGGTCGCGACGTAGAGGCCCTTTGCTGCGGCGTGGGGCGAGATGATGAAGTCGGAGCTGGTTGTGAAGGCGTCCCTGAGGAAAGCGTCAGTACCTGAAAGCTAGATTAGATGTGAAGGGGGACGACATACCAGCACACGCGATGTTTCTCCATCTTCCACTCAGCGCCATTCTTGCCGTAGAACACATCATTTGCGTGATCAATGTCTTGCTTCAACGGCCCAGGCACGTTCCATTGGTTGTAGTCCGGCTCTGAGGGCGGCGCAGATACAAAACGTCCTGGCAAGACTTCATGTGTGTTTTTGAAGATCTTCTCGCCCCACCACTTCAGCTCGCGGTCTTTCGTAGGTGGCAGACTACCGATGAAGGGCCCGTATGCGGCTGTGTAGCCTTGCACGCCAACGGGCATGTTGGCGAAGCGCTTGTACGACTCCTCGGTGAGGGTGGTCATGCCGGTTGTGATGCCGCCCGCGACGATCCTGGTTCCAGCGCGCAGCTCGTTGTTCCCGCTCTTGTGTGCCGCCTGCTCGAGGAGCTTCGCCGTGTATGCGCCTGTGGAGAGGATGGTGTGCGAGGCCGAGAGCTTGCCACCGTCTTCTGTCTCGACACCCGTGCAGCGACCCGACTCATCGAATGTCAAGCCGCCCACCTTGGCTGTCACATACTTGACGCCCTGCTCCAGCGACCACTTCGTCACCGCCCTCAACGCATCGCCTGCCTGCGCCCACCCGCTCGTCTTGTTGACCAGCACCTCCTTCACGCCATCGTAATTCGCATCCTCGAACAGCCCGCCAAACATCTTCTTCGCCTCCTCAATCGACACGGCCTGCAGATCAGCCTGCCGCCCGAGTTTCCTGTAGTTCTCAATGACCTCCTGTGCGTAGTCGGAGCGGCAGATCCAGAAGATGCCCGTCTCGTGGAAGAAGGGCTTCCATAATGGATCTGACTTGAACACATCCTGTGCTTCGAGGGCCAGCTGGCAGTACACGATGTCGTCGTAATCGGCGCGCACGACCTTATTCCAGTCCCACGACGCGGCGACACGACTATCAGCGTCATAGGCGTCCTGGTCCACGATTGTGATCTGGCGGTCTGGGTACTTTTTAATCAGGTGGTACGCGGTCGATGCGCCGAAGACGCCGGCGCCGACGATCAGGTAGGAGGGCGTGCTTGCGCTCATTGTGCGGGATGTATCAAACAGCAACGGGTGAACTATGGAGAGGCACTACACCGGGAAATCACAGTAATCACTTCTTATAACGATTCCCCATCACGACAGGCATGGCCGTATTCGGCGTCGAGGCTGCGATTACGGGAACGCGGGGCGAGCCATGGAGTCGGTATCCATTTTGAGCAAAGCGTTCCGACAGCGGGAAGCGGTGGGGTTTTCGATGCGGTGGTCGGCTTGCTGCGGCATTCTATCTTGGCTTTGAGCGGTGTCTAGTTGACAGGCTACGCATGAGTGGGATAGGTTGAGGCGTTCTGGTACTCGTTACCAGATGTTTTTGCGACATGGGGAGCGCGACGCGTTGAGGTTTGCTGCTAACGCGATTGGGCTATGCAACGCGAAGGGCTGACGTCATTGCTCTCTCGCGAAGGTGATCAATGGTGAGCCGATAGATATGAAGATCTATCCTAACATTTCAAGCAACCCTATGCTGACAGAATAGCAGCGTGTACTCGTAGACCTACTCACCAAGACGCCTAGTGCCATGAAAAGTGGCGAACGTAACACACCTAAGCAGATCACCAAGGCGTTCCATTGCAAAGATGTCCATTACGCAAGATCTACTTCTCCCTACTTAGCCTGTTCCTCGAAAAACATAGTGGAGGCATCAGGCAAAATCTCGAAAGCAAAGCCACACCATCAGCCGTAGACCAAAAGCTCTAATCCTGTACAAGACTCGGCGTTGGACATGGACCTCCTATTCCCATCTCCAAAGAGACACAAAAGCGTCACTCGAAGCATAACCACCTGCACACGTGGGCTATTTACCAGACATCTGAACTGACGTGGCTAGGCCATAAATTTCTAGAGCATGATGGTCGAAACCAATCTCGTCTCTGCGCACCGATGCAGCAACTCCATGGCGTTGTAGATGTGTGCGCCTTCGAGAAGTGCATTTGTGAATCGAAGTCCAAGCGTGCCACGGTATGGTAATCGTTTCCCTGTATTTATCGAAGAAGAGGAGATTGAAGACATTATGCTCAAACGCAACTACGGCGCCAGGTTCACGCTGATCCGCGGCGTGGATACAACTACTTGTCAGGAATATGTTATCCGACAGCAATGCACATCACTGCAAACCAACCTCTCACGTCAAGCTGGAAGCCAGAAAAGCAAGATTAGTGTCTAAACCCACCAAACCGCCCCAACGCTGCACCTACACTGTGTAAGAAAAGAGAGAAACTGAAACATGTAGCATAGTGTTCTCTTGCGCCTCTACAATTTTCATAACCATGTTGTTGTGATAATCCAACACAGTGTGTGTTGCAGACACACTCCCCCACGAAGCTATTGCTATTTCCAGCCTTCAGCTTAACACGAGAGGCAAACTTGCCAAGTCTCTTCTCGCATGAAAAAGAGCTACAGGTCAGAACCCTGTTTTCGGGATAATAGCGTTTACAGGGCTTAACGATGAATCTAATGCTTCTCTATGCACCTTATAAGACACGCTCAAAGACTCCAACCAATGAGAACTTATTGGGCACGTCCGCGTGGCAACGTTCAAGCCCTACATCAAACAACCCTAAGCTCATCAGCTTAAGTTTCCACGGATTGGATACTGATGCCAAGCTACTACGCTGTCATGCAACGTTGAAAGATTTCCGATGTGGCTTAGGGCACAGCTTATGGGTATTCCGTTCAGCCCTACGTCGCAACCTCCAATTGGTCCCAAGCCCTAGCAAGCCACGCAGATTCGATAAAAGAGGAGGGATGTCTACCAACGGTGTAAGGAAATGTTCCAATTGCAACCATCAAGTAATGTCCATAGGGCTGGCTGAAGAAGTTCAGCCAGCCCCATATGTAACCAGCAGATCAAAGCTACCACCGACGTCGAGGCTTAACTCCCCACAGCCTAGCGCGTCTAGCCTAGACGTATCCAGACCCTCAAAAACGACTCCATGGCTTGCGGCTGGCAGTTGATCGTGGCGACACAGCTAGACGAGGAGACATGATTTTGCCAGAAGCTGAGAAAGATAGGATAAGATAAAAAAGTTGAAAGCCCGTTATACATTCCACCATTCCCATTGCCAACTGGCCAATTTTTTTCTACCCAGACTTACTATCAAACCATGTTGACGCTCAAGTTTCTCCACATACAGGTCGCGCTTTGGACCTGCATCAACGCTATTGCGGTGCCCGCGCCGACCAACGCTCTCGTCAACGAGCGCGCCGTGAACTGCAATTCAGTCTCGGGGGCGTTGAAGGTTCTGAAGGGTTTAGGAGCACCAGCAACCTCGTTTTGCAGCTCGTACTTGAAGATCCCCGCGACTGTGACTACGACGACGACGACGACGCCCGTTAGGTAGGTGATGAGTGAATGAATGAATACAACCCAACCAACCCAACCAACCCAACCAATCCGCCTAGATACTTGTACTGTGCGTTGGGACTAACTCTGCCTCCTTCCATATAGCACGGTCCAAACCATCGTAGCAACCACCACCACCTACCAAGCCGTCTGCCCCGCCGCCCCCGCCCGGCGCGATGCAGCAGCAGTAGCAGCAGCATTGTTCGCACGCCGCGCCGTCCCCGCCGCAGAGACAGGTGCCGTCCAAGCACGACAAGCCGTCGACCTCGCTGCGCTGAAAATCTTCGCCGCGTCGCAATTATCCTCTGGATGTAGTTGTTTGAGCCTCGCGCCCAAGACGACGCGAACAGCTACCACGACGGCGGCTGCGTCTGTACGTCTTATCCCTATCCTTATCCCATACCCATCCCACCCCATCCCATCCAGTCTGCATCGACTTGTCCAGCCAGACTAACCGATATACCCCCAGACGACACGCATCCAAAACACATACACCATATGCTCCACCTGCGTGCAAGGCGCATGCAACCCCGCGCTCGGGGGCGCGGAGTGCTGCGTCCCACACGGGTACACGGGCACGTGTGATGTGTACACTGTTTGGGATGGGAATATAAATACGGCTTGCGGGTATCACAATTAGTGAAGTGTTTGCTGGGGAAAGGGGGGAAGAGTTTGCGAGATTTGCTCATGCTGATGTTGTTGTTTTTAGGGGGGGGGGGGTTTGCTGGGGGCACAACTCTGTTTTCTCTATAGCATAGGATTTGCGATGGGAAGTAAAGATTGCTGGGAAGTGATATCTGTGTGTCCTATTTATTCAGAGTGATATCAACATCAACGTATTTTAGAATAGTGTACTTCTCATCCCCCCTCTAAGCACCAATACCAACACCCATCGCCGCGACCGTAAATTATCTCCCATCTCCCATCTCGCATAAACCCATCCCCATCCACGCAACCCCCTTACATTACATCACTCCCTTATTCCTACACTAACACACTAACCCCCTTCTATCACAGACGCTATTCTACGCAAGTGCATCAATCTCCCTATATTAGAGCAAGAGAGTACAGCAGAAGTATAGGTATACAAGTATGCACGTATACTTCAAGGTATAATTTGTATACTAGCCCTCTAACAAGAAAAAACATAGGGAATTAGATTATAACTCTAATTAGCATTTAGTTTTAATATACCAAGCAAGGCAGGGCATAATATTTAGATCCTAGTAGTAGTACTAGAAAAGTAGAAAGCAGAGCATAAAAAAGACAGTAAAGAACTGTCTAATTTGTGTATAAACTGTATATATTGTCTATTCTTTTCTGCTCTATGTGTTAGTATTAACATCTCTCTCTCTCTCTCTCTTTCCTCCTTTTCTCTTCTTCCCTCCCCCCCCCTACGCGCCTACAACCTCTACTCCACTCCCCATCTCCGCGCCCAAAACTCATCTCCCATGAATCATCTCCCATCTCGCATAAACCCATCCCCCTCCATCTCCACCACCACTCCATTCCCTTTCATTCCATTCTATGCAACACAAATCCACCCCCCCCCTCCATCAAACCAATCCCCCCACTCAATCCCCCCTACAAATTCCCATCCCTACAACCACCCCATCCCTACAAAACCCCCTCGTCAACAGCCAGACTTCCCCAGCAGCTTACATACGCAGTAATACAAACAATAAAACCAGCTTAGGTAGAAAGAGGCAGCTACTTAAAAGCCTAGGATGAGGGATTTCGAGATGGGGGGTGTATGGCTTAGCCTTCTACTAGGCCTGTGGGGAGGAAGGAAGGGGAGGTTTATAATAGTATTAAGGTTGGATTTTTTGTTGGAATGGTAACTGCGGATGGTTGTTAGGGAGGCGGGAAGAGTACGGGTTTGGGAGGCTTGGTTGTTAGTGTGCGGGCGTTGTTGTGAGGATGGGTTGAGTGTACCAGGGGTATGGATAGATAAGTATGAATGTATAGTTTAGGGGGTAGTTCGTAGACCAGTTAGCTCATGAGAAGGAAAGGAATGTGGGGAGGTGGGTTGCGATTGCGATTTGGCTTTAGCGTTCGGTTTCGATGTGGCTTTCGATGTACCGAGCAAGGCAGGACACGACAAGCACAGATCCTAGTACCAGTACCAGCCAAGCAAAAGCAGAGCACAAAAAACACAGCTCGAACCTCCCAACCCTCATCTTCACTGCACACCCCATCTATTCCGTTCTATTCACTAATGGTATCAACCCCCCTCCCCCCCCTTACGCGCCCACAACACCCACCCCCCCACCAACCGCCGCCCCCATCCTCCTCCCCACAAACCCCTGCCTCTGCCTGCCCGTCCTCCCCCTCCCCAACCAATTATACTTCAACTCCTTATTCAGTCTCCCAATCTTATCCTGCGCCTCATCGCCGCTCTGCAGACTAACCAGGACAGAAACACACTGCAGCATCCTTCCCACCGTCTCTGTGACTTTCGCGGAGCCCATAGGTTGGTGTCTTAGGGAGGAGGGTGGCGGGGGGGCGTGCAGCAAGTTTATGGTGGATGTTGTTGTTGTGGTTGTGTTTGAGGTTGTGGGGGTTATGGCCGGGGCGTGGATGGAGGAGAAAGAGCCGGCGGAGGTGTTTGATGTAGCGCGGGAGCGGGACGAGGCGAATGTTGAGGAAGGGGTGCTGTGTGTGTTTTCGAGGTGGCTGGCGGAACTGGAGCTGTGGCTGTTTGCGTTTGAGGCGTCGTGTGCGCTGGACGCTGTGCCTGGGCGGTGGTTGTGATGGTGGTGGGAATGGTCTGGCATAGGAGCCGGCGATTCCAAACCCGCGTTCAGGCTCTCGAGGGACAGGCGCGAGAAGATCGCCATCAGCGTGTCGTAGCGCGGCAGGATGACCATGTCGCGGAACATGAGCAGCGTGATGCGACGCACTTCTAGTTCGCCGAGGATGGGGATGTTTTTGTTCTCGGGGGATTTTGTGTTCATTTCGTCCGGGAGCATGACGCCCCAGAACTCGGCGGCTTGGGCGCTGGACATTATGCCTGTGCCGCGGAATTCGAGGTCGAGCGGCATGAAGACGGCTTGCATGAAGGGCAGGATGGACGAGAAGACGAGAAGCCATGTTTCAACTAGATCGGGGATCAGGCTCTCATCGGGAATGTGGCGCAGCGTCTGGTCGAGCGAGCCAAAGCCCGTTTGCAGCAGCTCGTTGAGGTCTTCGATTATGATGATGGGAGAGCGCTTGTGCATGCAGCGCTTGATGTGAACAATGACAAGGGCATTGAAGTCTTCAACAGGCGGGCGTGGATCGTGGCCTTCAAAAATGAGCAGCACCCTCGCTTTCAACAACGGCCATGCGTCGTCAGGCGAGAGGCCATTGATTCCAAACGAGCTCCCCAGACTGAGCATCTCAGTAGTATGCGAGACAGTGGCAGGCGTGGCAAGACTCGGCGTTGTCCCCAAACTACCCGAAACAATAGGCCATTCTGCCCTCTCAATACTAAACGACTGATTCCGCTCCTTGTACGGGGGCTCCAGATGCGCATCAAGATACGCAGCAGCTTTTTCCTCCTTCTTTGCGCGTCTGAGATTGCGCCCACCATGTCTCAGATCCAAGCCTGTGACGGAACTAGCAAACGAACTCGACGGGCCCGGCGACGACGGGGCAGCAAACGAGTACAGCGGCGCCGGCGAATTCGGGTCTGTGGGGCGAGACGTGCTGCTCGCCGACGACAGCGGCAGCACGTGATCGTCCTTGTCCTTGAGCTTGTGTTTCTGGCGCGACAGGAAGTGATGCTTGTGCTTCTCCTTCTCCTTTTCTGGCAGAAGGTACGCGTCGTTGCGCGGGACTAGCGTCGATGTTGAAGCATTCGCGGAGGAGTACATCGAGGCGTTGCTACTGCTGACACCTGAATCAATCAGGCTCGTCGTCGACTGATTCATCATGCGATTGAGGGCCTGCGAGCTGTGGATGCCAATGCCGATCTTCCCGGGGGAGGGTAGCGGCTGCTGTCTCTTGTCCATTTCCTTGTCGACTTTGATGTTCTTCGGTTTGGACGAGAAGAGCTTCATCTTGCTCTTCTCCTTTGGCGCCTTGGGCGGCTCAGGCGTCGATGCCTGTTTGGGCGACGCCAACGGCTGCGGCTGCGTCTGCACCTGATCCATGCCCGGCGAGTTGAGCGGACTGCGCGGATATGCCGCATTCGCAGCGGTCGTGGCAGCCATCCTGTTCGCACCCATTACCCCATTCTGATACGTCATACCATTCGTCCTGAAGGTCAAGCTCTGCGCGCCAGACATGGGCGGCGGACTCAAAGGCTGACCCCGACCCGCAGGCACAGCAGGCTCGCCGGGCGCGGGTATGGTCGTAGAGCGCTGTCTCGCGTGCTGGGCCGTCTGGGCGTAGGCTGCCTGGGCGGCGATTTGCGAGGCAGTCAGATGCGACGCCGAAGCAGCAAGATGTATGCCCGACCCCAAGGCCACACCCGTCGTCGATCCCATGCCCAGACCCGTCGCCAGTCCCTCGCGCGCCGACGACAAGCTAGGTTCAAAGTACCCCTGCGAGCGCTGGCGCGGCCGATGCCCCATACCGCTCTCATTCGTGCCGACCTTGATCATGCCGGGGCGCGAGTAGTTGTGCACGGCGTCGGCGGTCGGGGGGCGCATAGCCATGGGCGAGCGGCGTTGCTGCAGCGTGGCCTGCGAGGCGTCCGAGTCTGATTCATCGAGGGAGTGGCGGAACGCGGGGGTTTGCGGGGGCGGCGACGACGAAGGCATTTTGTGCGTGTGTGTGCGACGTGTGGGTGGGTGAAGTGGTACAGCAGCCTATTTAAAGTCGTATAATCGTATCGTGTCGTGTCGTTTCCTAGGCAAGACAACAAACACCCCACACTCTCACGACCAGCATGAGCAGCGGTCCGAGCAAGACATGTCGCGTGAAGAAGAGAAAGAGTTGTCGTGTGGTGGAGTGGAGTGGAGTGGTGCAGTGTGGATGAGCAAGATCCCAGCATCATCATCGACATGGTACGTGAGGCTGAAAGATCGACGAGATGGGACTAGACAGGGCTTATCTTAGCGTCGTTTTACCAGACTACTCTGCCCCACCCCCTCCACAAACTACCTCAATATCCACACCCATTCCCCAATTCACCGCAAAGATGGCCACACCAACAGCAACAGCAACAGCGACATACACCTCCCCCACATCCACTTCCTCACCCTTCCAATTCACATCCCCGCTCTCCCTCCCCTCATCATCAGCATCGCAAACCGCCCACCTCTCCGCCCTCCAAACAAGTCTGAAAGAGCTTCAATCCACCATCAACGACTTCCTGACGCAGAAAATGGCGTCCGACAAAGACGCCGACGCAAAGCACGCCAAAGACGAGGAGAATTACGGGGAGGAGGTGGTTGAGGAATGATTGGCCTTGAATTGGATTATATATACGACGAGAACGGGGGCTCAACAGGACAAGACAGTACGGACATCAGATTTGCGCAGCACTCATCTACGACTACCGCCCACCCACCCTACCGCCACCCACTCGCCCCAACCGGCATCTGACTCTGCGCCTGCGCCTGAACCTGCACACCCCTCCCAACACTCCCCCTCAAACACCCCGAATGCACCACACTATCATCTGGATAAACTCTAATCGCACTCCCCCCAAACCTCTTATGACAAACCGCACAATGCCTCTCCTCCGTAATAACCACCCTCCGATTCAGCCCCCCCGGAACCCTCCGACCACTCTTATCCACACGCGCCCTCGCCTCACCAAGCAACATATCCGCATCGACAGCGACCTTCTCCACGCCGCGCAGGCGCGCGACAATGCGCTCTTCGTTCAGCACCGAGTTGGCGTTGCGGATGCGGCCGCGGAAATAGCTTTCTAGGTCCTTGACCGGGAGGGTCGGGGGCATGAGGTCGAGGGTTGAGGAGGCGGGGAGGCGGGCGCCGTGCTTGCTTAGGAGGTCGAGGGCTGGGGGCCAGTTTGGTTGGTTGGGGGGTGGGGGGGTGAGGTAGAGCGAGAGGAGGACGTGGTAGATTGAGGGTTCTGAGGCGATTGCGTCGTGGGAGGGGGGTGGGAGGGTGGGGGTCGATGCGGAGAGGGGTTGGGAGGTGAGGTGCAGTTGGTTGCAGTATCTATACCGTGCGTGTTAGTATATGTTCTGTTCTTTGTAAAATGGGGGGCGGAGAGGGGGGATACGTACTCTTCAGCTTTCTTATAGTCCTTCAACTGAAACACATAAATCTGCAACGCCTGTTTATGCGAGCCCATCTTACTCAGCACAATCGCGCGCGGTTCATAATAATCCGGATCTGTCCCATAAAATCAGCACACACATCTCCAAACCAAACCACAGAAGAACATACCATTAGCAGGCAACTGCTGAAAAACGCGATACTTATTATAATTCTCGCTCGTCTTCAAAAACAGCTGCAGCCTCTCCCTCCACCCCGTCTTCTCGCCCTCATCCTCAAACTCGCCATCGCGCAGGCGCTCGAGAAACAAGTCGACGAGCCTCTGGTGGAAGTCCGGCGTGAGATCGTTCAGCTCCTCGACGATATGTTCGAGGTACTTGACCGCGAGCTTGAGGTCGATATCCTGCAGAAAGTCGAGAACCTGCAGGCGGGGCAGCGTCTCCGCGTTCTCCGTGTCCGCGAGAAAGACATCCATACCGAGCGCCGGCTCCGTGCGCAGTGGCCAGTCCGCGAACTCGAGGATGAGGTCGATCATCTCGGGGGGCAGTTGCTGGAGGTAGCCAACCGTTCTTTGTGGGCCCTGCAGCGCAGGCGAGACCTCCTCATCCGCCTCATTGCGGCCGAATTTCTCCAGCAGCTCGAGGGCCTGGCGATGCAGGCGCTTTCCGTGCAGGAAGTCGATGAGGTCTGCGTAGCGGCCCGTTTCGTAGAGCTTGTCCTGGACGACGTCTGGTTCGCAGAAGTTGGGGAGGCGGAAGAGAGGGCCTGCGAGGCCGGGACTGGCGAGCATGTAGGCGCGGAAAAGGGTTGTGTCGACGAGTTGGGCGACTTCGAGGAGCTTTGCTTTCCAGTCGATGGGCGCTGGGAGCGAGGTTTCTTGGATGAAGAAGTGGAAGGCGGGCTTGAAGTCGTCGGTTTGGCTTTCGTTGGGTGTGGGGAGCGGCTCTTTGAGGTTGCCGTCGATGTCGATGTATCGTTTGATTTGCACGCGGCATTGTGCGAGGAAAGATTGCAGCGCGCGGAGAGATTCTTTGAAGTCTTTGTCTTCCAACGCCTTGTCTGGTCGTATCGTCTCGGTAGTTTTTATCGGCTCTGTCGTCTTCCTCTTGATGCTTGCAATCTCCGCCTCCTCTTTGACAGAAGACCGGATAGACGTTGTGTCTGAATCCGTCTTCTTGTGTCCGCCGCCGAATCTGCCCATCATCGCTCGACCGATGGTGGACGCAGGGTTGAAGGATGTGTGCGGGCTGTCTGCGCTATCTGCAGCAGTCTTGTCGCCATTCGAGTCGTCCTCGCCAGCTACACTGTCTTCATCTTTAGTACTCTCCTCTGGGACCAGATTACCCGCGATCGCTCTTGAATACAGCGAGATGACGCGCGCAGGAGGTGTTTTAGCGTCAGTGAACAGATCCATAGCCTCGCGGAACTTCTTCTGGTCAAAGAGAGCCTGCGCCTTGAGCATCATGATCTCGCGCACCCTGCCCTCTTTGTCTTTCAACAGCGTATCTTCGAGCATGTCGAGCAGACTCAACGCTTCGTCGTAGCGTCCATGCGAGACCAGTACATCAATCTGGGCCTCGTAGCTCTGCGCGCCCATCCGCCAAATGCACCGATCGCTCGCTACCAAGAAGCCCTTTCCAGCATGGGCCAGGCTGATGTTTGGCTGTGGTACGTGGAGAAAGTTGGCGTTTGGCAGGTTGATGGTCTGCAGCAGATTCAGCGTATCCGGGTTTCTGATCTCCAGGCCGCCCCTGGCTGGCGGCTGCAGCGCCAGCATGTACGGGTACGAGTATGCGATCATCTCGGGGGCAAAAGGCCAAGGAATCTGTCGCTTTTCGAGGGCGTTCCCTGCGGTGTCGATGAACAGGCTATTCACGTCTTTTGCCAGCAGCAGCTGTCCCTCGCCCAGCCGTGTGGCCAGCGGCTTCGGAACCCAGCTGCCCATGCCCATGTATCCCATGCCCGACGACGAGACAGCGCCGAAGCGAGCCCCTCCCTGGCCGCCCGCGTCTCCCAACGCGCCGGGCTTGACAATGTCCTGGACCTCCTGGCTCTCAATGTCGACCATGACAAACCCTGGATCCATGCCCGCCACGACCTTCGTCCCCGAGGCCCACGTCAGGCTCTTGACCGACGCGATGAGCGATATCTCCGTCGCCTCGCCCATGAGCTCCATGTCCTGCCACGTCCAGAGGATGATCTTTCGCTTGACCGCCACAGCCAGTCTGCTGACGATGGAGGGAATCCCCGTGCTGGGGTCTTTCACAATATTGCTAGCCGCCGCGAATGTTGTCGCGCCCCTTGTCTTCTCCAGCTTCTCCTGCAGTGCGTATGTCTGCAGGTCGTGGATGGAGACATGGTTGTCCGACAGCGACACGAGGATGCTGGCCTCCTTGATGATGGCGAGCTGCTGCACGGGGCGGCGCGAGAATTTCTCTTCTTCGCGGAGGAGGTCTGCCGGCTTGGGCTTGAACGTCGACGGTTCGACGTTGCCATTCTGGGGCTCGCCGTCGTCGCTTTGCTCGTTCACGCGGTAGATGCGCAGGGCGCCAGAATTGAGGCCGACGAGGACACGGTCGCCTGAGGAATGGTCAGTCAGCCTCTTGCCCCCTACATATATCAAGCAGGCTGCATACCGTAGGCGAGGATCGACTCGATCTTGGACCTGTCGCGCTGCTTCAGCTCCACAATGGGCTGGGCGGTAAAAGCAGACAACATGGTAGCTGTATCTCAAGGCGTAGATTCATTCAGACATAGGTAAGCCATTATGCGACCATGGTTGCGTCCAGAAAAAGCTCCATGGATGCTTGGTGATGGTGGTGATGGCTGGGGAGAGCTCGGCCGAGTTCGTCGTCATGGCCCCGAATGGTAGGATCCGTGCGCCAGATGCGTGGCACAAGACCGCTAGTACAGATGTAGCATAGTCAAGATTTGCTCTACTTACACAACTTCCATATATTAACACAGAGTGTATGTAGTCGACGAAGTTGATTAATCGAGCCGTCCAGATAACAAATCTCAATATTTACGTCCAGCATCAACTTATCATCAGGGAAGAGGTTCTTCTCACTGCACAACCTCCAAGACTCAGATCTCAAACGAGTATCAATTTTCTACGTAAAGAACGAACATTCCAAAAGAGTGTGATGCAGAGATGTATCCGATTTAGCAATCCATGGTCCATAAAGCGTTAAACAACACATGAATCTCATCTCCGCCATATCTTCCCACCACAAAAAAGCGAGCGACAAAGAGGTTTTTTGATCGGAAGGGACAGACCCCCTTATCCGTCCAAAGTCCATCGCGTACCACGCACTTCTCCAAAAAAATCATTCAGTCTTGCTAGTCCCGGGCGCAAGCGCTCACAGGATCAACTCAAAACGGCGCGAACAAGCGCGCAAAACCAACCCTGCATCCAAAGGGGACGAGGACAGCTTCAACCAGCCGTACAAGCAAACACAAATACATCGTACTTTCAACTCGAAAAAACAGATTCGCCGCCCCCACTGTATCGATCCCGCAAAGGTACAAGTAGGGGCAGACAAAAACGGAGGAAAGCAAAAAAACGCTTGTTACCAATCAGCACGACACCTGTCGATTCCTTTCCAACTCAGCAAAACAGCCGCAGCGGGTGCGAAGCATACAAAAAAAGCCAGAAGGGCCGGTGAGTTACGCGGAAAGCGTGGGAACGAGGGCGGCGAATGAACGATCATATCCACATATTGCCGGTTTCGATGCACAGCACACAAGCCAAGCCGGCCGTTGCGGCCTTGACTGCACGGGGGCGCCCGAAGCGGCTCAGCGGCCAACCGGGCAAGCCACGGGGAGGCGGGTGAGCGGGTTCGGGGGCGCGCGCGCAGAAGGGAAACGGGGGGCGAGGAGGCGCCGGATCAGAAGTCAGGCGTAAGGGACCTCGGGGACAGACATACCGATAGGAGATATAACACACAGCACATTGTCTCTGATCAAGGAAAAGGAAGGTACAGTCTTGCAGGGTTTGAGAAACGAGAAATTGACATGGAAACGTTTTTTTTCTGCGACAAACTGCTTCCAGATAAAAGAAAAGAGACGATGAGGGGATATCAATCCACCGCAGCCCGCTGAAGCAGAGCACTGACACAAACATATAATCCAAAAAATACACGGGGGGTGATTGGCAAAGGTGTGTAGGTATAGAACACCACTCGCATCCGCGGAGAGGAACCGAAGCTCCGTCATCCGGGACATACAAAAAATGTAATCTCCAGAGAGCGCAAAGCGCATCGACCTGGAGAGGAAAGAAAACTTCAAAAAATCCAAAAGTTCGGTCTGAGCAATTACGTCTCAGTCACGTCGTCGAGGGGGTAAACTCCTTTGTCTGCCGGGAGACACAGAAGGCATGCCGAAAGGTCAGTGGCAGACGCAGGGGTTATCGACAAATGGGTCGTTTAGTGGAACGGGTTTCGTCCTCCTCGGTGGGGTTGGTCTTCCGCGAAGGGGTTGTGTTTCTCATCGAGGGGCGAGGGATCGCTGACCTGGCCATAACTGCTGGATCGTAGATGGCCGGGGCGAGACGACTCGGTCACTGCGCACACACCTACTTGGCCGATCTTCTCCATGGGAGAGTCAGGGCCGAAGTCGGGGAACGGTCTGGGCTGAAGCGCGTAAGGCGCAGCCAGGTGGGCAGCCTTGTTGGGGTGGTAGTCGTTGGCAACGTACTGAGGTGGCGCAGCAGTGGGGTAATCGTGAGACTTGGGATGGTTGTCGTTGGACGGATCGATGACATAGGCAGTGCCCGTTTCGAGGTCGCGGCGGAAAAGTTGAGTTGAAGCGTAGACGAAACCGCCGAGGGCAACAAAGAGCCAGATCAAGATAAGGCCGGTGGAGATGAGTGCTTCGGTTTGAATGCCATTCAATAGCTGCTCGAGAACGCGGTTGACAGCTTCGGTGATCTCGTCTTTTGCCTTGCCGTTTGGATCGGAAAGCAGCTCGGCAGCGGAGTCGGAGTCGCTCACCTCAGCAAGGGCGCCGAGTGAGAAAGTGTCGTTGGCGACGCCGGGAAAGCTGACATGGGCGTTGTCTTGAATCCAGGTGAGACCGTTTTGGAAGCTAGCGATCTTCAGTCCGATCAAGCAGTTGAGCACTTCTTTGATTGGGTCGTAGAGAATTGTGCCGCCGAACGTCGTGTTCAGGGTGCTGCTCATCTCGCTCACGAATCCGTTGAGAGTGTCGTTGACTGCCGTGGTGCTGGAGTTCACCCAGCCGAAGATGTCATCGTTGATCTTGTCATCAAGCTTGCCGACGGCGCCATTGACGCCTTCAGACCAAGACATGGATGCGTTGTTGAGAGATGTGACGACCTTTCCGGCAAAGTCAGCGACTTGCTGCGTGAGTTCGGGCGTCTTGTCTTGAACAGCCCTCAACAGGAGATATTGGCAGAAGCAGGCAAACAGGCCAGCGATGCCCAGAGACAGAAGGAACATCATGGGGACAGAAGTAGCGTAGGCCCATGCCCAACGGATGATAGCTTGTCGTCGAGCTGAGCCGAAGCGCTTGCCAGCCCACAGACCGAGAGTGGAGGAAGTCGGGCGGGAGGCCAAATAGACCACATCCATGCCCTCGTGACCTGCTGCGAAAAGCGCAGCACGTAGTTCCATCTTTTGGTATCGGCGGGCTTCCATCCAGGCCATCGGAACGCAAACGAGGATAGCGAGAGCGATGAGTACACCGAGGGCGATCTTGCGTGCTTTGTAAACCATCGTAATGAGGTCGTCGAAAAAGTTGCCGATGGAGTTGCCCTCGGAGCAGAAATCGAGCTTGTCCTTCTCTGGTACGGGAAGTAGGTCGCGGTCGAACTCGAAAGTGTAGTTCTGGATCAGGCTCTTGACTGCTTCGAAAGGTGTGCGAATGATGTTGTCTGTGAAGTTCTTCACGTCCTCAAAAGTCGGAATTGAACTGTTCAGCTCTTGAAGTCCCTGCTGCAACTCAGGCGGGACTTCAAGAGATTTCAGCTTCGCGATCTGTTGGTCAAGGTTGACAGTTGGTGCGCTAAATCCATCTCCGAAATTGAAATTGACCTTGGAGAGGAGGGAGTTGATTCCGTCTGTGACAGACTTGACAGCGTCACCCATGTCGTCGGTGACATCGTTGATGGTCTCGTTGAGGTTCTTGCTGATTGCGTCGCCGATTTCGACTGCAGCGTGAAGGCTGCCACTTACGGCCAGGGTGATGAGGCAGAGGTATGTGTTTGTCATCATGTGAATGACGAAGAGAACAATCTCTTCGACGCTTGAAACGCTCATCTCTAGCATGGCCAGGAGGCCACGCACTGCCTTTTCGACCCCGGAAGCGGTCATTTCGTTGACACCCTTGGCCATGTAGTGAGGCATGGAAGCCATGGAGCTGCCCATGTTTTCGACTTGAGTGCAAGCACTGAGGGCTTCTCGGCGAGCGGAAACGAGGCTTGAGTCGGTGCTCGCAATGGCGACGAGTAGGCGGACGAGGACAAGGAGGAGGAGGATGGTCCAGCGGTTGATCCATATTTGTGAGAGTCTAGCTCGAAGGCCGAGGTATGGTTTGAAGTTTGGTGTTTGGTTCATAGTAGGTCGTGGTGCATTAAGCGGGGCGTAGTAGTCTCGCATCTCATGATCGCCAGCGGACATAGATGGAGGTACAGCCGGGAAGGGTTGCTGTTGGTTCGTAGAGGAAGCCATGACGGAGAGATGTGGCTGCGAAAACGTGGTCTGGAGGGTGTATTAGATATGACAGTAGGACCAGCCAAGTCAAGATTCGGAGAAAGTCGACAACAGAAATATCGTGAAGAGGGTCTAGCGGTTGAAGAAGTCTACCAGAGACAGGTCGTTGGAGATGGAAAGTATTGTGCGAAATGGAAGACAATAGAAAGAACAATAGGAAACCCAACGCTCCGGACAATGCAACAAAAGAAAATAGCAAGTGAAGTAGAAACTGGTGAAGGAGGCCAACTGGCCACGAAGCGGATATGTACTTGAGCAGTGAATGAAGCGAAGAATTTACGTACCGCGAGAAAGCGAGGATCATTAACAGGCCTGCTGGTTGGCACCCAATGGCACCTCACAGAGGCCTGCTCGACTCGATCGTTTCAGCAGCACATACGGTCCGAGAGGCTCTAGGTAGGACAGGCGACTTGAGGTTCGGTGGTGGACCAAATAGGCGCCCTTGGAGGAGCGGGCCACTCTCGTCCAGTCGTTTGCTGGTCAGACGGGAGGGCTGGGGAAGACCCCAAACAAGACGCTAGAACATTGTTTGGCTGGCAACGTCTATTATTTTGGGCCTTTCTGTCCTCGAGTGATTGTCGCGTGTTGTCTACGCGGGTGTCCTTGTTCCACGACTTGCGCTCACGGCCCTCGACGGTTGCACGGTCGCACGAGCGCGAAGAGGCCAGCTCGGACGAGCTGCCTGCCTCGTGACGTACGCGGCCGTCGCAGGGAAGAGATTTTGTCGAGCGCAAGGGAACACGGCCTCTGGGTGTCGGTCGTTAGTAGAGGAGGTGCTCAAGGTTCAGATGATGCGCGACGCAATAGTTTTGTAGGTTCTCGCCGCACGGCCGCGTCGCAGGCCGCCTCTCCCTTGTGCCACATTCAATGCCCTGTTTTATGCAGCTAAGATCGCACGTCATCTTGCGTTGTGAAGTCCTCGACGTCGCCGTTGAACTTGAAGGCTTGAATGCCATGATCAGCACAGCTCTCAAGTTACGACTCGTCATCACGGACTCGCTCCCCAAATAGCACACTGACAGCGAGCGCGCGCGTTGTCCTCTGGTCGGCATGGCAAAAGATGGGGCTAAGGCGATCAAAAGTGGCTGCGGCGTAGCGCCCAACCCGATCGTTTTGGCCAATCACTGCTGTGCGAAGCCATGCTCCGTTTTAACCTCATCTCTCCATGGATCCCACTTGTACTACGTCCCTCTGCTCTTCCTTTAGTGTACCATAACGTACCTTTCTAGACGTTGTCTCCTATAGTGAACTTTGAACCTCGACCTTCTGTAGTTGCAGCTTGCGCTGAAGGGCGTAAACTTTGTGCTCCTCTTAGATGCTATCCCGACAACCATGTAGCGTCCTCCGGGAAGCTTCGACTGGAGCAGATGGTAGGCGCAATTCTCTTTGGCTGATCAAACAACTCTGAGATATCAACGTCGTTATCTGTGCTCGGTGTCAGTCACCACTCTGTGAGGAGTAGAAATACGCAGGATGGTTCACTTATTTCCTAGGCTCATTTCGACCCGAGAAAGACATTGAAAAGTAGTACTTGCCATAACCACGAAACGTAACTTCCATGTATTTTTTTGCAAACTATGGGTAGCTCTGGAGACTCGAGTGTTCGGTCCCCTTATTCAACTCTACGCTTCTATCCACTCGTACCATTATCAATCGGCCTTCTACGACAATCCTATCCTCATGAACGTACGCAACCTTGAATATTCCATATTATCATTTTCTGGCCAACGAGCTTTTGGCAACCTACGAAGGTGAAAGGCTGCACTAACAGGTAACTACGTCACATTGATCTCGAAGAGTTTGGGTTCACAGTCATTCGTGCATGAACGGACCTCGACCACCGCCAGGCCTTTTATCAGTTCTTCACTGCTCCGCTCCCGTGGAAATTTTTGCCGACACGCTCTTTTTCAACCGCGCTCGCTCCTCACCCTTCCGACGACCGCTCCCTAGCTCCAGCTCAGCAATCAACCGCGCCCTACTTCTCGAGCTCTCGTCCCGACCTACCTCTGCAAATTTCACCCTTGGCATATCCAGCATTCCCGTTTCGCGTCCAACTTGAAGCCGCCTCGCTGTATAGACTCACGTAGACCGTTCTGCTTCAGCTTTTTCCGACTTCGCACCGCCACGATAGCTTTTCTGCGCACCGCTCTCGACACCGCTTGTTCAACGAGCAGGGTCTTACTGCAGCCTTGTGACGAATTGTCCGTCCTGCCAGCAAGATAGGTAGCCAGCAACTAGACGGACGACATCACCTGCCCCGCTTCTTTGATTGACAGCAGGTAAATCCGGTCGCGGACGCCTATTGACCTCAGGCATCATCGTCACTCCTTCAGTGTGTGAGGTGCTCATGAGCTCCATGCTTCTTGGAATCTTATAACCTCTCACATCAACTCACTTCTTGTAAGTCAATCAACTGGTGTGTCTCCGATCACTGTTATTTACGCTCACCCGGGTATTGGCAGCCAGCACGCTTCAAGCTTCCCGTTGAAATATCTCAGTGACAGTCCCAATCGGGCGCAACCCCGCTGCGAACGCTCTGATCTCCAGGTACGTGGCCAGTGCTTCCTCTTACGTTTACTTGAGATTGTTCTCGTCGCATAGAGCGGTGAAGAGACAAACTCTCGCTTTGGTTGGTTACCTTATATTGGGAAGATGTGCTGCACTTTCATCACATGCTGTCTACCCACAAATCTCTACCAGTGTGCACGCGATGACGATATCATGGGCAGTGCAATAAACTCAAACTAACACGAGTAAAAGGCTATCACTCATACCACTCATTGCCTCTATATCGCGTGCCTTGGCGTCAGTAGGTTCCTCATTGGAGGTTCGAATCTATATCCAGCCTTTCTGCATCAACCACAGCCTCCTTCTTCTACCAACGCGACCATTTCATCGCCCACCAGCGCCTTTCGACGAAGCCCTAAGAAGCTCTAGTCTTCAAGTCCTCTTCCAGTCCGCTCACGGCCTGAACTTCCGCCATCCTCATACATCACCATCTGCTTCTAATCAAGATACCTCCAATGGCCGGTCACATCAAATCTAGCGATGGTGGTCATCAGGGCGTCGATGCCAAAGAAAGCCAACAAGGCATTACGCACTCCAAATCTTCCTCATTGGCCTCTAACAACAGCGGCGACACTCTTCACAACTCCTCCAACGGCGATCATGACGCCCCCTACAGCAGTCCTCCAAGCGTCAACGACCTCGCGTTTGAGAACCTTGCCATTGACAATGGAAACTCTCCTGTCTTCAAAGGCGGTATGGGGCGCTACGACAACCCCTATCAGCGCGGCTCCAAAACCCACAATGACACCAGCCAATACAGCCAAGCTCCGCACCACCCTGTTCGCAACAACCGCAACTATCCCTCGGGTCCTACTTACAACGCACGCACTCGAGGCGGAGGCGGGGTCGCAGGCTTCCGCAACTCGCACACATGGGTGTCTCCCGAGGCACAAGCTCATACCGACTTCATGGTAATCCGCAACTCGATGCGACGCCTATTCAAGAGCGCTGATGTCTCGAAATGGAAGCTCAGCGACTACATCGCCCACCTCGAAGCCATGGCCATTGCCGAAGCCCACAGACTCTCCGCGCGAGTAAAGTCGAAGGAAGAAGCACACCTCCTCCACCTTTCCATATCGCTAGACGTCCAGCACACGCTGCGCAAGTGCGGCCTCGCGGACGCCAACTTCGACCAGCGCGGCAACTACGGCCGCATCCTCGGCGAGCAGACTATCTGGTGTCTCGACTGGACGAGCGGCAAGGACGAGATTGCCCCGTGGCCCACTGAGTGCGAGATGAAGTGGGAGGGCGATGACCGGGCGAAGACGGGCGTCGGACGCTTCTTGCCGCTGCCGAGGGAAGAAGGCCCACCTGGTATCCCGTGGAATCAGCTCCCTGTCGTCGAACAATATCCTATCGACATGATTGCGCGCATTCCCACTATGGAGGATGTGTATCTGCCGGTTGATGAGATCGATAACGACGTTACGTTTGATCTGGTTAACAGGGGTCTGGTCGACGCCATCGATGGGTGCTTGGAGTTGTAAGGTTCACTTCGACGTGGCCGTATCGTTGGCTGATGCTCTTCGACAATCCTCGACAATCCTCCCGCCGTACGTCAACCTCCCAACCACTACACCCGCCTGTCACCGTCACTGTCCCTCTACAACCGGCATCCACACCATCACTGTACCTCTGCATGTCCAGGATCTATCTCTGTGTCCGGAAAAGTCCACCCACCTTTCCTATCCCTGTCTGTGTTTATGTTTTTCCTTTTCGCTCACATCCGAAGCTTAACACTTCGATACTCCATCCATTTCCCCTCCTCTTGTACTGCACAGTCCGATGTTTTCGGCTGTGTAATGAATGAACGAATACACGAATGAACGGGAACTTTCGATACCCTCTCCCTTTGTTTTCCGGGAACATCTCGATACCCGCATACCTGGCGTTTTTGCATCTTTCGTCTTGCATGCCGAGCGGGAAACCTACTTTTTGCTAGCGTTTCTTTGTATGCGCACACACACACGCACATATGGTAAAGGTGTGGCGAGGATGTGGATTGACTTGCTTGCTTGCTTGCTTGATTCCCGTAATCTGGATCTGCGTGGGTTGGTTTTGTTTTCTTCACTTCACTTCACTTCTGGCATGGTTTAGGAGTTAGTTAGTTCATGCGTAAAATGGAAAAAAGTGCTTTGTGATTCGCTTCTGCCCGTGAACGTACGCATACTATCAACCACGAGACAAAGCCTACAAATTCCAACATCAATCCCTTCTAGCCTAAAACCACATACAACCACTTAATAAACCACGCACAACATCACTACCTCCCACCCAACGTCCCCACCTCCCCCTCCACGCGCCCAATCTCGCGCTCAAGCTCGCCCTTCCTCCGCGCCAAATCCCTCATCCCCTTCTCCCCCGCCCTCTCATAAAGCGCCAACTCGCTCCTCGCCAGCGCCTCCCGGTTCCTCAACGCCTTCTCGCCCACGCCCTGCAGGCGGCGGAACTCCTTCAGCGCGGCGACAAACTCCGCGGGCGGCGGGTGACTGCACGCGTGGATCTTAGCCTGCAGGCCGAGCAGCGTGGCGCGCGAGTGCAGCAGCTCGGCGCGCGACTTGGTGTGGCGGGCTAGCGCGCCGTGCTGGGTTTGCTCGAGGATGCGGATGCTGGATTCGAGGAGGGAGCGGTGGGTTGCGAGGAGGGAGGAGGCTGTGTTGATGAGGGTGATGCGGGATGTGTGGAGGGCGTGGGGGTGGGAGTTTGTTGCTGTTTTGTGGAGGGTGGTGGCTCGTGTTGTTAGGTCGGGGATGGGGGGTGGGTTTGTGGGGTCTGTGATGGTGCATAGGACGTCGGCGACGCGGGTGAGGTTGTGCGAGATGATGTCGGCGATCATGGAGATGTTGTCGAGGAAGAAAGTTATCTCGCTGGAGAGGATTTCTCGGTCGCTGGGGGGGATGTGGCCGCTTAGTTGGGCTGTGACTATTTCGATGCAGGTGTGTAGCTCGGGAGGGAGGGTTGATGTTTTTGCGGGGAGGTCTGAGAGGGCTTTGATGAGGATTTGAGATGAGAGTAGATCTCTTCGGGCGGTTGTAAAACTCTGAATATCGTCAGCCTGATCCAGTTTGATATTTTGATAGCTTTTCAAGTCTCCTCAACGTCTGGGCATCGTCGATAACATGGACAATCAAAATCAGAGTCCTGGGCTCAACAACCCTCTTTTGACCACCCTCAATCTCAATCCCCTCAAAACAGACACCTAAAAAATACACACCTTTCCAATCTCATCATGCATCCGCTGCTTCTTCGTATCCCTCGTCGACCCATCGCCATTTAATTTCCGTGCAGTAAGATCCTGATACAGAACCTCAAAGTTAGGATTCCGCTGCAGCACCGCCGGATCAACAGGCGGAAGCATTTTCCTCGCTAGACCGTTTGTTGAGAGCGATTAAGGTGCAAAACGGAGGCTGCGATGTACAGCGCATGGATGCTTGTTTACATATGTAAGGCTAGCGCGGACGCTTAGTCATGGGTTGTCTTTCACCGACAGTCCACCGTCGATTCTACCCGCAGTTGGATTGAAAAATCAAAGCACTCTGATTTCTTCAATATAACGAAAAGTAGAGCACCCCATCCACAAACCCCCTCCTACCCAAAAATCACCTTCTCGCACACAACCTCATACCGCTCATCCACCACCTCGCCCTCCCCCTCCCCATCCCCACTCCACACCTTCTTCGCGCCCATCTCACAAATCTGCACCCTATCCACCTCGACACCCTCTGCCCAAACAACCCCCTCATACCGCTCAACCAGCGCCCTCGCATCAAAATAGCGCCAACTCTTCGCCTCAGGTCCATGGCCCTGACTCCTTTCCTTCATCTCCGCCGTCGTTGACGACGTATCATCGTCGCTGTGGTGCTGTGAATCTCGCAAGCCCTCAGAAGCATGCACAACTGCTTTCCCAGCACCCCGCCCCTTCTTCCCCCCCTTAGGCTTCGCATACACAGTATTAACAAGCGTAGCATGCAGCCTCAACCCTCTCTCCTCCCTACCCATACACCCCCGCTCGGTAAACAACCCCTTCAGCGCCGTCGCAAAAGGAACTAACCGCCGCGACGCATCCCGCGGCTCGGCGTACAATATACTCGTCTTGCGCGGCTCCTGCATAGGAACCAAGGCCGCTAAATCAACGGTCAGCGCGTCGCTATCTAGTTGTGCATCTCCCTGTGCGCGCAGCAAACCCGCCAAATCGAGACTTTGCAGGTACAGCATAGCATCTTGCAGCGCCGCGTCGGAGAGAGACATGACGCCCAGCGTGAGGTGCAGGGTGCCGGTTGGTCGGACGGCTTTTACGGGGACCGCTGCATCGGTGGTGGATAGGTCTTGCTTTAGGTTCTGTAGGTTTTGGTGGAGTTGCGGGCGGCTTGATGGCGTGACGAGCGGGAGGCAGAGGAAGTGTGTTAGGGCTGGTTTCTTTGTGCCCTTTGCTTTTGCGTTGTGTGTGTCGTCTTTTTGGCGACTGGGAGGTGTGACGCTTGAGGAGCTGGTGAGCGAGGTGCGGACGTTGGTGTTGTCGCGTAGTTTCTCGCCGTCTAGGAAGGAGTTGTATTCGGATTTTGATTTCTTTTTGCCCATGGTGGGCGAGAGGGGGGGTTGGGTCTGGCCTTGAAGCTGACGTCGTCGTGTCTGTCCTTGAATCCGACAGGTCGCAACATATACAAAACTCCCCGTCCCAAGCCTCCCCAATCCATGTAGCAGCCCAGTCCCCACAGCACGATATATCAACATCAACCTAGATAGCGTGATCCTACAAGCCCAAGTCCAGATCTAAATCCATCTCCAAACGGGTTGTCATTATCAACAGGTACATATCCCGCATCACCACCAACATCCCAGCCCGGCCCAGCCTAGTTAGTACCAACCAACCAAACGGGAAAGAAAGCCAAACCGCGCATACCGATGCAAAGCGAAGCAATGACGTAACCGCCACCTACTCGCTCGCGTGGCGGGGGTTCATTCATGACGAACCCACCACACACGTGGGGGTTGGGGTTTGAGGTTGCTGCGGGAATAGAAGTAGAAGTGTAGGGATAGGCATAGGCACACGTACAAGTATAGGCACACATACAAGTACAGGTAGGGCTGGGGGGGATGAAACGAAACGAAACGGAATGAAACGAAACGAAACAAACCCCCCCCCACCCCCCGCAAGGGGCATCAGAGTAAGGATATGTTTCGAATCGCTGGGGATTGTAGGGGTATAGCGATGATCATGTCGTGTCGCATGGGTAGTAGGTTATTTTGTTTGGCTATAGGTACAACATGGAAGCAAATACAACGGAAGTATGTCGGCGGTAGGAAAGGGCATATGATGGTGACTACTCAGGGAGACGAGACAAGACAAGACAGGACAAGATACGGTAGGATACGATGGAATAGGATATTTGAGAAGCGGCCGTTGTAGCTCCTCCCCCTGCCCCTACCTCCCCTCCAACCCACCACACCACACCACACCACACCACAAGTCCCTCGTCATTGTCATAGTCGCGTCCGAGCCTCAGCCACGCATCCATATCCGCGTCCACATCCGCAGCAAATCAATCCTCATCGTTGTAGAATTCCCTAAGCACCTTCTCCACGTCGATAAACTCCTTCTTAGCCTGCTCGACGATAACCTTGAGTTTCTTCAGGCCCTCTTCCTCGGTGATGTCCTTTGTGCCCGTCTCGTCCTTCATCTGGCCAAAGTGCTGGATCTTCTCGCACGAGTCCTTGACTTTGGTCAGGCCGAGGGTGGCGGAGGAGCCTTTGAGGAAGTGGCCGAGCTCACTAAGCGTCTTGAGGTCCTTCTTATCGCTAAAAGTGCAGTGTCAGAACCATGTTTTCTCGTCATCTATGGCTGTGTGTGTGTCGCGGTGGCCAAAATACTCACAGGCTCTTGTCCATTTTGGAAAACGTGCTATCTGCCTGGCCGAAGAAGTCGTACACGATGCTCTTGCTGAACTCGCGCTCATCCTCGTCGTCGTCCATTTCGAGAATCTGCTCAAACGTCGCGGGGTCGATCTGGTCCTCCGCGCCGGGAATCGCCATGATGCCCTCCTCGCCGTTGGTCTGTCGCAGGATGTTAGGAAAACGTCATGGGAATCATTGGGCGCGAGGTTGAAAAAAAGGGTAAATGCAGGGGGGGAATAGCATGCGCGACGCGCATGAGGGAGGATGCAAGCATGGTGGCGGGCAAAGCAGGCACGAATGAGATGGAGGGGCAGCTGTCAACGAACCTTGTCGTCGGCCATGATTGCGTGTGGAACCTCGCGAAAATGCCTTATTTACAGTGCTGAACTATCGCAGACCCGCCGAGACAGCGTCGACGACTCGCGCGATGGAGAGTCGCGAAAGTAACAAGAACCGTAAGCGCGACAGATAATTTTTGCGCCGGACGAGTAGATAGCGTGATGGATTCACTGGGGAATCCTAGGGCTCGGTTTAGTGTGTGACAAGAGGGGTCGGCCCGCCGAGGTGTGAACGCCGTTGGCAGAGGGGGAAAGTAATACCGCAAAGATATGCGTGGTGTTGAGTGTTGGGATCGTGAAGCTGAAACGCTCGTGATTTCCTTCAGACCACCGGACTTCACCTAAGCCCCTCTGGTTCGCTTTAAGTGGACGGGCTCGACTGATTCGACTGCCGAAAGACGCAAGCAGCACTATGCTCTCTGCGGCAGGACAGTTGCGAGTGGGGGCCGAAGATCAAAAATAGGTAATAATTGGCAGCAATTGTCACAATAAAGACGCTGCGTGCAAGGCCGCGGTCCGGGAGATATGAAGGGTCGCTAGCATCACGATCGAGGGGGGGACAGTGGATGTAGGCTCATCACAGGTGGATACCTCGACGTCAATCGGCAGCGCTCAGAACGCCGTTGATCGTCCGCCTTGACTGACCTTCCACCGCGTCCTCGGGCGACGACGACCCCTCACGACCGCAAAGAAAGCGGTCAAGAGCAACGCGCCCACCTCATGTGGATTCTCGCTCTGACCTGGTACCGTAGCCTCCAAAACCGATGGACGATCGGCCAATACCTTGATGCGTGTTGCCTTGTCGACGGGAAGGCATCTGGTCAGCAGTAGCATAGCCGTGCGCCAAGAGGGCCTGGAAGCGTTCGAATCTGCTGTTGCCGCTGTTGAAACGCTCCGAGAGGGTGTCAAACGATGCATTTAAAGGGCGGGCGCTCGGTTCTGATCCGAGACGTTACGTCACCGTCGTGTTTCGTCACCGCGCATGGAAACATGGAAACCCTGCGTCTATCCAGGGTCTGTATCGCTTGGCAGCTTCTTCCACTTGCGTTAGAAGGCAGCGAAATTTGGTAGCTGTGTTTGCGTCGTGTTTGGTACGCGTCGTAGGGATGATGGTGGCACCTTCAAGCGCACTCCAGCTCGCTTGAGCACTGCGACTTCTCCCGACTCATCGAACCACTGCCGGAAAACAAGGCAGGCCTTCTCCACCATCACGATGCCCGTACTCTCTTACGGTCGATGGCGCAGAAACCTGCAAGAGGCAGATTGTGCGTTATGCGCAGGGGGTCTTGCTGACCGGGCCTCGCCGGAGCAAATAGGCGCTCAATAAGTGCCTTCATCAGTCGGTTTAGTCCTGCACACATGTGCACAATCTGCCATGATCTTCTCGAACAACGAGCTGCAAACAGAGCACCCGCGGAGCATAGAAGCATCACAGAAGACACTATATTGTCCGTCGAATGCCGTCCACCCGACAGGCTAATGCATGCTACATGAGATGGGTGGATATCAGTGACGTGCCAAGAGGACCCTTAGAGAGCTCCGTCAGCTCACCCATCGAGGTTTCTGCAGTGTAGGTAGTCTGGTAGCGTGCGGGTAGAACAAAGTGGAACCACTTCGTTTTCTTCGGTGAAGCCCAGCAGTCAACGGAGCGTTGAGCCGTATGTGCGTATTCGCTGTAGTGAGTGCTAAGCAGTGCACCACGCGGTGAAGCTCAAGCTATACTGCTCTGGGGCAAGATCTGCCACGTACAGAAGAACTGCTGCACGACGAGGTAACGTGGGGGTTACGTGCGAGCTTCACAGTCATAACGGGCCGAATTCGTTCCCTCGAAAGACACGCTCGAAGAATTTGGAGGAATCAGGTTTCATGTCTCGTCACTGACCATGTTATACACTCTAGCCGCTAGTTCTCTAGCTATAATACTGTGAACACTCGCTACCACTCCATGCCAACAGGCTGTAAATCTGAGGTAAAATGCTCCGTCTCGTTTTTAAAAGTTCAACCAGTGACCTTGTAGATGGCCTCGGCCAAGCGCCCAACGTTGTCGCTCGTGATGCCGGCGACCGAGATACGGCCGTCCTTGGTCGCGTACACAGAGTGCTGGGATGATGGTCAGCCTATGAATATGACAAATATTGCGAATACAAAAGACTTACCTCCTTGGCCAGAACGTCCATCTGCTCTGGCTTCAGACCAGTGAACGCGAACATGCCAATCTGGGATGTGATGTGGCTCCAGTCACGCTTGCTCCCGAGCTTCTCGAGGTTTTCCTTGAGAAGAGCACGCATGGTGATGATGCGGTCGGCCATTCCCTTGACCTCACCCAGCCATTGCTTGTTCAGCGAGGCGTCGTTCAAGATCTGGGAAGCAATACGGGCGCCGTGGACTGGGGGGTTGGAGTATAGCGGACGGACGAGGATCTTGATCTGGGAGTCAACACGCTTCTTCTCATCAGCCGACTCGCAAACAACCGAGAAGGCACCGACACGCTCGCCGTAGAGACCCTGCAGGTGATGTCAGTAGGTAGACAATGTGAGAGATCGGTGATGCTCATACCATGTTCTTGGCGAAGCTCTGGCACAGCACAGGGCGGAGGCCCTCCTTGATGAAGTGACGAAGAGCGAACGCGTCAGTGTTGGTGTCACCGCTGGCAAAGCCCTGGTAGGCCATGTCGAAGAAGGGGAAGTGGTCGCCTTCCTTGACAGCTTCGGCAATCTTGGTCCATTGCTCCTCAGTTGGGTCAACACCAGTCGGGTTGTGGGCGCAGGCGTGGAGCAGGACGATGCTGTTCTTGGGCATGGCCTTGATGTCGGCGACCATGCCCTCGAAGTCGAGACCAATGGTGTCCTTGTTGTAGTAGCGGTACTTCTCAACCTTCAGACCGCAGTCCTTGAAGACAGCGTTGTGATTCGCCCATGATGGGTTGGGGATGTAGACGGTCTTTGGGCCGGGGTAGTGACGCTCGAGGAAGGCGCCACCAATGCGGAGAGCGCCGGTACCGGAGATGGTCTGGGTGACGGCAATGAGGTCTTCCTTGAGGGGAGCCGAGTCAGAGCCATATGCAAGGGTGAGAGCAGCCTTGGTGAAGGCTGGCACACCGGTGATGCCGGCATACTCCTTGTCCAGGGCTGACTCGACGATCTTCTTCTCTGCCTCCCTCACAGACGGCAGCACGTACGGCTTGCCCTTGTCGTCGCGGTATGCACCAACGCCTGCACGAGTCAGATGCACGTCTTCTCTTTGGTGTCCACAATGCACGAACCCAAGTTAATCTTCTTTGGGTTGCTGTCGGCCTTGAAGGCTTCAGTGATACCCAGAATGGCCTACGCAGGGGAGGGTGAGTTGTGCGCATGAATGAATATTGCTTATGGGTCTAGCTTACGTCCTAGACAAAAGTCAGCATGTCTTGAGCTTCCATGGTGCCTCAATGGCTCGTGTCACTCACGGGAGGGCCCTGGGGAACCTGGGACCATGCCGAGATAGCTCGGACGCTGCTCTTGACAGTCAGCTGCTTTGACACAGCTTGACGCAGCGCGGTTCTTGAAGTAGCGAGCATTGTGAGTGTGAATGTGATGGGAAGGGGGAGTGGATTGCAGATGAGAAAAAAGCGGTGGAGTAGAGCTCGCTTGATCAGGTAAGAGCTAGGAGTGGCTGTCGCGGTGGTCTGAGAGTGCTTCCCCAGAAACGCAAATGTCTCCGCCACTTTACGCGATGATGTGACGCTTGGTTGGCGGCGGTCCACATCCCTGTCAAGCGCCGACTCCGATAATTTTTTGGACGCAGCGAGACAAGGCAGTGAGTGACAGGACGTCAACCAGGAAATCGACTACGCGTATTACTCAGCACTGGACGTTCTTCGAAGCATGCGACCTGCTCTGCGACAAGCCAGGACGCTGCTGAACCACGATGCTCACCAGGCCTCGATACCCGCATTCCTCTGTCCTGCCCTCCTCCGAGTGCCTGCCCCCACCACACCGTGTCGCAATGTGCGACCACGCCAGCCCTCGAAGGCATTCTCGACTTTTAGACAAGCACGGCAAGAAGTCAACACATCTACACACTCGACGGATGCGCCTGTCGCCCGCAGAGCACTGCCGCGAGCATGTCCGGGATGTGGAGCGCCAACACAAGTCTTCGACAAAAAAGAGGCCGGCTACTACAACATAGACAGGAGGGTGGTCCGCGAATACCTGGACTTGGACCATGGCAAAGTGGAGGGCGCGACCGAAGAGGACAGCATCTACTCGCAGGCGCTGGAGAAGATGGACCCAGAGCTGCTGAAAGAGATGGGACTGGGCCAGGACACGCTCGAAGCACCAGGCGGCGCAGAGAAGCAGTCTGCAGAAACCCCAGTATGCGACCGCTGCCACAACCTCATCCACCACCGCGTGGGCACGCCCATCCACCATCCCACCGTCGAGTCCATCCAGCAGACCATCGCCGAGTCGCCGCACAGGCGCAACCACATCTACCACATTGTCGACGCCGCAGACTTCCCGCTGTCAATCGTCCCGAATCTGCAGTCGTCTCTACGCATACCCAAGCTGCGCACACAGAACAGGCGAGCAAAACACAAAGGATGGGTGGCCAACGACCGCATCGCAGAAGTCAGCTTCATAGTCACAAGAGCCGATCTGCTGGCCCCCAAGAAAGAGCAGGTGGACAGGCTGATGCCGTACGTGCAGGAAGTGCTACGCGACGCACTCGGGAGAGACAACAACAAAGCTCGTCTGGGCAACGTCAGGCTCGTCAGCGCAAAGCGAGGGTGGTGGACCCGGCAGGTCAAAGACGACATCTGGGAACGCGGAGGCGCAGGCTGGATGGTCGGCAAAGTCAACGTCGGCAAGTCGAATCTCTTCGAAGCCGTCTTCCCCAAAGGTCGAGGCGCCGACTACCAAGACGTGCGCAAGATCCGCAGCACAGCTGAGCGCGAGCAGATGCTCGCCAGTGCAAAGTCGCTAGACGAGCTCACCCAGATGCAGCGCCAGCTCGCCGACGAAGACGACGAGGTCCAAAAACGACTCAACAAGCCAAGGGAACACCTCCACCAGCCCCCCCAGCCCGAACAACCAACCCCAGAAGAAGAAGAAGAAGACGACTTCGAAGACCCCGACGCGCTCCTCCCTCCCCCCCAACCCTACACAGCCTACCCCGTCTTCCCCATCGCCTCCTCCCTCCCCGGCACAACCGCCTCCCCAATCCGCATCCCCTTCGGCCGCAACCGCGGCGAGCTCGTCGACCTCCCCGGCCTCGCCCGCACAACCCCCGGTCTAGAAACCTTCGTCCACCCCGCCGACCACGACTCCCTCACCATGACGCACCGCCTCAACGCCCCGCGCTTCGCCCTCAAACCAGGCCAATCCCTCATCCTCGGCGGCGGCCTCATCCGCATCACCCCGCTCACAGAAGAGCTAGTCTTCCTCGTCCACCCCTTCACCCCCATCCACCCGCACGTCACCCGCACAGAGAAAGCGATAAACTACCAAGCCCAATCCTCCGACCGCACCCTACAAGTCCCCCCCATCCTCGCCCCAAACGTCGGCCCGCAAATGTCCTCCGCCGGTAGGTTTCAACTCAAATGGGACGTTACCAAGCAGCTCGCTGGCCCGCTTACCTCCTCTGTCGCCGCGAAGATGAAGCCGGAGAACCTGCCCTTTCGCGTCTGGAGCACGGATATCCTGATCGAGGGGTTGGGCTGGGTGGAGATCTCGGCACAAACCCGCCGCCCGCAAGGCTGGTCGCCCGTCGGCATGGCCAAAAAAGATCCCAATGCTGCTCGTACTGCTAAACTCGCTGCCCAGCGCGAGATGGCGCTGTATAAGGACCGTAAGTTTAGCGCCATCGCGCGCGCGGAGGAAGAAAATCGCGATCCGTTTGCTGCTGTGCGGGAGGAGTTCGCTAAAGGGGATCCGTCTACCAGCGATGGTGTGCCGGCCAGGGGCGATGCGTTCTCGAGACCCGATGTGACGCCCGGCGACGCACTCGCAGACTGGCAGCTCGCGTACCCCGAGATCGAAGTGTTCAGCCCGTTGGGCAAGTTTGTCGGCGCGCGCAGACCCATGTGTGCGAGTGCTGTTAGTGGGCCGAGGCAGATTAGTAGTCGGGAGCGGACGGTGCGGCCGAGGAGGAGTATGGTGAGTGTTAAGCGGCAGAGGGGGCCGGGGGGTGGGGGTTCGTAGTCATTGGGGGAAGGGGGGTGTATGAATAGGGTGTGTAGATGGAAGAAAGGAAGGAAAGGAAGGAGAGGGAAGATTTATGAGCTTCTCTACTCTACTCGTCTTGCTTGATATATGGAATACACGTTACGCCGTGATATGATGTGATATGGTCGTGTTAGATGTCTATCTGTACATGTACATACACTCTTTCTCAACCTGGAAACTACATCAACCAACCAACCAACCAACCAACCAACGCCTCTTTTCGCCGTAAATCCCAACCCTAACAATCTCCATTTCATGCCGCCCAAACCCCCCCTCCCCTCCTCTAAGTATCCACCGCCACCTCGATAATTTCTTCAAAGACACAGTCTACGCCCTCTCCAGCCTCTCGAAATACGGCTGCTGTTCCGTCTCGCAGCTCCGCCCATCGCGATCGCAGCCAGGAAACGTCGCGACAAGATCGCCCTCCTTGAACTGGCCGTCGTGCTCGCTCGCAGGGCCCGACGCATAGGAATTGAATGTGTTTTGGGGGACGAGGGCGAGTTTGGCGAGCATGGTGCCGTGCCATCTAGGAAACCAGTTAGCTAGCACACAACCACACACGCGTGGAAAAAAGAGAAGGGGAGGGGGAAACGCACTGCACGATATGCTCCAACGCATGCGTCTCCGCCTTCTGAAAGTTATAGCTGCGATAAATCGGGTCGAACCAAGCATCGAGGAAGAACTTTGCCCACTCGCCATTCCGCACTACGAAGCTGGTGGGCGCTAGACCCTCCTTGTCCTGCGTTACGATCAGGTCGATGCGCGACCCTTTTATGTTGGCGAAGGTCTTGATTACGCTGTCGGGCGGCACGACGGGGGTGTTTGTGATCATGAGGTTCTCGAGGCGTGTGGGGTCGAGGAGGTGGGTTTGCAGGTTGAGCGTGGGCGTCATGATCAGCGCGCTGCTGTCGAGGTACCAGAAGAATGTTGAGCCGGGGTGTAGGGTCATTGCGTGGCGGAGGGCGGGGACGCGGGACCAGGTTGGGGGTGCGCGTTTGAGGTCGTATTGCGTGGGTGTGGGGAAGAAGGTTAGGTAGCCTGGGGGTGGGAGGGTTAGCTTGACGGGTAATGTGTCAGGGGAAGGGCATGTTATACCATGTCTCTTCGCATAGTCCTCCCTGTTCGTCCTGATCTTCTGGGCCCATGCCGGGTTGGCCTTGGGGTCTAGCACCGTGACGATGACGACGGGCGGGCCGCTCCCTATCGCGACCTTGGGCAGATCTACCGCTCCCCTTGCGCCGCGAGACCCCCCTCTCAGCCAGAGCAATGTGATTAAGGCCAGTACGCCAACGACGGCCAGGCGCAATCTGCTCCGTAGCAAGTTCCTCAGCGCCGGCGGGAGGGATATGCCGCCCTGGTTCCGTGCGGCATAGGGCGGTGGCCGCGACGTTTTGCGGGGGGGCAGGGCGAAGTGCATTGTGGATTGGGGGAGGGGGGTGTGTGGCTTCAAAGAGGCCACTTGTGAGGGATCGCGAAGGGGGGATGGGGCAGTTGTGGAGGGCGAATGGGTGTTGCAGACGGCTACGAAACCATGCTGGCGATCCGACTCGGGGAAGAGGAAAGACGAGGATTGAAGGTCGAGACTCCAGATAACATTCGGCTGGCTGTAGATTCGCGCGTAGGCGTGGAAATTACAGCCAGATTATCTGGTCTTGGCTCTGCCGACTCGGGGACCCTTGCTTTAGCGCCTGTTCCACGCGATGGCCCCCATGCCGTGCGTCTGAGGTTTGTATGCTCGAGGCTACTTTTCTAATTGAAGCAGATCTTTCTCGAACACTCGGATATGCTCAGTATGGCATGTACTAGGAACAATGCATACTCATCCACAAATGACGTCCATCGTGCATCGAGCCTCCGCCGAAGCCCGCCGCAGCTGAGCCATGTGGCATTCCTAGACTGCATCAACAAAAAGCATATCGACACATACCCGGTGCTGTCATTGAACCCCAACAGCCGGTCAGTTATTATGGGTCAAACTGAAAGCTGGCGATCAAACTCCAGTACCGCCAAGACGTGATGGAAGAGGAAGCAACCCCCAATTGGGAAGACGCCATCTGAACGAGCGAGTAGCGGAACATGCGGATCCAAAGTTCGGGGACGACCACTTCGATAGTCGATGATTACTCGAGATGCTTCCGTAGCAGCATGGTGTCAACTCGGCATACCCGCTATGACGTCGAGAGCTTGTCACTAGAATGTGGTTCCATACGAATTTGATTACTTATTTGAACATTTGTTTTCCGTCTTCCTCTGTCATTCAATCTTCCTCGAAATACCCATTTTCTGAAATCTCCACATACATATAAAGAACTGGCAACATGGTCGAAAAAGTCATCCAGTTGAAATGCTCCTGCAACGAGTACCCGTGGGGGAAGCAGGGCAAGGAATCGCTGGCTGCGAGACTGTGCGAAAAAACACCCGGCACAGACTTCAAGATCGACGAGAAGACGGCATATTCTGAAATGTAAGTCGCGTTGATACCACGACTTGTAACTCTTTGCTAACACATGACAGGTGGATGGGCACATATCCAGAGCTCCCGTCATACGTCCTGTCCACGGGAGAAAACCTCCAAGACGTGCTCGACAAACACCCCGAGGAGCTGATCGGGAGTAAAGTCGTCGATGCCTTCGGCCATACAAACCTCCCCTATCTGCCCAAGGTGCTATCAATAGCAAAAGCGCTGCCTCTCCAACTCCACCCAGTACGCCCCATCCATTTCCACAATACATCCAAGCACGCCCTAACACCACCGTAGAACAAAGACCTAGCAGCAAAATTGCACAAGAAGAACCCAGATCAATTCACCGACCCAAACCACAAGCCAGAAATCGCGCTTGCCCTAGGTGACTTCGAAGCCTTCGTGGGCTTCAAGCCACTCGCAGACATCAAGCAACTGCTCCAACTCGCGCCCCTGCAATCCTTCCTCCCACCGGTACAAAAGCCCGAATTCGACGACCAAACCCTAAAACACGTCGTGCAATCCATGCTCGAAGCCTCCGAAGACACCGTCCGCAAAACAAACGACGCGCTCCTCGCCCTCCCAAAATCCTCCTTCGGCACCGCAACCCACATCCCAACCCTCATCCCGCGCCTATCCGCGCAGTTCGACAAAGCAGACAACGGCACCCTCGTCGCCCTCATCACAATGAACTACATGCAACTCAAAGCCGGCGATAGCATATATATCCCCGCTGATGGCATCCACGCTTACCTCTCCGGCGATATCATCGAGTGCATGGCCCGCTCTAATAACGTGCTCAACACGGGTTTCTGCCCCCGCGCTGACCGCGACTCGGTCGATATGTTCGTTAACTGCCTGACGTTCACGCCTCATGCTGCTGAGGAGGCGCTCCTCCCGTCCCAGCCTTTCGATCGCAGCAAGAACGGCAAGACGAAGATGTATGCCCCCCCGCTCAGCGAGTTCAGCATGTTGGCTTCTGAGGTCGAGGCCGGTGAGAAGGAGACGATCGGCAAGCTCGCCGGCCCGAGTGTCATGATTGTTACCGAGGGGCAGGGCGCGCTGGAGGTCGAGGGCAAGACGTATGAGTTGAGCGCGGGGTATATTTTCTTCGTCGGACATGGGGTGGAGATTGGGATCAAGGCCACGGAGTCGCTGAAGGCGTTTACGGCTTTTGTTGAGTAGAGGGAATGGGTTGTGTTATTAGCCGGGAACTGCATAATATTGTGTTATATACTATTAACGACGCCTTATCCGAGTTTGAACTAAACCAAACACATCTGCATCTACATCCTCTCCTTCCGTCCTTTACCTTTGACAACCCACTTCCACACCCGCACAGTAGTTCTCTCCACCCGCCCAGCGACTTTCTCCATCTTCTCCATCTCCCTCAAACTCCGCGCCCGCTTCAATCCCCCCACACCTGGATCTATATTACCTTCCTCACACACGCTCGCAGTCAAGGAACTGCAATGCGAGGAATCCTCTTCCCGGATACCCGACAGGTCTCGTTCCATATTGCGTGGACGGTAAGTGTCTGCGGAGTTTTTAGTAGTAGATGTAGGAGAAGTGTTATGTTTGGGAACGGCGGGGAAGGACGGGAGGCTTGATGGACACGTCAGTTTGGACGCCGGGTTTTGTGTTTGAGGGGGTTGCACAGTGATGGGCGGGAAGAGAGTATAACGTGGACGTGGACGTAGAGGAGTGCTGTGCTTAGGTTCGGACTTGTCATTCTGATCGGGATTGGGGTTGTTTTGATCGGTTGGGAGCTGCATTGAATAGGTTATGTTTGAGATGCGGTGGACAAAGGGGTGACTTGGTAGATTCAGATTAGGTTGTATATAATGAGACAAAGTGGTGAGACATTGTGCCTCCCTACAATTTTGCTAAGAAGTTCATAGTGTGATAACAGGGTCGATGATGATGTACAATGATAGGTTTTTATAAACGACATAGTGAAGTGGAGTGAATATAAGTGAAAGACTCAAACCCCATATAACACAAACACGTCTAAATACAAAACACACCTCCCAAATCTTCCCAACACCGTCCACTTGCATCACCAACACCCCCACCCATCAATCTACCCAACAACCAATCTAGGCCCCCTCCGACCCACCCACCATCCCCCTCCCCTCCGCTCCCTTGATCCAACCCACAACATCCCCCCCGCCCTCCTCACCCTCCCCCACAACCCCCCCTTCCCAACAGCTTCAGACTTAGAACCCATCTCCCTCGCCCTCTCCTCACGGTACAGCATAAACCCCACCGCCGCCTCACGGCCCACGTGCAGATCTTCCTGCGCAGCGTTTACGACGCGCGGGATGGGTTTTGCACTGCGGGGTGGAGGGGGAGGCGGAGGCGTGTATGTGCTTAGTGAGGAGGTGCGGTTTGTGATGTAGAGAGTGGGGAGGGCGCCGAAGTCGTGGTTGGGGAAGAGGGAGTCGCGGAGTGGATGGTCGGAGTGGTGCTGTGGATTTGGGGGGGTTGGGGAGGTGGGTAGGCGCTCTTGCTCGCTGTCCTCGGGGATGCTGTGGGGAGCGACTTCGCTCTGCTGTCGCCCAGGTTTGGGTCCAGATTGGTGCGCATGAGAGCTAGTGACGCGGTTGTGCGAACCATTGTAGTTTGATGATACTGTGTTCATGCTCATGTTCACTGGTGTGGCTTGATATGGAAAGCGTAAAGGTGAAGGGTTTTTTTTATTTATACGCTTCGGTCACGCCATTCACTCTGTTGGTATGCGCGTTGAACGCGGATGTTTGATTGGTTGGTGCATTGTGCGTTCACAATGTTGGGGTGGGGTGGTGTGTAGGGGGTCGAGTGAATGGACGGCGCGTTGTGTGAGGTCAGGTGAGTGGAGGTATGGCGAGGATTGGGGGATGGGTAAGGAGAGATGGGTAAAGCGGGTAGGGTCTGTGGAGGTGATGGTTCGTTGTAAAGGTGTGGATGTTACTACTACGCTTTCAGTCAGTATCCCAGCATGCAAGTGGCTCGATGCTCTACTTAAGTTGGATTGCAGTGGTGTATATCAATCCCCGCACTTTTACACCCCGAAATCCGAATAAATATACCCTCGCTACACTTCCAGCTCGACACTACCCTCCACACCCATCCACACCCATATCCCCACACGCCATCTTCCGAGATCCATCCAAACAACACCGTGTAATCGATCTATCATCCTCCCTCTCCCCTCCCCCCTCATCTTCCCACCCCGCTTCCCCACCACCAAACCACCCAAACATCATCCACGCCCTACCCCCCTTTCCCACCACCAGACTTTCATCTCCCTCCTCCCCACCGCAAACACCAAGCGCTTTCCGTGTCGCGACCTTAACTTCAGAAATTCTTACACGCTCCTCACGCGAGAGCCTTGAGGTTTTATACACTGACTGTGTGTGCAGAACGGGTATGGAAGCGCGATGTGAGTATGAGTATGAGGAGTGGGAGGTGGAGGTGGAGGTGGAGGTGGAGAAATGGGCTTCTATGTCGTGCGTGCGCGAGAGGCGGCGGTGCGTGTCTGAGGGCAGATTGCTTGGGGGTTGGAGAGGCATTTGTGGTTTTTGGGGCGTGGGTTGGGTTCGGTGAGCTGGGAAAGGGGGGTTTGGAGGTTGAGTTGGGTTGAGAGGTTTAGGGGGTGTGGGGAGGGAAGGTGGTGTTGTGTTGTGTTGTTTGCTCACAACTTGCATATTGTTTCACTTTTTCTTGGTGGTCTTGTTTGTTGTTTCACTCACTGTGGAGGCTAGTTGGGGTGATTCAGATGTTGTGAGTTAAGGCTTTTTATGTTGTGGATGGAGTGATGGGGTGGAGAGGGATGTCGTAGGTAGTTGAGAAAAAGAGCAAATGGGATGTAATTTAACCAGCTATCTTATTGCTGGAGAATACAGTCCAAGTTCTAGCATAAAGTTGTTGTAACAACAGACTAACTAACTTCTACCATTGCACTCCTTGCATGGGCCGCGCATGAAACACGTGCAAGAAAACATATATCTGTATTTATGAAAGAAACTCAAGCCAACCACATCAAACATAAACAAAACAAAACTTCAACAGCACCCAATTATCTTCCAGCACGTGAAACACATCGTGTAGTTGTCCCAGTACAATTCATACATATCCTATCCTGATGCAGCCTAAGAAATGTCAAGACAGGACAAAAACACACTCCCTTGCAAAAACAAGTATGCGAAATATGAGAGTAAGCAGAGCTTATAAACGCTAGACATCATTTTAGCCGACATGATTTATGATATCCAAGCAAGACCCCAACAAGAAGAATATCCTCAGTGTTGTGTGTTTACAAGAAAGACATAAGAAAACCCATAGTATTGCAAAAAAGAGCAAGCAAAACAGCACAGCAAAAGCCCCACCGAGCATCAAGAAAAGACATATCCAAACCCCCATTCCCACCCTCATCACCCATAATCAACCCCCACAAAACCACCCCAACCACCTCCCCCTCCTCCACCCCCCCTCTTCTTCTTCTTCTTCTTCCTCCCCCTCCCCCACCTCCCCGCCCATCCTCCCCCCCTCAACAAAAGATTCAAACACACACCCGCGATCACACGCCCACGTCTTCCCATCCGCGGGATTAATCGTGTGCGCGACGTTTACGCTGCGGAAGGTGTTGGCGGTGGCGGTGGCTTGGTGTTGGTGGGTTGGTTTGTGCGGGGTGGGGGTAGGGGTTATTTCGGGGTTGGCGGGCGGTGATGAAGTGGGGGTGGTGGTTTGTGTCATGGTTTTGGATTTGGATTTGGATTTGGTTCTGGGTTTGGTTCTGGGTTTGGATTTGGATTTGGATTTGGTTCTGGTTCAGTGGGTGGGCGTGGATGGGCGTTGGTGTTTGTGTTGGTGTTTTGTACTCATTATTTTGTTAGTTTTCTCGTAAGTTGGCAGGGGGGTTAGACGAGAGGTCGTGGTTGTCCATGTGTGGAAGCGGTAAGTGCGATGGAGTGTAGTTCCGGATATGATGCTACATTTATCCATTAGCCTGTCTCGTCGGGTAGGGTGTCGTTTACGCGACTTAGAAGTCACTTCTGGAACGCGCTGGTAGTGTTCATCTGATCTAGAGTTATATGTTGATGTGAGTCGTGCTTTCCTTGTAGGGCTTTCGTTTTTCACGGGATTGGTGTATGTGAGACTGCCACACTGAATCCATGCAAGGGATGTCGTGTGTATAGTGTACATGGATATGCGTGATAAACTGAATTTCGCAATGTGAGGTGAAGATCGGAGATGAAGGGCGCATTTAAAGAAGATAATGTGATATGAGCAACACCGGAGATTGAGGGTTGAGAGTGCTGATAGAACGCAAGGCTGGAAAATTTGCGTGAGTGCCGTTACCTGAAGTTGTAAAGTCTCAGGGGAAACATGTGTTTGTGTCGATCTGGTGTAAAGTGAACATGTCAGTGCTTTCGTGGAAAGTACCCATAGTGCAGCCTGGCGAAGTGCAGCAACGTCAAGTCCACACATAAATTCAAAGCGATCGAGAAACACATACAAAAAACGAACAACTGCTGCACAACAGTCCGTCTATTCCAAACGCTATGCGACAAGTCCGTTAAGCACAAGCATGGGGGAAAAGCCGTCGTCCAGTATCCATCCTCAGTAGAACGCCCGAACACCACACATGAGCGACGCTCTCCGCACCATACAGTGGAGAAAAGCGAAAACACGCCTTCCAGATGATGAGCAGATGGCCGCTAGATTCTTACACACAAAAAAAGGATTCCATTTAGCCGTCTATTATTTTCTTTTCAACGCCGGCTCTTCAGCCCTGCGCGGCCTGCAGTCGATCGCCTGGCTGGTTTTGGTTCCTCCTCACTCTCCGACACGCCTTCTCCGTCGTCCAAGTCATCACTCATAGGCTCGGAGATGTCGTCGCCCACGTCGTCGTCTGTCTCCTCGGCTTCGTCATCGATGAGCCCGTCGGAGTCTTCGCTGCCCTCTTCCGAGTCTTCGTCGACTTCCATTGTTGTTGGCATTTCGTCGACGGAGCTCTCGTCATCGTCCTCGAAGTCTTGTCGTATCCTCTTGCGAGATCCAGCGGCTGCATCCTCGTCATCTCCCTCGACAGACGAGACGTAGTCGTCCTCGCCTTCGACATAGATGACTGCCTCATCTTCGTCGTCGTTGGCTGCTTTCTGATTCCGTCTTCGCAGCTCGAGCTGGGCTTGCAGCATATCCAGGCGGCCCTTGAGTGAAAGCAGGGGCTGCAGTCCGCTGGCGCGCTCCTTGAGCACCTTGTTTAGTGTCGTGAGTTGCTTGACCAATTGTGGCTGGCTTGCGAGATATCCACCGTGCGCGGCCAGAGACCATTGCACCCATACCATGAGCATGCCTGCGCGTCCAGGCTTCTTGTGTAGACGCTCAGCGAGCTTTTGCAGCAGGGTTCCGACTAGCGGCGAGGGCAGACGTTCGACGGTGGCATAGATGGTGTCGACGTCGATTACCCGCAGACACGACTCGAGGAGCTCTTGGTCGTTTGTTCGCAGAGCTTGGGTCAGGACGGTTCCTAGCGACGAGGCTGACGGCGCGGAGAGGGGGCGGCTGTTCGCTGCTGTGGCTAGTGCCCTCGATTCGGCGTTGGCACCAACAAACGCTGATTCGACGTCTACAATACGCGACTCTCGTACGGGCTCTGGCTCGGAAGCACGTAGGCGGTCGCCAAACGACAGGTCTTCTGGGTCTACGGTCTCGTCGTCCATCAGCCGGTCCTCGGCGTCGCCATGCCCGTTCACAGCAGGTGCCGTCTCGTCGACGTCCTCCTCTGGCTCATCCTCAGACTCAGACACGTCGCTCTCCTCCTCCTCGGCGCTGCTGATCTCAATGACTTCCTTGGCGGCATCCTTCATGTCGACGTCACCGTGGCCAGACTGTCCGCCGCCCACAACCGCGGTGGCTTCGTCGACGCGATCGTGGCGCGCAGGTTTGGCGCCATTCAGCTTGGCGGTGGGCTTCTGGGCTGCACCCCCGTTGAGCAGTGCTTTGAGGCCGTTTTGACGAATCGTGGCCGGCGACTGGGCGAGCTTCGTCTTCTTTGCCGGCGGCGCCGAGTCGCGGGTCGCTTTGGACGGCTTCTGGTCGCGGGCGCGCGAGGCTACTGCAGCAGGCATGTTGGCGGTTGGCGGTGCTCCTGTGTCGAGGCAGCCGGAAGAGCTGTGCGACTGTTGATTGAGGAACGCGAAGCTAATCGAGGAATTGGGAAAAAGTTTCTCTGTGGGGCTGCTTTTCGCGCTAAGAGCGAGCTGGCAGGGGTGCGGCCTGGTGCTCAACTCTGGTCCGCAACGCGCTGCCGGCACGTCACCTCGTCGGCGCCGGCGTGGGCAGCAGGGCGAGACACGGCGCGGCGAGCTGCTCTGCACACGCCACGCCCACAGTGCAGCAACCCACCAGCGCAGCAGGGCCGTCGACGACGCATCCGCGCATCATGGGCAAGAGACGCCACGTGACCTCAGGGGTCCGTGCCAAGCCATTTCGGCCCAGCGTCGTCGACTGGTATTAAACACTGAGCCGCCCGCATCCTCAATCTCAACTTTCGTTCTTGCAGTTGCCTTTTCCCGATCGACTCCAATCAACGCCGCCCCTGCTCCGAACCCCCCTCGCACCCCACCACATTCACTCGGGCCCCAAGTCGCTACCCCCGGAGCCTAGGCCCTGCTGCATACGCTCCCAGGAATAATAATAATCGTCGCGCATTCCCCAGCCAGCTTAGCGCCACCGGCCATTGTGCACCCAACCTCCGTCGCCATCCGTGCACCGCTGCTTCGTGGTTTGTCTTGTTGCAGACCGCATCGCTGCACAAAGCCGTGGTGTAGCACCTGCACGCGCGCCTCGCCACACGACAACAAACGCGTCGGCGTCGGCGCTTCTCACCGCAGCATATCACTCTTGACTCACATCGCGCGCCCTCTTTGAGCTTCCCGCCGCCACCACTCGGTACGTCACGTGAGCATGGGCCGTTTCAGCCTTCGACATATATAGTCCTCGCGCCCCTCGCACTATTTTCCATCACCCTCCCGACAAGCCACACGTCAACCAGCCCCACTCACAGCAACAAGCATCTTTCTGCGCCGGCCTTTACCTTGCAACTGCCACCAACGCGCCTACATTCGCGTAATCGCGTGCGCGCAGATCTGCAAGTCGCTAACATTTCGAGAGCAGCCTCATCATCAAGCGCTGCACACAGCCAGTCATCTGTGCGCAAACCCGCCTTCATTTTCATGGACCTATGGCAGTAATGACATCACCTGCTTTCGACAAATCACCTCTAGACGTCAAGGCAAGCGCCTTTGCGCCGACAGACGCCATGGCACTTGATACCGAGGCGAATGGGTGAGTGAGCCGAGCTCTCATCGCGTGCACTCCACGCTTCATCTCACCTTGCGCATAGACTAATACCAGGCATTAGCATTCACGATGTGCTCTTCGACGAGCCAGGCACCAATACCAACCCGACCGAGGATGCTGCGCAAGACCCTGTCGATGACTCTGCGCAACTCAAGTCAACCACAAACGGAAACCACGTACCCTCCGACACGTCAGCGTCTGCGATCGAATCCAACACAAACAACGGTGTCGCACAGGCCTTGCCTGATACTTTGGAAGACGTGGACTCTGCGCCTCTGCTTGAGCCTACTACAAACGTCTCCAGTGGTATTGACGGCATTGCGCAGTTTCTGCCCGATGCTATGCAAGACACAAACTCGTCGTTCGGCGACTCTGAAGACATCGGCACGACCTCGCTAACGCATGCAGCGGAGGCCCCTACCTCTGATGTACGCGACGACGTAGAAGTCAAAGCAGAGCAGTCAGCCGAGGTTCCAGCCGCAAGTGAGGGTATTGAGCAAGTATCTGAGGATCAGGTTGATTCGAAAGATGACTTGTTTGGAGATGCCATGGACATCTCGGCCGATATGACCGAGGACACGAAGCCACCTTCAAGCTCGGCTGCGCCTCCGACCAACTCGATGACAGAGCTTACCATTCAAACACAACTCGGCAATGTCCCTGCACCGCTCGACTCGGCAAAATCACCCAAGAACATGGATCATGCTATGGAGGATGCGCCAATGTCTGGCAAGGTGCGACGGCGCGAGGAAGATGAGGATGACGTTCCAGAAGCAAAGCGAACCAAGACCGAAGACGACATGAACGGCCAGATCGACTTCAAGGTCCCCGACGTCCCCTCTCAACCAGAGCAACCGAGTGCAAATGCGAATGCGAATGGCGTCCCTAGGGGGGTTGCTGTGCCCATCAGTCATGAACCATCCGGTCTTCAGCACGCAGTCGACTACGAACATTGGCCCACAGCTACGATGACCGAGGCTCAGAACAGGTTTCTGCTAGAGAGGATACGGAATACGAAGAAGATCAAAGTCTCGCTTGCGTTCAAAGATCCGGTCGATCCAATAGCTCTCAACATCCCAACTTACACGACAATAGTCACAAAGCCTATGGATCTTTCGACGATGGAGGGTAAGTTGAAGGAGAAGAGATACACTCACGTCAGGGAATTCATGTCAGATCTTGACCAGATGATTGAGAACAGCGAGTTGTTCAACAACAAGCAGCATCCTGTCACACAAGCTGGCTACAATCTGCGCGCGTATTTCCTCAAAGGTATGGGCAAGATGCCTAGGGGTAGTGTCGAAGAGCCGCCAAAGCCGGTGAAGGTGAGGAAACCATCGTCCAGCTCTGCGCCCAAAGCTCGACGTGATTCCAGAGCGCCGCCGGTAACGGTCAAGTCTCCCACAATCCCTACTCCCGCAGTCGCATCGCCACAAGCCGCGTGGCCTCTGGGTCAGGATGGCATCCCCGTCATTCGTCGAGATTCGTCGAGTGCCAACGACCGGCCTAAGCGAGAGATCCACAGGCCGTCCAAGGATCTGCCCTACGCCAACGCTAAGCCGAGAAAGAAGAAGTTCCAGCAGGAGCTGAAGTTCTGTGAGAGCGTCATGGCGGAGCTCACGAAACCAAAGTACGCTGCTGTCACGTATCCTTTCATGGTTCCTGTCGATCCTGTGGCGCTGAACATCCCGTCGTACTTGAAGATCATCAAGAAACCCATGGACTTTGGAACGATTGACAAAAACCTGAAGAATGGTGTGTACCAGAGCGCGAAGGACTTCCACAACGACGCGCAGCTGGTTTTCCAAAACTGCTACAAGTTCAATCCCGAGGGCGATGTCGTCAACAAGATGGGCAAGGAACTCGAGTCTCTCTTTGAAGAGTTGTGGAAAGAGAAGGCCGACTGGCTTGCTCAGCATGCGCCCGCCCCCGAGCAATCTCCTGGGGAGCTCTACTCGGATGAGGATGACGAGGAAGAAGAGGAAGAGGAGGATGACGATCCTGCCCAAGCCCAATTCCTAGCCATCCAGCAACAGATCGCGGCTTTGAACGAGACGGCGCAACAGCTGCTCAAGCAGCAAACAGGCAAGCGCGCGTCGCCCAAAGTGCAGAGCAAGAAGAAGTCCAAGGTCGTGGCTCCACCGCCGAAGAAGAAGGCTCCTCTGTCCGTGCCACCTCCTGTGAATGCGCGATCCAACAAGCAGAAGACACGGCCGAAGGCGCCTGCGCCTCTGACGTTTGCTCAGAAGCAGGAGATCTCCGAGGGCATAAGCACTCTGGGTGATGCTGACATGCGTCGTGCAGTCCAGATCATTCGAAATGGATGCCCACACCTCGCCAGTGTGAATGACGATGAAATGGAGCTTGACATGGATGAGATCAACGACGAGACGCTTAGAGAGCTCTTCCGTTTCATCAAATCCATCCGTGGGCCGAGGGCAGGTGCAGCAGCTGATGACGACTTTGAGCCGCCGCGCCCGACGCACAAGCAGACCACCACCACCACAACCAGCAGGCCGAAGAAGAACAAGCCCATGGGCAAGACGGAGCAGGAAGAGAACATGCGGAAGATCCAGGAGAAGCTAAACTCGTTCCAGGGCGGCGCTTCCGGTTCCAGCCAGTCACCACCAGGTGAGTTGTTCGCGCGTGTACTTGGTGACTTTGAACTGACCCGTCCAGCACAAGATGACTCTGACGACGATGACTCGAGCGCGTCTGAGAGCGAGGAAGAGTAATCCTGACTCGTCGTGTGGTTTGTTGCCTTGGCCATGTCCTGGGAATGTCGACAGCATTTTTCCGATGAGTAATTTCATTCGGCTTCGACTTTGTGCTCTCTGTTTTCTCGGTAGTCGCCCCACACCCATTGCAAGCGGTTCTTCGTCCAGTGATCGGTCGATGCTTGAAAGTCGTTATCGATTAGGCTCGTAAAAGCCAACCGTCAGTGCCGTGCGCATCCCATGATTTTACGATTTACCGCCCACCTACCCCCCACATCAATTGTACAGTATACTTCCTGCCCACTGCCGCGGTGCTTGTTTCTGCGGTGGCTTTACGACTTTGACGAAGTTTGCACCTGTTTTTTGGATCCATCATCTTCGAAGAGGTTGGCGTGGATTGGCACGTGGGCGGTTGGCGTGGGATGCATGGATGGGTAATGGTCGGTAGATGGGTGGGGAGGGTGGCTTGCTGTATGAATATGCCTGGCTTCGTCGAGTGGATGGCGAGAATAGAAACTTCAAACATGTTCAAGTGTGTCTCCTGACTGGCGGTGCGTGACCTTCTTCCGTGGGGTGTCGATGCGAGATTTCGACAAAACGTCGGACATGGCGAGTAGAGATGTCGTGATTTGGCGTGTTTGGATCAGCTCGCAGTCAGATTCGTCTGGTCGGAGTGTCGCCATGTATGTTGTCGTAGGGGGGGGGAAGGGGCGGATACGAGCAGGTGATTGTCGGGCGTATGCGTGTGGGTGGCCACTCAGCGGGGGTAGTTCTGCATTGCTGTTAGTGATGCGTGGTATGCGAAGCGCTCGATACACTGTACACAGGTTGTTTGCCCCCTCCACACAGCGTCCGTGGCATGCAGTGAGGCGTATCCCATCATGCGACGGCGGCAGCACAGAAGGAGCGACAAAGGAGTGTCATGGACGGGGTCGTGAACAGGCGTGGAAAGTGACGATGTGAGCAGCAGACGATATACGCAGCGCAGAGGCGAGCAGAGGAGAGAAGGGCCTCGGACGGTGGTTGCGCATTCTTCCTGAGCGGGAGGCGGAGGTGGGGAATCGAGGGACTGGCTGGCGGATGACCAAAGGCCCTGGCTGCCCTGCCGTGCCGTGCTGCTCTGGATCTGGCTGGAGAAGCGGTGCGCGCTAAAAGTAGTCTTTCGCGACCTGAACCTCAAAACTTCCCGCGCTCAAACACGCCGGCCAAACATCCGCGATCCATCACTCCACACCACCTTCACAGTACATTGAGAGTATTATCGCGAGCTCCACGAACTAGGATTGCGACAGAAAAGAGTCTGCGACATCCACCATGGCGACGGTCCCGGTCAGCGAGGTCAAGAGCAACGCGCGCGAGAGCAGGACAGCAGCGCATTCCCACATCAAGGGCCTGGGCCTTTCGAGCGATGGCCGCGCGACACCCTCAGCAGGGGGTTTTGTCGGGCAAGCTGCCGCGCGAGAAGTACGCACATCTTGACACCTCACAGCGAATCCAGTGCTAACTAGCCCCAGGCATGCGGCCTCGTCGTCGACCTCGTCAAAGCGAAGAAAATGTCCGGCCGCGCGGTCCTCCTCGCCGGCGGCCCAGGGACCGGCAAAACCGCGCTCGCCCTCGCCGTCAGCCAGGAGCTCGGCACAAAAGTACCCTTCTGCCCCATTGTCGGCAGCGAAATCTACTCGGCTGAAGTCAAGAAGACGGAGGCGCTGATGGAGAACTTTCGCCGCGCAATCGGCCTGCGCGTCAAGGAGACGAAGGAAGTCTACGAGGGAGAGGTGACGGAGCTGACGCCTGAGGAGGCGGAGAATCCCCTAGGAGGCTACGGCCGCACGATCTCCCACCTCCTCATCCACCTCAAGTCCGCTAAGGGGACGAAGAAACTCCGCCTCGATCCATCTATCTATGAGGCTATCCAGAAGGAGCGCGTCCGTCTCGGAGACGTCATTTATATCGAGGCTAATACCGGTGCTGTCAAGCGCGTGGGCCGCTCCGACGCGTACGCGACCGAGTTCGACCTCGAGGCCGAGGAGTACGTGCCCATTCCCAAGGGCGACGTGCACAAGAAGAAGGAGATCGTGCAGGACGTGACGCTGCACGATCTCGACGTGGCGAATGCGCGGCCCCAAGGCGGTCAAGATATCATGAGCATGATGGGCCAGCTGATGAAGCCCAAGAAGACGGAGATCACGGAGAAACTTCGCCTCGAGATTAATAAAGTAGTGAATCGGTATATTGACCAGGGTGTTGCGGATCTGGTGCCTGGTGTGCTGTTTATCGATGAGGTGAGTCCCTTTATTTCATCCCCCTACGTATTATGTTATGCTGTACAGTGCTAATGACAGATGAAAAAGGTCCACATGCTAGACCTAGAATCCTTCACCTTCCTAAACCGCGCCCTCGAATCCCCCCTCTCCCCCCTCGTAATCCTCGCCTCAAACCGCGGCCACACCCTCATCCGCGGCGGCTCCAACCTGCCCCCCTCCGCCCACGGAATCCCCCCCGACCTGCTCGCCCGCCTGCTAATCGTCCCCACGCACCCCTACAACCCCGCGGAGATAAAATCCATAATCACCACCCGTGTCGCGACAGAGAAGCTGAATATCTCCGACGAGGCGAAGGATAGGGTTGCGTTGTTGGGGGTGCAGGTTAGTCTTAGGTATTCGTTGCAACTGCTGGCGCCGGCTAGTGTGTTGGCGAAGGTTGGGGGGAGGGAGGGCGGGGAGGTGCAGGTCGGTGATGTGGAGGAGTGTGTGGGGCTGTTTTTGGATGCGAGGAGGAGTGCGGAGAAGTTTGGGGGGGAGGGGTATATTGCGTAGATTTTTGGGCGATGAGGACAGTGCGGTGTGTGTGGTGTATGATATAAATCGGCGTTTTGTGGGAGGGGAAGCGAAAGTGAATAGTGAATAGCGAAAGTATTACGATATAACATTGTATCCGTTGCATTTCATTCTATTTCCTTCCGTACTCTGTGTGTTCAGGTTCGCTGGATATGATACAAAATTTCGCCCGTTTCCCCTCCCCCTCCGCATTCTCTTATCCTGTCTTTCCCAGTGTGAAAGTTAGAAATCAGTCACCCTCCCATTATAACTCCAATCCCCCACCGCGCCCCACCGCAACGGCTCGTTCTTCGGCCCCCCCACCTCCCCCGTCTTGGGATTAATCTCGCCGTCGAACTCGGGCGGTGCGCCGCGGCGCATGTTGGGGTGTAGATCGTCGCCCGACGTCGAGGAGGGGGATTGGTTGATTTGCGGCGAGGAACGAGCCGAAACTTGAGATGGCGATGTCGTTGCTGTGCTGGCGGTTTGTGTGGATGTCGCTGTCGTGGCGACGTTTATTTCCGGCTTTGTGTCTTCGGAGCGCGGCGTGCTAAACGCGCCTGTACTAGCTTTTTGTAGTTTTTCGAAGAGGTCTTGGTCTTGTTTTGGGAGGGGGATGGGGGCGGGGCCGCGGGTGAAGGGGGAGGCGGCGTGGCGGGGGGTTGTGCTGAATGCGCGGCGGAGGAGGATTGTGCGGTTCATTTTCGGGGAGGCGGTGGTGTGGATATTAGGGTTGGTCTGGTTTAGGTTGAGAGGTGTGCGGATTACGTGGTTGTGGTGGTGATGTGTTGGTGGTGATGTATTAGAGAGGCGATGGGGAGATTTATGAGCCGCGGCTCGTTGGTTGGGGGTGTCGGGGCCAATCGGAGTGGCGACGGAGGTGGAATGGTTTGATTTTCGAGAACTTTCTTGCTTGTTACGATTAGGATGGGCAAGATAGATCTACATCTACATCTGGATCTGGGATCTTGGAGTTATGGGGAAGGTGTTGGATAGAGATGGAGAATAGATATATGTCTGTCTTGGGCTTCTTTTGGTGTATGGGACTGTGTGTGTTTGGAAGTATGGGTGTTGTTTGAGCGTGTTCAGCGCGAAGAAATATTTACTGTGTGATACTAAGATGCAGCGCAGAGGATATATCTAATCTTTTTACGTGGAGTGGTGATTGGTAGATTGTGCATAGGTTTGAGAGATCTCGTTGACCTAGAAGCATGTATCGTTTGGAAATAGTGACATGGTAAGACGGCTAAGATGATATCAAATCAACTGGACAACGTGATTTTACAGGAACGGAAAGTACGATGACTCTGAAGGCTGTTCAGTAGGCTACCGCCCTTTTCCCAGACTGTGGATGTGCCGTGTGGGAGTTGCCTGTTTGGACATCAATCTTACTCTTGGCTTTCAGCTTGATGCAAGAGGGTACGTGAAATATATTATTTCGATATTTCCTGCAAGAGCAATGGCTACCGCGCGCATGTCCGCCCTTCTATGTACCTACATGAGCGATAGTTCAGGCCTCCAAATAATGGGATACGAGAACTGCAATAACTGAGCAAGTTGAGAGTGGTGGAACTTCTGCTCCGCGGGGGGCCTGTGGCTTGCAGTATCACAATTCACAATCCTGCGCTGACGAACCTGCTCTTTGCAAGATGAGACGTTTTGCGTTTCTATGAACATGAATATGAACATGCTGAGCAAAAGCAGAGATGCACACCCAAGTACCGGAAGCTGTCGGCTGTTTCAACTAGGGCCGATCAGACCAAAAAAAGACGCGCACCACCGCATTTAGGGGATCAGCCCAGGGACCATCGCCGCGGACGCTACCATCATGCATCACCGTCGCCTCAATCAACGTGCATCCATCGCACCCGGCTCAATGGATCCCTAGAAGACAAGGGTTTCTACCATGCCACGACATTGCATAAGTATTTGAGAGGAGTCACATCAAATCATGCATACCAATATAACAAGAAGGGGTTTAGGCGGGTCCAGGCTACCCTCGCGCCCGAGGAGGCTGAGCTGCTGCACGGTGGATCCTGGCCTGGATCTACATCCCCGCGCTTACATTGGACCTTGCAACTCCACGGCTGTGCCTATTGACATTGCGGGACGACAGTCTTAAATGGCGTCACTGGCCTGCACCGTAGATTCCCGTCTATTGATTTTCTCGTCTCTTTGGAATCTCAATGTTCTTCACGACTCAAGGTGTGTATGATATTCTTTGGTGCCTGCAGAGAGATGCTGACTTGGTGTAGTAACGTTCTCTCGCTTCGCTATGATGGGGCTTTGGATATAATCTCTTCTGCAATCCTTCGCTCGGTCATTTCTCTGAGGTTCTGCGCCGCCGCCCTTTGTAGGGCGTTCTGCATTCAGGAGACGGACGGTTATTATTTGCCAGCCACACCCACATTCCAATCACATCTCCATCCCCATCAGCATTCGTCTTCGTATCAGGCCAATTTATTCTCTCCACAATGCTACGCCTCCTGCTCTGCGTGGTTATCTGCCTACAATACGTCACAGCAGTCGATACTACCGTCGACCTCGGGTACGCCAAGTATCTTGGTAAAGACATTGGGAATGGCATTTTGCGATGGGCAGGCATGCGATATGCACGAAGAGTCTCACGCGTGGATGGGTTACGATTCACTGCTCCGCAAGACCCCATCAGTGAAGGAAGAGTCATGAATGCAACTGAGGTACGCAAACAAGAAATCAAATGACCGAAAACGAGTATATTGATGATTGGGTAGTTTGGAGCCTTATGTATTGGCTCCACCAGTGACGTCTCGTCTGAATTCGGCGGCAAATGGTCAGAAGACTGTCTGTTTATCAACGTCTTTGCGCCTGCGAAAGCTACCAACGAGAGTCTGCTGCCAGTTTACTTCTTCATCCAGGGCGGTGGCTTCAACGTCAATGGCAACGCGAACTACGACGGGGCGGATCTGATTGATGCCGCAGATGATAACATGGTGATTGTCAATTTCAACTACCGAGTCGGACCGTATGGGTTTCTGGCGAGCAAAGAGATTGCTGCGAATGAGACTCTCAGTCTGAACAACGGGTTGAGGGATCAGAGACACGCTATGAAATGGGTGCAAAAGTACATCAAGGAGTTTGGCGGTAACCCAGACCACGTCACTCTTGGAGGAGCCAGTGCCGGTGGAGGCTCAGTCGTCTTACAGCTTACAGCATACGGCGGCCGCAACGACAGCCTGTTCCATGCAGCAGCAACAGAGTCCGCTGCATTCCCGCCTCTTCGCAACGTCACAAACAGTCAATGGCAGTACGACGCTCTACTTAAGCAGTCCGGCTGTGCAGACCTGGCGTGTCTCACATCTCTCGACGCTGTCTCCTTCCAGAGTGCAGTCCTGAGTTTGAAGCTGCCCTTCCCTGGTGGAACGAACCCGCCAATCTACTTCTGGAATCCGACACTCGACTACGACTTTATCCGAAACTATACGTACGACGAGCTCGCAGCCGGCAACTTTGTCAAAGTCCCCACCATCTTTGGCGACTCGACCAACGAGGGAATCAACTTTACACCACAGACCATCACATCACTGACTTATGCGAAAGAATTTGTCGTCGACCAATTCCCCAGCATCGAATGGACCCGAATCCGTAATGTATGGGCTACAGCCGATGTTTCCTTCAAAGATATGTACTGGAGACAATTTGCATCCGACATCTTCGGGCACGTCCGCTATATCTGTCCCAACATCAAAATCTCCTCCGAGTACGTGCTCCATAGCACAGCCCCTACCTGGCTGTATCGCTGGGATGTCGGTGCGGCTTCGCACGTCGGAGAGCTTATGCCGATCTGGCACAATGCGTCGTCCGCTGCGGGAGTCTTCGTTCAAGCGTATTGGGCCTCGTTCATCCGGAGCTATGATCCGAATACCTACACAGCAGAATTTCTCGCGGCAAAGGGACAAGAGATAGACAACCCTGACTGGCAGACAGCTGGTACTGGAATAAGGATGCGGTTTGATGACTTGAACCAAGTGACAATGGAAACCGTCAGTCAGGATGAACTGGATAAGTGTGACATCGTCACCCAGATGGGTGTTCAGTTGGAACGGTGAGTTTACTGCTGGGTCTCGAGATGCGATGCAAGTGCTGACAATACTGTAGATCGGTGGTGTCGTCTGATTCCTCATCCCTCACACCGTCTACCTATATGGCTGTTGGGGTTGTGATCTTGGAACTTGTGCAGTGGTTCTATCCATGATGCAGCAGCGTCGTTCAGAAAAAAAGCCTACATGGCAACTCGATGGTCCCGCGCAGCCTCTGACCAAGTGTCCAGATCGCGATCCGGCGAAATTGCTCTGACCTGACGTATTTGTTAGACGGATGGCCATCACGTCCTGGATGCGGAGTGTAAAACTCCAGTTGCTCACGTTCTGCTTGAAGGAGAATGATAAGGCACATAGTCGAGGCAAACTCGGTTGCCTGCCGGTCGCGAATGTCCAGCAAACTGCTTCAACAAGCCCGCGAGTATGCATTGTGGATGATTGTGGTCCGACAGGTAATGCACACATGGCAACCAGCGTCAATTCACAATGGGAATGCGGGCTGTGTATATAGTGTTTGCTCCCAAGAACTGTATTTGTGCTCTATCAGTCACACAGTTGGATTCTACCATTCTACGCAAACGTTCAGAGTTGGAATAATAGCGAACAATCAACGAAGAAATCATCGATACATTCATTTTACACTCCGTCACTTTCCTTTCACTCCGTCGCAAACGACGCAATCGGGCTATGGAGCCGACAAACAATTCCTCTCCATCTTCACCACCACCACACCTTTCACTGCGTCGTTCGAATGCCGTCCGCCGCGACCCCCGCACGTCGTATCTTCTCGACGAAAGTGACCCACCAGCTGCTGGATCAACTACACCATTGCAAAAGGCGTTTTCCTTTGAGGCGTTGTCTGCTGACGCGCGTGGTGCAGCTCCAATGTTATCCGACTCTGGGCAACAAAGTCAGCAGTCTTCGAATCAGTCTCAGACAAGCAGCCAGAGCTCCACTATGAACAGTCCCCGCGCCCCGGTAAGAGTGCCGAAGCCTCGCTACTACGCAAACGCGCTCAGTGAAGAGGACAAGGAGGCACTCACTCGCGGCGAGAAAAACCACAACCTAAAGGACTGGACGGCTAAGGATATGGTTCACTTTCACGAGTCACGCAAGGAGCTTGTACCGAAAGGCATGGACAAGTTGGAGAAGGTCGAGACTTTGGCCAAGATTGAGCGTGAAAAGCAAGACAGCCAGCGTATCCTCGATGAAGCGAGGAAGAAGGTGCGTCGCATCACGAGTCCCAGCTCACTCTTTTCACCCAAGACGCCGTCGAAACTGCAGAACGAGTTGTGACTTACGTAGGCTAGGGCTCGCGGTCTACAGACATCACTCGGTATTCTGATGCGTCTCCTCCCCCTGATCTCCAGTTCCAGGAAATCCCGCCTTCGCCTTCTACTTCGCTCGAAGACTTACCCCAGCTTTCCTCAACACATACTCGTGCACTGAACAACGCCGGGTCTTTCCTGCACCCAACCCGTCCCCGCCCATCTCAGCCTCGACCCCCATCAGCGCGCATATCACGCACACCGCACCGTGTCCGTAGCCCGCTGTCCATAGCAGTGCCTCGAGCATGTGCCAATCCCAACATCACATTCGACGACTTCCTCGTCCTTCATATCTCTGGAAAGGGTGAGGCGTATCGCGGTGCTGTGAACGCGATGAGAGAGCATGGTTGGGATGAACGGAACGCACGTAGTGTTGAGATGACGGAGGTGTGTGTCAAAGAGGGGAAGTCCGGGAGTTTGTTGAAGGATATGACTTCGGTTGGTTCGCTGCGGAAGGTGTTTGCGTGGGCGTGATGGTGATGGGCTGGTATATGAGCGGGACGAGCTGGGTGTGTGGAGACGCGCAGTCGGAGAGATGAATGTAATGTTTTGTTTAATATTTTCAGTAGTCTAGTAAGCGTGAATTTTGATATGGATGTCACCGAGATTTCAAATCGCCCGTCTACGAATCATAAGGTATGCATCCATGTCGATTTGTAAAAATATAGTTGATAGTCTACATGAAAAAAATATACATACAGTTAACACGGAGAAGAGTTCTAAGGAAGTTTACAAATAGTTCCTTGCAAATGTACTACTAAAATTCAACGAAGATATCTTCAAAAGGCTCTGCCAGCTTCCAAGAACCAGATGATCGATGTATCAGGCACAATCCACTTCGGAGCAGATCATCACTTAACATAATGTCTGTATTCCGTCACAGCAGTTCAATCCTCCTCAAGCAAAGTACCTTTTGCCGAACACCCAAATTCCTCTACGCGAAGGTTCATTATCGAGTGGCCTCGAGCGACTCTCTAAGCGCCCACCACGCATGTTCCAAACCCTGCAGCTTGTCCTTCAGCAACCATGATAAGAAGAAACACAGTCATCAACTCCATCCACAAAACCAGCCCCGTCTCCAAAAACACCCCACCAACATGCTCCGCCGCATCACCCCCCGCCTAACCCGCTACCTCACCGCCCACCCCAAACGAGCAGCCTTCCACACCACCAACATCCTCCTCGCAGTCCCAGGAGTCATCACAACTCCGCTCTTAACAGCCGTTGGATTCACCTCTGACGGCGTCCGTCCAAGTAAGAACGCAACCTCACCAAAGTACCTACTCAGTTTACAAATCTCCATCTCCCACAGAATCCCTTGCGTCTGCCTGGCAGTCATCCACAAAACCAATTCAGGCGGACAGCGTATTCGCAACGTGCCAATCTGCTGCGGCGAGTTTTCTGTTCTGTGTTTGTCTGCACTGCTGATTGGAGTAGAGGGGTGGAGAGGGCGGGGAGAGTGTCGCGACTTTCGCGCGTGGAACTGCTGGTGTGGCGGAGAGCGTGGGGTTCGTGATTTATATGGGTATGCGTGCGAGGAGGTGGTGGTGTTAGGGGATCGGGGGTTGGAGTACTTTAGTGGGATGCGAGTAAGGCTGATGTGAGAGTGTGATGGGATGTGAAGTGATGTGGAGGGAGGCTCTGGTTAGTCGAAATACTGGGAATAAAGATACAGTGACAACTACGTCTAGGATTGCTGTAGAAGTCTAGAGCATAAATTCCTGGGAGTAGGCGTGCGCCATGCTGTTCTTGAAAATTTTATTAGTGTAGTTTTACGAAGTTTCCGCACACTTGGCGCGAGGACAAATATCTCAACAACATGATTATTGACCGTGTTTGAAAACAGAGGCAGGCTGTCACTTTAGTCTCCTTCTCGTTCAAAGAGTGTTTTGGAGCACGTCGTCGCCGTGTATTCGCCAAAAAACAAAAATATAAATGATCAGCCTCGCCACATCTCCATCAAGCAAATCCGAAATAGTATAGTGGCTAGTATACCCCGCTCTCATCAGCAATGATCGTTCCGGGGAGACCGGGGTTCAATTCCCCGTTTCGGAAAACTTTCTTTTTGTCGGATCTGAAAACATTTTCGCCTTTTTGTCGGATTCGAAAATATTTTTTGTCTCTTTGTCGAATCCGATCTCGAAACACCGCGAAGAAGCTACGTTCTGGTCAGCAAATGACACTCATACTAGGTGGGGCGTATACGAGTAATGCTAGCAGCACACAAGTTTGCTCAAAGTTCGCGTGTAGTTGTCTGGCTGTGGATGTTTTTGCTGCAACTTGGCTCCTGGCATCGTCCTAGTCGAAAGCCGTCTGATAGCAGATGATGTTGGAACGCGTCTTTGGAGAATATGGCACGTCTGAAAATACTTCAGCACACGATGAAGATAGAGTGGTAGTATCCGAAGACCCAGGCCGTTTCCACAAACCCTTTGCGGCTGTGGAGGAACAGGACCTAGCATGCCATATAGTTAGCTTGATTTGTGTACTTCATCACTACCAAACGAGAGGGCAAAGAACGTGTGTAGGAAGCTCATGGTATCTCTAAATTAGCGCTCATTGTCCAGAGTCACTTCTATGCTCCATCTCATCTCCTCGCTTCCTATACCACGCAAACCAGGCGACGGCCAATGTGATGAACAACACCAGCCCCGTTGTTACTTCAGTCGTTACAGAAAAGGTCGAGGTTCGGTTCGGGAGTCAGAGAGTAGGTTCTAGTTTAGCATCGCCAAGTGGCGGAATCTGCTGCTTGAGGTAGGACTCGAGGTGATCAATCTCCTCGGCGTCGGCTGAATGTGCGAGGTTCCTATTCAAATCAGCGAGCGTTCTGCGTCGGTCCAAGAAATAGTCGTACTTGTATGTCCTGAAGTCGACATTGTATCCCAACTTGGTGAGTTCTTCGGCGCTCATCTGCCCGTACTTGTATGCAACCACGTTGTCCTTATCGCCATGCCCCATGAAGATGGGTGTCTTCTGGTTAGGCGTGTCTGTGGGGATCATATCCTTGATCGTCCTCTGCAGCAGCAGGTAGCAGCTGAGACCAAAGATGCCTCCCAACTGGTTCTTGTATGTGACGCCTGACAGTAGCGACATGGCACCTCCCTGCGAGAATCCACCGATCACGATGCGGTTCGCGGGGATGCCCTTTGCAATCTCCTGGTCGATAAGGGAGTGGAAGTAGTCGCGGGACTTGGTGATGCCCTCAGTATCTTCTGAGCGGTCGGTGAGTGAGCTCAGAGACTTAATGTCGTACCATCCCGGCATGCGCATGCCCATATTCTAACGCGTACGTCAGCAACCGTTATCTATGCATATCTGCTCGGCGCGTCGCAAGTGCACGCACCAGGGTGATGGGAATACTCGGCGCATTTGGGAAGACGAACGAGACTTCCTCAAACTTGCTGCGACGACGCCAGTTCTCTGCTAGAAAGATCCTGTTGTCTATCAGTGACTGCACACAAGACGACATCCAGGCGCGCATCACCAGCCAGCCCCGCTATCTCCCAGGCCATGCGCGACTATGACAGTGGCAGTGTGTCGCTTGAGGGCAGGAACGACCAAAGGCGCAGACATCTTGGAATGACGGGAGTGGAAGTGATATAGTGATATTGTGGCTTGCGATGAGCCGTTGGGATGTTCGGGACGCGGGGCTGTCTCCGCATGGGTGACGGACTGGCGACCTGGAGACGCACGCACCCCGGCGCGCCTTCCACGCTAGAGCGTTCCTGCATGAGCTCAGGGTCCAAAGTTTGAAGCATATCGACGACGTCATGCTTCGCCCTAGGCATCGTGGGCTTTGACCTACCTTTCCTTAACCTCCTTTTGTTCTGTCGCGATTCTTATATCCTTGTGACAATTGTCGCTCCAGTTCTCAGGAAGGACCAACACCTACCCAACTAGATTCTGTCGCGTCTCTCACTTAACCATCATCTCTCAAGCTGTTTCTAGCTTCGCGATTACTCAGGGGGCCAATAGGCATCTCTTCTCATCGTTCGATTCTCATCCAATCCTTCAACATGGCCAGGGCTACGCGAAGCTCTGCGACAAAGCCTCCAGTTGCGAAGGCATCGCCAACCGTCAAAGACGAGCCTGTACAGCTTTCGAGCCCTCCAACAACTCCAGTTCCCCAAAGTTCCAGAAAGAGGAAGGCAGTCAAACATGAAGATGACAGTGAACCCGAACCATCAGTCAAAACACCAGCCACCTCCAAGAGCTCCAAACGAGCAAAGACAGCAGCAGTGAAGAAAGAGGAGGTCAATGACCTGCCACACAACTTGGGAGCTATCCCTGATCTATCTCCAAATGCTGACGCGAACGACGACGGACCATCAGCGAAAAAGACCGCGAAACCCAAGAAGGCTGCTAAACCCAAGGCGCCGAAGAAGGAAAAGGTCGAGGATGTTGTTGCGAAAGCTACGATGACCACAAAAGAGTCGCCAAAGAAGAAGGGGAAGAATAACAGCTACGGCCTGACACCAGGCCACACACCATACCCCAATTGGCCTCACCCATCAGCCGAGGAGTGCGAAGAAGTGACTCGTCTGCTGTCGAAAGTTCACGGCGAGGTTCACGCACCAAAGACGATACCAGTACCATCACTCGAAGTGTCAGGCTGCGGAGAAGTGCCTTCCGTTCTGGACGCCCTGATCCGAACACGACTATCCGCGGCAACGTCAGGCACAAACTCATCACGCGCATTCGCAGGGCTAGTAGCGAGATTCGGCATCCTGAAATCAGGTGTCGGAAAAGGCAGCGTGGACTGGAATAAAGTGCGTCTAGCCGACACAAAAGACGTCTTCGAAGCAATCAAGAGTGGCGGCCTAGCAGATGTAAAAAGCAAAGACATCAAGAAGATCCTGCAAATGGTGTGGGAGGAGAACCAAGCTCGTCGCGAAGAACTCTTATCCTCTGAAGCCCAAGCACCCGGATCCGCCAACGAGGCCCCAGAGGAAAAAGACGCAGAAGTAGACAAAGCAGAGCAAAACATCGTCTCCCTCGATCACCTACACCTCCTCTCCACCGACGACGCCTTCAACGCTCTAACGAAATACCCCGGCATAGGACCCAAAACCGCATCCTGCGTCCTCCTGTTTTGCCTCCAGCGTCCCTCTTTCGCCGTTGACACACATGTTTTCCGTCTCTGCAAGTGGCTCGGCTGGGTCCCTCCACCCGGCGATCCAGCTGGTCTCGCGCCCAACGCAAAGGGTACTTTCGCAGGCCCCACGCGCAACTCTACATACGCGCATTGCGAAGTTAGGGTGCCAGATGACCTGAAATACCCACTTCACCAACTTCTCATCAGGCACGGCAAGTCGTGTCCGCGGTGCCGCGCCATCACCGGCGAGAGCAGTGAGGGATGGAAGAAGGGCTGTCCTATTGAGCACTTGGTTCAGCGGTCTGGAGGGAGGAAGGATGGCGGTGCTGCTACCACCCCGGTCAAGGGTGCGAAGGGGCGCAAGACAAGCGCGAAGAAGAAAGTTGAGGAGAGCGACGAGAGTGAAGCAAAGAGTAGTGGGGTGGAGAGCAGCGAGCCTGAACTTGAGTCTGGGAGCGAGTTGAGCGATGTGGAGAGCAGCGAGTTGAGCGATTTGGAGAGCGAGTAAGAGACAGATCAGCGGCTTTTCTTTGCAGTTTTCTAGAACCATATCATCACATGTATTATAAGGGTTGACGGGTTGGCATTTGGCGTACGGATATACATCAAACGGTGGAAAATTTAACGGCAAGGGAAATTCGACATCAATCTATCTATAATTAATATACACACATCTTTCTCATCATTGATATAAACTTACACCTTCGTCACCCACAGCCAGATACAACAAACTCTCTCCCATCCCCCATCACCTTACATCAAACCAACCCCAAAACCAACCCACCCTCTCGTCACACATCTGCAAATCCGCGCAGCACAATCACATCCACCGACCCACCCCTCGCGCCTCGCACAAGCACTCTATCCGCAAGCCCAGCCCGTAGGGCAAAAACGCCACCAATGTGTCGAATGTTCGGCGAGAAGACCTATGTGTATGCCTCGGCATCTAAAGGTTCGTACCTTGCTCCGCAGATCCTCGGCAAACTGTGCTGCGCTGTGGTAGCAATGTCCAGGGGTATGTGGGCTGGGGCCAGGATGGGCAGGGCTAGCGGGTACCTGCTGAGATGGCGATGCGCGGATGATCGACGGGGCAGGGTAGGGCAGAGGAGAGCGGGGCGTGCTACGTGCGTATTTACTTGTCATGTAAGGCGTGGAGAAGCGTGTGTAGTGAGGAATTGGGACTGTATTGTATTGTAGGGTTGGTCTTGAACTCCAAGTCGAGCCCAGTCCGTTGTCTGACTGAACGGTATGCATCGCCACTGTCTAGTGGAAAATGTCGTCGTAGAGTACCTCAGCCCATGCCCAATCCTGCACCAATCTATCCGTGGGTATCTCGGGGAGGTTGAGCCTACAGCCCGGCATCGGGGTCTGACGGTAATACGAGTATGGTACCATCCTGCTCTCGTACGAGAATCCTACGCGGTACGGTACGACAGACAGCTCTACGCGGGGGTTTGCCGTGGTCAAAGGCCCGGTGCGGTCTTGCAGTTACGGATGCGGATGCGCGCAAGAAACGGGTAGTCGCAGCAATCGTTGCAGATGTGGAAGGTGTGCTGATCATGATGACTGAATGCGGTAATCTTGCAGATGTAACGGCGGTGCAGACGGCGCGGGGACCTGCAGAATCGATGTCGTAGGGCGACTGGAGCTGGGTTTGTGGCTGCGAAGCTTGATTGCAAGTAATTTGATTGATGGCTTACCACCTGACAGCGCCTTACGCCTGTCTGAAGTGGCCACAGTAGCAAGCATCATTGTGTCTCCGCTGGACTCGCCCCATGCTACCTCGAAGTCGCCGAACAGCCCATGTCGTGCGCGCACGTTGATTACTGGACACCCAAGTCACGAGAGCGCACACCAATGAGACCAGCATCGCGAACAGCCTAGTATCCGCGAGCAAAACACCGGTACCGTGCAGCCAACTGCCGACCGGGAGGAAATTTGTGTCACCCGCACCGTGAAGCCAAGAGGCCTTGTGTCGGCCCGTGAGCCGTCATGGAAGTCAAGCCGTAGATTGTGGTCTGCAAGCGTACAATGTAATTGGGAAGCAACAAATTGAGACCGGATGAATCCGGAGATCGGAGTACGTTCGATTGCATACTTCGTGTAGAACCCTCTTTTTGTAGAACGCCGATTTGACTCATTCTAGACGGCGAGCTGGCAAAGGTCATCGTGGTAGTTACGTGGTATGTATGAGACTCAGTCAATGAAGCCGAAGTAACTTGAGTCGACATTAATGCCTTCGAAGGTTGATGCTGACTCGAGAGGATATACATCATCTCTGCAAAGTACGAGCTGGTGTGTTGCGCGAAACGCAATAACGTATATTGGAAGGTGAAATAAGAACAACATCCAGTTTGAACGTCTCAGCCCAGAAGAACTATCACTGTCAGCGAACGATATGTTTATACCGCGACATTAAGCTCACCTTCCCAATTCCAGTCCTTCATCACGCCCAGCCAATGTAGACGGCCATTTACTGTAAATTCGGGCTCCAGTAACTCTGCATCCTCAATCGGTGACTCTCTGTAATCCTTCGAGTAGTTTGTGTTCGAGTCCACATTTGGGGCGGCATACGTTGGGTGTACGTTGAGCATCCGGCGCTTAGGGTTAACATCAAGCCCGCAATCGCCATCATAGAAGCCTCTACTCAGGGAAGCAAAATCACGCTTCAATGACGCATCGGGAGTGAAGTTGTCGCTTCGAAATCCACCCGCGGCTGTACACTTCGCTGCATAAGCGTCACGTCGAGCCCAAACCTCCTCAGTGACTTCCAAACTCTTATCTAGAATGCCGAGCTTCATTTTGGAAGCCATGAGTGCCCAGCGAGTCTTTACCCAATTACGGTCTTCTTCACATGTAGCCTCGCAGCCTGCCGCCATCAGAGGGTAGATATGGACGATGGTCGAGCGAGATTTGAGCTCGACGGCGGCTAGTTCGGAGAGTACTTTCTTGGCAAGTACGCTCGATGATGATGATGGAATTTCCGGAACAGCTTGGTGCAGATACAACAACGTTGCGTATTGATAGGCGGTGGCTGTTTTGATAGAGTCACACGGACTCACGCTCTCATCTTCTGGATCTTCGATGAAAGATGGAGGTGTCCATTTCTCAAGTTGCGCTTTCAGCTGCATTGCTTGTGTGATTATGTCGACATCGTTGCCATTCGATCGACGGACCTTCTTGACTAGGCTTGCAACGCGACCGATAATAGGAAACAGGGTGCTGGCGCACCCCATAAGAGGATCAATCGAGTTTGTTTCCCTACCCGAGTGTATACTCTCATGGATAGCATCAACGTCGTTGAAATCATCCTCGTCCGCAGAAGTCAAACGAGCAATGACATCCATATAGATCCAGGTGTTGCACAGAAACTTGAAACGAGTCCATTCCTCGCCTTGCTTAGGTACCTGACGATGTTGTATAAGGGCTTGATCGATCAAGAGCTTGGCGCCTTTGATATGGTTTATACCTGTGCTGATATGCTGGTCCCACGATTCGGAAAACGCAAGCACCAGCGTTGTTGAGATGGCAGCGTCAAAACGCATATTTTGCAGCCCCTCTGCCAGTGCATGAACAGCAGTCCGGAAATGGTCAATACCTTGAATACGCATAGCTGGGGAGTCTGTGGAATGGTGGAACGACGTCATAGATGCGATAGCATGATAAAGGGCTGGACAATCGTGCGCGAGAGGCCAAACAAGGGTCCGCCAAGGGTTTTCCGTGGGACCGTCTTTTACTGAAAGTACCCCACATGTGTCCCTGTCATACTGCCGTGTAAAAGTCTCGGGAGCAGCGGAGGAGAATTGTGGTTGTTTCAAGATTCGAAAGTCTCGAAGATCCGGAGAAGGACTTGATGAACTTGATGACGAAGGCGAGGGTAGCCGCATTATCCACGTTTCGTGCTGGAGGTTCATATTGTGGGTTGCATCTGCTGTGGCATCTTCCACTATTGGGGTCAAGTCAGTAGATTGATAAACCGATTCATGCTGAGACCGGAACGACGAGTACTCTTCTGGTGGGATATCGAGGTCTGTTCCGGGTAGCAGCAGGTCAACGAGTCGCGGTGACTGTCCAGACGAGACACTTGAGAGCGCAGTAGTCTTTGTCTGCATTGTCATTACACTCTCAGACCCGAATAAGCTCACTGGGCATTCTGTGGAGCCTGACGCATAGGAATCGACAGGCGATATCGACTGAGGAGTGATCGTGTAGGGTGACGACTGCGGCATATCGTACATGTTCTCGGCGAGCGGGTAGGATGTCTGTGGAAAAGTCGTAATAAGAGGTGGTCCACGCATCGTAGACAAAGACGATTGTGGTGGCAGAAAGAACGCACCCGGTCCTGGATTGGTGAACGCATGGAGTGTACCGTGTTGGTCCATGGAGTTGTTCCCGTCAAGAGGCGCAGACGTCGGAGATGGTTGGATAGAGCCTACCAAGATCAGAACCGTAACAGTCGTGTTCATAAGCAATCAAACCTTTTCTTAGCTTCCCAGGCGGTTTCCCTGTGAAGTTGGTCTCCTCAAATGGCCGCCATTTGAAGTCTTTCTTATATCCCCCACATGTCACGCCCCTTTTAGCGCACTGCTGACAAGTAGGTTTCGTCTCATCGCATTTTAGACGTTTCGCCTTGCATGTAAGACAACCTATACAGAGGCATCAATACGGCGTGTTCTTCAAAAACTCGCGCGGGGACATTCGCATGATGCTGATAACAACCACATCTGCAGGCAGCGTACCGTTGCGGCTCTTGGATTGCTTTCTCTTGGGTACACCTCCGTGTTGATGTGCTTTTGATCCGTTTTTCGTCGTTGTCTGTGATGGAGAGGCAGTCTTTTTGCGGTTATCTGGATTAGGCTGGGCTAACAAAGGCATCGGGATGGTAACGATCTCCGCCATTTGCCGCAGTTTGAGGCTTTGCAGTGTCGTCGCGCCAGATTGGAGCGACCTGCGAGGTCAATATCTGGCCGAGACGACTGATAAGCTTCGCATGGGTTCATTGATGATCGCGGTTCAACAGAAGGACGGAAGAACGTCGTATCCAAGATGGAGTGCACCCGACTCAAGTCCCAGGCTAGTGCAAGCGGGGTCGAGGCTGCCAATTAGCGACGCCAGTAGACGTGGGGTGCATGAAGCCTAATCGCAGCAGGGATCCTCTAGCAGGCTTCAGTGTTCCTCTGCGCAATATCTTTTACCCCCATGTGCGACTGTCGTCTGCTCGAGTCCAGGAACGCGTGTGACAGTGTGCTCTGGAACAAAGTTGGTCACTTTTTCTGTAGCACAGCATGATCGCCGTCACATCGAAACAAGAGTTACATGCATCCGCTTCCAAGGCTGCTACCTTGCTTTCCTCCACAAACGGCCCATTTCCTCAGCCGTGTTCCGGGAGCTAAGACTTTTCTGAATGGATTAATGTCCGAGCGCCAGTTCTAGAACAAATACAGCAATCCTAATGAGAAGGACAAACGATATTAAAGGTAATTTGGCCTTGTGCGTTTCCCTTTTCGCCAGTTCGACAGCCATAGGACAGGAGGTTCTTGCACCTTTTAAGCTGTGGAAGCACGGAAACACGCATCCTTATGTTGTTTCAGGACTAAGCACGATGTTGTTGTAAAATCATAAAAGATCTCGAACGTAATAGCAACTGCGAAGCAGAACGAAGTAATGTCTTTAATAAGCTAGCTGCCCGATGTGTTAGTGTGTGTGCGTGTTCGAAAGCCCAAGCAATAACACGGCTCCAAAGACATTCTGCCTGAACAATCACCCCATCCCAAGATGTTTCCCAAACATCATCCAAAATGCAGCAAACAGCGCCAACACCGTGAAGATCGGAACAGACGAGTTCTGCAAGTCTCCAGGATGTGTCCACAACCAATAAACCCAGAACCCCAACGCGGCAAATATAGGCACCAAATGATAGGCCGCGAGAAATGCAAACGACAGTGCATAGTCAGCCTCCAGACCCCATGCAACAATCTCGACATCTTCAGAGTCAACATCAAACTCGCTCTTCTTCTTGGGAATGCATCGCAGTTTATCGCAACGGCGGGGGAGTTTGACACAATCGTGCCATGGGTTGAGGAGCGGCCAGATACAGGATGCGCCACAAGCGTTGAGACAGACAGCGAACGTCTTGGGGTTGATGAGCGGGTTCTTGCCGGGCCTTGGAGCGTACTCGTAGTCGTGTTCGAAACCATGGTAGTCTGGGAGGTCTTCGCCGTGGGACAGGATGCGATTAGCATCAAACTTCTCGAACTAGGGGTGTAAGCAAAGTGCAAGTTGGTGGAATTAGAAAGATTTACTTTGACGAAGCGACAGAAGCGGAAGCGAAAAGGCGATAATAAGAACCTGGTCCAACCACGATGCCGTTTGTACCTAGACTTTAGTTCTGAAAAGAAAGTAGGATCGTTGATAAGGTTCGATATCCCAATATGTTCGAGTTCGAGGGACCAACGTGAGCCTTGTACTCCGAACAAGACCCAGTTAGAGACTGGTGGTGGTGGAGCTATAGTACTGTTTGTACTGTTCCCTTGGACCTGTACTGATTTGGTACTACCATTTCCACTCGTGGTGTTTGATGGTATCTGGCTCAAGTTTTGAGATATTTGAGTCGAAGAACTTGCAGAAGATGAGCCTGGAGGAGTGTAGCGCTGCATAGCCTTCGATTGTTTTGAGCCACTTGAAGAAGTCGTTGGTAATCGATTTTGCAATAAACCGGACAGATACGTGTTCATGCAATCAAAAATGGCAGTCCAGGTAATCTGATGTTCATGGTCTTCACAGCAATAACATTCTGCAGGATGATTGGGCGTTGTCTCCAGCACATCTTGAACGATTTTGGCTTCCTCGGCTGAGATCGTTTCGAAAAGAGTTTGTCCGCAAAACTGATTGATTTAGCAGTTTGCACGTTGTTGACGTGAAAGTCTCTCACCTGCCACTCAAGACGTCTGTCTCCAGGCTGCAAATCATCTAACCGCGACGTCAGAGGCCACCAATCCCATTCTTGTCCTGTATAGTCTTCTAGAAATCCTTTCGCCGTGTTTGTCAGGGACACATCATTTGATAAAGATATATGTATCGATCTTTTAGGAACTGACTGGATGATGTTCCGGATTGACGCGCGTAATGTCAAGTACTGGCTGTCTGCAAAGAGACTCTGGAAGAGAGCGCCTCCTTGTAAGGGTGCTCGACTTCCACCAATCCGTGGCATATTGTTTTCGTCTCGGTTTTGCGTTACTTCTTCCTCGTGGAGCTCAACTAATCTCTCCTCACCGACCTGATCTGTCTCCTCCTTTCGGAACTCGAGTTCTTTTGGGGTGAAGACACGAGAAGTGTTGTATATATCGGCGTTCATAGTACTATGTTTTCGCTGGTTTGCTTGCCAATCGCTGACTATTTCATTTATCGTTTTCTGGCCATGTCTTCCTTGGAATCCCCCTAGGGTCGCCCTCTTTGATCGGTGTATTTCTAGAAAGTGCTTGAGGAGTTCCACAAAGGACTTGTGTTTGAACGCTCGCTTGAAGAATAAGGAGGTGTCGAGAGTTGGATTTGCACAGAAAAATGTCACAAGCTTAACCTCTCCGAATGATGAAAAGTCAAGTTGTGCAAAACCAACTTCTTCCAACTGATTGGAAAATGTTGCGAAAGAGGTCAGAAGAGGATCATGCTTAAAATGGATCGGCGGCGAAAACATTTGGTTATTCTGGAACGGAGCAAGCAGCTTTCGGACAGCAAATGCTATCTGTGTCTCTATATTCGCATCGACTTTTGAAAGGTCAGTTGCCGATGAAGCCTGAGATTCGACTGAAAAGATAGAGCCATTGTCCGAACAAACTACAGATATGTTGTCGTTCTCTTCAGTATTCGTCCCAGAAAATTCAAGATCATGCTCAAGATATTGGTCAAGATCAGGGAAATTAGGAATTCCGAAGCGACTTTCTTCCAATCCACGATGAGGTTGGTTCTGAGCTTCGGCTTCGTTTTGTCCTCTCGTGCCATGTTGCTTTGTGTAGTCACCCTCGTGCAGGGACTCTTGTTTGGCGTTGCGTTCAGGGAGAATATCGAATGTGGAGGATTCAGAGTCCAACGATGAACTCACAATTTGGCGTACTGGTCGTGACGTTTGAGGGGCTCGAGAAACCACATAGTACTGCTTATCCGTCGAGACAAATGGCATCCGGTCTCGGCGACGCGAGCTGCGTTCAACAGCTTTCAAAAGTCCCCTGATTTCGACCAATGCGGTTGGAAGCTCGATCCGAACCAACTCTTTCTTCCCCTTCCCGGATTCACTCTCAATCGTACTATACGTCTCGCCGTCTGATGTGTTGTACATGAGCCTCGCAACATCTCGAGCTAAACTAAAGCCATGGTCACAAAGCTTGCTATGGCGACGGTGAACTTTGTATGGGTTTTTGCAGTAAACACACTCTTCCGCGTGCATCTCGAAGCTGTAGGCTACCCAAGATTCGTCGTTGTTTAGTGGGCGCGATATGGGTATGTCAAGGTGCTTCGAGAACCCACCCATTCGCTTGCTCCTGGAAGTGGGTAGCCACGAGTGGGCGAAGATGGATTCGTCTTCTTCAGGTGCCGTGATATCTGCTCCAACTGCTTCCGGCCATTCCCCAAGATACCCTGAAAATGGGTTGCCGGGATCTGGCAATAACAACATGATCGTCAGTCAGACTATCGTCGATGAACCGTGAGATTAGGGCGATGATACTCTCATCCGATATCGCGAGAAACGGTAAAAGCTAGTACAGAAGCTAATCTCGCGACAGATGTTACGGATGGTGGAGCTGCTAGGTTGTCGTGGCTGCTTATATTCATAGCTGAACATAGACGGGCTGACGACCAGGCTGAAACTTGGCGACATAGCCTCTCGTTAAATGAAGTCATCGAGTGACCTCGCATGCATGCACTGCCACATGTTCGAAGGTTTGCGTTATCGATCAAGTAACATGCTATTTGATGTCGTGTTTCTGGTGTTCTGCAGGTACTTGGTGAAGAAGCCCTGTTCGAGATCTAGTTTTCCTCCCACCTTACGTCATTGCGAACTACACTTCTCGGTCCAATCATTTCCATACATCAACTCGCCTATCACAATACGACAGAAGTCATTCCTGTAATATCGAAATTTAATGGAATAAAGCCGTTCTGCAAAGAAGTGATTGACAAATAGAGATCTTTCCACCGTCACGCCTCTTACGCGTCGTTAGCTTTTTACCGCCACGCAAAGCAACGAAGTATGTGATCTGTTCATGCTTGATCTGGACTTTCCAATATTTCTAGACACACCGTAGGAGTAGGATCAAATTCACACGGGCCTCCCACCCAATCTTCACATGCAAATATTCGCACGCAACTCTCTGACGGACGACCTAACCGCCACATCCTCAGTACAAATATCACCTCTCCTTCGTACATACCACCATAATGGGTTGGCTTCGGTATCTTGTACCTAAGATTCTCTTGCCTACCTTTACTTGGCCTCATCAAGTCCTTGGATCTGTCAATTTAGCATCATCAATTCCACCAACACCGCGCCTTTCCCCCCCAAGTGTTCGTCAAGCTATTGGATTCTTTCACAACTACCTTCGTTCCTTCTCGAGCTACTACTGCCATTGGTGTGGCATTCCATTTGACAATCAGATCGCGGCTCTTCCATTTGGACTGGTGTTAAAATGGTCAGACGGCACGCGGCTTGAAGAAGTAGCGGCAACCTTAATAGCGCGATCTGCAGGCTTTCCAGTGCCAAAGATTATCTCATACGGCGAGCATCCTGACGCACCTCATGCACCGGTGTCAATACTTATGACTCGCATACTGGGAAAGGACCTGGGCGACCCGGGATTGTACGAGGAGATGACTGACGACGAGCGGGAGAGCATTTTCGCAGAACTACAGTGCATCCTACAAGTCATGCGGAAATGGTCTCACTCATGGGGCAAAGAGCAGATCTGTTCAGTGTTAGGTACGCCAGTCAGGAGCGTGCGTATCCCCGGTCATGCAGTCGGACCGTGTGAATCTGAATCTGAATTCAATGACCACCTCTTCAGTTCCATCTCCGGCCACAGCTTCGAAACTCAGGAAACGTTCAAAGAGACGATGGAAGTTGCTAGAAGATTGCAAGAGATGCGGCATCCAATCGTCTTTACTCATGGCGATCTCAAACATCATAATATTATGGTTTTAGATGGTCACATTTCGGGCTTCCTGGACTGGGAGTCTGCGGGCTGGTATCCGGATTATTGGGAGTTTACTACTCCTCTAAGATTTGGCCCGAGAGACTTTTGGTGGAATGAGTTGGTGTGCAGACTGTGCGGTGAAAAATACGCGGTGGAACTGGAGAGTGAGAAAGCGCTGGTTCCCCTTACGGTCGACTCGTGGGCATGGTAGATATTTTGTATTATTCCATAAAAGAGTATTGGATTTCCTGATTGCGTCGGGCCTGAAGTGAATGTCGTGGAGTTCGAGAATGCAAATATTGCTTGTACGGAGCTCAATCAAGAGCGGAGACTAGTGTAGATCATAAGTACGCATGTCTATTCAACTCAAGAGTAGGAACATAGGTGCGAGGTTAGGGCCGAGCCACGCAATGTCGTTTGTGTCTATGCGCGGCACAGAGGCGAAGAGATGTATCACTCCAATTGACAATGCTTCAACACCAGAGGGATGCCATACGCAATCAACCCACTCACTTACAACCCCAACATCCCTACCTAATCACAGCACCCTCCTGTTCAACACCATGAAGCCCCTCAAGAATGTCACTTCCACCGAGCAACCCTCTCGTCCCATTGCCCAGCAACCCTCTTTCCACACTTCCCCTTTTATCTGTCCAAATCTCATGGAATCGAATTGCCATATCACTAGCCGCAACGACGATACAACCCTCTTCGACACCTCTTCTGGACCACACACCGTCCTCGCCTCTGGCCCTCCCACTTTCATCTACGTCAGGTCCGCTCATCGGGCCGCCAGGGTACGCAACAGCACACAGTGCACGGTTTTCGTCCCACCACGGCACGGCAACGACCTGCTCGCAGCTGGGCCAGGCGAAGACTGCGATGCGATATGGATGCTCTGGCTGCGCGAAGCCGAACGTTGCTGCAATCTCTCGTCGTGTCTGGGACCAAATGAGGCTCGTGACTTGCGCGGCGCAGTCGATGGTCGCAAGACATGTGCTTGACCGGGTGTGGTAGAAGTGAATGCAGCGATCGTTAGAGCCGCCTCCAATGGCTATAAGGCCACGTTGCCAGGGGCAAAAGGCCATGGCTTTCACGGCGGCGTTGAGCGTCCATTTGTATTTTGCTATGGTAGCGGGAAGGTGGAGGACGGAACCGGAGCGGTTGGTTACAGTGTAAATTGATTCGCCGCTAGGACCTTCGCGAATGTCTAGAGAAGAGGCTGTGTTATCGCTGTTGCCGCTTGGACGGAGGACCTTTTTCGTCTCGAAAAGTGAGCAGTTGTTGTCATTTCCTCCACTGGCGAATAGCTCGCCATCTACCGACCAAGCTAGCCCGCAGATCTGTTGCGTGTGAATCGTCAGGCGCGCAAGAAGTGTCATTGCCCCGTGCCAGCCAAATAACGCGCTCTGTGTCTCTGACGGCCATTCGATGCTGTAAAAGTAGAGATGTCCAACTTCATCGCCGATGAGCAGTTCCTCAGTGGCTACCGTCAGCGCTCTGTCACGCAGTGAAGACCGTTGCACGACGGTGGGTCTCCAAGAGACGCACGAGATAGGTTTGGGCTGAGTGGCATCGAAACGAGGTTCTGAGTCAAATGGGCTCCAAAGAGCAATACGGCCATCTGCTCGTCCTACAGCAAGAATCGCTTGACCACCCTGAGCCGAGGAAAAGTCAAGCGATGTGACGTGCTGAACTTCTGGCAAGGAAGTAGCGTGAACGGAGTTGAGCGACTCAGGAGTGTCCACCCCGTTTCTTTCTGACCAAATGTGTACAAAGTTACCCAGTCCCACTGCAAGACATTGGGCAGTATGAGAGTAGGCAAGCAGGGTACAATAGTAGTCATCTCGTAGTTGAGGGGCGTCGAGAACTGTGATCTACGTCAGCACAGTCAGGCCGTTACGCAACAGTGACCTATCTGAACGGTAACATTGGTACAGGCGTCCGTATCTTCTGTTGCGATCGCTTTGGTACTTCGGAATCCAGTCAGCATTAAATTTTGAATTTTCGCAAAAAAGAAATGACAAACGCGAATGAACACCATCCATGACCCACGCTCCATCTCGCCACACGTGCTTTTCATGGGACGCCGTGCCGTCATATCCGTTATTTTGGACGCTGGTGAACGCTGGAGAATGTTGTAGAATTCGATCGACCTGATCAACGTCAAGTGCCAATGCAAGACGCCGCTCGTAGGCTTCTAGCTCAGCTTCGGGGTCTGCTCGATTGAGAAAGGCCGACCGGTAGAGAGGTGCGTTCGTTCCACTACCAAGCATACCGCCTCTACCAGTAGAGACACCACTGACGGTATTGCTAACGGCGGAGGGTCCGCCGACATTCCAAATAGCGCCAGCACTGACCTGGCGAGGGCTCAGCGTGAGAGAGTTACGTCTCAAAGCCAAGTTGTTGTTTCTGCGATTAGTAGTAACCCGTCCCATAATCTGAGAGTGTGCTTCTCGTAGACCTCGCAGCTCATCGTTGAGACGGCCAGTTCTGCGCAGCCGGCGACTGAAAGGATCTCCACCAGGTCGAACGCCGCGATATACAATCTGTTCTATTTCTAGACGCTCGACTGGCTTGTTCAGTTCAAAGCTCTCGCGAGTGATCGCCGGTGGGCGACGACACGCAATGAAGCGATCCGGCGTGCTTGTTCGACCTCGACGTGGAGAGGGCAGCAAGCCACCGCGTGCCGCCCATTGGCTTGGCCTCAGAGGAGAGCTGGCATGGCGGGGAGTGAGCCGACAGAGTTTTGTCGGAGAGCAAGGTTCCTCGACAGAGGGATCAGCATATGTTGTGGAGAGTGATATCAAACTCTCGATGTCTACAGCGACTGTATCTGAAGAGAAAGCTGTGGAAGATGAATTCGGCTCCAGTCCACTCGAGAAGCTATCCGACACGCTGCGGTAATGGCTCCGCTTTCTCGGAGCGAAGATGTCTCGAGCTGGGATTGGACTACCGGTGACGTCGGTGGGAGTTGTGGTTTGATCGTCGGAATGACTGTCAGCATTATGCGAAAAGCGTATGTTTGAGCGAGCGAGCGTGGGTGACGGCGAGGGAGAAGACTGGTTAGCATTCTGTACTTGTCGCTTTATGGGCGAATCATCATTTGATTGAGACGAAGTGGGATCACAAGGAGCTGAAAGTATCTCTGGAATTGAAAGCGCGCCGAGACGAGATGCAAACTTGGGCTTTGTAGGAGAGGGTGGAGGAGTGAGAAAGGGAGTGTCTAGGCCATTGTCGATGTCTCGAATGAATAGACAGCTGCGAGATTTGCGAGGTGATCCGGGAGTCCTGGGTGACCACCAGCCTTCTGTGCTGACAGTCTTGGTCGGAGACAAGGGCGGCGTGAGATAGCCAGAGCTGTATGGGGATGCTTCGTCTCCAGTATCGTTCATGTTGATTGATTTCTGAGGGTAGTGGTGAGTTGCACGACCAGACTCTGGGTCTCAGTGCATGTCGAACGGATCGATCAGCGGTGCCCGGAAGCCCGGATGAAAGACCTGCTGTCGCGAAGTTATTGCTGCTGGATTAGTAATGGCAATGCAGTATGGAGTTTCTTAGGACTCTGCGAGTTGTAGGATAGATGTTCAAGCGTGTTGTAGTGCCTCGGAGGTGTGACGTAGGGGAGGGGGAGGGAAGGAGCGCGACGCGTAGTGGGGTCCGACCACTTCAAGAAATCGCGAACGCTTGCGACAAGTTTGCGCAAAGTTAAACATGGCAAGTGTAAGTCGCTGTTGTACATTTTTCATCTATTGGCACCTATGATAACATATTCTTAGCATGGTATCGCGCGCGCATCCGGTCCTATCGTCCGCTCAGAGGAGGCGCAACAGAAGGAGCTTCAGCAGATCGCGACTTACAAGGACCTGGTCGACTTGGTAAACGCAAGGGTAGGCAGGGCCTCTACTATGGCCTATGGGTTGCTTCTGACATCTTCGTATCACAGATCGCAGAGAAACAGTACACAGTCGAATTGTTGGGCCTTGTCACGAAGCTCCTGAACGAGAACCCCGAGTACTACACGATATGGAACCACCGGAGACGCGTCTTAAGTGCACTACTCTCTGCAGAGTCGCCGGAGCAATCACAAAACGATCTTATACAAGGCGATTTGCAGCTCACATTCGCGTTGTTGCGCAAGTTTCCCAAATGCTATTGGATATGGAATCACAGAGATTGGCTTCTACAGAAAGGAGAATCTTTCCTGGGCGAAGACGCAGCCCGCAAGCTTTGGTCGGGTGAGCTACAGCTGATAAACAAGATGCTGCACGCAGACAGTAGGAACTTCCATGCATGGGGCTATAGGCGCTTTGTAGTCTCGCAGCTTGAACGTTTGGTTGCCCCCGAAAACATATCCTGTAGCCTCACCGAGTCTGAGTTCGAGTATACGACAAAGATGATCAAAACCAATCTGTCCAACTTCTCCGCTTGGCACAACCGCAGCCAACTCATCCCCCGTATCCTCAACGAGCGCCAGGCGGACACCACAACGCGCCGTGCTTTCCTGGACTCCGAGCTTTCATTGATATGCGAGGCCATCAACACCGACCCGTTTGACCAATCCATCTGGTTTTACCACCAATATCTGCTATCAACCTTGTCTCCGTCCTGTCCGCCACAGCATCTTATAGTCCAAACCCTAACCAACGGCGAGCGGCAAAGCTACTACGAGCACGAGATGGAGTATATCAAGGATATATTGGAGGACGAGACGGACTGCAAATGGATATACGAGGCACTGCTGGGACTCGCGGCGGCGTATTTAGAGGTGGACGCTGGGACCGGAGCGGTAACGACAAAGGATATGAGGGCGTGGCTTGGGGAGTTGAATCGGCTAGATCCTTTGAGGCGAGGGCGGTGGAGGGATCTGGAGAGGACGCTGAAGTTGTGAATCTACATGTTCTTGTTGGCACCATCACGGCTTTCCCTTTGCCGCATCTGTGATATCCTTAGCAGGCGCTGCTGCTGGTGTAGTTTCCCTTTTCGCATCCTTTTTCCATGCCCAGAGTCCAAGAAGTGACGACCACGAGGATGTTGATGATGCAGACGGCGTAGGCGATGCGGATGCTTTGATTTCCTCCTTCTTAGCTTGCAATTTCTCAGGCGCCGGGGACGATGCCGCGCTCGAGGCCATAGGCGAAGGACCCTCGCTATTCAATGCCGCTGCAGCCGCAACCTCTCTGGAACACGAGTCAGTGAAAGCATGAAAGACAATGTCTTTTGGCCTTACTGATCATATTCTTTCTGGAGCCTCTCCATCCTCTGCGCCTTGAACTCTTCATCAAAGGTCGCAATACCAATCGAGACCCCAACAACAGCTGCCAATGCAACTGGAAGAATGCGGCCCGCCATAATTTACTCTACCGTGGTCTTGCTGATGGTCGCCTCGAAGAGTGCATGACGAAATCGCACAGAGAAATCGCCGCCTGCCACCTTGACGCGCTAACGTTAGTGGAGCACGGGCAGACGCGTCGAACTCAATCAAGAGCGCGGTCGCCCCACCGCCTCTGATACGCGAAACGACATGCAGACGCGCTCCAATGTCCAAATGGCGGCAAAGAGGGTTTGTCCAGGATTCGGATGAGGAAGAGGACGAGTCGCAGATTGAAAGTCAGGGCGAGAAACGTGAATCTAGCGTGGATGGACGCGTCGAGGGCGTTGACGATGATGGCAGTCATGGCGAAAAAGTTACAGATGGTTTGCAGCAGAGTGTAAAAGAAGATGGGGCGGAAGAACAAACTGCCAAAGAGATCCAACAAACGAACACAGAGAAGGAAGTCAACACTACGCCAAAACGAAGTGTCTCGCCAAATCGTCCCGCGCTCTCCCCATTCACACCCGTCTTCGCGCCATCTTCGCATCGAGAGCCCACCGAGAGCCCCGATCCGCTTCAGAGTACGCCAGTGCCTAGGACTCAAAAAAATGGACCGCCTCCCATCTCTCTTCGTCCAGCATCGTCAGTCGCTCCACGCGATTCACCAGCGTTAGAAACGCATCGCAGTGATGGGTTTGCCCTGTCTTCGCAAATTCTCGGAGAGCCTATGCTGTTCTCACGCCAGTCGACACAGAGTGTTGGGAATGTGTCTTCGCAGATACTCGGGGAACCGATAACGCTCCCACGACTATCGACACTGAACAATGATAGCAAGATCACAAGTTCCTCTCAGATATCGGCTGAGGACCGTGTAGCATTTCTATTCGACGACTCTGATAACGACCCACTGTCAGAACCACCATCGATCGTCAACTCGCCAGACACCCTGTCTGACAACGCTACACCTCATCGACGGACCGCAGTGCGGGTGGTCATACCATCTTCGAACATTCTACAGAGGCAGCTCGCAGAGCATGCACCGAGTCGCGAGTTCCGCCAGCGGAAGCCAATCCAGCTGCATCCATACGCTATTGAAGGTGAAAGATACAAGCAGGATTTCCAAAGCCGGGGCATCAAACCAGTGCCTCGAGCACGGTCTCCACAACGACAGTTAGGGCACGTTGATACAGAAACGCAGGAAGGAAATTACAACCCTGGCAAGTCTCGCTCTAATAGCCTGGAGCTCGAGATACCAGTCTCTACGCCTCTCATCCCAAGGGCAAGAAAGGACCCGCTGCAAGGAAGCTCGACTCGCCGTATCGCTTCTGATCCGGCGAGACACAGATTATCCGATCCTCAACTGCGTGCCCCACCCGCTGCGAAGAAAAGGAAACTCAATCCCTCGCTGACACAGATCGTAACATCTACAAGCATATTTGATGTTGACAACAGGCGTCGGGACGTCTGGTCAATACCCCCAAACTCACCACCATACTCAAGCAGTCCTCCTCGGAACGGGAACAGGGCAGTCCGTCGAGCAGGTAGGCTTGCTGCAAACACCCCTGTTCCAAGTCTTCCGACCCCGTCCAATTCATCCGTTTTTCATGATGATCCCCAGCCTCCACCCGAGTCGGACTCAGAACCTGTCCCCGGTAGCATACATAAGTCTGGTGGAGGATTGCGTCGACCGACGAGAGTTGTGGCCAGTGCTACATCGTCATCAGCAACCGATGAGTCTAGTGAGTCTGAACAGAGTGACGCCGAGTTAAGGAACGTTGGAAGGAAGATAAAGGGCGTGCTCCCTGCATCGTGGCTTCGATTCGATCTGCAGGCGCAGGAACGTCGAAAGGCTCAAGCAGCACGTGAACGGGAACGCGCGCGGCAGGATGCCGCGCGCTCTCCTGAACCAGCTGAGCCTCAACGTGGAGTAGCTCAGAAAGTCAAAAGACGGCATAGAAGGGCCTCATCGCCTCAAGCATCATCAAGAGATGCTATAGTCATCTCCGACGAATCTGACAACGAACCCGAGGTCTCTAATTCCCGCTACACCATTCACGTAGATGATACTGTACAGCAGAACGCATCTGCATTGGCCGCAATGTTTGATGATCGGTATGGTGATGACGATATGGCACATATGGAGCATGATCGCCTGCCTTTACCCACCCTTGGGGGTACCGGGCCCAAACGGAAAAGGCAGACAAAGCTGGCGGACGCGTTCAGCAGGACGAAGAGAACGAAGTTGTTGACCGGCACTGCTATTCCTACTGGAAGACGGCATGATAGCAAGACAAAAAAACGAAAGCACGTCAATTCGAGAGCACCACGACCAAAACCGCCACCAGCTTTGAGTGTCTTTGACGTAGACGTCTCATCGCCAGGTCAAAATCAAGACATACCACTCTTTATCAAGCTTGCGAGACGACAAGCGCGAAAGCAACCAAATCTTGCTCGACAAAGTCCGAGGCATAAGCAAATTCGACTGCATAATGTTCGCGACACTGAAGATGCGAACCTCACCCTCCAGCAGTGGCGTCAGGGCAAACTCAAACCCAGAGCAAATGCGTCGCCACAGCAGTGTTCCAACCGCCAGCCACTGTCTGATAGAACCGACGTTCAACAAGGCTCACAACAACAGATGATTGCTGAACATCGCTCTACTCAAATGCCGGAGAAGTCGTCAGAACCGAAATCGAACTCAGGTGTACGCCAAATAGTTCGTCGTAAAGACTTTCCTTTTAGTCTTGAAAAGTTCCAACGAACTTCTTCCCAAAGGCCAAAGTCCTCACAGCAGAAACGAAAGAAAGCACACCCTCAATGGCAGCCTCAGCAACTGACCCTACGAGGTCCCCTCCCATTTAGAACTGCGCAACTCGAAGGTGGAGAGAATGACTTCGACCAGAGTCATCGAAAGGTCGCGTTTGAAAAGGAATTGCTGCGAGTTGACCAACAATTCGGTCTTCAACAACCTATGAATCAGCCCTTCAGCAACCCACAATTGGCACGATTCCTTGCCGATGACGATGCTATCCTTCCGCCTCTCCCTTCGGCGAGAGACATTGGGGAGCTGCAGGGAGAGACCTCTGTACCCCAACCACCGCCAAAACGACGCCTGATGCGAAAGAAACAAGCTCATAGGATCGATGTCGATGCTCGAGAGTACCGGCAGCCAAGTGAGCCAGCTGTTCAGGATGTCGTGAACGTATTCAAAGCAGTCCAAGTTCAAGAAACTCTGCCGGAGCAGCCTCGACTACCAGTGCTCCAAGGCTTAGGGCCTTTCGGCGCACAGTATCCCACCACATTTGATGTGTCTCCGCTCAAGGATGGCACGTACTTCCACTCCTCGACGTTCATCGGCTCCGATCAACTACGGTACGCTTTATTGACTGGCAGAGAGGATGGCCGCGATCTGGACGAGCCGGCTGGATACTGTACTATCTCATATAACACCACATCGTTTAGGTGTGGGCCCTGGAACGATGAGACCTGTTCACGACTTCATGACTTGATGAAAGCAATATGGTTACCTCTCGACAGTCAATCGCAATTCTCTGATCACTCTCCAGTCGTATACAGTGAGGCGCTGGCGCATACCGCAAACTTTCTACGTTCACTCATTTTTTACCTCTCCACACATTTGCGTTTTCTCGATCCAATTGATCGAAAGGGCTTTGCGACCAAGATGAGCCAATTTGTTCAACTAATGCTCGATCGAACGTCTGGGGCGTACGCTACAATCCGTGGACAGAGTGAACATTCGAGTGGTGCACAAAGTAGTATTCGCGTCATGACTTATCTGCTTGTATTGAGCACACAGGTTTATCAGATTGACCAACATCCCATGGCAGGCCTACACAGTCAACCCCAAATCATCAGTTCTGTAAAGAGCATATCGAAGACAGTCATTGCGTATTTAGTGCACGAAGGGTTTTCGGAGTTGGCCGATTTTCTCAAGGACAATGCGAAGCATGTCACGCGAGAGAACGGAATTCAAGAAAGCGACGCACTTGTGGAGAGCGTTGTCGTGTGTATGCATGCGCTACATAATATCGATTTGCCTGCATCAGGGTTTTGGGACATTGTCAGCCAAGAACTTTCCGTGTCAGCCACGAAGGCCGTACACATTCAAATGTTCGAGTCTTCATGGGCTACAATCTTTACGTTGCTTCCGTTCATCGAATTCGATGTATCTGGAATCCCTACCAGAAGCCGAAGAGACCTCTTTAAGTATGACAACTGGACCTGCATCAGGGATATTCTGAAACGACTCTTCGAGCTGTACCCAAATACAAACAGTCCCTCGCTCAACGGCTACGTTCGCGCCAACCTGACGAGATGTCATAGATTGATCGAACATTGGCACTGGAGACGGCCAGAACAGATGCTCAACGCGGCACTTGATTTCTTCGGTAAGAATGGACTCAGACCATTGCGGCATGAGGCAAGTCATGGTGCTTCAAACTACCTGCACAATCTGGCGACACAATCGTCTCTGGCTTTGGAACCGAACGAGAATTCGTTTCACGTATATCTCAAATGCCTAGCCATGGGTCTTGATGGCATGAAGGAGACGTACCTCGAGAAAAAGATTCGAAGCTTTGTCTTCCGAACTATCCCCAACCACGGCCGGCGCCATCCCAAGGATCAATCCCTCGATGAGGACAGTCTAGTTGCCCTGCGCAACCATCACGATCTTCTCTGTACGCTCTACATGAGAGCACCTCCATCTTGTCGACCAAAATTGGACCACATTCGCGACCTTGTGAACCATGAAGTTTCTCACCGCGAAGCCTGTAGGCTCAACGTGCGCGCCTGGGCCAACCTCGCAACCTTTCAGCTGTCAGCCGACGAACCCTATACATCCACGAAGCCGTTCGCACTTTGGCACAAGGAGATCATGCACCAAACACTGAAGCAATACCGCCTAGCCAAGACTGAAGCAGAGGACTATCTGAAGTCTGGAGTTTTAGATGGAACTAGCGACGTTTCTGCAATCATGGTTCGACAGACAATGGAAGGGAATCAAGAACAAGTCATCGCGACCCTGCGCGACTGTATTGCAGGCATGAGGAAGGCTATTCAGCATACCCACGACCAGACATCATTGAGAAACTTCCTCATTGACTCTGACATCGCCTATTTACTCGAGCTCCCGCATCTTGAAGATCGTCGCCTCATCAGCGTCATCAGAGATACTCTATTAGTCCTCCGCGAATATGCAAACTCGCACAAAGCTTATGCACAACGTGGAGAGAGTCAGTCGACAAGTGAAGAAAGCCAAAACTATGGCGGCGATTCTATCGATTGGGACGATGTTCAGCATATCGATCCTCAGTCTACTGAGAATGTTCCTAGACAATCGAGTCTGGACTTCATCGAAGGTCCTCTCTGGCGACTAACGTCCAACGCTTACGGCGCGGAAAGCTCGCCAGAAGACAACCTCCTCATGGACTGCGTTGATACGTGGGTTCTTGTTGCCGCGTGTCAAGTGTCACTGGGTGATAAGTCATGGGCTTACTACATCGACCCTTTCAGCCCAGTAGCATGGCAGCAATTGATTCAAACGGAACAGACACGCAAGTTCGGCCCGTATTACATGGCCGCTCTGATCGACTGTGGTCCGGCTGTGTATGAGGGACATCGTCTCGAGTTCCTCACTGCGCTACTGCTTTCCCTGGCCGAGCGCGAGTCAATGCTTCGGTTCCAGAACCGACTGCTGCACTCCATTGTCCAAACGGATCACGATCATCCGCTTTGGAAAAATCTTCCGTTCTTCCGCAATGAGCAGACTGGCGAGTGGGACATCACCGCGGAGACTTTGCATGCGCGGCGTCTCTCCCTTATCTCCAGCATACTGGCCAACCTACGAGATGATGTCCAGGCCACCTTTCATGACCAACCCGCACGCGCACGCGAACTAAAAGGAGCATACGCCCAAATACTTGGAAACTTCATGAACACGATGAAGCACAACTACCTGCAACTCCAGCAAGGTAGTACAGTAACCGGCTCTTACGTTGAATTCGTCCAGAAAGTTGTCCAATTCCTCAAGCAATACACAAACGACATCACCCCTGTGCTGCCCTTCTTCACGGATTCAGTCGCTTTCCCTCTCCCATCCACAGATCCTACGTACGTGGTTGGCCGCCTCTGTGGATACGCGCCGAAAGCATCAGATTCGGGCACCGCCAAACAGCTCTCCATGTTCATACAGACGGTAGCGCAACAAGCCGCGGCTGACAACCAGCAATCGTACCTTGTCACGCAACTCACGACTGCTCTATGTACGGACGAAGCACCATTAGCTGATAGGGTGGCTTTACGGTCTGTGCTGCTTCGAAGTATCTTTCCTGCATATCTCGAAGGGGCATTTTCTTCGAGCACAGCCTTTCTCATAGCCAGGCCAATGTTATATGTCCTACCGCAGGTCTTGGACACGATGATCTTCGATCTCAGAGTCACGCAGCCAGACAGTCTTGACGCGATTGTAACGGGTGTCATGGCTGTAGCACACGCATTCATCCGCGGCACCGAGCTACTGAAAGACAACACAGACATGTTCCAGCGACCGCACATTCTCGCCGCTTTGACGCATATGCTACGGGCCATGCGCAGCGCTGTCCCGCTCCTGGATTACATCTACAGTCGCGCTACGTGCGGCGATGCGAGAAAACCTCCACTCGTGGTGTACATGGAGAAGTTCAGTGTTTATATCGCGCAGACAATCTGCGGTGTCGAACCACACGCCATCCCTTCATTTGACGGCGATGCACACGTCCTTTCTTCCGAGCTGCTGAGGTTTTGCCGGAGCGGGTTGGAGGAGGGCATGAAGTTGAATTGGAGCGAGAGGAGCGGAGCGATTTGGTTTGCACACGGAAATGCGAAGAGGGAGGTCGTGGTTGATATTGGGACGGTGGAGGAGGAGAAGGAGGGGTTGGTCGCTGGGATCGAAGAGTTTCATGCGACGCTTTCCGCTGTCTATGTTGAGGATGGCGAGTTGTGGGGAGGTGGAAGAGCGTTGGACGATATGGTTATGTAGTTATTTTGTGTTTTTAGCGGCATCGTGGGCGTTTTGTATTGATGGCGTAGTGTACATGGAATCGTACAGACTTTTTGAATCGTATAATCTGGAAGATGTAATCACACAAGTCAATTCTTTGTCTTACGCCCTCGAAAAACCACAACCCTATTTCTCTCCTTTTTCTCAACCCAACGGACAGCCTGTAAGTTGGGTAAAATAGTACAAAACATTCAATGCTTCCTCCACCAAGGGGACTTTCGATTAGTCGGTATACCAGGACCTAGAATGCAGCGAAGTTTTGTTCCATCCTGACAACAAAATGTGAACTTTGAGCAGAACTTATATGTTGTAGGTTACTACTATCAAATGCCTCGCATATACTTCTTCTACGTTTTGATATTGGGGTTTTGCACCTTTGAAGAGACGCAAAAAATGCAGCTTACTTCCCGCTTTTACACTTGACCAAGAGATGGAATCATGACATATTTCACAGACGGATCTTAGAAGGATAGTGTCACGAAGTGAAAAGACCCAAGAAGCGTTGTACGAACAATATACATTCAATAAATTACGGCAACTTGTGCCAAGCTATATAGCTATATAAATATATACAAACCCCACCCAGACGGGGCATCGTGAACCCAACATAAATTACACGTCTTTCCAAATCCCCACCAGCACCCCATATCGTATTACCAGTACCCAATACTCCCAAAATCCCCTCTTCCACGCGCTAAAAAGTATCAAGTGGTATCATAGAACAAGCACTAAAATCATGAAACGCAGTCTCGCTTACAAGGCGAACACAACGGGGACGAGGAAAAGAAGCCACCATACTTTCTCCTCGCGGTGTCCGCCCGCTCCGCTGGACGCTTCCGGCGCAGGCGGGATTTCGGATGCGTTGGGTGTTGTGGAGGACGTGGAAGAGGAGGAGGTGGATGATGTGCTGGAGGGGCGGGTAGTGAAGACAGATGAGCCGGCTGCGATGGCGCTGGTTGACATGGTGGATGAGGATGAGGCCGGGGGGGATGAGGGGGCTGTGCTTTGCGAGGCTGGTGCGGTGGACGATGGTGCGGATACAGTGGGAGATGCGGCGCTGGAAGACGCTGCACTGGAAGACAGAGCACTCGAAGGCGCGGCATTGGATGATGCAGCACTGGAAGGCGTGGCACTGGAAGGCGTGGCACTGGAAGGCGTGGCACTGGAAGGCGTGGCACTGGAAGACACAGCGCCGGAAGACACAGCGCCGGAAGACAGAGCACTAGAAGATGCAGCGTTGGAGGCGGAGCTGACCGACGTGGTGAGGGTGGTCTGCGCCGACGTGCTTGAAGTCTTTGTGGTTGCGAAGGCGGAGGACAGCATTGAGGCGATCGATGAGAGAACGCTAGGGATGTCCAACGATGCAGAGCTGGTCGAGGTGACCAAAGTAGTTGGTGCTGGTGTGGTCGAGGCCTGAGATGTTGAAATGATAGACGAAGCACTCGAAACGAGCGATGACAGCGTGCTGGAGACCATAGGAGGAGTGGAAAGAGTTTCCGTGACATAAGTGGTGGATGTGGATGTTGATGTGGTTAGAATTTGTTGTGATGAGACGAGAGAAGACGAGCCCGAGACGATGGATGATGCCATGCTGGAGACTGCTGAAGCGACGGGTAGAGTCTCTGTGACGAAAGTGACAGTCGTTGTAGACACTTCTGATGATGAGGACGCGAGACCACTACTCGAAGGCGGTGTTGGCAAAAGCGACGACGATGTTGGCAAAAGCGACGACGATGTTGGCAAAAGCGACGACGATGTTGGCAAAAGCGACGACGATGTTGGCAAAAGCGAAGACGATGTTGGCAAAAGCGAAGACGATGTTGGCAAAAGCGACGACGGCGATGAGGGTGAAGGCGATGATGGTGAATATATCGACGATACCGACACTGACAACGATGGCGTTGCACTCTCAGACACCGACACCAACACCGTCGACGTCTCCGAACCCACCGGCACAGGCACAACGACAGTCAAAGTCGTCGAGGTAGTGACCACCACAGTCGTAGTCTTCTCCTCACTGGCAGTCGATACAATGCCAACAACTGACGTAACCAACAAGGGATACCCGACTGTCCCCGAAGGCGACGGATACGCGTAGGTTGAAGAGTTTAGAAACCTAGAGCCAACCGCCGACGACGGCAGGAGTGGGATGCCATAACTGCTCAGCACTGGTACAGAAGGATATGCGATGGCCGAGCTTGTTTCGTACGATTCTGCTGATGTTGCTGATGAAGATGGCGATAAGGTCGATATCGTTGTTGACGTCTCACATGGCTCTTCCTGTTTTGAATGCGAAGGCAAAGTTGGAATTGGCACGGGCGCCCCTGATCCATATGGATGAAGAGTCACAGGTGTGGTTGCTAGACAAAGTCAGCAAGATTCTACTGTGTATATCGAACGCAGACGTACAATTCCCATACGGCATCCCATGGCACAAGACACGCGATGACAGTGCAGTCAACACCCAAACCGACGAACTTCTCCGCATAATGACTGAGTATGTGATGGAGTGCGATGCGTGCGCTGCTAGGTATTCTCCGACTGTAGTCACAACGCGAACGATGGAACAATTCACGGCAGAAGAAAAACGTTTCTGTGGTGGAGAACAGTTGGAGAGAAAAGCAAGCCAGCAGCCCCACAGCTTAAGTAGAATCCATCCATCGGGTTGTTGTGATTGCACAGTGGGTAAGTCGGTGGTTGACTGAGGTTGGTTCTCCCAGCCTCCCCTCGGCACGAAAACATGCTTGTTGCACAACAACGCGCTGGCAGCTGCCCACTGGAAGTTGCCGTCGCACAGAGTCTGGAACGAGGCGGTCTATCGGTTTCGATGCGCAACTTGATGTCTCTGAATGGAAGGCTTGCGATGACGATACGGTGTGGTGCTGGAAAGATGGGTAGGGAAGGAAGGGCACGGACACTTTCTGGTGGTTGACAACAAGGCTGTGTACGAAAGAGCTCGTATTCTACGTGTCACCACTTCAAAGGACAAATCCTGCATTATTATGATTACCCATGACTTAACACGAAAACCTGTTCAAATCAACGGAATAGAGCAGAAATAGATAGATCATGTGTTAAGAGCATTCAAGTGTATACCGTCTAGAATCAAACTGTATTTTTGGAGTTTATGGCGTGCAGGGGCTGGTGACTTGGAATTCGACGTCTTCCGTACCTGCGTCACTGCACGAGCCCTGCATGGCATATGCATGGCTTCCAGGTACGGCGCTGGCGCCCAACGTTACGCGGCAACGGTCTGCACAGCCAGTATATCGATGGTGATACGATAGATTGCACTCGGCCTTGAAATTAAGATTACGCCACTCTTCCCGTCCGCCACAAACTCTCTCCACAGGTTTTCGATAGACAGCAATTTCACACACGACAAGACACTCCGAGCCAGATGGCCTGACGCATGGCTTTCCATTCACCGCCAGACGTAAGGAATCGCAGGTGGTAGATGCACACGGAAACACGGTGCCTAGCAGGACACATCATCGAGATTGTCGCAAGGTCTCAGCGATCCACAGCTCCACCTTGAACAGCGTGACAAACAAGTCAGGCGATGATGTTTTGGAGCGAGTGTAGACCATGTTTGACTATGATATGGTGTGGCACTCAAGAATATGGGTATATGATGATTGTATTGGAGATAACTATTTACTGGACCGCGAGTCGGTTCGTCAATATGGGTGAGCTTGCGTCAGCCTTGACACGATATCGTTTACCAATCTTGATCTCGTTTATCATACTGAAAGGTCGATGCCTCGAAATTAGATGCAGCGACTATATGAGCGCACACAAACGATCGACACTCTGGCATATCAACACATCGAGAGGCGGCACGATTGTAGAGCAGGGGAAACTCCGGAAGTAACGAAGATGCTGAGCTGAACGATACAGGCTTCCTGTAATACATGGCGTCACAATCAGTGTGCATAATCTGATATTTGTCAGCGAGATCCCCAAGACTTCGATCGACAAAACGAGTGGTGTAAATGCAAGATCAGACAGCAGTTGGTACAAAATTTAGTCCACATAGAAATTCGGAACAGGTCTGTGAATAATGCTTTTTCATCATTGCAAGAGGGGGTGAACAGTGAAGGCATAGACTTACAGGTAGTTTTTACGACCTCAGACATTGCTTGGGTCGACCTTCTCCACAATCATCATGCAAGTTTACGCCTTTTGAAATATGTCTGGATGCTTTTCTGCGAGGCATCGTGGCGAGACGTACCAAATCCTCCACCTGCACGCTTGAGATTTTGGAGATGATCTTTGCCGTTCACCGTCAAGATCGTAGTCGTACAACCGCGAGCGATGCGTGTGGGGGACTTCTGAGCTGTGAGGACAGGAAAGGAAGGCAGTTCTGGAAGTTGTTGCTGCGCGATTTCGTCCTTATCAATCACAGCGTCTGCTGGTAGTGCATCAGTCGGCAATGGAAGATTCGGTACTTGCGGCGAGGGAGTGTCTGAAGTATGTCGAGAAGCTTCTAAAGCGACTTGGGTCATGAGCAACTCTAAAAAGCCGGTGTTCGACCACCCTCCCAATTGCTCGAGTGACACACGTGGGCCCAGCATGAGCCCAGAAGCGAAGGTTACGCTCTTGTGGGGGAGGCGCAGAAGCAGACACCGCCACAGCGAGGACAGGAAGATACCGTGGGAGACGATGGCGACGACCAGATCATCAGCCTCAGACGACTCTTCCAGCAACGGAAGAAGATGGTCATCGAGGAAGACATTGGCACGTCGCGCCAGTGACTCTTTCGATTCCTTGGCTACAAATCCCGGCGAGTCAACATACTCTTGTGTCCGCTCGTACGGCTTCTTCCCTTCCATGGATCCAAAGTCACGCTCCATGATCACGGGTAGCTGTACAACATCAGGCACCCTTCGCGTGGGGTCTTCGTCACCGGCGAGCAGCATCTGGGCCTCGCGGATCTGGCCAGCCGTCTTCACCGTGCGCTGGAGATTCGACGAGAAGATGTGCGTGAACGACAGCTCGAGCGCTCTGAAGTGCTGACCTAGACGCGTGGCTTGCTGGAAGCCATGGCAGGTGAGCGGCGAGTCTCTGACACCGGCACTGCGCGGTTAGCTAGGAAGACGCAAGATACAGGAGCTTGCTTACTAGCGCTGGGCGACATTATCGACTGTCTCTCCATGCCGGATGAGAAACAGCCTCATCGACCGTGCCATGGTGCCCGCCACAAGCAAAAGAGAGTCGTGTCGAGCTTCATGGGAACGCGATGAAAGTGGGCTGTCGAGATAAGGGAAGCTCGACGAACGGGTGTTTTCGCGGTTGGTGCGTATTAGCGTGGTATGTGATTACATAAGGTTGTTAGCTACTGTTTTGCAGCACGACACGTTCTCCACGACACCACTTTATTTAGAGACTACATCACATTCTGCAACTTCTGTTTGAATGCTTGGAGTACGCCTAGCAAAGCACACCTCCTAATCAAAATACATATGAGCACTGACTACGACAATGTGGAAGTTATCCGTGTCGTGTCCAACTACCTCAACCATCGGGGGGACAGGACGGTGGTACTGAATAACCACACAAACCACATCATCGACAAAAGGCACATGTTCCACAGCTTGGGTTCTGAGAATGATGACAATACATATGAGCAGGCTGTGATCTTCAGATTATTCTGAACCCGAGTCAACCATTAAAGCTTAAAGAACTATGTGTTGGGATGGATGGTCACTACTGAGTAAGCGTCGATCCAAACATACGGCCTGTACCGAGACTTCATGTCTCTCGCTCTGGGTGACATTTTCGCTTCGGATTTGACCAGCTCTCGGCTGACCGCTCTATCTACCGTTTGTTACACCCCACACTTATCCATCATACAACAAGTATAGTTTTGATGCTTGCTTCCATTACCTTCACTTCGCAAGACTACTTCAACCGTAGTTTATTCTACATTAATCCACAAGTTTCCTCTCTCTCGCTCATTCTCTTCTCTTGAACTCTCCCATTACGACACTCACCTCGTGCTTAGAAGTGTGTGGTACAGCGTCAAGTCTCGATACATCAGTTTCCGACTTCGGTGCAGATCACGTTCGCTTACTTACTCTTACCTTTTGGCGACTGTCTTTTCATTCAGGCTTTTGGAATCATTACGCTACGCTTGGGCATATCCCTCTCACCCGAAGATTGCTGGCTGTAAGCGGCTCTTTTACCTTTGTAGACACCGCATACTCTCCTACCTCCCGACAGTTTGTCCTTTCCTACTTACCGACAGTGTACTCTACTACCTACCACATCGTCATGAACAAAAGCACAGTGATCCTCAAACCCTAACACGCTCAATAGAAGCACGAGGTGACTTGCTCTACAACGCTCAAAATGGTCGACAACGACATGCCGCCGCGACCAGAGACTGAGTTTGACTTCAGTCTTCCTCATGGTCTCGAGGCTGGAGAAGATGCATCGAACGATGACCAGAATGACCGCGACTCTCTCCACGATCTGTTCAACAGTCCCGAACCCGACAACGACAACGAGCACAACAAGATTGACCACAACGATCATGACCTCAATCCCGAAAATCGGAATAATGACCAGCAAGACTTGAATTACTGCGCATTCGCGAAAGGGTTCTCAGATGACGAGGATGGCGATGAGACATTTGATGGCTCCTGGGCAGGCCATCAGGCTAAGACGAGTTCCTCCAGGAACAAGAAATCGCCAAGGCGCTCAGAGACTGATGATGCTGACGACGAGGAGTCTCCGAGAATGAAGAAACCTCGTCAGTCACTGTTTGGCGGTCCAGATGAAGAGGTCGAAGAGGACGAGCCTGATCGACGTGTTACAGAAGATCAATCAGGTCTTGATGCACTGGATACACCGGAACAAGGCATCCGCAATCGAATATCGAGTCTCAACCTCGATCAGCAAGAAGATGAAACGATCCGACCGTTCAATCTTGGCTTCGGTCTCGCGTCGTCCGACAGGGGAAGCATCTCTCCTCGATCTTCGCCAGCCCCATCCGAAGGGAGTGTCATCATCCCACCAGACGATCAGGTATGTCACGGTACTACAAGCAGTGGCAGCATTCTCGCTGACGTGCCCAGGTTCCCTATGAACTGCGCAAGAACATCGATAGGAAAAAGACTACCACATACCTGGACACCGACCAGACTGGCAATTACGACCCGCTGCAAGAAGTCAAACAGAAGATGCGTGCGCTGAACAAAGCCAGGACTGCAAAGAGAGGCAAGAAGAAGGGTAAAGAACGAGTGCCCAAGTTGCGCATTCGAAAGCGGATAATCAAGTTTCACTTCGAAGTATTTGGTAACGTCCTCAATCTCACGAACGAAGAAGACAACTGGCCGGACAACTGGTCTGAACTCGATTCTGAGTATGAACGCGAAGCTCAAGAGCTCCGCAGCTTTTATCGACGTAATACACCTGGTGTGGTACAACAAGTTCCCATTGTGGATCCTGCGGGTTTGCTGCAAGATCTGACAGGTCATCCTGCAGCGCGTGGCTGTGTGTCTTGCCGCCTGAACGAGCAAACATGCTCCATGAGCGAAGATGGCCCATACCCTTGCTCTCGGTGTATCGACGACAGGACTGAGTGCGAGCCTATATCCCCTCCCACTGTGAAAGGCCGTTGCAAGCGATGCCGCAAAGACAACCAAGAGTCTTGCTCCTTCGAAGACAATCCCGACCAAGCCCTCTGCGACTACTGCGCCGAGAACGAATTTATCTGCGAGGCTCTTCCACCAGAAGGCTACAAGGCTGACCGAGTAAGCCTAGACGCAGTCTTGTATAGCTCTAACAGACCTCATGCAACGTGCACATCTTGCCGCCAGCAGAAGAAGAGGTGCAGTCTCAAGAAGAAACATCACAAGCCGCCATGCAAACAATGCAAGAAAGACGGCACTGGTTGTACTTTCTACGATCTGCCGAAGCAGGACGACTGGAGAAAGAAGCCTGGTAAAATCGCTCCGGAAGTCTCGACGCCTGGTTCACAATTCTTCACACCAGAAGACCTGGCAGACCTAATGATGAGGGATGAAGAGATGCCCTCCCGCGCAGTAACCCCAGACATCGAGATGGAAGATGACGCAGGGCGCAAAGGGAGGCTCGGAAAAATCAACACGTCCTTCGCCCATCCAATCCTGTTTAACGAAGTTGCTTTCGACGAAACAGCACAGCAGCCTTCTGACTGCAACTTCTGCGAACTCCCTATCTTTGGCATGATTGGCCATTTCGAGCGCGAGGTCCATGTTATCCAGTGGTATAATGGTCTTGGATACACAGAAGTTGGCGGCGGGCACTGTTCGGACAAAGGACCAACGACTATGTGCGTTAGTTGCACGACTAGTCGCTTGCAAATTTTGGCTTGCCCAGCCCATCAACTCACGCCGATACGACACACCAACGAGCACCCCAGCTTTGACGATGTGGCGGAGGAGCTTATGTTCGCGGAGCCTGGTTCAATAGCAATGCAGTACCAGCTACAGCGTTGGTGCTCGATGTGTTTCTCTGTTGCCACGTTCGGCTGTGCTTGTTCCCAGCCCTCTGTGTGTGGCGAAGAGGAAACAGAACTCTCAGGCTGTGGGTTGAGGCTCTGCGATAGTTGCGAGATTGCGTTGCGAGGGTTTGCAGGAGATTTTGATCGAATGGCGGAGGATATGGATAGGCAGTCGAAGATTGCCGAATTTGATCAGCAGCAGGGTAGAAGCCTTGAAGGGGTAGCCAGGGCGGACGTTGGTTTCTTGAGACAGGATGGCCTGCTTATGAGGCATATCGGTGGTGAAGATGGAGAGGACTGAGAGCTGGTGGAGTCCATCAGCGACACGTCAAGTTGGAATGAGGATACTCAGTTTCTTTGATGCTTTGGTCGGACTAGTAGGGCTAGTATATTCTTTTCGTGGCGAGACAGCGTACCCGTTCGTGAGTTTAGGGACTTTGGTTTAGGTAATGCAACAGGAAGACATAATTCTACTTATTCATTTTTGCGTCCTTGCTCAGTGACTTCTATGTGAACATCCAGCAAAGTCACAAGTGTTCTGGCAGGTCGAGATACTTCGTCTCTTGAACCGCCCAAGGAATAGATGATGATCTCTGCGCGCTCATCTGGACTTTCCAAGGTGTTCGTGATCTCAAGTCTTTGTCAATCAAAATACCCAGAACCAAGGTGCAGCAAAAACTTGCAACAGCTTGACAACTACTTGTATGCGTCTCACTCATTCTCCTTATAGCTTGAAATTTCCATGCGAATTGCTTTGTTTTGCTTTGATGAACATTCGACCAACCGAGCGACGTGCTCTATCTGGTCTAGCGTGTTCGCGGTTTCGGGTCGTCGCCTCCATCGCCTCGTGGTCTTGCCCTCGACACCCGAAACAACAACACGCAGCATTCGATCAACCAAGACACGTTATCTTGCGATTCATGACTTAAACTAAAGCTATAGGGTCCAGTCCGATGTGTCAGGGATTACTGAAAGCCAGAAGTCACGCAAATCCTCAAGGCTGGCTTCTTTATCATCATGAGCTCTCGTCATATCCTTCACATACGACCATAGGACGTTGACAACAAGGCTTCCCGTTCGCTCAGCCCTATTTAAGCAACGTACCGGCGGATTAGTACCTTGGTTGGTGACAACAAGGGAATTCCCGCTGTTGTATGTTTTTGCCGTCCTTTTTGTTCCTCGAAGAATTTTTTATGCATATGCGGTCCGTGCGTGATGTACCCAAAAAACATGACTAGCAAATCCCCGCTGTTGTGTGTTATTGTCGGATATTTTTTTGCTTGCAGAAACCCTCGATCAGCATTCCTTCATCACGCCTGCGTTTGGTGCAAGTCGATGGTGGGAAATCATCGTTGGCTGTGCGGTCAGTGTCTTCAGGCCTCAATATCAATTTTGCTAGTCGCCACAAAACGATCGAGCCACATGATAACTTTTATTCTTGTTTCTTCGTGTCAAGATAGGCTAATACTCAAATCCTGGAGCGCTACCGGTCCTCTCCTCGAAAGGTGTCTCAAACGGCGCTTCAGCCTGCGGCGTGATCCTCGCCAGATGCCTCCTGGCACCATCATCCCAATCCAACAGCGCCGAATGCGCAGTCACCCTGTTGTCCCATACTACAACAGTTCCCGGCGCCCACTTGACGCGAGCCTGGAAGTCCTGGCCCTTGGCGATGTGGTCATAGAGGAAGTTAAGCAGGAAGTCGCTCTCCTCCTTCTTGAAGCCGACGATACGACGGCTGAACTGAGGGTTCACGAACAGCGCTTTCTCGCCAGTCACGGGATGAGTGCGTACGAGTGGGTGGATGGAGGTCACGGCTTCACGGCGGACAATGCCACCTCGGTTCTTGCTGTTGTCGGCCTGCTCGACGGCAGAGTGGACGACTTTCAATCCTTGGAGCCGTTTTCGGAACTCCGCCGAGAGTCGGTTGTATGCGGCGGCTTGGTTCGCGAAGAGGGTGTCCCCACCTGCAGCTGGACCGTCTAGTAGGTACAGGAATGTAGTGCCGGGGGGTTGCTTCTCGTAAGTGACATCAGAGTGCCATGTGATTGAGTTTGTTCGCTCTTCGAAAAAGTCACGCGCAGATGTGTCGTCTGTTCCTCGGTGGACGAGATGAACCTCGGGATATCCTTCAGGTGCGCCGGACGTAGGATGGATGTGGTGTCGCCCGAAGTAACCACCGATGTCGAGCGCGTCTTTGATAGCGAGGTCTGCAAAGTCCTGGTCGCGGAAAGCTATCTTCTATCAGCAGTTGAATAGTATCGAGCACCGAGCCTGCTTACCGACGACTTTCTTCTGTGCTACAAACAGAGCCAGCTCATCCTTACCAGCATCTGTCAGCTTGCTGAGTTGAACCCCAGTAACTTCAGCACCAATGTTGGCTGTCAGATCGGCGACCTTGGCATCTTTCAAGAGATTGGGAAACGCTGGGTCGGCGTCTTTGCCGTGCTCGTAATGCTCAAAAGGTTCCAATGGAGCATACCTGAGGTCCGGTCAGCGTGTGGTTTCAGATGAAGGTGGTATCGCTCACTTCACTTTCTCGTTCCACACGGGGAGGTAGTTTGGATACTTCGCAGGCGCATGCTTGTCGGTACCCCTCAATTCCAGCTCCTTCTCAAAAACCTTTGGACCACCGAACGCGGCTTCCTTGTATTGGCCAACACCCGACTTGAAGTTGTAGTCGGTTTGTGTTATAGTCGCCGTTTCCACGAGAGCGGGAGCCATCTTGTGAGTGTTGTGATCGAGAGCAGGTTTTGCCAAGAAGTCTTGTTGGGAATGAAAGTGGAGCGCATACGATGAATGGAGCCCTTTCTTATATTTTCCTGAGACGCGATCGTATTCACTATCATCATCAAGTCATCATCGCCACTTGCGAGGTTATCAATAAAGATCGCAGTTGACCCCGCTTTCGACTTCGATGTTGACTTGTCCAAGGTTGCTACTCAATCCTTGACGCAGTGGGAGTGCCGCATAATACCCGGATCAATCAGGAAAGACTTTGATGGCATCAGCCATGCAGGAGATTGTTCCATACCTCAGTACAGACTAGGCATCGGAAGAGTTTGGCACTAGGGTCATACATGAGCTTTAGGCGATATCGACACTGCCACGCGTAGTGATCCGCTATTAACAATATACGCCCGTCCTTGCGCCATGATTTTCTCCGAACTGGTTGAGGATTGCGACGATAACGGGTGTAACATTCGTTGTTGATGTCGCTACCTCCCCGGCCAATCACGCAATTCCCTATCAACATCCGACACAACGAATCAGGGCCACAGACATGAACTCGAATGCAGATGCCCCGACGCGCCATTGTACCAGATATCGCGTGCTTTCAAGTAATCTGGGAGAAGACTTCGGCCTTTTGCTCCCATACTTTCACGCCCTGACAGCGGTGGCTTTATCTGGACCCATTGTTTGACGGAGGCTTCATGATACCCTCGCAACGCTAAATCCTAAGACCAAAACATCGAACAAGCTATGCTACATGGGACCGCACTCTCTGTCATGACGATCGCTATATAAGCCAAGGTTGTGTCCTGATAAGAGCTTCTCGGGACGCACCAAGCTTTCACTCCAAGGCAACGTCGCTTGGCTCGCAACACCATTATGGCTATCAAGTCCACTAACGAAATTTCCGGCCATAGAAAGACAGACTTTGAGATCACGACAGGCAGTTCGAACACTAGCAGCTCGGAAAATATACCTGAGTCAAATTTGGGTCCAGGAAAGAATGAACGCACTACGTATGCCTCGAATGGACTTGAGAAAGATCATTACAGGCCCATAGAAACATATGAGGGTATCCATCGCTATGATCCAGACTTTGAATGGGAGCCCAAGGAGGAGAAGAAAGTGGTTAGGAAGGTGCGAAATTTTGCTTGCCAGAAATCTTTCACGACTTTGCTGACACTTTTTAGATCGACAAACGTATCATGACATGGGCCTGCCTTATGGTAAGCTATTCCTGTGCTATCACAGGGTCGTCAGCCGATTTGAAGGGTCACGTGGTGGTGGAGTTGAAAATTCTCCAAATCGTCTGGCGACCCCGTGGTAACTTCGAATCCTCACGTATGTTTCTGACGAGTTATGAGCTAGTTCTTCTCATTGCAGCTGGACAGATCTAATCTAGCTCAAGCTCTGAGCGATAATATGCTCAGTGATCTGCGCCTGAACACGAACCAGTACAACTACGGTCAAACGATCTTTTATCTTTGCTTCATGTGTGCTGAGATGCCATCCCAGCTCATCAGCAAGAAGCTAGGACCTGACAATTGGATCCCCATTCAAATGGTCTTGTGGAGTCTGGTCGCCAGCTGTCAAGCTCTCCTGAGCGGTAGGAACTCCTTTTTTGTATGCCGCGCACTCCTCGGCCTTATTGAAGGAGGCTTCATTCCGGACACGATCCTGTATCTCAGCTACTTCTATACCGGGAGCGAGTTGCCTAAACGCCTGAGTGTCTTCTGGACAGCATACCAGGCGACGCAGATCATTTCTGCTTTCCTCGCTTATGGTATTTTACGCATCACCCACAACGGATTAGAAGGCTGGCGCTGGATGTTTGCGATTGAAGGCACAATTACTGGATTGATTGGAATCGCAACGTGGTTCTATCTCCCGGCTTCACCCACACAGACAGCAAGCCCAACAAGATGGAACCCCTTCCGTGGCACCTACGGCTGGTTCAACGAGCGCGAAGAGAAAATCATGGTGAACCGTATTCTCCGCGATGATCCATCGAAAGGAGACATGACGAATCGACAGGGATTGTCACTCACAATGCTATGGGAGTGCGTAAAAGACTACCATATGTGGCCTATCTACATGCTCGGGCTCACCTGGCTCATCCCCGTGACCCCAATGGGCTCCTACCTAACCCTGCAACTGCGCTCCCTCGGCTTCGACACATTTCAAACAAACCTCCTCACTATCCCGGCGTACGTACTTTTCATCATCCAACTCCTCTTCTGGACATGGGTATCGGAAAAAGTCAATCAACGCTTCCTCGTCAGTCTCGTCTCACAGATCTGGAATATGCCTGTCCTGATCGCGCTCGCGCTGCTGCCCGCAGCTGCGTCGCCTTGGGCGCGCTGGACGCTCTGCACGCTGCTCGTCGGTTCGCCCTACGCACATGCTATCATCGTCTCCATCACAAGTCGCAACGCTGGAGCAGTGCGCACGCGCACCATTGCTTCCGCTATGTACAATATCTGTGTGCAGGCGTCGAGTATTATTTCCACGAACGTCTACCGCGATGATGATAAGCCGCTGTATCGACGCGGAAACAAGGCGCTCATCGGCATCTGTGCATGGAATATGGTCATGTTTGTTGGGGCGAAGATTTACTATGTGCAAGTCAACAAGAGGAGGGATAGTATCTGGCAGGCGATGAGCAAGGAGGAGAGGGAGACGTATCTGGCGACTACAACGGATTCGGGGAACAAGCGGCTGGACTTTCGGTTTGCGCACTAAGGTGTGGTGGTTGTTGAGAATGTTCGTACCACCATGTTTTTTGTACTTTCATTCAGGCGTATACCAGCAATACTTAGAGCAGAAAACATTTACACAATTCTGGCTTGTAGTTGTCAAGCTGTTGCACGATTTCGCTGTAGTGTGGTTCCATCGTCTCGGTTGAGTGTAAAAACTGAAGGAACGAATGCTTAAAATAAGGCAGTTGGGCATATACCAGCAGGAAAAACGCTACAAAAGCTCCGCACAAATCTCGTTTGTATCTGTCAGGGTGTTGTAAACATTTGACGCAATAGAGCTCTAACTTCAACACTCACCCAGATGCGACAATGGTCCATACGTCAAACAATACGTCCAATCAGTTAGAACTAGCGTTGGAAAAAAATCATCTCTTCAACTATGTCTTGCTTAACACCTCCTGTAATTATCCGAGAACACTAAATGTGTGGGCGCAATGACAGTGAAAAGTTTTCTGGAGATCATTGGTTCGCAGTGACACGGTTGTTTTTTGGTATTATATCCTCGTTGGTGTCTTGATCTTCGCCAGTCTGTTGCTGCTGCTGGTTGGTAGGTAAGAGAATTGAACTGGGGACTGTGATAGGTGACGATGAGCAGTGTGTGCTATGTTGTTTGCTCACAACTCGCGCACTGTTCCACTTCTTCTCGATATCCTTATTGTTATATTTCCTCGTCATGGTAATCAGCTAGAAGGAAACTTCATCCAACAACGTCATGTGTCAGTAATATGCAGCATCAATCCAAGATTGAGATCACCCCCAAAAGTCAATCCCCCTCCCTCTGTAAACACAGGAATCGAACAACAGCCCTCATTCCCTCTCACTCTTCACCAGGCTCCTCTCTATTGGCAACATCGTCCTAAACTAATCGCTGCAAGGGTTAGAGGATTCGAAGTTGAGTGGGGGTGCACTATTTTACCTTGCAGCAAACACTCACCGCCGCAAACGGTCTAAGCTCAGGCTCCCCTTCACCTCGCCACCCGCCGCACTAGAAGTCTGCTCATGACTCTTTCGCCCTGCTCCCACCTGCAAAGAAAGACACCCTCCCAATGACAGGCCAAGTTCCAGGTGCATCGGTATGAGTACAGCCTGCATCGATATCACTTCTACGCGGTGTGCATGTTGACGCCACATCTAAGATGTTTCACTAATCTTGTCCAGATACAATCACAAAGACCCTTCACCCTCCTTCTGTTAGTCATTCTCTGGCCGACCGCGCCCAGGATACTACACTTCTTTCTAACTGACCCTCTCGACATCTTCGATTCCGCTCTTTCTGACTAGAAAGCCTGGCGGAATGGCGCTCTACCAGGACTCTCACCGCACACTCCAGACGGCTGTCGAGCGGGGTTGCGAGATTGTCCAAGACTACATGTCTAGAGATGAACATCACGTTCAGTACAAGAAGGGCATGCAAGGCCATTATCTCGGCGAGCAGACAAACAAGAGTGGCAGTGTCTGGGCCAAAATCTTCATCCTAGGTGTCACTGAGCATGGTCCTGATGCTGGACATGGGTTCCACGCTCAGTATTGAAGCTCGGCGATTCGTGGAAAGAAAACATTGAGGACTGGGACATCGACGCCAGCCTAGTCCCCAACGCGAACAAGACCAGATGGCAGGAGGCCCCACATATCGGCGATACCCAGTTGGAACATACCATTGTGATGCTTCTTCAAGCTTTCATCGATACGCCGGCTTCCTTCCTGGGCTGGAAGCTGCCTGAAGCGATCAGCAAAAACGGTATCGCCGACTTCGCCAGTGTCATCATCACGGGCATCAAAGCTGCAGGTGTCTTTGAGGCTCTCAACAACCCCGAGTTCACATCGCTGGAATTGCGCGATGCGGCCAGGTTTCAAATCGACAACAACTCCGGTGGTGACAAGAAGGGCATCTATGCCAGGTTCCAGAAGTCGCAACATCCAATTGTGTACTGGATACCAAATACCTGGTTAGTCCACTCTTCCCGAGACATTGTTACGTGTGCATAACCATTTACCTGTGCTTCATGCAATTGTCTCACGCCCTCAATACAAGTTGCAGCATGACATGCAACGACTGGACAACTACAGGAAGAATTCATGTACAACTTGTGAACCATATGTATTGCTTGTATGCGTCCAGCCTGCCATAAACAAAAACAAGCTCCTTCAACATCCTCGTACTCCCTATCAGCTTTCGGGTGGTCGAGATGTCTTTTACGCTGAGGAATGCAACTTCCCTACAAGACAAGGTGTTGTGATTGAGTTTCTGTACAGTTATGTCTTCTGCTGTTGCTTGCTACAATGGTGGATGTTTCTCCATTCTATGCACGCTGAATGTAGCTGAAGCCAAGACTATTACACTTGAGTAGTTTTTGGGCGACAAATTACCCAGTTGTCGTCGTAATTCATCTTATTTATAGCCTGGCCTTCGTTATACCAAGACAAGACAAACTCCGCTCCTTTGCTAAAACAATGACGCGAGATGTCAGTATAGCTAGAGCTTGAAAACGCTAGACATCATTCTGGCTAAGCTCAGTCGTGGTGTTTTTCCTCCTACAAGGCTTAGGCTGGGTTTTAGCCATTCTTTTCGAGAGTGTACGTTGTAGTGTGAGAGATGGCCTGTCACGGCCACCGTGGGGATAATGAGTTCTGTCGCCGTCTGGTGTTTGCGAATCGCCCGTAGCGCCACTAATCCAGGAGAGTCGTCAGGAAGATGGAGTACCTGGTGTTTGGGCAGGTGGCTTGACGCGCGTTTCTTTCTTGTGGCGTCTCCTACGCTGTTGCTCTCTTCGATAGCGTTGGTGTTGTCGATGGTGTGGGCCGCGTAAGACGAACTGGTGGCGTCAGGCTTAGTTCAGGATGTGGCTGGTTAGTCGGTATATGTCTGTATCGATGGGCTATGAGATTTTAGGCGGTAGATGTTGTGTGGTGGTTAGGTGGGTGATCTGGTTGGTAGGAATGGAGAAGGAGTAGCTGTGTTTATGTATATTCTTTAGCTTTACGCAAATAATGTCTTCAGTCACCAGTGGCTTGCGATATGGCAGCTGATTCTGAGGAACGCCCTCAGGCGCAAAATCTCGTTTTCAAGAGAAGTTTGTCGTTACTAGCACTGCAAGAAGATGTCTGAGGTTTGACCTATGCATGCAGCACCCGCGAAGATAGCAAGCAAACTCTGATGGATACAAACAAGGAAAACTTTCGAGATTACACAAAAGGCAACACGACTTGTACTCCAGACGCTGACCACAGAACGACCTTCACTGCACAGGAGCGCCGCGATTAAAAAAGACCTCCCTGACATCCTTCCACCACACATGGCTCTTATTCTTCTCCATTTCCCTCATGAAGCCCACCACTTCAGTCCTCCCGGACGGACTCAAAAAGCACCCCAAAGCAGTCCACTTACAAAGGAACTCCCTATACGCCACATACCCAGGCGGGAGAATCGGATTCCCGAGCCGCTGATCCGATGCAGAAACGACATGCGGGACAAACGCCCTCTCACCCACCGTTTTCATATGCTCAACGAGTTCCGTGGAATTGAATTTCCGCTTCGAACTCGCGAGCCGCTGCAACTCCGCGACAAGACACGCTTTCAGCACATCTGCCTCCTTCGTGTTCGTCGGGTTGTCTAGGCTGTACCCCCAGTTTAGGAGGCTGGCTACGTAGATGGGCACGGCTTCCATGACCTGCACAGCGTCGGGCATGTGTACGTGGACTTTGCGTACCTCTTTGATGTCGGCGGGATTGGCGCGCTCGTCGCTCAAGTGTGGTGGGAGTGCGGGACACCATCCGTCCAGCTCTGCCTGCTCCATGCGCCACAGCCAATCGGTGATCTCGTGGATGAGGCGGTGATTTGCGATCTTGTAGCGCCAGTACTGCAGTTCATCGGGTTGGATAATGTCGGCGCGGTCTTTGAGGACGGGGTTGATGTCGCGGCATTCTGAGCAGCGCCAGTACTTCTGTCCGGGGTCTGTCTCTCCGTCCATGAGATTTCCTCTACCTAGATCCCTTGGTGTTAGCATGTCCTCTGTATGCTGGGGGCGTACGTACCGGCTTCGTCCACGATCTCCGTTACACACTCGAGACAAAGCCAGTGCCCGCACTTCAGCTCGCAGGCATATTCACTGTCGACGTACCAGTCGCGCGAACATATACTGCAACAGGTTCCTTGCCACTTGCCGGGACTGGACGGTTCTTCGCGATGGACTGCCACTGCTTTCTCTACATCTGGTCTTGGTAGCCTGCGCGTGTGAGTGACAAGCCATATGGACATACATAGGAAGAACACACCATGCGGGCAAAGGCGCCGGGATGTTGAATCTGTCCATGCAATCTCTCGCGCTCCAGAACGAGCGATCATAAGCACCCTGATACAAATCCTATTCGCCAAACGTTACCAAAACGCATCTCAGAACTTCCTCAACTCTCTCTTACATGGAGTCTCTGCCACCAACTATCATGCCCTGGAGTGCTCAGTGGCTTCAACCCCCTCCACTGATCACAAGGAATGTTGTATGTATCCTCCTCCTTCCCAAACCCATCTCCAGCCAACGGTATCGACGTAACCCTATTAACCACATACACCAACCCGCCCCTCTTCGCAAACTTCCCGCTCTTCAGCAGTGTATTGCCCGCATACTTAGTCATTCTCGTCATTGCCCTACCCAACGGATTCCTACTCTTCGCATCCCTTTTTGTCTCCGTGTCAGACCATGATCGAAAATCCGCTTCCGTCGGCGGCTCGCGGTACGAACGCGTGATGGTGAGGAACGTCGCGCCGTCTATCCCGAAGTCGCCGTGGCCTTGGGGTCGAGAGCGTTTCGCGGAGTTTGCGGGCAGCTGGAGGCGTAGAGCGGGGATGCCGTGGTCTAGCGGGTGGGGATACTGGTAGCGCGTTATGTGGTTTGGTTTTAGGACGTTGCTGCCGCCACGAAAGAAGATCTCTGGGTCTTGAATCTGAGGACTCGACATGGTGGTAGGAGGGGAAGGAAGGTCTTGGGAAATGAGAGACTGGAAAGCAAAGGTTTGGGCACGATTGTAGTGGAGGTATTCAGCTTGTGAAGGGAGATGTGTGAATGCAATTGAACGTAGAATGTATTCATCAATTGCACTACCACCATTAATCGTTTCTAGTATTATGAATAAGATCCACGAGCGAATGCTCACTGGTCTATCTTCGAGAACGAACTTTACGCCTAAATTGCTCGCTGGCTACTACCAAGCCTTTTAGGTCTTCATCTTGTCATCGCGATGCGCAACTTTTAGTTGCACTTGCCCCACTTGGACTGGCACCAGTTGGCAGCGCCGCAGAAGTCCGTCTACAAAACGTTAGCACAAAACTTTATCTTGAGGAATGTTTCAACTTACGCCGGCTCCGCAGTAGTTGCTTCCCGAGCAGCACAGTCCAGACCCGCACTTCTTGTTCACAATCGGGCCGCAGTTCTCACCTGCACCAGCAGTACCGGGAGTAGCAGATGGGACGGGGGGCTTAGCCATGGTGTTGCACTTTCCGTAGCCGGCCTGGCATCCGTCGCCGCAGTAGAGAGCCTGGTCCTGGATGTCGTTCTTGGGACCGCAGTGTCCAGCGGACGAGCAGCAGCGGTAGAAGTAGCCGTTGGTACCGGCGCCGGGGCAGGTTACGCCGCCTTGAGCGTGGCCGCAGACGTCAATGTTGGGAACGGCAGCGGGGAAAGTGGTAGCAGCAGAAGTTTTGAGAGTGGTGGCAGCGGCTTTTGTGACAGTGGCCTTTGTAGTAACGGCAGTGGTGGGTGCGCACTTTGAGGTCTTGCCGGAGAATGACTTCAGGCAGGTCGCGGAGTCGCAGTGATCGACTGTGGTGCCGCACTGTAGGGAATTGTCAGTATGGTTTGTATTTTGCAGAGGTGTATGTGCCATGTTTCAGTGGAGCGAGGATCAACGTACCCATCCATACTGGCTACAGCATTCTCCAGTAGCGCAAACCGCGTTTCCGTTCTGAGGTCCGCAGTTTCCTGCGAGAGCTCCGGAAAGCAGGGAGAAGAAGGCGATGGCAGAGACACGCATTATGATAATACTGTTTATTAAGATAAAAAGATAGAGATTCTGTAGCGAATGGACACTGCAACAAGACAGTAATGAGAAGATGGAGTGCGGTGGTGAGTCGAGTTCTCAGCGCACGCCGACTCTTTTAATACCACCTCGTATCGCGTCTATATTGGGCATCCAATGGCCACCCATGCTCGCAGGATGCCAGGATGGTTCCTGGAGCCACGGCTCAGCCGGTGTTGGTAACTGCAAATCGGTCATTCCTCCCCCTGACGGTAGGGGTCTTCCTTCCGGATTGGGAGTGACGTTGTTTCAGCTCCACTTTCGAAGGGCTAGGTCGAGCTTCGGCGTTATTGGGCGCGCCTAATCGCGAGAGGGTATTCCTAGGAACCACGGCTTCACTGTGAGGTCAGATCTGTTTGAAAGGTGGTACATGAAGAGATGAGCTGTACAGCTTCAAGAAAGATACTAGATGGAATTTCTTCACCTCCAGCTACAGCCACCACGGCTGATGTGCGAACGATCGCGTGCGGAAAATTGGCTGGGATGTCAAAAGGCTTAAGTGAGCGCTAAGCACTAGTCGCGGCTGCTAACAATGCTTGTCCAGGAGATGCCGCCGGTGAGCGCTGCAGGCGTGGGCCTGACCCGCGTGGCAATAGGTTAGCTCCAGGGGCTTGACATGCAAAAGAAACGATGTTCATGCACGCCTTCGCAAATTGAGAGACTATTTAGCCGGTCATCTCGTGCAGTAGTTTTGGCGAGCACGTGTGAATACAACCTCTCAAAATAGGATCGTGAAGATGATTGTAGATCTCGATGAACCGTCATGATTTCATCAATTTCGTGATGCTCCAGTATGTTGTCAAAACACACTGTAAGTGACTACATAAAAGCTAAAAACGATGCACCGCCTTAATGCATATTGGTTTCGCTGATGAGTGATGTAGAAGAGGAGTTTGAAATTGTGGCGACCTCGCGCACTCAGTTTCCGACCTGGAGTGTGTAGCCTCCATCGACGGTCACAGTCTGTATTCGTGTCAGTACGTCTTCATCGCCATCACTTATATGAACTCACCTGGCCATTGAGATACTGGCAACTGGCAACGAAGAGGATGGTTTGAGCCATGTCGCTGTCCTTACCCGGCCGGCTAGAAGGCAGACCCTCCTTGTGGTCCTTGGGCATTTCCGACTTCTGGTTGTCGTCTCTGCTCTCTTGCGTAGTCATCTCTGAAGGGAACACGCCTGGAGCGATGCTGTTGACTCGGACCTTGATCTCGTTCTTCGAAATCTCGGACGCCAACATCCTGTTGAGGTGGATCGTTGCAGCCTTGCTCGCGTTGTAAGAAAAGTGGTTCTGCGAGATCTTGACATGACCGGAGATACTGCTGATGTTGATGATAGTGCCCGACCATCCTTGCTGTGCCTTTGTGGACTTCTCGATGAGAGGAAGGAAAGCAGCGCTCATCAGGAAAGGTCCAACGACGTTGGTCTGGTAGACATCAAGCCACTCCTTCTCAGACGTGGGTTCCAGGAGGTTCTTGCTCAGCTCCTCGGCGCTATCAACGTCTGTGTCGGTCTTCTCAGGCGCAATACCGGCGTTGTTCACGAGGATATCTAGGTGCTTCTCTTTCGACTCAATCTCCTTAACCAGCTTTCTGGCACCTTGTCAGTGCCTGTACTCTTTTGGATGGTCGACTGCTCCACTCACAATACACCGTCTTTTGTTGCCACATTCCCTACGACTGGAATGATTGAGCCAGCGATGTTCTTGCCATGCACCTCGGCGACAGTCTCGAGCTTCTCCTCAGTCCTGCCCACAATGTATACCTTTACACCATTTACACTCAGGCTGTACGACGTCAGTGATAGGCCATGTACATCATACAACAGACACTCACGCCTGGCAGATCATCAAACCGATTCCGGAGCCAGCACCAGAGACAAGTGCGACCTTGCCCTTGAGGTTGAACACCTCGCTGACCTGAAGATCTGCGCTGTTCGACATTTTATGGGATGAACGACGTAGTTGATTTGTGATTAGGTTTGTAGGTGCTTGTGTTTGCAGGCGAATTCTGTGCGATGATATTGAGAAGCGGGGTCGTAGTGTTGCAGTTGATATGTAGTTTTTGCTGCAATTAACTGGTGATGGTCGGTTGACGTCACTGCGGAATACGCGACGCGCCAAATGGACAACACCAGAAGACTTTGATAAATACATGACGATTACTTGACACAGAAGTATGCAATGCAATGCAGTTCAGAGAATTGGCAGGCTAGAAGGTGGGTGTGGTCGTGTTCGATGTGTGTCCAGGCGCGATCAGTGGGACGCTACGTCTGCGTTACATCATGCATTTGGAGCCTCTCGTTAAGATGCAATATCAAATATGGAGAGGACATCGTTACAATCCATACAGTCTCGCGGTCAATTATGAAAGCAGGAAGTAAGCTGCGTTCTTTGTAGTTCCTCCAAGCTGTAAAATCACAATAACAACCCCTACAAATGTACACTTGAGGAATACACTTCTGGAATTTTAGGCGTGAGACCTCTACTAACCTTAGATGTAGTTGTCAAGCTGTTGCAAGAGTTCACGGCAGCTTAGTTCCTGTTGTTTCAAGTAACTGAGAGTACTGTTGAGTAGGCCACAAAGATGCCGTGCTAGGTATCTTCAAAGCATTGTTTGCTGCTTGCCTTGCGATTGTCCAACAAGTCATCAACGTGGACACTACTCATTCGATACAAGACACCCATATAAGGCTGTCAGTTCATCTTAAATCCCCTCTTAAATCCACAATCCCCTCACCTGTCTCCAACTACATGGTTGAATTTACTTCCAATACATACAACGTAATGGCCTCCTCCTTTACGCAACACACTCTCTCAAACTCTCATCCATCCAAGTCTAACAACGGAATGTGTGCACAACGTCTCCGAACTTACAGTGCCTGTCTTCATAACGACGTCCAAACGGCACACAGTACAAGTTGCCCTCTCTACGCTGTCATATCGGGTCAGTCCTCTGCTCATGCATCCCCAGCCTCCACCACCACATTCGTAAGATCCTCATACTCACAACCGGAACCTGACTTGTGGAATGATGCACCACTAAACGACTCAAGGCACAATCTGCTTGCAAGGTTCTCAAACAGTGGAACATGTGTTATACAAGATGGGCTGGGGAATGAGACAGCAGTGATAGTAGTCCAGAAGCCGGTTGTTCAGGAGGGAAAGTGTTGGGAATGTATGGTGAGAGAGTCACAGACAGGTTGTTAGGTAGCGTCTAACTGACCCACCATCGTACCGTATGCAGCATACAATGTCAGCTTAATGTTGGCTTCCTAGCTCTTTATCAACTACGTGTGCGTCAAGTAAGGCTCCAGCATAATCATACCAGGCTCAACGACGCAGAATCCGTATGCTGTGTAACTCGATCGTGCGTGAGCGGGTAGATCGTAGGACTGCGTTGGATAGAACTCAGAATCGTGAACACAATCATCAGGGAACATAGCGAGATGCACTAAGGTCTCAAGTTCAGAAATATACCGTTTGTGGAGACGAGGAACTGTTGAACCCAAGTGCGACCCTGAGTTGATAACGGTCGGCTGCAGAAAGAAGAGAATCACCAATTCTTAATTATACATGGAACTCACGCGACAGCGAAAACCAGTTGAAAAGTACGGTGTTCAAGTGATCATACCCATATATTATCGATTCGCTAGGAGAACAGTCGTAAGAAAAACTGTAGAATATTGTGGACACAGCACCGAGCTGTCCACCAACCTATCATTTATAGACTGCGGGCTTGCACATGCAGTCATTTCGTAGTTCACAAAAGCGGACCTACATTACACTTCAAGTTATACCTGGCTTCAACATGAAAACTAGAGGGCAGGAAAAGAGATGTGCCAAAGGCCTGCTCTGACAGCAGTATATTTCGTTCAAGCCATAAAAGTGTGTTCAGCGGGCAAATGCCTGTAAAGCATACGCTCAAAGAGCGAACACTTAGAAAGCAGATGCCCACAAAGTGAACCGGCCAATCCGAAATAGTTGCCAAAGGCGATAGCACCACGTTCCCAAAAGCCGACCGCACAAAACGCGCAAGCCGATATGGAGATCGAGGGCAGTTTCAATCTTCGCACGAAGACTAATTGACACAGTATTGAGGAGTAACTCGTGGCAATTTAAGATAGTGCGGACCTCAATGGAGGAGAAGGTGGAGATGGTGGGACCAACTGAGATGCGAGAACACTTTGCAAGTTTATATTGATCCTGCAAAAACGCAATCATTCTTCATCGTCGTCGTCATCGCCTTGGACGTCCATGACTCGTTCACCAGCTCTTTCGAGCGTGCGGCGACTCCAAGCGCGAACGCCTTTGTATACGGCCTGTTCCATGTTAGATCTCCGCAGCAAAGGAGGTAAGTACAGTGGATACGTACCGCCAGAAACGTGCCTACACCGACTAAGATGATAATCCAACTTATCTGCTCATATCTGTCCCTACCATTCCTGCCCCTGCCACCACCACCTCCTAACCTGAAATAGGAAAACGGACTGGCTACCAGGACTTTGAGGAAGCCAAGAACACCCATGCTAGCGAAACCTTTCGCGAAATGCTCACCCCATGTAACTGGCTCGTCTTCGTAGTAATCGTAGCTTGGACGGCTGGACCAGGGCATCAGATAGCTCCAAGGATCGAAGTACATATTGATTATGGGATCAGCGATGAAACCGAGGACAAAAACGACTATCGTCAAGATGAGAAGTGTCAGGCCAACTTGGGCAGCTGCGGAATTCGTTAACATGTTTCTTCCAGTCCAATGCTGAGACAAGAACTTACCGACACTACCAACGAAACGACCAGCCCCCAAGCGTACAAGCCGATACTTGAAACCGCATGTTGGGCATTGCCAGTAATTTCTCGGTCCGTAACTTGGATCGGCGTGACGCCAGGCCTGCAAACAAGCTTCGTGGACATATTTCGACGAGCCTTTGCAATTGCAAGGTCGAATCAAACGGCCACTTTCGTCTTCGTATTTGACGTTAGACGATTGAAGGAAGCCAGGAAGGTTCTCAGATGGAACATTGAAAGTAGGCTGGACAGTCTCAAGACAGATTCTGCATTGTCTCGGGGGCCAGTGAGTTCTCCTGGAAGACCGTGTTCCCTGACCCGCATGTGGAGCCTCGCCAGTTGCTGAAGTTCTGGAAGGCTGCGGCTGGGATGATGAGGATGACGAAGTCGCATGCGGAGGTTCATCCTTGGGTACGTCGTCTGGCCAGTACCAGCCCGGCATGGCCTGAGATCCAGAAGAAGCAGACATTCTGGGGCTTAGATACTGTTGTAAGAAGTGCGAGCTGAGCAAAGGTTAATGCGTGTGATAAAAGAAGTGATCATGAGTTCGACTGATGACGCTGCAATCGACCAAGGAACGGCGGGGGAGGCATTTGCCGACTTATATGGCTCGGCAACTCGGAGTACGGTTCCGACACAGCCTCCTGCGTCGCTCAGCTGTTGCAAGTAGCCACGGTGGCAGACGCGGAGAGTGGTGGTGTAACGGCTTCTGGAAGATGGAAGAACTTGGAATGCCAATATCGCCGCTAGTGGAAACTGTTTAGTCAGCCCCAGCTTCGAGCGAGAACCCCACGTGACGGAGACCGCGTCAATAGATTGCCTAGACGAAGCTCCAGCTCCGACGCCTTCAGTATTGACGCCAGCATTGCACCCCACTACAGCAACAGCCGCCCTGTCCAACCTCACCACTTCCTTGACCGTATTCTCTGCCGTCAGCACATAACCCATCATGGCTGACAGATACTCGTTCTCGTTGACGACATTCTCGCCCAGGTAAACGCCCAATGTTCGCAGCGGTGGCTACAAGAGTTGTTTGCTGACTGGTGGATAGTGGAAAGCTGGTACAAATAGGTACGCATCAGGACAAGCAGCCACACAGGTGGCTTCTATCGCAATACGGTGTTCTGACACACACGCAGAGTATGCCCTGAACGCCGTCAACCAGGGTGTAACGTCGCTGGGGATCAAAGGTATGTCGGCCACGCTGTATAACACAGCCGAAAGCTGACAATCTGACAAAGCTACCAATGGTATCGTGCTCGCGACCGAGAAGAAGTCATCATCGCCGCTCATCGACTCGCACTCTTCGTCCAAGGTCAGCCTCATAACACCCAATATTGGCATGGTCTACTCGGGAATGGGACCCGACTACCGCGTTCTCGTCGACAAGGCCCGCAAGGTCTCACACACCGAATACAAGCGCATCTACAACGAGTACCCACCCACGAGGATATTGGTGCAGGACGTTGCGCGGGTGATGCAGGAGGCTACACAGTCAGGTGGTGTCCGACCATACGGTGTCAGCCTGCTGATCGCAGGATGGGACGACGGCATCGAGCCAGAAGCAGAGGGCAAGAGCGAAGAGCAGACAAGCGAGGAGAAGAAGAAAGTCAATAGCAAGACGGGCGGTATCTTGAAAGGCGGACCCAGCCTGTACCAGGTCGATCCCAGCGGCAGCTACTTTCCGTGGAAGGCGACAGCGATCGGCAAGAGTGCGACGAGCGCGAAGACCTTCCTTGAGAAACGGTACACCGAAGGTTTGGAGCTGGAGGATGCGATTCACATCGCTCTACTTACCTTGAAGGAGACGATAGAAGGAGAGATGAACGGCGATACGGTGGAGATCGGCATCGTTGGCCCACCAGAGCACAGGCTTCTTGGAGTCGAGGGAGTCGAGGGAGCAGTCGGCCCACGGTTCAGGAAGTTGAGCCCCTCAGAAGTCGAGGACTACCTTACGAATCTGTAAAGTACAAGATGTTTGTAAGAGAGTTCAGCATGGCCCTTGCAGTTTGATCACAGTGGCAGAACGGCCCCGTACGTTCGCGCAGTACTGTTCATGAGCACAATGACATGAAGCGACTTATGTAGCATTTTACGAAAATGATTCTTCGGATGCACTCCAACTTGCCATCTCACATGAGCTTTATTTCGTGAAAACGGCTTTTTTGCTACGGATTCGTGACATGCAGTTCAACAAGATGTCAGCCTAATTTAGTTTAGCGTAATGAACCCTTGAGTAACACTGAGCTGTCCGTGGCCTCCAACCCCAATCTCTCTTATGCTTTGATGCAACTTCGCAGTGCGATCCAAACCGATGGATTTATCGGGAGAGTCTATTGCTGGCGACGTGACTATCGCTACCGGAGTCAACGATGAACTTTTCCAGCTTCGCTCGTATCAGGCTGAGATGGTGGAGGAGAGCCTCAAAGCAAACATCATTGTTGCTATGGACACCGGCAGTGGAAAAACGCACATGTAACATGGCTTCCATCACTCCGAGATAATCCCAAAGAACTCATAAAAATTAGCGCGATCGAGCGAACAAGGTTGGAACTAGAAACTTGCCAGCCTGACAAGGTGCGAGTCGCGTTCGCTTCCTTTCGGGATTATTTCTTACGAACCAAAGCTTGTCTGGTTTCTCGCGCCAACAGTCCCGCTATGCGAACAGCAATATCAAGTTTTCAAGTCCAATCTTCCTGGTTACGGCGTTCAAGTCCTGAGCGGAAACGACGGCGTCGATCATTGGACCGAACAGAGTGTCTGGGATGCGGTGTTGCATAACGTCCGCATTGTGTTGTCTACGCATCAAGTGCTCTTAGATGCACTCACTCATGCGTTCGTCAAAATGAACAGGCTAGCTTTGCTGATATTCGATGAAGGTCAGATAATTGTTGTGATGCAAAACACGTTCAGCTGATGATCATGTAGCACATCATTGCACACTGAAGCATCCTGCTCATCGGATCATGTCCGATTTCTACATGCCGCGTATTCAGAATAGAAGCTATTCACTTCCGAGGATTCTTGGGTTGACAGCCAGCCCGATTATGAGAGCGAAAGCAACTGAACTTGATCTCGAGTAAGGCCTGGATGTATTCCGGGTTTCATCAAGCTGACATTCCAAGACAGATTGAGCGCAATCTGCACGCTACAATCAAGACTCCAAAGAGGCATCGCCCGGAATTGTTGCGATTCTCTCACCAGCCGGAGCTCATCAGGACTCTGTACCCGGCCGAGTTTTCAAAATACGCAAACTCTCCTTTGATAACGGCGATTGAAAATATGTTTGTGAACTACGACATTTCACAAGACCCGTACGTGTTAAGTCTACGGAAGCAAGAAGACTACAAAGGCTTGCAGGATATTTACATCAGTCGCAAGACCTACTGTTTAGAGCAGCTGAAGCACCTTGTACTCAAAGCAAAAGTCACGTCAGACGAGCTCGGATTGTCGGCCATGGAATGGTACCTCCAACAATGCGTAACACAGTTCGAGAAGATGACCCACAACTCACATCAGCTGCTGATCGACTGGTCTGTGGACGAGAAGCTACACCTTCTGAAGCTCTTGCTGCAGCTACCCTTTCCCAAAGACACGTCATTTCCCCGTATATCTCTGGAATACCTCTCCCAAAAGGTAGAGACACTCATAAACCTTTTGGTCGTCGAAGTGCAAGACAACCCTGAGTTCACAGGTCTGATATTCGTCGAGCAGCGTATTTGGGTAGCCATCCTTGCTGAGATTATCTCCTTACACCCTCGTACGAAAGACTTGTTTCGTGTAGGCACATTTGTTGGAACATCACAAAACAGCAAGCGCAAGACGAATATCGCTGCCTTCGCCGAACCTCGCAACCAACAAACAACACTTGACGATTTTCGGGTGGGTAAAACGAACTTGATCTTGGCCACGACCGTTCTCGAGGAAGGTATCGACGTTTCCAGTTGCCACCTCGTCATCTGCTTCGAAAGCCCCAAGAATTTGAAGAGTTTTGTGCAGCGGCGCGGAAGAGCCAGGAAGCAAAAATCTAAGTATTTCATATTTGTTCCTGATACAGGAGGTATCAAATCTCCAGAGTCATGGCAGTCACTCGAAGAAGAGATGAAGAGAGCATATCTTGATGACATGCGACAGATCAAATTGGCGGAAGAGAGAGAACTTGAGGACGAGAAAGGAGAGCGGGTGTTTGAGGTACCCAGTACTGGGTAAGTGCTTGTGACTCTGTGTTTAGGGCTACATGCAATATGACGTTGCTGAATCCAAACATCAGCACAAAGTCTGGCATACTTGATGGCTGATATCGTTACAGCGCTCGGATGACACTTGATTACGCCTTGCAACATCTCTACCACTTCTGCAACCTCCTCGGATCTGGTCCATACCAGGACCCACGTCCTCAGTTCGAGATAATCGATGTAGAACCAGGCAGATTTGCCGCGAAAGTCACACTCCCCGTCTCGGTAGATCCTGCGGTTAGATACGCCACTAGCGTGGGGACTTGGAGGACGCAGAAGATGGCAAGAAAAGACGCCGCTTTTGTAGCTTACAAAGCTTTGCACACGGCTGGACTGGTGAATGATCATCTTCTTCCTTTGAGACAAGAAACGATTGATCAGGCAGCGGAGTTTCAGATTCCTGATCACACGCCCTCTCTAGTACAAGTATCACCGCCCTTTGATCCTTGGCTGTTTGTTGCAATGTATCAGGCAGACAACCCTCATGTGTACCACCGTACCTTGCTCCAGGTAAAGACACCTGGAGAGGAACCGCTTTACATGGAACTTCTCACCCCGATTGCTTTGCCCAACGTTGGAGAGCTCATACTGCATTGGAACAAGACGACGCAGTATACGGTACAAAGCTCATGGTTGCAAAAAGCAATCTTGACCGACGAGCAGATCGAGACTATGCGTTTGATTACTCGGAGAATCTTGCTTTCTGCGTTCTCGGGTAAAATGCAAGAAGAAAGGTCCGACTTCCTTTGGCTGCTCGCTCCCTGCGACTCATCTGGCCAGCCCTTCAACATTGATCAGCTCTCAAAATGGATTCTATTCACCCAGGGATGTCGACCAGCGTCGGAGATGATCGCGCGAGGACTTCCTCCAAAGTTTTGGGGTTTGATCTCAAGGCCGGGGGACCAACGGATGTATACTCTCCACAACATAAGTAGCGACAGCACGGCCACTTCTTCATCAGATATGGAAGAGACTCGCTTGGTAATGGTCCGGGCTCCGAAACGACGCGATTTTTTACATCGCTTTGAGGAGGCTAACAACATAAACGACGCGTACACCAGGCTTGAGAGTTTCGGTGTCTCAGAGTGTATAGTGGATAATCTTCCCGCTCCCTATACCCTCTTCGCGCGCTTCTTCCCGTCGATCTTGTACCGATTCGAAGTCCATATGGTTGCTCAAGCGCTCCAGGCTACACTCTTAGAGCCCCTGCACTTCGAATCGAAACATCTTCCTATCATTCTCAAGTCTTTGACATCCTCTGCTACTGGCGAGGAAGGCAACTATCAACGGCTTGAGTTTCTTGGAGACGCCATACTGAAGTTCATCTCGACAGTCCACCTGATGGCGGACAATCTGACATGGCCGGAGAGCTTTCTCACAGGAAAGAAGGGAAAGATTGTCAGCAATGGCTTCCTTGCTCGCGCGGCTCTAGCAGCCGGCCTCGATAAATTCGTCATTACCAGACGCTTTACCGGGGCAAAGTGGGCGCCTCGATATGCAAGCGATGTCCTCGCTCAGACACCGCCTTCCGAGAAAGTACTGAGGTCGTCAAAGCTCGTTGCCGACGTAATCGAATCCCTGATCGGCGCATCGTACAGTGTTGGTGGTTTCGACAAAGCATTCACTTGCGTCCAAACGCTCCTACCCCTTGAGAACTGGACACCTATAGCAGCAGCTAACGTTACTCTCTACAATGCTGCCCCGGCATACATTGAAGTCAACAGTCTCGCTACGCTAGAAACACTCATCGGCCACACATTCAGCAAGAAAACACTCCTCCTGGAGGCCCTCACACATGCTTCCTACATCGGACTAAACACAGCCTGCTCCTACGAGCGCCTCGAGTTCCTCGGCGACGCAGTCCTCGACTACATAATCTCAAAGCGGCTCTTCGCCCACTCGCCCCCTCTCACGCACCAAAAGATGCACGCCGTGCGCACCGCAATGGTCAACGCCGCCTTCCTGGCATTCAGAATGTTCGAAACCACCGTCCCGGAAGAAACTATCAATCCCTCGACTTTCCAGCCTGAAACCCACCACAGAGCCCTCTGGCAATTCCTCCGCTCGGCACACAACGGCCTCAACGCTAACCGCGACACAGCGCTGCAAGACCATCACAATGCCCGCGCACAAATCATCGCGGCGTTGCAGCACGATGGGAAGTTTCCCTGGCATTTGCTCGCGCAGACCGACGCACCCAAGTTCCTCTCCGACATCGTCGAGAGCGTCATCGGCGGTATTTACATCGACTCGCACGGCTCCGTCGAGGCGTGTGAGGTCTTCGTCCACCGCCTGGGTATCCTCGAGTGCTTGCAGCGTATCCTGGACGTGGATGTGGATTGTCTGCATCCCAAAGAGCGGCTGGGACATCTCGCTGTGGAGAAGGACGTGCAGTATGTGCCGGTCAAGGAGAAGCGGGATGGGCAGCAAGATGGCGCGCCGGACAGGGTGTATAGGTGTCAGGTTCGGGTCGGCGGGGAGGATGTCGGCGGCGTGGTGGAGGGGCTGAAAAGATTGAATGCTGAGACTGTGGCTGCGTGGAGGGCGGTGCAGATCATGGAAGCTAGGGGGGATGTTGGAGTCGAGAGCAGTGATGGGGAGGAGGTGTTTTATGATGCTGAGGAGGGTGGCGGGGTTGGGATCGATGAGGGGTGGTGATGGGCTGGCTGGCGGGATTAACTGGAATATCGCGGTGTTATTCGTTATGTTTGGTTCGAGAGTGTTTCTTGGTCATCTGTTTTCGGTGCATCGAATCACTTGATGGCATGATATTGGAAAGTATACATTGTTTCTTTGCGAGGCGTTGGTCTTTGCCAGAATGTGAAACGAGAATATATATGAGCTGGGATAGCTACTCCGGTGTATGACGGAACGTATGCATGATCGATTATCTTCGAGTTCATGTGAATTGGAACCACTCGCCACGTACGATAAACAACAATATCAGTCTCCAGTCAGTCGGCCAACCAGTCAGCCAATCCCTCGATACTACAAACCCCAACAAAACAACACACCACATCCCCGCCCAGCAAACCAGATCTCACCTCACACCCCCCACGCCACAGGCTTCAACCTCAATTTCATCCCATTAACAGGCTTACTCGTAATCGTGCCCCCGACCAAAACCCTCTCCTCCGGATCCGCCATCCTCATCTCAAACCCCCCCACAAACGCCGCAACAAGGGCCCTCATCTCTGCGCGCGCAAACCGCTCACCAATACAACTCCTCGGCCCATGCAAGAACGTCAAAAACGCATAATTACTCTCCGCACCCCCGTGCATAGTCGCGCGGCCCGTCATCCCATCGATCCAGCGCTCAGGCACGAAGGACTCTGCGTCCGGGCCCCAGAGGGCGGGGTTGCGGTTCGTGGCCCAGGGCACGACGAAGGATATCGTGCCTGCTGGGACGAAGTGCCCCGCGATAGTGGTGTTGCGGATTGCGAGGCGGGCGGTTGAGGGGATGGTTGGGTAGAGGCGGAGGACTTCGTTGCAGACGCCGTTTAGGAAGGGGAGTGATTCTAGGAGGGAGGCGATGTCGGTTGTGGGGTTTGAGAGGTGGGATGGGGTGGGGATGTGGGCGTGGATTTCTGAGCGCAGGTGCGTTTGGATGTCCGGGTGGGTGGAGAGGAGGTAGGTTGCCCATGTTAGGGCTGAGGAGGTTGTTTCGTGGCTGGGTGTTGTTAGGTTGGGGATTATGAGGGGTTATTGGGGGGGGGGGGGATGTGCGTACCCTGCGGCTAGGAATGTGAGGAGTTGGTCTACTAGGTTCTCGTCGGAGAAGTCGTTGCTTCGCAGCATGATAGATAGAATATCCAACTCCTCGGTCGTCTCATGCTTCATCCTAGCTTTCTTCTCCCTCACAAACTCGGCGCAGATCCTCTTCAAATTCCCCGTAGTAATACGCGTCCGCTCATTCAGTTTCCACGGCAGCATAGCAATAAGCCACGGCGGAAACAAAATATGAAGCGCAAAATACGCCGCTTTCTCCGGCGTCGGCTCGAGTATCTCCTCATAGTTCGCAATCAGCTCATCCTCGCTGTTCCGCAACGATCCGATATCCCTCCCCAGTCCCGCAAGCCCAATAATATCAAGCGTAACCTGCGTAGAAAAATGCCCAATCTCAACCACCGTCTCCGGATCCTCTCCCAGCGCCTTCCCAACCGCACCGCAGAACTCCATCGACTTTGCCCAAAACACAGGATACAGCTCCTTGATATGCCGGAAGTGGAAAGCAGGCATAATCTGCTTCCGATGATGTTTATGCTCGTCCCCCTCCGTCATCAACAATCCGTCGCCCAGAAACTTCTTCAGGAAATTCCGCGCCCAGGACGGCTTCTCAAAGTCGTAGCTCCGGTGCACGAGCACGTCGGCTAGGGCGGCGGGACTCGTCAGGAGAAGTCTGTCCGTGTGCAGGAAGCCTGTCGTGTGGATGATGCCGTCGTTGGGCGTTTCCTTCATCATCCTGAGATTGGCTTCGCCGGCCGGGCGGTCGAACATGAGCATTCCATGGCCGAGGAGAGGCTTCGCGCCGCGGGCGCGGGGCAGGTGGCGGAGGGGACTTAGGAAGAAAGGGTAGATGATGAGTTTGTAGATGGAGTAGATAGTGAAGTTCAAAAGCGAGAAACGGAGGATGAAGGAAGTCAAGCTACCGGCGGGAAATATGCTAGGAAACAGATAGAATGCGACAGCCGACTCGGACAGTGTCACTAGAACGGCATTGATGGGTGTGATCTCCATGGTGGGCATGTTTCATTGCAGTCACGTAGTAGGTCCGAAGAGCTGTATATGAGTTTTCCAATGGCACCCAAGACTGCTTGATCTAGCCTGCGCGTACGTGACGGTGGTAGTAACGCTCGAAAGCTCGCATCGTGGCGTCTCACCGCTCGTGACGACATGCTGCCTCGGTTGAATCACATAGTGCGATGATCAGGTAGCTGACGGACGAATCGCTGCGCGGAAAGACGCTGTTCCGTAAGCACTACCCATTGAGGCAAAAGTTGCGAACCCAGGCAGAAGTCGCAGAAGTCGTAGAAGCTTACGGAGGGTTGCATACACCTTCAGAAGACGTGGTTTTGGTGAGAGATGGAGGCAGAATCCGACGACATCCAACACGCTAATCTCATTTTGGACACAAGCCGAGGTTGTCAAGTCTTTCAGATACACCAGATGACCAGACGTACTCCGCAAGCCTAGCTTGAGCAAATACATGTTGCGCAATAAGCTCGAAGACTAAGAATAACAATACCTTCTTGATGAATTTCTCTTGGTGTATACATCACAAAGGCGTTGATTTTTCCCCAGTGTCGAGTTAAAATGCGTTGATTCAATACCACTTGCTATTGTCACAGCATTCAAAAGAAGTATATAACAGTATATTTGAGGTAACATGTTCGATACTGTCCATGTCCCTCCAGTACTAGAGTTAACGTATCCTATTTGAACTCTAAGCCCATCTTAAAAATCTTCGTCGATCTCCAGACTAATTGTTGATCATCCCCTCCACGACCCCTCCTCAATTAATCAAAACACCCAGAACCACACTTCATTATCCTCATCACAACCCAAAATGCACTTCCAAACCAGACCATGTAAACATTACAAGTGCAATGAAGCCAGCTTAGCTAAGGGTAAACAAGTTATCTCTGCGGGGTGAAAGTGTCACATAAATTTTGCACGTAGTTGTCCAGCAAGTGCAAGTTTTCCACAATCGGAATAAACCAACTATTGAAGTAAACAAAGAGCTCCCCTCCCCATGGTATCCACACACGCCAGACTCGTCCGGAACCTTTACCCGACAGCGGAGCGCGATCCGCATTCAGCCCCTCACTTATAGTACCATGACGTTACCTACCCACGTCCATCGCAAGCTCAAGAATGGAGGGTACGGAAACAAACGCTCGTCTCTTGACTCCCACACAGAAACGACACCCAGTCATTCGTAAACCGCCCTAATTCGAACTTTCCTTCCAACACGCCTACACAATGGCACGCGAACCTATGGAACTCGGCTCCATGCCGCTGCTCGACCCGGACAACGACCCGGGAAGCGTTCAGGCCGACCTCGGCGATGCTGGTACAAGCGCAAAAGGCACTATGAAGGCGGTGCACTACGAGGGGCCGTTTAAGGTGTCTGTGAAGGAGGTCGAGATACCCAAACTCCAGCATCCGGATGACGTAATAGTAAAAATATCAAGTTCCGGGGTGTGCGGTAGCGACCTCCATATGTATCAAGGCCGTACAGCAGCAGAAGCAGGTCTTATATTCGGGCATGAGAACATGGGGACTGTGGTTGAGATCGGGTCGGGTGTGACGTTGTTGGAAAAGGGCGACCGGGTCGTCATGCCGTTCAACGTAGCCGACGGAAGGTGCCGGAACTGCGAGGAGGGGAGGACGGCGTTCTGCACAGGGTAAATATATTGTGTGGTGTGTCAGATACTGTGTTGACAAAAGGCAGAGTCAATCCCGGGTTTGCGGGCGGCGCGTACGGATATGTCGCAATGGGGCCTTATCAGGGCGGGCAGGCGCAGTACCTACGCGTTCCGTTTGCAGACTTTAATGCGCTGAAGCTGCCGAAGGGGACGGAGCATGAGGCTGATTTTATTTTGCTGGCGGATATTTTTCCCACGGGATGGCATGGCTTGGTGCTTGCTGGGTTCCAGTCTGGCGAGAGCGTTGCCGTGTTCGGCGCTGGTGAGTGTTCCGAAACCCCAGGCGCCTGCAAGGTGTATTGCTAATTGTATCAGGTCCCGTCGGATTGATGTCCGCCTACAGTGGTATCTTGCGAGGCGCAAGCAAGGTGTTTGTTGTGGACACAGTCCCCGAGCGACTACAAGCGGCAGAGAAGATTGGCTGTATCCCGATTGACTTCCGGAAGGGTGACCCTGTCGACCAGATCATCAAGCTCAATGACGGCATGGTTGATCGCGCCGTCGATGCTGTCGGTTACCAAGCTAGCGACTCCTCAGGCAGCAAAGAGCAGCCGAGTATTGTACTCGAGCAGTGTATACAGGTGACGCGCCCGACAGGAGGGCTAGGCATACCTGGGCTGTATGTCCCCGCCGACCCAGGTGCGCCAGACGAGCAGAGCAAGAGTGGAAAAATCTTGATCTCGTTTGGAAAACTGTTCGAAAAGGTATGCGTATATGCACCAGGCTATGAGTGTTGCTGACATCAATAGGGCCTGTCGGTGGGCACTGGGCAATGCAACGTGAAGGCGTACAACAGATATCTGCGCGATATGATTATAGCGGGCAAGGCAAAGCCCAGCTTTGTTGTGTCGCACGAGATTGCCATCGACGATGCGCCAGTCGCGTACGAGAAGTTCGACAAGAGGATTGAAGGGTATACGAAGGTGTTGATTCATCCAAACGGACCCTTGAACTAGCCAGTCTATTTAGCATCTACTGTGTATAGCAATTCAAGGCAGGACTCACTGTCAACCCATATTTTGTGGATGCTGTGATTTTACACCTCAATTCTCTCCCTAAACAAACCCTCCATTCTCGACAATGCGCGCCCTCTCGATCTTGATGTCCTCCACAGGCCGATCCTCCTTGTCCGTCTTGACCATGCCCAGCTTCTTCACAATCTGCATCCCGCTCTTGACGCGCCCAAAGATGGTGTGCTTGCCGTCCAGCCACGGCGTCGGCGCGAGCGTGATGAAGAACTGCGAGCCATTGGTATTCGGGCCGGAATTGGCCATGCTGAGGATGCCGGCGCCCGTGTGCTTCAGCGCGGGGGATATCTCGTCTTCGAACTTCTCGCCGTAGATGGACTCGCCGCCGCGGCCCGTGCCCGTGGGATCGCCGCCCTGGATCATGAAGTTGGGGATGACGCGGTGGAAGACCAGGTCGTTGAAGTAGTTGCGCTGGGCGAGCGTCGCAAAGTTCTTGCACGTCTTGGGCGCGTGCTCGTTGTAGAGCTCGACGATGACGGTGCCCTGGGAGTGTTAGTCTGGCACGTGTTCAAAAAGCGACGAGCATACCATAGTCGTCTCGAGTGCGACGTCGGTAGCCATGGCGGGCGAATTGTGATATACTAAACGGTGGATGAGCACTGTGTTGGTCGACTTTCTCGAAAATGACATCTGGTGCACGGGCCAGCTCTGCACCACATGCACTAACGTAGAGTGATGACACAAGCAACCACTTCGACATCGTGGATCAGAATTCTACACCAAACACAATGGATCTGTCGACCTGGGCGCTGCCTCAGCTGGCCAAGCTGCTACCTCTGGACGAAGACTCCCTCAAGCAAATCATCTCCTACACGGAAACTCTACCGAACAGGGAAGCGGCGGATAATCTTCAAGAATTACTCGGGGACAGCCCACAAGCTCTTGAGTTTATCACATCATTCAACAACCGGAGAAAGCCAAAAGCGAGTAGTTCTGCTCAAGCTGTGTCGAATGATACATCCGAGGTGCCAAAGGCTAGGCCCAAGAAGAAAAAGCAGCAAAATATAGGAAAACTGCCCCCCCAACGACGACCCGATGACTACGGCAATGTATCAGGCGCCTACATCAAGAAAGATGAAGACGACTACATGGCTGCCAGTTCGAGGAACAAACCTGCTAAGCCCAACATGTTCGGCCTGTCAGACAGACCAGACGCTCTTCAATTGCCCACCACAGCCCCATCTTCAGGAACAGCAACACCCAAGTCTCGCGGAATCTCGCCTGCTCCACCACCGACCAAGCTCCCTCCCTCAGCATCAGGCCAACTGATCTCCGACGTAAAGCCATCCAAGTCATCCTCCTCCAAGCCCAAAGCCAAAGTAAGCCTGGCAGGCGGAATGCTCATGCACGGCGCCTCGACAGCCCTCAACGACCTCGAATCCACCATCCGGGCCCTAGAAATCCAAACCAACCCCACGCTCTCCACCCAAGACAGCAGCAAGCGAAAATGCAACTGCATGGCCACCCGCCACCCCCTCCTCGACGCGGCCCCCAACTGCCTCGCCTGCGGGAAAATAATCTGCATAAAAGAAGGCATCGGCCCCTGCACATTCTGCGCCACGCCCCTCCTCAGCGCCTCAGAAATCCAATCCATGGTGCGCATCCTGCGCGAAGAGCGCGGGAAGGAGAAAATGGCCGCCAACAACGCGTCGCAAAAGCGTCCCGACGTCGCCACCGCGCCTCGCCCCTTCTCAACCCCAAAATCCGCCACAACACCCGCCTCCTCAAACCCCGCCTCGGACGTCGAGTCCGAGAACGAAAAACTCGCAAAGGCGAAACAGCATCGTGATAAGCTGCTGGCTTTCCAGGCGCAAAATGCCAAACGCACGCAGGTCCACGACGAGGCTGCGGATTTTGAAACTACTTCTGCGGGACTGAGCATGTGGGCTAGCCCCCAGGAGCGCGCAATGCAGTTGAAGCGGCAGCAGAAGGCGCTGCGCGAGCAGGACTGGAATGCGCGGCCGGAGTACGAGAAGCGCAAGGTGGTTGCTAGTATTGATCTCGTGGGCGGCAGGATCGTGCGCCGCATGGCGACTATGGAGCGCCCTGCTACCCCGGAGAGCGAGGACGATGATACGACTGAACCTGTCATGCCAACGGCGGACCACGGCGCGATATCTAGCGGTAGTGGTGCGTTTGCGAGGAATCCGCTGCTTGGGGGGTTGATTAGACCGACTATTAAGGTTGAGAGTAAGGGGAAGGGGAGGGAGGGTGAGAGTCGGCAGGCGTGGAGGAGGGTGCAGGATGATAACGATGATAATGAGCAGTGGATTTTGGATGGCGGGGTGTATGGGGGGCAGGAGAAGGGTGGGGTGGAGGTGGATGGGTGAGGTTGTTTGTGTAGATATACTCACTCACGTAGACCGGCCATCAAATCATGCAGGCTTTGATTGGAATACCACGCTGGCATATGAAGTTTATTAACATATCACCATACCCCCCTACCACAGGGTCGCTAGACGACAATAGGGATTACGTAATCTACTAAAATACTAAGAATATAGCACTACTAATATTTTAGTATAAATTATAACTTTATACATTCTCTATAGGCTGTAAATATAATAAAATATAGTATAAATCTTAGACTATTATACCTTAAATAAGTTATCTCTTTTATAATTATAATAAAGCTTTACTAGCTTTATATAGTTACCTAGTATTATTATTTTAAGTATAATCTTCTTAAATTTAAAGTCTTCTTACTATATATACTATATTTTAGCTTTATAGTATTCTTTAACTAATTTAGCTACTAAATTAGTAGTAAATTATAGTTATTTAAGAAGCTTCTTATAGCTGTTTTAAATATCTTTAATTAGGTAGAAATTAAGTAAGTTTAGTAACTAGTTAATAAACTTAATACTTTCTAAATTAATCTTAGCTTAAAGAAGATAATAAGCTTTAATATAGTAACTAGTACTATCTTTTATAATAACTATATATTATTTAGAAAATCTTTATTTTATATAGTAATAGTAAAGAAATAGAAGTCTCTTATAAACTTTAAAAGTATATTATATAAAGTTAATACTGCTATAAGTATAATTCTACTTATACTTTTTATATTTATAAAGTTTCTTAAGTATTATTTATTTTAGCTTATTACGCTAGTAGTAATAAAGTAGAGCTTTATTAAACTTTTATATTTAAGTATTTTCTTAAGCTAGGTATTTTACCTTAATTATACTAAAGATAAAAGTATTCTTATACTACTTTATAACTATATTATTAAGCTTCTTAACTTAAGCTTTAAGCTTATTAGTAAGTTTTAGTATAAGTATATTACTTTTCTTTTTTTATATAACCTAAGGCTTTATATAAGTTAGCGTAAAGATAGAGCTTATAGTAGCCTACTATATAAGCTTAAAATATACTAGTAGTATATTTTAAAGATTCTTATATATATTACTACTTTATAGTATACTTATAAGCTTAGTACTAGTACTACTAAAACTAAAAGAGTACTTATCTATACTAATAAAGACTACTTATATATAAAGAGCCTACCTTTAGTACTCTACTTACTTAAGTAAGCTACTTATAATCTTCTTTAAATCTTTAGTATATTATAAGTAGTTATAGTAGTTATTAGTATTAAGATTAGGCTTTATAAAGTAGCGTAGTTATTTTATAAGCTTTAGGTACTCTAAATTAGTATTAGCGTAGCGTTTATTAAGATATATATACTAAATTACTAAGTCTTTTAGTAGTTCTTACTTAATCTTTAAGTAGTTAAAGTTAACTATATTAGTTTACTACTAGGTCTTATAAGAGAGTACGCTAGTATATATTTTATATAATAGAGTACTACCTAAGGTAGTAATTAAGGTAAAATAGAGATATTAAGAAGCTTTAATATATTTTATAAGATTCTAAAACTTATATAAGCTATTAGTAAGCTAGGCTGTATACTAATAAAATACTTAAATAGTATTAAAGTTAATATTAAGTTTATAAGTAATATTAGCTTAACTATATAAAAAGAATACGTAAATAGTAATAATAATAGTATAAATAGTTAAAGAGAAGTTAGAGGAGCCTTAGCTTCTTATTTTATATAATAAATTTAGTATAGTTATTAAATTATCTACCTATATATAAATCCCCTATTATAGTGTTAAATATCTTAAGATTCTAGTGTTTACGCTTAGGCTATTAACTACGTGATCCCCATTGTCGTCTGGCAACCCTGTGGTACCAACAACCCCTTAACCCTTCTCCCCATCCATCCCCCACTCACCCCCCAATCCCTATCAACGCCTCCACAAGCCGATCAGCCGTAAAATCATCCAAATCCTCAGCAGAAAACCATCCATTCTCAGCGGTCAACACGCTCCTAGACAAGGAAGGGGAGCGAGACCCAGACCTGCCAACTAACGACCCAGTCGTTATATCGCCTACACCCAACTCATCTTCCGCAGAGCAGCATTTCCGCACACATGTAGGCGACGACTCGGCCGGAAAAGGTCGTAATGGGGAGACTTCTGAATGTGCTGTATGCGCCTGCTCACACACAAGCGCCTCGCTTTCTAGCACCGGCTCTTGGGGCGGAGTAGACGCCTTCGGAGGGAGAAACGGCTGCACCATGTAAACCTCCTCGTTTTCTGCGAATGTGGGTACAATTGCTGTCGCTGTTGCATCGAGTTCATACGGCCCTTCGTACGCGTTTACGCACTGGTCTACACTTTTCTCTGCGGTATCTGTGTGCTCCCGCCGCGCACCACGCGCCACCCCATCCCGTGCACGACGCCGCACTCGACCCAACATACGCGAAAAATAAGAATTCCCGTTCGAAACTAGCACACGTAAGCACACCCCCTCACAGCATCTCACCGAAGCCCAAAAACGGGAAAAGAGCAACGCACCATCCGCAACCCTGCCACAAAACCGCCGTACATGCACATCCCCAAATACACGGTGGTTTACAAGGCGCTTGATGCATTCCACCTGTCTACCCAACTTTCCGCGGACCCCTTTCTTGCGCTCTAGACTCCTGCCTGCGGTTTCCCTTGCTGTGCGTGTTGGGGTTGGGGTTGGTGGTGGTGGTGGTGGTGGTGGGGGGACGGAGAGGTAGTGCGGGTTTTGACTTGGGTGGGCGGATACGGCTTCTGGGGGTGTTGGTGGGGCGGTGAGGTGTATTTCTGGGGGGTGTGTGAGTTGTGATGGTGAATTAGGTCAAGAGGGGGTGGGTACGTGGGAGGAAAGTGTCTTGTGCGGGTTTTAGCTGAATTGTTTGCACGATTTTGAAGGTTGTGGCTTCGATTGTGTATTCGAGGGGTTGGGTTGCCATTTTGAGGGGGTTGAGATACGGGGGTTTGAAGAGGCAAGGGGAAGGGGAGGTGAAATGTGGTGAGCGTAAAGTAAGATGCGACATTGAGAAGGAGACAGGAAATGTGTTGAAATATCGGTAATGTTGAAGGACGAGCGGTACGATATGGGACTGAATCTGCAGGGAACCACAGGGCCGGTGATGATCGTACCCAACGAGGCTGTAGAATGAGCTGAAAAGTAACAGGCGGCGTCGTAATCGGCCCAGACGACGTCGCAGAAACGAAGTATACTGACAGCACGTCCAATGGAAAGAGCGATATTCGAAAGGCTTCCGTCTTCTATGTGCAAAACTCCTGTTGTATGGTGACTTGCGTCGATCTCGAAGTGATAATTACACACAGATTCTGCCGACAATGGTTCAGACCCTTAAACCGATCACGAAAGACCAATCAAGGGATGCATGATTGCAACATGAGCATTTGGGTTTTCATACCTAGACCGAACCCCTCATACCCCTCAAAACTAAGCCGATAGATCCAACAAACTCCAAACGCTCCCATGCCATAAGATAAAAGAAAGACTTCACACACAATCTCCCATTGTGTGGAGCGATAGTGGGAAGCAAGCGAGATCATAAACTTCGTCGTACGTAGAGACGAATTTTAATTCCATTCAAGCACTATTATTCACTGTTAAGATGCGTTATTGAGACAAGCCATGACCGGGATGGCAGCAAAAAGACAGGTAAAGAAGATGGGTGGTAGAGTGTGGGTGGGTGGACTTACTACAGACTCAAGGTGAGCTCGCCGCGAATACTCGCCTTCAGCTCAATCTCGATTTCCAAATTCGCCTCCAGCGTCAACTTCAACCCATCCGTGTTCTTCAGTACACTCTCCTCTTTTGAGGGGTCCATGCGGTATGGCTGGTTGGGGTCGGTCCCACGCATGGGAATCTCGCCTCGCATGGCACGTGCTTTGGTCACGGGGCCGTCCATGGACGTCGAATCAGGTCCAATGCGTTCGAAGAATCCCATCTGGTCGAGTTCACCATTCGCGTCAGCCTCTTCGAGAACCTCCAGAGAGGTCGTCTTCATGTATTTTCCCTCGTCCATGCCCTGCTGGATGCGTTGGCGACGGGCACGGCGCGATGATGATCGAGAGCGTGCAGACTGGAGACCAGCCTCTCGCTTGGCTTGTTTCTTCGCGTTCTCGGCCTTCTGCTGCTGCATCGTCGTGCGCTCTTGCACCTCGGATTCGGAGCCGGAGTCGTTAGCCATCTTGGGCGGGATTCGTTGAATCAGATTTGCGGTAAAAGGGGATTGTAACGGGTTTGTCGAAATTCAGCAAGATGAGAACGTGAAATTGGTGAATGGGGAAGAGTCGAGGACAGCAAAGGCACAAGGAAAACGAGCCAGCCTGTCGAGAAACAAGATTAACGCCCCCAGTGCTGGGATGCCTGCAGCACAGAGCATGTCTTCCGGAGTTGTCACCCCTGCTCGCCTCATCCAGCAGAATCTCCACCGCTTGACGTCAGGATGGAACGGGATGTCATTGCCGATAGGCGTCACATCATCCGGGTTGATCCTGATGCGGACGACATCGGTGACAAGGGCACCGCTGCACACCGTTCGCGGCTGACGACGATGAGATGAAGACACATGCAGAAAGTTGGCAGACAGTGGAGCAGGACTAGGCCTTCGTTGGTGCGACGTTGGATGTAAGTGCGGGGCACGGGGCAGGCCATAGCTCCCTGCATGCATGAGCCGTCGGTTGTCATTTCCGTTTCGACTCGATGCCCGTAGCAATTTTGCGCCTGCTGGAAGCGTAGTGAGGAGAATTTGAAGTTTTGACATGCATAGTACATTTAGATTTGATTACACTACGTGAATATGTCCCAAGCCAAACGCCATCCAAGAGTTCGAGGACTCGGAAGCTCCAAACGTCATGCAGCCATACAAACAAGAAGATGCGCAATTCGTCGCAGAACACTCAGTTCCTGCCCAAAGTTAGCATGCTCAGTAATGGAGGTCAGAAATAGAGATACGTACAGCAATCCGAGTGTGAGGTCACCGTGAATCTTAGCCTTAAGCTGGATTTCGATGTCGAGGTTGAGCTCCAATCGCAGACGAAGTTGCTCGCCGCCCTTGGTATCACCATCATCCTCCTTCTTGTCACCGCCGCCGGTCAGGCCACCGAGAGCCTTGCCTGCGGTGTCGCCGACTTGGTTGACAGCGTTACCAGCGGTATCCTGAACCATGTCGGATGCACCGCCGACGAGCTCTCCTCCGGGAAGTTCTTCGCCAATGCCGCCAAGTTGACCTCCCTTTCCGCCCTTCTTCTGGCGCTGGCGGTTGCGGCGGCCTCCAGAGGCAGAGACGTCAGATCGTGTGACGGACTCAGAGTCCGAGTCGCCGCCTCGTCGTCCACGGCCTCGGGATTGTCGGCGCCTCGATTGCGACTTCTGTCGAGGCTCGGGGTCAGACTCGTCGGCGTTGCCGTTGGAGGTCTGCTTGCGTCCTGCGTCCTCTTGCTCAGCCTCGGCTCCAGCTTCATTCTCGGGGGTAGGAGTGGCTTCAGGAGTGGGCTGCTGTTCTGGTTTTTTCCCACCCAGCTTCTTCGGCGTCTTCTTCTCGGTTTTCTTACTCGATGATTCCGCGCTGCCCTTTCCGCCTACGGAAGCGTTGGCATCAGCCTGTCCTTCTCCAGAAACGGATTGCTTCTTCTCTTCGACAGTGTCCGCCATGGTGTGATGTGTTGTGTGGGGTGGGTAGGAAGGCGTGAGTTTGTTCAACGGGGAAATGTAGTGAGCTGAAGGTACTTCGGAGAATGCAGGAATTCCAGAGCGACGGGGCAAATTGTTATGGGAAGAACGCCAGGGCAACACAACCGGTTTCAAGACGAGAGGTACTGGCAAACCCCTGCTCACACGAGCCACCCTCCTAATGCAGCTTGATGTAATGTGCCACTCCACAATTACAACCCCACCACGACATGCTGCCGAGCCGTCATCAAAACCGGTCCCTACCCATGTGCATATCGATTCGGATAGAAGGCCGGAAGGTCCGCGAGCCTCATGCTGCCACTTCCCTCTCCTGCCGGGATTTTCTGCCCTACGCTCGCTAGCGCTCACATTATCTGGAGGTGGATGTCGCCTGAGTGCGTTCGAGATCCATGCTACCTTACAGCATACGCGCAATGGTCTGGGATGTCGTGATCGATGATCGGAAGCATCGTCGATTTTCCAACTGTTTCGTCCTCGTGCACACGCGTTCCTCCCAATGTCAACGAACAGGCGCAAATACTCCAGCAAACACGAAAGTCGTGGTTGGAGAGCAATATTTGGCAAACTAACGGACCTAAACTAACGGACGTTGAAAGTCTATCTCGCGGACGCCGTTCTTCCCGATCGCCCGGATTGCTGCCTCGCATACGACTAGACGATCTCTTCTGCAATCGTCAACCCACCATCCCAAACGCGACTCCAACATCGAGATATCAAGACCACCAGAATGGCAACTCCCGAAGCCCAAGAAGCAGCCGCCAAACAGCGCATCATCAAACATATGAACGCAGACCATGCCGACTCCGTGAGGGTTATCGACACGTTTTGGGAGGGGTACATCTGACGCCACCTCCAGATCCGTCGCTACATGGGCGCCTACACTTCTGCTTCGATGTTCCAAAGCCGCAAGGCGCAGATGACGGACATCGATCTCAGCAGCATGAAATTCAGCAATGGGAGCACAGTCGCCTTCGACCCACCCTTGAAGTCACTCCGCGAGACGCGCGAACGACTTGTGCAAATGGACAAAGAGGCCCTGAAAACACTTGGCCAGAGTGATATCGCCATTAAGACTTATATCCCGCCATATGCCAAACTCACCCATCTGTGGAACTTTTCACAATGCCTTTTGGTATACTTCCTCTTACCAAATGCGGCGAACTTCCAGCCTGGATCGCTGTTGTATGATAATTTGCTGTTCATGGTTCCTGCATTTGCGAGTTTCGTGCTGAGAATTCGATGGATGGTTTTGGGAGTCATGATTCCAATTCATCTAATTGAGAGTGGACTCATGGCGATGAAGGTGAGCAAGCATGGGCTAACTCCTCTGGATGGCCTATGGTGGGCTTGGGTCGCGAGTTGTTTTGTAGAGGGTTTTACAAGTTTCTGGAGATTGGATGAATGGGTCGAGGGGAAGAAGAGGGAGAAGGAGGCAAAGAAGCACTGAGACTTGATAGACGAACAATGTCACAACGAATATCAATATGTGGCTCTCACTTAGTCGGAATACTAGGCAGAATGTACAATGAAATGTTGCCACAGCTTGACAACTACATCCTAGATTAGTGTAGGACTCATGTACCTTATGTTGTAGCAGTATACGCCTAGCACACATCTTTCTAAATTTACAGGTAAGGTTTTGCAGCTTGTAGGAGCCACGAAGAACGCATCTCACTTCCCGCTTTTGCAATTGACCGAGAGCGTGAAGACAGAACATGAACAACAATCAAAAACTGTAATGGATGGTCCAAAAAGATTGCACCCCGCCGTCAGACAGATCCAGGCTCTCGGTCAATCGAAATACCAGGAACCAAGGTGCAGCAAAATCACGCAACAGCTCGACAACTACAACTGTGTCTAGTGTAAAAATCTTGCGCCTAGATTTGTAACTGTATGCGCCTTACGTATACATTTTTGTATCTTTCTTGTGTAGTTATGCAGCTTGTAGGAGCCACAAAGATCGCAGCCTACTTCCCGCCTTTGCAGTTGACCGAGAGCCAGGACATCGCATGGGCAAAAAGGATGCTCCCTGCCAGACTCGAACTGGCGACCTTCGGATGTCTACTCTTAGAGTAGTCATGGTCTTAATATGAGACCGACGTGATAACCAACTACACCAAGGAAGCCCAGACAAATGTCTTAGACAAATGTTTTTTTTCCGATGGAGGTCTGATGGATTTCATACAACATATTTTTTGAAAAAAAAAAATTCTTGCGCGAATGGGCGGTCTAGTTTTGACATGGTCATCAGGGTGGGATGTAGAAGAAACTCCGATCTCGGCGCTACTGCATGCGCGTCCAAAATTTTGTGGAGTCAGAACCATCGACCGGAAATACCTCACTGACTGTCAATCTCTGTTTTCTACTCGAAATCAAAGTTCTCTCGGTACAAAATGGCATTGCGAATCTCCTCCAGGCGAGTATGCACTGCGCTGCGAGCGCCTCGCATCCAGTGTGCGTCTATCCGCTTTGGTTCTTCTGCGTCGGCTGCGCTCAAAGACTCCAGTCTTCCTCAAGATGTGAAAGACTCAATCGCTGTATGTTAAATTCATATATGTCTTGCGCGATCGTTTACTAACAGCAGACAGCGTGGAGCATCACTACCGACGCCTGATCCATCCTCCGATTCCAAGACCGCTGGCCTCGTAAACCAACAGCTTCCGTACATGGTGCCCACCTATGTCCGCCCACCACCCATGTTCGAGAAGGGCGAGGGGTGCTACATGTGGGATGTCGAGAACAGGAAATACTTGGACTTCACAGCTGGTATTGCCGTCAATGCGCTGGGGCACTGTGATGAGGGCGTTTCGCAAGTCATTGCTGCGCAGGTATATACTCCGCACCTTAGAATGCGTCACCACTGTCGCTAATATTTATATCATAGGCCCGGCAACTCATGCACACCTCCAACCTCTACCACAACCCTCACACCGGCCTCCTCTCTAAACAGCTCATCCAGCTTACGCACGCGACCGGTGGCTTCGAAAGCGCATCCCGAACCTTCATATGCAACAGCGGGTCTGAAGCCAACGAGGCTGCCATCAAATTCGCGCGCAAGGTCGGAAAGTCTCTATCACCAGACGGAAGCAAATACGAATTCGTCTCGTTCCACAACTCTTTCCATGGCCGGACCATGGGCAGTCTGAGTGCAACACCGAACCCGAAATACCAGACACCGTTCTCGCCCATGGTACCCGGATTCAGATACGGCACGTTCAACGACGTGGATGCCATCACTGAACTGGTCACAGAGGCGACATGTGGTGTCATCGTCGAGCCAATTCAAGGAGAAGGTGGTGTCAATGTCGCAACACCCGAATTCCTTCGTGCGCTACGTGCGCGATGCACAGAAGTCGGCGCCGTCTTGATCCACGACGAGATCCAATGCGGGTTGGGCAGGACAGGTACCTTCTGGGCTCACGGAGGCTACTCCAAGGAGTGCCACCCAGATATCGTAACCACGGCCAAAGCCCTTGGTAACGGGTTTCCCATTGGCGCAACGATTGTAAATGACTTTGTTTGCGATCACATCAAGACTGGTGACCACGGCACCACGTTTGGCGGCAACCCACTCGGATGCAGTGTTGCCTCTTACATCCTCTCTCGCCTCTCGTCGCCTGACATCTTAGGCTCAATACCAGCGAAGGAGCAGGCATTCCGCAAGCACTTCGACTCCTTGCGCGAGCAGTTTCCAGACCAGATCAAGGAGGTCAGAGGCAAGGGACTGATTCTGGGTCTCCAGCTTGATACTGACCCTACACCTATCGTTACTGCGGCTCGAGAGAGAGGGTTGCTGATTATCACCTGTGGTACCAACACGCTCCGTTTTGTTCCTCCTCTAGTCATCACAGAGGCAGAGATCCAAGAGGGTATGAACATTTTGGCGCAGGCAATGAAGAGTGTCTGGGTCAAGGGTGAGGACGTAGAGGGCACCAAGGGTCAGCAGGAGATGCAGTAGCCAAGGATTGCAGGCCGCTGTTTGAGTGATTTTAGCATGGCGTTCTTTGGGATTATAGATATCAGCGATGGGGTGATAGAGTGATAGAGCGACGAAGCAAAATGCATTATGAAGGCGTCTCTAACCCACCGTAAATCCGTGGGAGAGATTATCTCCGATGGCAGGTGCATCCGTGCGCTGCCCCTTCACAGTACTTGGCGTCTGCCTCCAAATCATCGAAGCAGTATTCACGATCCATCTGATTGAACCCGAGTCTGGCTTTTTTGGATTGCATGTGAACTGACTGCGAGTAAACCGAGGTTTGTGAAGCAGACGCGAAACCAACATGACGACCGGGCGCATGCATCAACCCGCGTCACCCATGCAAGCTTGTGCAAACGATCAAATGGACATGTTTGATCAGAACCATCACGAACCTCTCTTTCCGTTATCTCGATCTGGCAGTTTGCCTGCGACTGCGGTATCGACACCGATAACATCCGTCTCATCTCTGGTTGTCGATACCGATGACAAGCTCCAAGATCTCAACCGCTATATTGCACTAGGTTGCCTTCACCTTGACGGCTCTTTTGATATTGATTCTGAGTCAGCTTCTGAGGCTGACTGGCGCGAATTGGTGCACTCAGGTCTGCCCGATGAAGTCAAGCTGGTCATTGGCAATGAAGCTACGATACTGCTCGACGCACGCTGGATTAGGTTATTCCTTCATCGACTCAAATCTACTGATGCAAGTGCACGCAGTCTTGTCCGCATATACTTATTACCAGAGGACTGGGCTCGGCGCTCTGTTGACCGCAACGACAGGAAACTAAAATCAACATTACGACAACTTTTCCAGCAGGTTGACATCTCACCAGAAGCTTGGGCTGGCGACCACTCAGATGCTCACGCTCGCCCCTTCGATCAATGGGCGTGTGCGGCTAACTCATCATTGTACTACTTGTTCAATAAATTGCCCTCGCCCGCCCCGAATCCTGACAAGATAAAGAGCCGCTACACACGAAAGGCGGTGCAGGATTTGCTCGAGTCATCAGCTCCATCGAGTTGGGACGAATTCGGTGAACAGCCTCTCGAAGGACTGAAAACCAAGCTCTACCCATATCAAGCACGTTCCGCGAGTCTGATGATACAACGAGAAGCCGCGCCGCAGCTACAGCTGGATCCGAGTCTGGAAGTCCGAAAAGCACCGGATGGAAAAACGTTCTTCTATGGTGCCCGAGACGGGTCTTTCTTACAGGAGCCTCGATTCTACGAGACAAATCGCGGTGGTATATTGGCTGAAACTATGGGCCTAGGAAAGACGATCATCTGTTTGGCGGTCATTTTGGCGACGAAAGGTAACTATCCTCTGATTCCCGCTGCATACGAACCTCGTCCGCCGATTCGCGATCGTGTTGGTATGTTGTCGGACATGGCAGCTTCTGTAATCGGACGACGCGGCATTCCTGGAAAGTCAATCTTGGAACAATACGAGGTGCACAAGGGAGACGACTTATCAAAGATCAAGAACGCGCTTGTTCGAAATCTCGCTTTCTACGAGATTCCACCGGAAGTCTTGCGACTGAACAGAACTACGAGAATCCCTCCCGCCCGCCAGTTCGTACCGTGCTCGGGTACGATTGTGGTGGTGCCTCGGAATTTGCTTCATCAATGGCAGTCAGAGATACGGAAGCACACGCTCAAAGGTAGCCTCAGGGTGTTGGTAGTCGATGCGGTAACGAAACGCGGTAGTAAGGCGAAGACGGCTCCAGTTGACAACGATCAAATGGAGTTCAGAAGCGACCTGCCAATACCGACCAAACTCATGCAGTACGATGTCGTGCTATTCACTCGTAATCGTTTTGAGCAAGAATTCCCTGGTGGTGCGGATGTTCATGGTCGACGGGCGACTACAGATGACACTCGTGTTTGTGACTGTCCGTACATCGGATCAACGCGCATACTTGATTGTAATTGCATGAGTAGCAATCAAGAATATGACTCTCCGTTGATGAAGTTACATTGGCTTCGCATCGTAATCGATGAAGGTCACAGTTTCTCTTCCTCTGTCTCAAACGCTGTGCTCTTCGCCAAGCAGATCCAAGCAGAGAGGCGTTGGGTCGTCTCAGGCAGTAAGTGTTGAGACGTACTCATTTTTTCGCGCTCCGATACTGACATATGCAGCACCTGCAAAGAATTTAGTAGGCGTAGAGATTGACATGTCTACTGTGGACGCTGACGAGACGGACCCCGCCGCATCTCGGGAACTCACTATCCAGCAGAGGAAGGCCTTCAGACCTGACGACGAAAACACCAAAGCTGCGAAAGCCTTGGGGATTTTAGCTTCAAACTTCCTCATGATGCGGCCGTGGTGTGATCCCACTAGCGAACATGGCCTTGATTGGGATGAACACATCTACAGACACGAGCACCAGTATCGCAGAACTTATTCTGGATTCTCATCATGCTTTTCGCGGGTTCTAGAAAGTCTAGTCGTCAAGACAAGACCAGAAGATGTGGAAAAAGATGTGATACTGCCACCGATGAAACATCGTGTGGTTTATCTTAAACCGTGCTGGTTCGACAAGATGACAGCGAACCTGTTCATCCAAGTTCTGCGAGCGAACGTAAGTTGGCGGCATCATGAAGCATACCACATATGTTGAGCAGCCCTGACATATCATGAAAAGCCTCTGACATCCTCCATGAGCGCATGCTAACCTGGATTCCAGGCGATCACCAGTGAACGGAGTGATGTTGACTATCTCTTCCACAAGAATAGTATCAAAGCTCGACACAGTCTCATACGAAATCTCCGTCAGTCGAATTTCACGTGGACAGGGTTCAGCCTGGCGGACGTAGCGAGTAGCTTGCAAACCAGCAGCGAATATCTGGCCAAGGAAGACAAGAACTGTTCTCTTGAAGATGCCAAATTCATACTGGAAAGCAGTCAGAGTATCTCCCGATTGCTAGCGTCCCAGGGGTGGATTGCATTGAGTAAAGCTCATGAAGTAGGAATGGCTGTTGCAGAATGGCCGAGTGAGTCAGAAGAGGCATTCGCTCTCGCGCATCCTGAAAACCCTACCATGATTGGCATCACGCAACTGCTTGAAGGTCAGCTTCACGTCGACAGTCAGGTTCTGTCTGATGACCCATCCAAGGGTTTACAAACGATAGGGTTAGCGGCCAAAGCAAGAGTGATTGCTTTGGCAGAGGCAGAGTTCAGAACAAAAAGCAACAATGGCACATCTATCCACGACTCCCCATTGAAGAAAGCCAGCGTCCCTACCTCATGCGTCGAAAGTCAACAGCCTCTGACAAGTCGTCGGGCATCAGCAATAACTACCAAGATGTCGCCTCTGAAATCGACCAGAAAGGAGCTTTCGAACGCTGTTGAAGACTCGAAAACACCTACATCGCCTGTCCGACCGCGAAAGCGCAAACTGACTCTAGCTGACGAGATCGCGGATCTGCCTCAAGACTCACCACTACGCAGAACGTGCGTCCTTGGCACTACTTCTGCAAAGCTCACCTATGTCCTGGACAAAGTAGTCCAGCACCAAATGAACGAAAAGATCATCATCTTCTACGACGGTGACAACGCAGCATTTTACATTGCCCAGGCGCTCGAAATGCTCTACATCAACCACCGTATCTACGCCCGCACGTTAGATAACACTAAGAGGTCAGAGTACGTCGCGCTGTTTAACGAAGACCCTGATGTTCGCGTGCTCTTGATCGATGTCGCATGTGGTGCTCTGGGCCTCAATCTCAATGCAGCAAGCGTAGTTCTCATTATCAACCCGATCAATCGTCCTGGATTGGAGGCCCAAGCTATCAAGCGAGCTCACCGTATCGGACAGACCAAAGAAGTTCTTGTCGAGACTTTGGTCTTGGAGGATACGATTGAACATGCAATTTTCAACCGCGCGAAGAACATGAGTCGTGCTCAGCATCTTGAGGCGAAAGAACTGGAAGATGATGCGGGTATCGTCGAGATTATCCAGAACGCGCAAGTCTTACCTGTGCAGCCGGAAGAAGAGCTGGGTATTGGTATGTTTGCGGTTTTGAAAACGCCTCAGCAGGTTTTTGGGAGGCCAAATCGACACAAATACCACCGCTATGGCTTTACGGACGCAAAAACAGACAAACCGAAGAAGAAGGCGAAGGTCTCCAAGGGCTTGGAATTGGTCAAGAAGACTAGCGATCGCGATCCGAGCGTTATGAGCACTCTCGAGGATAAGAGTCTGCCCTTGACAACTCTCGTGCCTGAAGTTCAATCTCCAGACGATGTGCAAGTGACTCTGCACGGCTCACGGGCGGAGTTTGCAGGTGCACATGGTTTGGTTTCGAGTATTTTTGGCGATTGACGAAGAGATAGTAGGTCTCCTGCCAGTAACGTCAGCTAGGAGTGACACAACGACAGGCGTGACCGAAGCCAGGATCGGCTTCATGCTCTCAGATTTCTATTACCTCATTCGTTGCTCACATTTCAGATTGCTTTGACTCCCACTCTCCGTGTCTCTTATTCTGAGACCCCAATATATCAGCCGTTTCACTGGCCAGTAGACAGTGCCATTCCGCTCAACTTCGCACGGATATCCAACTAGAAATCATGTCCAAACTCGCAAGTCCCCTATGCGTTGTCCTTCGGCATGCACGACTAGGAAAGGACATGCCGCGCCTAGACCACACACACAAAGAAAAACACGACGCCTCCGGTTTCAGTCTCCAACGGGCTTTGTTCGCCAACACCTACCCCAGTACCCTGATATGCACACGCAATCAGGAACAAGATCCAGGAGCAAGGGTCACATCATTCCTTTTCGATCTCATAGCCGTTTTTGCTCAGATGCCGTCTTCAAGATGGACATTTAAAGGCAGTTCATACAGGCCTCATCATCACATACTCCCAACCACATTCATTCATCATCATGAAGATACACGCCATCATCCCCTCACTCGTGCTCTTACTCGCTGTCTCCACGGTGGCGGTGCTGCCAGTGGCTGACACGAAGAAGTCTGTATCTAGCAACGTGTTGTTGCGTGGAAGCAAGCTTTCTACCGTTCTTCGACCTACGCGATATCGGAAACTTCATCAAGGGTATGGAAGGGCTCCGCCGAAACCTGCGAAGGGTCTGGAGGCTGCTGCCAATGACCCTGCTGCCGCCAATGACCCGGCTGCTTCGAATGACCCGGCTGCTTCGAATGACCCGGCTGCCGCCAACGATCCCGCCGCTGCACATGATCCCGCTGCTGCACACGATCCCGCCGCCGCCAACGACCCTGCAGCTTCCGGTGACTGTGCGGCAGCATGTGGCCCTCCCGCTGGTGTACCTCCTCCAGCGCCAGCTTCTCCTCCTCCAGTGCCCGCGGCCCCTGCCCCAAAGCCAGCGCCCGCAGCTCCTGCACCACCAAAGCCAGCTCCAGCAGCCCCTGCACCCTCCCCCTCGCTCTTCAAACCGCAACCAGCCCCCATAATCTTCGACCCAAAGCACATATCCTACGCCTCAGCATCCCCACCCGCCCCAACCAAAGAGCCCAACTCCTCCCCAGGCGACGTATACATGTGCACAGGCGAAGACTTCACAGGCGAATGCGAGTACGCGCACCTCGTATCATACAAGTGCCAGAATCTATCTCCGGAGTGGCAGAAGAAATTAACCAGTATCCGCCCGGATAAGAATCAGATGTGCTGGTTCTTCGAGAAGAAGGATTGCTATGGGGGTGAGACGTGGTTGAGATGGCCTGGGAGTGGGGATTTGAAGGGCAGGGCGTTCGATAATAGGGTTATGAGTTGGCAGTGTAATGAGGATAAGTGTGATGGGGTGCAGAAGCCGGGGGGTTGTAGTGAGAACGCTGATGGGTCGCCGAAGAAGAAAGATGGGAGGGGGGTGGGGTTTGTTGCGTGATGGGTGGGGGTGGAGTGGGATGGAAGGGTAAGGGTGGGTTTGGTGGTGGGATTTGACTCCGTTTATGCTTCTTCTCTTCTCTTTTTCGTATGTGTATTATTTGTTCAGATGGCTGCTAGGATAGTGAATGCTGGTATATTGGAGACATTATGGTTCGGTGACTTTTGATAAAGCTTTTTTTTTGGGATTCTTGGGAGGATGTAAACGTCGTTTTTATTTTCACCCTTTGTCTAATTTCAATCTGGCCGTATCCGTCTCAAGGGTGCTTACCCATTGATTGTCTCCTTTCGACTCGCAGTGACATAGCTCATGATGGCTATTAGTGCTTGTAGCCTGCTTTGATGCTGTTCTTATGTATAAATGCGTCATTCACTCTGTACAGCAATCCACCGAACATGTGAGCTACATCTTTGCTGCACCATCTAAGAAGTATTGTTGCATACTAGATCTTTCTCTACACTTACTAGTATCACCACTCTCAGTGAAGTGTAAGAGCGGGAAGTAAACTGCGATCTTGTGGCTCCTACAAGCCGCCAAACTATACTAATATGAATCATAGAAGTGCTCCAAAGTTGTACCACAGGGTCGCCAGACAACAATAGGGATTACGTAGTTAATAGCCTAAGCGTAAACACTAGAATCTTAAGATATTTAACACTATAATAGGGGATTTATATATAGGTAGATAATTTAATAACTATACTAAATTTATTATATAAAATAAGAAGCTAAGGCTCCTCTAACCTCTTTTTAACTATTTATACTATTATTATTACTATCTACGTATTCTTTTTATATAGTTAGGCTAATATTACTTATAAACTTAATATTAACTTTAATACTATCTAAGTATTTTATTAGTATATAGCCTAGCTTACTAATAGCTTATATAAGTTTTAAGATCTTATAAAATATATTAAAGCTTCTTAATATCTTTATCCTACTCTAATTACTACTCTAGGCAGCGCTTTATTATATAAAATATATACTAGTATACTCTCTTATAAGACCTAGTAGTAAACTAATATAGTTAACTTTAACTACTTAAAGATTAAGTAAGAACTACTAAAAGACTTAGTAATCTAGCATATATATTTTAATAAATACTATACTAATACTAACCTAGAGTACTTAAAGCTTATAAAATAACTATACTACTTTATAAAGCCTAATCTTAATACTAATAACTACTATAACTACTTATAATATACTAAGAATTTAAAAAAGATTATAAGTAGCTTACTTAAGTAAGTAGAGCACTAAAGGTAGGCTTTCTATATATAAGTAGTCTTTATTAGTATAAATAAGTACTTTTTTAGTTTTAGTAGTATTAGTACTAAGCTTATAAGTATACTATAAGGTAGTAATATATATAAGAATCTTTAGAATATACTGCTAGTATATTTTAAGCTTATATAGTAGGCTACTATAAGCTCTATCTTTATACTAACTTATATAAGGCCTTAGGTTATATAAAAAAAAAAAAGTAATATACTTATACTAGAGCTTACTAATAAGCTTAAAGCTTAGGTTAAGAAGCTTAATAATATAGTTATAAAGTAGTATAAAAATACTTTTATCTCTAGTATAATTAAGGTAAAATACCTAGCTTAGAAAAATACTTAAATATAAAAGTTTAATAAAGCTTTACTTTACTACTACTAGCGTAATAAGCTAAAATAGATAACACCTAAAAGGCTTTATAAATATAAAAAGTATAAGTAGGATTATACTTATAGTAGTATTAACTTTATATAGTATACTTTTAAAGTCTATAAGAGACTTCTATTTCCTTACTATTACTATATAAAATAGAGATTTCCTAGATAATATATAGTTATTATAAAAGATAGCGCTAGTTACTATATTAAAGCTTATTATCTCTTTTAAGCTAAAATTAATTTAGAAAGTATTAAGTTTATTAACTAGCTACTAAACTTACCTAATCTCTACCTAATTAAAAATATTTAAAATAGCTATAAGAAGCTTCTTAAATAACTATAATTTACTACTAATTTAGTAGCTAAATTAGTTAAAAAATACTATAAAGCTAAAATATAGTATATATAGTAAAAAGACTCTAAATTTAAGAAGATTATACTTAAAATAATAATACTAAGTAACTATATAAGGCTAGTAAAGCTTTATTATAATTATAAAGAAGATAACTTATTTAAGGTATAATAGTCTAAGATTTATACTATATTTTATTATATTTATAGCCTATAAAGAATGTATAAAGTTGTAATTTATACTAAAATATTAGTAGTGCTATATTCTTAGTGTTTTAGTAGATTACGTAATCTCTATTGTTATCTGGCGACCCTGTGGTATATTAATAGGACTTAAGAAACAGGACTCCTACACTTTTTCTAGACGTAGTTATCAAGCTGTTGTACTTCATCCTATCTCGACCAACCGCGAACCCAAGGAGAGATACAGAATCGATAAGGATTCAGCCTGACCGGTGAAGCCACCAAGCGACAGGGTGAAAGCGAGATCTACCCCTCATCCGACAGCCTGGCCGCCAATCACCACACTGCCTCCCTCGACTCAGCCTTGCCAATGAAATTGGAAAGACAATCCAAAGACTAGGCAACTAGATACGAGCGAGTATAATACTTTGGACTACTTCCCATGCGTTAGACCTGACCCTTCTTCAGACCATGGCGCCAGCGCCTTCAACCCAAGATCACTATGCCATCCTTGAGGTCCCCCCAAGCGCGGATTACGAGCAGATCAAGACAGCGTATCGCCGTCTAGCGCGCTTACACCATCCGGATAAGAACGGCGGCTCGCGGGACGCAACCGTGAAGATCCAGCGCGTAAGTAAGACCAGTGACGAATTGCACAGCGCACGGGATGCTAGTCAGTTTCTGTAGATCAACGCGGCGTGGGATGTTCTTGGAGACAGCTGTTTGAGAAGGGAGTATGATCGTGTGCGGCCTACGCAGGGGTTCTCAACGTCGTCGTCGTCGACAAGACCGCCGAATAGCAGTCGTCCCGATACGGCGAGACCACCACCGCCACCTAGACCGCAAACACGTCCCACGCCGCAACCAGGTCCCACGCCGCAGGAAGACGCAAGAGCGCGAGCGGAAAGCCACAGGAAACGCCAGGAATGGCTCGACTTCGAGAGGGTGCAGGAAGAATACATCCGCCAGAGTCGGAATCGCGTCAAACCCCTAGAGGCCGAGATCGCCGCGCTCAACGCCAAAGTCGCAGAGATCAAGGCGAAACTCGCAAACGATGTACCGTATCGGTGGAATGTGTTTGCATCCTTATCCACCAGGCTGTCCGAGACGGAGAAGGATAGCCTGCGTCGCCAGATTCTGGATGCGGAGACGGCGATGAGAATCAAGCAGTGGCCGCTTGATCGCGAACAACTGCATCTGAAGAGTCTGCAGGAAGCGCTGTCGAAACGACTGGCTCAGGAGAATGTTAGACTCGCCGCCGAGAGGACAGAGCAGGAACGGAAAGAGCGACTTGCCAGAGAGAAGGCTCAAGCTGAAGCGCAGCGGCGTCGCGCAGAGGAAGCTGCCAGACAGCAAGCCGCGTACGAAGCACGAGAGAAAGTCGCACGAGAAGAACGCGCACGTGCGGAAGCCGTGCGAGCAAGGCAAATGGCCGAAGAGCACGCAGCGCGCAAAGCCGAGATGCAGAAGCAGCAAGCCGAGATGAAGAAACGAGCCCAAGCCGCCCAAGCTGAGGCTCTGCGGCAGCAAAAGCTCGTCGCAGAACAGGTGGCCAAAGCGAAAAGAGAGGCCGATAAACAGCGAGTGCGAGTGAAGAGTTGCAGACATAAGAACTGGTGGGACAGAGTTCCTGGGCCGATTACTTGCCCGCATTGTACGCGGCCTCGCCTGGGGTTCGCGTATAAGTGTCCTGACTGCGAGACGACGGCTTGCGCTTCTTGTAGGGGCACGCTGAAAGCTGGTCGGACGCCAGCGGTCGATACCAACCATACGACATATGGAGCGAATTATGGGTTTGCAGGGACGGCGCGACGTGGTGGCAAAGCCAGACGCGATCGTGACACGTATGGAGGTGGGTATGAGAGGTCTTACTGTGAAGAGTCGCCTTCTTCCTATTCCTATGATAATTATTTGTAGTAGACATACCTTTTTAGGATAGGGTGGGTGGTTTGGACGAGCTTGAATGTGATTCTCAATATTCCACTATACAGCTCTTGACTTGCTACTCTCAAGTGGTATAGAAGGAGGGCATTTAGAAAGAGTGTTTGGTAGAAGAGTGTATTGAACGGTTAACAACATCATAAACAGTCTCTACGCATCAATCATAGCGACATATAAAGTCAAGACGCGCAACAAGACCGGACGATTAGGTATGTAAGAGGGAGGATTGGGGGTATGGGGGCAGTGCCAGAAATCGCAACGCAAAAGCAACAAGCACAAAACGAGACGAACATGACGAAAACACACTACCACAGTCAGCACGACAAAATCAGCAGAATAGGGTAAGAAAACTCACATGTCCAAGCCATCAGAAACTAGCACCAGCATACGCGCCCCCAGTCGGTCCCGAAACGCCCCACGAATGAGCAAAATCCCTCCCATCATGCTGCTTCCCAAACGCCACCTCCTCAACCTGCTTAAGCAGATCCTCGGGCGTACTGTTTCAAAAACACAAACATTAGCTTCCCCCCACAGAATCACAAAAACACAGTCAAAAACTCACCTCTTCCCCGGCACAAACACCAGCCCAGCATCCACAGCCCTCTTCCCCGTCCCCACATAATTCCCCTCGCTATCCTTCGCATAGTGCTCCAGGTAATGGCTCCGCGTCATCTTGCGCACAATCACCGTCTGCGTGACCACTCCGCGGCCCCCGCCAAACCCGCCGAACGGGTGGAACATGTCGCGCTTTCGCTGCTTTTCGCGGGACAGGATCATAGGGACAGAGATTGTTTCGTCGAGGGGGCCGCCGTGCGCGAGGAAGGAGTTTATGCGCGCGAGGGGATACGCGGGGGGAGGGGCGGTGGTGTAGGGCGGGGCTGCGCTGTGGGGGGTTAGGATGGGATGGGATGGGTGGGGATTGACTGACTGTTCTTCAGCACCTGGGTGGTCTGCATTGGGGGGTTCTTGCTGTGGGCGCGTCATGGGGGGCGGGTTGAATTGGGCGCCGGTGTTGAAAGACATGATTGGGATAGAAATTTCGATATAGGTCGTTGTGCTTTGTCCTTTATTTAACCTCTGGTACCTTCAAAAACAAGCAATTCCAAGGTTCTGCCAACCGCATCCAACACGCGCTTCTCGACGCATACTTAAGCATCCCGCCCATGGGTGGCGCAGAAGACCATGTCATGGGGTCAGGGGACTGCCACGCTATCGTCGACTAAAACGCGGAGGCGGAGAAGGCGGAGTCGATGGCGGAGGTGGCGCTAGGCCCGCAATGGACTATCTCATAAACGATCGACACATGGGGTTAGACGTACTGTGCTGTGCTCGTGGCGGACTTTCTGATTCGTCGCGCGCTTCGTAGAATGCAGAGATTGAGTTTGTGGAGTCTGCCTGGGCTGATTTGAGGACGGGAAGAGAGGAACTTATACCACGCTAAACTGAATTATATAGTATAGTGTGTGCTATCTATATCGAGATGTTCTATGCGTAGAACGACTGGTCGGACTAAAGTACCTGAAGTAGTTATGTATCTATATTTTAACGGAATGGAGGAAGTGTGTTTGTCTCTCGTATATTCACTCGTTCATTTCCCATCACACTCTCTCAATTCCCAACCCGCAGAACACCTAAATCTACTCCAATTCAATCCAGTCCAGTCCTGCACGGTCCCCATCCCATCTCTTTCCCTTGCATAACGCAAGATATCCCCAACCCACCACAGAGTCAGCCTCGGCTATCTCGACGACAGCTGATAGCAAGACGGCAGGCATGTACATATGCATGCGCATGCACAGCACCATAAAGCGAAGCCAGAACAATCCAGTAAAACAACATGAGTTATCACAACAAGCGCCACGAGAGCAGGCAAGCGAGCGAGCAAGCACATCTGCCACACAACCATCGTATCTCCCACCAACCCCCTACCTCTGCCAACGTCCACTCCGTCTACATGTAACCTCGCACTACCCCAAAGTTGTTCACGGCGCAAAGTCGTAGCTAATTCTTCAAACTGTCCAAATGTACACATCTCGAGTAATTTCACAGGTTTAATCCCCCACACCCACCACTCCACTCTACTCCATCCTGTCCCATCTCGTTCTGCCCCACACAAACAACACATATACAGCACAGCGTCAAGTCAGCTGAAGGCTGTTTCCGACACGAGACGGGACGGCACGCCACGGCACAAGTCCAGACAGGACTAACCTGGATTGAAAAGCAAGGCAGTGTGCAAGGCAGACAGCTAGGCACATCCACCTATCCACATCCCCATCTATCATGCACAAATCATAAATGCGCAGGGTATCGTATCGTGTTGTATCATATCGTATCATATCGTGTTCGCTATGATAACACAATCCAGCCACAGCAGAAAACAGACAGAAAAGAACATCCGACATACTTATCTACCCACTAAAACGTGGAAAAGCTATCACGTACCTGTTTCTGCACGGTTTTACATTTACTCTTCGTTAACGTCAGCGTCAGCTTCAGCGTTAGTGGGGATACTCGCTTGTATGGGATGTAGGGTGGGAACCTGCACTGAACTAATCCGAGGTTCGTGCATAGATGGATGGATAGATATATAAATCCCCTTGCCTTGCCATGCTTTCATGGTCGGAGTATGACTATACATGTATATATGGAGTAAATACACGGAGTAAATACAACAAACACAAATGTAAACGCAAACACATCAGCAGTAAACATGCGACGACGATTACAAACTAAGTACTCATATGTTGCGCGTCTTGAAACTGCATTTCGAGGAAAGTTTTGTGAAGGGGTGTGTATTGGTGATTGTCGGTGGGGACTTGGTTGCTGGGTAGATGGTATGGTGAGGGGATTTGGTTGACTGGTAGTGCCGCACACACACACACGCACACGCACACAGGATCACAATTATGAATATATTCATCTCCATTCCATTCCATCTCATTCCATGCCAACCCATTCCCCTTCACCACCACATCGTTTCCACTCATTCTTGAATATACTTCCTCAACCCCCTCAACCGCTCCATAGCCGTCTCCAGCACACCATCATCCTTACAAACCGCAAACCTCAACCAATCCTGCACAATATGCGCATTCTCAGGGGTAAAAAACTCCGTTGGCGGAATCGCCGCAACGCCCAACTCCTTGATCAAAAACCAGCTAAGTTTGAAATCCCTCGGGCGCTCCATAACATGTGTTGGAAACTCATACTCATCTGGAATCTGGACTTTCGCCATATTGACGAGGACGAAATACCCACCCTCAGGGTCGGAGTAAGGTAAGTGCAACTCGTCGAAGACAGCGGTGAATTTGTCCATTTTGGCTTTCATGTCGCGCTTCGAGTCGGCCCAGAAGTTGTGTGAGTCGGCCTGCTCGAAACCGATGGCTGTTGCTTCTTGCAGCGGGGATACGCTGCTGTAGCAGATGCGTGTGTGTGCCGCGCTGACGTATTTGATCAGGTGCGGGGGCCCGATGAGCCAGCCTACGCGCCAGCCTGTGGCGTAGAAGACTTTTCCGCCGGAGCCGACGGTGAGGGTTAGGCGGGCGATGTCTGGGGACAGGGTGGCGATGCGGGTGAAGGGGACGTAGTAGAGGCGGTCGTAGACTTCGTCGGAGAGGATGATGATGTTGTGCTTGACGCATAGAGCGCCGATGGCTTGGAGTTCTGGCTCGGAGAAGACCTTGCCGATGGGGTTGTGGGGTGAGTTGAGCACGATCATGCGCGTGTTGGGCGTGATGGCTGCTTCGAGCTCGGCCATGTCGACGCTCCATTCGCCTGCTGAGGTGGTCTTGGTTGCGCCGTCTTTGGGCGGGTGCATGGGCACGTAGACGACTTTCCCACCGGGCATCTCGATGTTGGAGATGTACTGGTCGAAGAAGGGCTCGAAGACTATGACTTCGTCGCCGGGCTCGAGGAAGCCCATGAAGGCGCTGAGCATGCCCTCGTTTGCGCCTGTCGTGATGGTGACTTCGGTTTCGGGGTCGATGGTGCGGCCGAAGAAGGGCGAGTAGGCGTCGGCGATGGCTTTCTTCAGCCGCGGACGGCCTTTGGTGGGCGAGTACTGGTTGCAGTCTACCTGGTCGAGGGCGGATTTGGCGGCGTCGAGGACGAACTTGGGCGGGTTGTAGCCGAAGAAGCCCTGGCCCATGTTGACGATGGGCTGGACGGGCGAGGCGGCGGCGGCTTCGTTGACAATGGACCAGACATCCTGCTTCTGGCCGGCGACTCTCTTGGCTGGCTTGAAGGGGTCGTCTCGTCGTGTGGTGGCCGACATGGCGCGGGGAAGGGTGAAGCTGGCGGGGCTCCGGGGTTTGATCAAGGTCGATGGGCGGATGGAGTGCAGTCTTGTCGCGATCCTCATCTCAAGAAAGTACAGTCACGAGGAAAACACTGGCGAGAACTATCACCATGTCACGCCCATCAATTGCGTGCTTCATGTCCCCGTCGTATGCCGTCACCAAGCGGAGTAAGTCCGAGGCAAACGCCGACACCGGCCGTCCGTCGCGTAACCCAAACCAGCTCACGCGACGCGTAGCTTAAATCCACCCATCGCCTCCGACATGCTCGAATGCCCGATTTGTAGCAAGCCCGTCAAGGAAAACCGCATCAACGAGCACATCGACAGCGACTGCAAGGACCACCTCGTCGAGCAGAGCAGCAGCACTCCCAATCCTGCAAAGGCCCACAGCTTCTTCGCGCCGGCAGCCCGCAAGTCCTCCAGCCAGAAGAATGGGAACCTGCCCTCGTCGCCGCCACCAACACAGCTGGTAGAGCGCTCCAGGACGCCCCCCGCGGGCACAAAACGACCCCTCGAAGACACGGCACATGACCACACCAATGGCGAGCCACAATCACCGCCAGCCCCCAAGCGCGCACGCAGGCTGAAGGCAGTCGAGGATGCAATGCCGCTGGCAGAGCGCATGCGGCCCACCTCGCTGGACGACGTGTGCGGGCAAGAGCTGGTGGGGCCAGGGGGCATGTTAAGGGGCATGATGGACGAGGGCAAGCTCCCCTCGATGGTGCTCTGGGGGCGTCCCGGCACAGGCAAGACGACCATCGCGCGCCTGATCGCCAACACATCGGGCGCGCGCTTCGTCGAGATCAACAGCACGAGCACGAAGCTGGAGGAGGTGCGCAAGATCTTCACCGAGGCAGCGCGGGACCTACATCTCACGGGGCGCAAGACCATCGTCTTCTGCGACGAGCTGCACCGCTTCTCCAAGACGCAGCAGGACGCCTTCCTGGGCCCCGTCGAGTCCGGCACAATCACCCTCATCGCAGCCACCACGGAAAACCCCTCGTTCAAAGTAATCTCCGCCCTCCTCTCCCGCTGCCGCACCTTCACCCTCGACGACCTCAAAGAGCCCCACCTAATCTCCATCCTCTCGCGCGCCATGGCCGCAGAAAACTTCTCCTCCCCCCTCCTCGACACCCCCATGCTAGAATACTTCGCCCGCTTCTCCGACGGCGACGCGCGCACCGCCCTCAACCTGCTCGACCTAGCAATGACCCTCTCCAAACACCCCAACACAACGAAATCCCAAATCCAGCAAAGCCTCACAAAAACACTCGTCTACGACCGCGCGGGCGATCAGCACTACGACTCCATCTCCGCCCTGCACAAATCTATCCGCGGGTCCGACCCAGACGCCGCTCTGTACTATCTCGCGCGCATGCTCGAGTCCGGCGAAGACGCGCGCTACATCGCGCGCCGCCTCATCGTCGTTGCGTCCGAAGACGTCGGGCTGGCCGATAACTCGATGCTGGCCCTCGCCACCGCGACGTATGCCGCGTGCGAGAAAATCGGACTGCCCGAGTGTCGCATTAATCTGGCGCACGCTGTTGTTGCGCTGGCTCTGGCGCCGAAATCTACTCGTGCGTATAGGGGCTTGAATAATGCTATGCTTGCGCTAAGGGAGCCTGGGGTGGCGGCTTTGCCGATTCCGATGCATTTGCGTAATGCGCCCACGCGGTTTATGAAGGATAGGGGGTATGGGGAGGGGTATAAGTATAACCCTGAGTATGTGGGGGGGAGGGTTAGGCAGGAGTATTTGCCTGAGGGGATTAGGGGGAGGGCGTTTTTGGAGGATTTGGATTTGGGGAGTAAAGTGGATGCGGATATTGTTGAGGACGATGAGCTGCGGCCGGAGATGGAGGAGTGATGTTTTGCGTTTGCATGAGTTGTTGGATGGGTGGTTGGGGCGGGGAAGGTTTGGCTTTGACTCGGGGTCGCTGACTGAATGTGTATAGTAATGTAAAGCAAAGTACAGGTTGCATTCCTGAATCGACACCTCGTAGCTTTCCTTTACCCCTCCCCCTTACCCACCAAGCATCAAGCACCAAGCACCAAGCACCGAAAACAACATAGTGCTTACTCACTCTCCGCCCCGTCACATGTTAAAGCAAAGCACATCACATGTCAAAGCACACCACCCCATCACCCCTAAACAACACCAGTCTTGTCTAAAACTCTCGGGCTTTTCCTACGCACATTCCCTCCAAGTCTCCACCTCCATCATACTCAAACGCGTACAAGCAAAGGAACAGACATGGACACCATCACTCTACTAGTTATAATCTATTTCGTCATCAGCGCGGTGCTGGGGCATAGGTTGCTGCATAGTGTGTGTCGCGGCCAGCCACAGTACGAGAGACTCGGTAACAAACGCGGGGGGGATGGGGAGTGAAATGGCGGTGTTGTGCTGTGTTGTGTTGTAAGAAACCAAGAAAGAAAGAAAGGAAGGGAGGGAGGGAGGGAGATTGTATGCATAACCCCGTTTTCGATCACACATATACTATCAACTCAAGCATGTACGCCCACCTCCCCTGCAGCAGTAGCAGCACGCACATGATCCAGCGTCGTCCTGCCCAAACCCTCCCGAGCGTAAAAGTCCATGGGGTACAAATTCCTCCTCTCCCTCTCCTTCCCACCCCGCTCCCCCGTCTCCATCGCACCCTCCTTCCCACCCCGCTCCTCCGCCGCACCACCCCCCTCGGTCTCCTCAAGCCACGGCGCACCCCGCACCCCCAGCGCCACAAGCGCCTCATACGGACTCAGCAGCGGCCTAGGAAACGCATACCCCCAATCGATACTCAACCTCGGACACGCAATCTGCACCCACGCCTGCACATCCCCCATCAACGCGAGCTTCCCCGGGAAAATCTCCGAAAGCAAAAGCTTAATACACGGTATACCCTGGCGACTCAGTTCCCCCTCGATCAAACTGAGGGTATGCGGATTCCCCTGGCGTCCCAGCGCGCCGAGAATAACGCCCCATGTGCGCGCCTTCCGCGCCGTTAGGATGGCGGCGCGGCGCATGTCGTAGAGGGTGTCGTGCGCGTAGGTCTCGTGGGTTAGGCGGCGCGAGTACGGGTCGTAGCGGTAGGCGGGGAGGGTGGGGTTGGCGATCATGGCGCTTTCGAGGTGGAAGCGGCCGTCGCCTAGGTAGAGGATTAGGTCTGCGATTTCTTGCTGCTTGTCGGTTTTTGAGAGTTGGTTGCGTGTGAGGGGGAGGGAGGGCGAGGTGCAGCCTAGGACTTCGCCTTTGGAGAGGGGCGCGATTTGGGGGACGAGGGGGGTGTAGCCTTCGCGCCGGAGGAGGGGGACTATGCCGTGGATTGTCGCGTTGAATTGGATGGTTCCTACTAGGGCGAGGGTTTTTCCGACGGGGAAGTTCTGGGTTATTGTGTTCATGAGGTGGGTTGTGTCGATGCTGATGGAGACGAAGATGTAGAGGGTGGCTATCTTTGTTACGGGGACGGGGATTAGACAGCTGTGCGCGTAGTGGATAAGTAGGTCGCAGCCTAGTGCTCGCGCGGTGTAGTCGTCGATACAGCACGCGCCGTATGTCACGTCGCCCATGATCAGCGTCGAGATGCCGGGACAGAACTGTGTCAAGATGTCGGAGATGGTCGTCGCGAAGAGCAGCAGGCCCTCTGGCAGCTGCAGGGCTACTGACTTCGCGCCTGACGTTCGTATACGGTGGATGCATTTGTGGATCTCGAAGTTGTAGTTTGGAGGGAGCAGGGCGATTGCGTCGTTGATGTCTTGGTCGTGGAGGATGGATTCGGGGATGGCGTTCAGCGCGCGAGCAGTACGGCGTGGCTGGGCGACTGTCGAATATATTAGCCTTGTGTATTGTCATGTATGTTTTACAGGCCGCCTCACACCTTGTATCGCGCTCGAGTCTTCGATGTTCGCGTTGGGATCCGCCTGCTGCTCACCACCCTTCTCTGCCGTCTTCCTCCCCACGAAGCGTCGTCGGGGCTGCTTGGGCACAGGCGCAGGCTCTTCAGCGATGCCCTCCTCGACTTCCGGTCCCAGATTTGTTGCTGCTCTGTCGTCCTCCATTTTTGTATTTTCGCGTGTCGTGTGTCGAGCGTGTCGCGGGGTCAAAAATTAATTAGTAGCGGGGAACAAGTCTGTAGGGCTGACATGGATCTTCTTTCAACAGTAGAACTCATTCACCCGCTAGGTAGATAACACCGGATACCCTATTCTCGAATCGGTAAATGATATTCCGTAGACGCTCCTTCAATTTGCCACCATGACCTCCCATGCACCATCACGCTAGTCATCAACCCTCTCCCACGCCTCCGTCCCCTCCAGTCGCTCAGCAACAAACTCCGTCAAATCCCCCTCCCCATTGTTCACCCCCTTTGGAATACCCACAATCGTCATCCGATCTTTATCCATCGCCCCGATAATCTCCGGAATTGTCCTCTCGTATTCGTTAAACCGCTTCTCAAAGACATCACCCGCCCTCCCCCTGCTCACGAACCGCTCATGCGCCAGCTCCTCTTCGATATTCATCACAATCAAGATCGCCCTCTCATCGGGTGTCCAGAACTCCTTGACATACTGCTTGAACACTTGCCAGCGCGCTGCGTCTCTGGGGAACCCATCGATTAGACATCGTATATTGTCGTGGTCGCCGCCAGTAGGGAAGATGCGCTCCTTGACGTATTTGGGTGTGAGATGAATCGGGGCGAGTGTCCCGGATGTGACATTGCTCGTGAATGTTTCGATCTCGCTGGCTGAGAGCATCGACTTGATGCGTGCTATGGGGGGTGAAGGGTTGGGCGAGATGAGCTCGCGCAGCTCGTTGCCGATGGAGAGATGATCGAGGGCGTAGCAGTGGGACAACTCGGCGCAAAGGCTACTTTTGCCCGAGCAAGGAGCACCTGCACAGTAAGTCAGCGTGGATGAGGAGGAAAAAATATGAAGTGAAACTGCTCACCGAGGACGAAGATGAGTACCGGCTCAGTCTGCGCTTCCATGGGGACGTGGTGGGGAGCCATAACGTGCTGACATTTGATGTTGGAACAAATGTTGAGTTGACGATGTTTGGAGTCGACAACCGTGCGAGAGAGAGATTACCTTCAATATCCTTGAAGCAAATGGTGCTCGTGCCACGTGTGGAGTAAGCGTGAGTGGTGTGTCGACAAACGGGAGCTTGCTTGGTCACAACGGTGCTTGTTTCCACATTTGACCTCTAAAAGGAAAGTGTGGTGGGCTGCAACTCTCCTGGATAACGACTTCAACATTACCGCATGAGCATTGTATTTACTACATACTCAATCCCTGTTTCGACCTAGTTATGACAGCTGCTAGCAGCCTTGTAATAGTTCAGCAGCTTCACATGCCGCTATGTCGCAGTTCAGCAGGCGCTGCACGATGGTAATAGTCATCCGGTCAACTGAACAGGTTATGAGTAATTTCAATGGTTATGCTATGGTGCTCCGCTTGCTGCTATGGTGAGTCGCTTTCACTTGGACTTTCGTTCATGAACGTGAGTTGCTTTTGGTTAGTGTGACGCAAGCACTCTTGCTATTCTTGTCTTGTCGACTCTCACCTTCTTCTCTCCACGATCGTTCCGGTAACCACACCTTTGCACCTTCTATCGACCAGCCCATACAAGGTCGCCATGTGTCGATTCATGCTGGATAATGAAGACGACCAGGTCCAAAAATGGCAAGGATGGCTGCCCTCGTCCGTTACCTGGGCTATGCCAGTGGATATCACTGAGCTTGGCGCCATTCTTGCAGCCTACTCAAACTTGGAAGCCGAGATCGAAACACTGTCAGAATGTCATCAGAACGGTTCTGGCCTGTTCACTCAACTTCCGCAAGAAATCTTCGATCAAATCATCGACGACTATCTCCAGGCAGAGAAAGCTGTGCTCGCACCTCTTTGGAAGAAGTCTTTTGCTTGCTTCATGGGTATCTGCACAATCGGGCAGCATCTAAACCCTTTCAACAATCAAACACAGGACATATGGAACCAACTTGAGCGGCTCCCAGAATTCAACGACCTCGTTGCCAAATACCTTCCGGGAGGATCCGAGAGTGATCGCGTCTTCAGTGACTCCGAAAAAGCGATCATAGTTGAAGGATATGGTGACGATAGAGGAAGCGGCTTTCTTGACATCTGGGACCACTTCGAGCGGAGAGAGGAGTGGTTGGATCGACTATGCTGCCAGAATTTGGTTAATGGTTCAACGAGGAAGACCTTTCCTCACTTGATCAGTGTAAACTAAAGAAAACCCTCGCCAATGTTCACTCACATCGCTAACGAGATCATGATAGATTCTACGATCTCGATTTGGACTGGAAGTGATTATCTGCCATGAACCACTTACCGAGGAGCTGAGGTACCTTCTACCACACAGGCATCTGGGAGATTTCTTTCAGTACGACCATATGTGGTATACGTCTGCTTTTCTAGCTATTGCTTCTGTGGACAAGATTGACCAGTCGGTAATCACTCCAATGCAACAAAGCTTAGCGGAGATCCCAAACTTGGCCGCAACGTACTCTGTTATCGATCCTCCCCTATCCGAAGACAAGCGAAAGCTTTTTGCGCAGGCAGTACGATTGTTCAAGCTAAGGCCGCACTTTCACTTGAGCAACATCGACTTATCAGTGAAGAATCCCGGCTTCTCCGACAGCTTGAGAGTGAGGACGTCGGAGGATTTCGACGAGTACATTGAAAGATGGAGCAAAGGCAAGTTGACACATCCTTTAACTGACGACCCTTTCTAATTTGCATCTTATAAAGAACTTGCCAAACAGTCATGGCCCCAACTCATGTTCCTCGCAACTCCATCTGCTGCAATGAGCGACAGCTAAGACTAGCCATGTTCTGCCACAACTGCTTCAAGTGGTCAAGAACACACATTCAGTGTAGTCTGCAGTTTACTCAGAGCAGCTCGAAGCAGGCTCGCATATACTGCCGTTTGTCCTCATGGCAGGCCATGGTTCATGGCATGTGCTATTTCAATTGACCTGTAGCAAAGCATTCGAAAGCCACGAGAAACTGGTAACATCTACTGCAGGGACCGTGTTACACACATTACCTCCCATGTAACGCGCTGTGGAGTTGACTCTTAGCGAGCTTAACGAAGTATATGAAGTTGGGAGGGCAAGCAATGAAAGGTATACTTCGGACAGCTTATAATACAAATCCAATCGAACAAATGTTTTTCGATGTTTTCGTCGTGTCTGGACCTCTCGTGAGATAGAACGGCTCTTGTCTGCAGTTAGGCGCCCTGTGAATGTTTGTTAATTCCGTCCCATTTAGGTTTAGTGCAGGTAGTACGGGCTCTTTCCTTTCAGCCTCGCGTCTTTCGCTTCACCTCTCACCACCTTCTCTTTTACTTTTTTCCTCTTTCTATCGCTCTCAAATATGTGCCGCCTTCTTTGGAAGTTCTTTGAATGGGACTATCATCCAACAATACCCACTAGGGCATTTCCCCGCTTAGCTCACGTTATCCCGGTCAATGTTATTGAACTTGGAGCACGCCTAGAGGCCTACCTAGACGAACTTCCCTCCGTAATCGCTCTGCGTCTATGTCACCGGTACGGCAAAGGAGTGCTGTCAAACCTGCCCCAAGAGATCCTTGGTCAAGTCATCACCGAGATGCAGCAAATGGCGAACGCCAAAACTCAGCCGAAGTGGGAGGAGAACTCTGCTTGCTTCCAGGGGCGATGCAGGATGGTTGATCACTATCTACCCTACAACGAAGATTTCGAGAAGATGTGGTTGGATATGACGGAATATGAGGATGACATGACGCCACCGTTGCTCGATTACTATACTGAGGAAGAAAAGATCAACATGGTGCAGGAGCGAATGGAAGATGGTTACTTTGCGGATGATGGTGTTGCATTCGAGATACACGACGACATGCAAGACCAGTGGGTTAAGATGCTTTGCCTTTGCGACAAAGGACCTGGTCAGACCAAAGATAGAACAACTTTCCTACCCTTCAACGATGTAAGTTGATCTGACAAGTCATTGTATACATGTCTCTGATATTGCGCTAGATTCTCAGGTCTCACTTCGGTCTAGAGACGATAATTGTTCATGAAGCTATGTCAGATGAACTAGTACGTTTTCTGCCCAATACGAAATCTATGGATGGAAAGTCGTACCACACGTCCTGTTTCCTAGCTCTTCCGCACTGCTCATCCGGCTCACAACAGGGGGGGCGTACAGCACTCAGCAAGCACAGCTCCTTTCTAAAAGCGGACAACCATCTTGCCTTCCATCAAGTCATTGACCCTACGACATTGAGCATCAACGAGGAACAGAACAAACGCTTCTCTCGAGCCTTGAGAATCCTCGATCTGAAGCCTCATTGGCAGCTCACTGAGCTGGAGACACTGATTAAACCACCGGCTCGAGACAACGCATTATGGGAAATCTGCGATTTCCAGATCGAGAACTGCCCAGAACCCACTAAGAAATCGCGGAAGGAGAAGAACGAAAACCTGAAGGGATATATCGCAGTGAAGAGTGAGGGTACGTGTTATATCTATGTACATCCCGGTTTCCTCGCGTTTGGACTGACAGCATATTGTAGAGCTGGGAAAAGAGTCGTGGCCACAGCTAATGGTCATTGCTTCGTCGGATGTGGTAGCTCCAGATGAATAAGTTAGTGTGTGAACATAAGTTGGCATGTAGCATTATTCAAGGACTCAGCAGCTTTATATAGTATTTTTGCGAAGGAGGTAGGGGACATCACGTTCGCAGCTCGCGAATTTGGAGGGACTCGATGGTTGTCGAAACGATGTTAGACATATGGTATTCGCACATAGGATAAGATTTTAAACATTTTCTCTACGAAGCTCACTGTGGATTGTATATCCTATCCGATAGAAATTCACGCCACGATGTGAAGTTCACCGTGAACTTTACTGGTATGCTCTCTTCGTCTCGTTCGTGAAAACATGACTGTCATACCCGGAGAGTATCAAATGCATATCATGGTGACGTTTTCCCATTTTGACTAGCGTGGAGTGCGCTTTCCTTCTTGAACTTATCGAATCTCGTCCGTTTATTTTGTCTCACCTCACCTCACCTCACCTCATCTCATCAACTTCCCTCTCATCGACAGCGTGTCTACACGGTCGACCACCATGTGTATTCTCAACTACCGCCCGTACGACGATGAAGGTCCGGATGTGCCACCGCAACGCGCTCAACCTCGACTGACGTGGGCTATACCCGTGGATATGAGCAAGCTAGGGGCAAGACTTCAAGCGTATTCGGAAACGATGCCACAGGTTACTATGTTACGACTTTGCCACCGGTTTGGTAACGTCGCACTTTCCAACTTACCATTGGAGCTTCTCGAGCGGATCGTCGAGGCTCTACAGCAGTCAGTGCGAGCGGATACCTGGCCGGCGTGGCGCCAGGACCTCCGCTGCTTCGAGGGAATATGTCTACCTGAGCAGCACTGCGAATACTACAACGAACACGTCGAGTCGATGTGGCAGGAAATCTTCGCTGCAAGTAGCGACGAGGATGCTAAATCTAAGGAGGACTATACGAACGCGCAGAAAGTGGACATGGTCACCGATAGCATTGCATACGATCCCGAGAGTGAACTGGTCATGAAGGCACACTATGACGCCAGATTCCGATGGGTCGGCCGGACCTGCCAGTGCGTAGAAGGCTATGGTGAGGATGCAACCAGAGGAGCATTCGCTCGCTTTGGCGATGTGAGTTAGCAAACCAACATCCTTTGAAGTTGGTGAGTAACACATGCAGCTACTCAGATTGCACTTTGGTCTGGAGGCCATCATTCTACACGAGATCTTACCTACACCTCTTTTTGACTTCCTCCCAAACTCTGGATTCTCAGAGGAATTCGCATACTACACTCGCTGCTACCTTACTCTCTATTCGAAGTCAGGAGATAAACGCATTACTGGTAGTCCAGATTCGGCTCCGCAGAACAAGCTCTTTCACGAATACGGAGATCACATGTCGTTTCAAGAAACCATTGATCCGTCGCAGCTGATACTTTCTGAGAACGATCGACTCCGGTTTGCGAAGGCTATGAGGCTTCTAGGGATTCGAACTTGTTATCATCTGAGCGAGCTGGCGCCACACGTCGTTCATCCAATTGAGGATGAATGGCTGAGTGATCTGTGCGCCTGTGGTAAATCGGAATCTATCTGTCCACATTCAGATGTCAAGTCCTATGATAAACCATATTGTCTGGAAGAATATCTCAAGAGCAAGAGCAAAGGTGTGTTGAAGTTCCAAGTTGCTCCTCGCTGAAAGGTGAAGCCATAGCTTACCCTCAATTTCGTAGAACTTGCAAAACAGACGTGGCCAAAACTTATGCTTTTGGCAGCATCTGATGTTGTAAACACCTTCGAATATTAGGGTACTCAAGGTTCTTTGAATCCTGGGAATCACGCAAAACGGAAATGGGCATCGGAAATGATCGGGATGAGATGAAAAGAGTTTACGACGGTTGGCAGTTTTGAGGGAAAATATCGTGGTATGGCCATAGACATCCACAAATAATCTCGATATATTTAATGACCATATATGATGGCGATACTGGGTCATGATCAATGTAGCAACCACCTCAGCCGAGCAGACCGTGGTTTTTTATGCCCTATCCAGATCACCCAAGTTATCAGCCTCTTGCCTCCCCATCATCCTCCCTTGCTGCAATCTCCTCATCCTTATCCCAAACTTTATGCCCCGCAACCCACGTCTGCAAAACCTCACCCTGCTCGTTCAACACAGTCAAGTCCGCTCTCCTCCCTTCTCTCAACACACCTCGCTCGCCCTCCCCATCAACACCCATAAACCCGGCTACGTTCTCCGTCACCGTCCCCACCGCCTCCGCAATACCACACCCAGACCACTCCATCAGATTTCTCACACTCTGCTGCAGCGGAATACACCCCCCAATCAACGTATCCGTTCCCGCGATCGTCGCTCTTGTCCCGCTCTTCGTCTGCTCAAACGGAATCTGCGCATGTCCCGGGTACGTCCCGTCTGGCATGGACGCCAGCTCAATGCTATCCGTTACCAGGATCGAGCGTCTGGGGTTCGCGCGGTGGAGTAGTGAGACGGTGTTGGGATGCAGATGCTGGCCGTCTGCAATGATGGTGTAGTACGGTGGGGGCGGTACATGCGTCTCTGGCAGAGAGATCAAGCCTGCTAGACCTGGTTCGCGCGACGTGAAGGGAGCCATGGCGTTGAGGGTGTGGGTTATTCCTGTTGCGCCGGCTTTCACGGCGGATAAGCCGTCTGCATAGGTAGCAGTGGAGTGCCCTAGGGAGACTTTTGTGCCACTTGATGTTAGGGTGCGGATTAGTGCGGTGGAGGAGAGGAGCTCGGGGGCGAGAGTCACGAGTTTGACACTGCTTTCGAGACTGGTGGTGCCATAGATGGTGGATGGGGGTGTGGTGCATGGTTGGAAGAAGGAGGAGTTGTGGGCGCCTTTCTTGGTGGGGTGGAGGTAGGGACCCTCGGCGTGGGCGCCGAGGAGGGAGGCAGACTGGGAGATTGAGCGGGGTGTGAGAGAAGGGAGGATCTGGAAGGTGTTAGTTCATGTATTTCGAAGACGATGTGCGTGATTGATGAACAAGGTCGAAAGGATGTCTGTGTCCTTTTCTCAAAAGAAGACTGATATCGCTGGACTTTGTAGCACATCTTGAAGAGCAGTATTTATGATTGTTCACACGATATGTTTCGCGCCGAATCCAGGCAGTCTGGTAGAAGTGATTTCCTCTGCCCTACTCTGACGTCAACTATGTGAGATACACACTAACTAACCTTCTGGAACTTCTCCCCCTCGACTGTAGCAACCGTGGCCCAGAAGCCTGTGACACCTTGTGTCGCATAGTATCTTGCAACATCGTCTACCTTTTTTGAGTAACTCGTCTCGTCTTCGAAATGCGTAAAATGGAATCCATTTGCACCATTTGTATGGAGTTCCAAGAAACCAGGTGCGACAATGTTGTCATCCAAATCTATAGCTTCGCCTCCAATGTAGCCTTCTCTTTTCAAAATCAAGCCTGTCTCGTCGGAGATAACGAGGTGGTCTTCGACAAGCTGGCCGTCAAGGACATAGCGGCAGTTCGTGAAGAGAGTGAACCAGCCCGACATCTCTGGGATTTGCTAACGTTTTGAAGTAGCGGGTGATCTGTCAGACGAATTAGTGAAAGACGGAACGGAGGTCGTCTCGAGTTGGACAGGACGATGTGCCCCGCTGTGGCTGAGATGATGCAATTGGTCAATGATCCCGCGACGATCTCCAGTTCCAGTACGTCACGGCGATCAAGGCCACCTTGTGCAATGCGCGAACCAGGGTCGCTGCACAAAAACAAAGCCACAGTGGATTTTTGACCCGTTTCGTTATGTAGCAGGAAGGGATGTATTGAATGTGTTCAAGGGGAAGCGATGAGTGGCTGCAGATTGCTTCTTTCAGGAGCATTGCGAGGCAGATGATGTCATTGTCCGCGCCGAGGCGCACCACCCACTTAAGACGGTCTTGTGAACCCTTATATATTCCTGCTTTTGTGTGCCGCGCGGAGGTCTCCCCGCTTTACTTTATCTCTCTGTCCCCTCTCTTACAGCTCGCAATCCATACTCGACGTGCATATTCAGTTGCACTCAGGCGGTTTGCCTACCTTGACCTTCCAGCTCGCCAATTGGACCCCGCGACAAGGGAGAGCCGAACGTCATGGCGCAACAGCATGCTCCTGGAGGCCACTACTCAGGTCGCAATCCAATCCCGACCGTGAAGCAGTTTATTGAGAACTTGGACAAGGACAAGAAGGATAGAGATGCTAAGATAGATCAGGGCCAGGGCCAGGGCCAGGGCGCCCGACCAGCGGGTCAAGACGTACAAGCACATCAAGTCACGCAAAAGACAGTCTCAGGCACAGAGAAGACGGTTACAGACCCCGTAACAGGCCGCGAAGTCACTATTGCAGATGTGAGCAAAGAGATGATCGACGAGGTCGAAAACCCACATATGGTCGTTCCCAACGCAAATCTGCAGAAGCCTACAGTACGTGCGCTTTCCAGATTTGAGAAACTATAGACTTACGCGAATCAGCCCATAAAAACAGATCCTTCGCAATCACTCGAAGAGTACAAACACGCCCAGGATGTTACAGCTCCACCAGACCCCGTTGCCACCGGCACAACGTCCGATGTCCCAATTCATGGGGAGAAGACAAACGTTTTGTTCCATCCAACACCCACCGTCAGCTTTGAGCCCATGTTCGCCAAATTAGAGCAACGTGGCACTATTCTGTGCGGTGTGATCTTTGTCGCAACAATAGTGGTTGGGGAGCTGTTCGGTGGTGCGCTAATAGGGCTGGTACCACTGGCCATGTGTTTATCCTCTGGAGTGTTCCTATGGATGAAGGAAGTAGTACGCAGTGGGAGAGAAGTTGAATGGTCTAGCGAGAAGAAGCGCGGCGAGATGGTACGCTAAGCTTTCCTACTTCGCATTTCGAGACTAACATGTAAAGGCTACTTTGAACCTACTTCCCGAGTCAGTCGAGTGGATGAACACGTTTCTCTCCATTGTATGGGGTCTTATCAATCCCGACATGTTCCAAGGCGTTGCCGACACCCTCGAAGACGTCATGCAAGCTTCCGTGCCAGGTGTCATCGAAAATGTGCGAGTTGCTGAGATCAACCAAGGCAGCAACCCCTTGCGCATCCTGAGTATGCGAGCTCTTCCAGACGCGCATATGGGAGACATGAAACGGGCAATTCATGATGAGAATAAGAGGACAAAAGATCCGCAAGAAGCTGCCGCAGATGAGGAGGGTGGTGATTACTACAACCTGGAGGTGTCTTTCGCCTATCATGCGGCACCCAGCGGAACTCGAGCATCAGACAAGGCACGCAACATGCACATGCAGTTGGTGTTCTACCTAGGGATTAAGGGTCTCTTTGGTGTACCTCTGCCAATCTTTGTCGAGCTGCAAGGCCTAGTTGGAACAGTCCGACTGCGCTTGAACATGACTCCGGAACCGCCGTTTCTCAAGACACTGACTTTCACTTTGATGGGTACGCCACAAGTGACAGCTGGTTGCGTTCCTATGTTTGAGAAGGCCCCCAACATCCTGAATCTGCCATTGATCAGCAACTTTGTCAATTACGCTATCAAAGCCGCAGCTGGAAGTGAGTTACCTTACCCCGAATGTAGACGTCCTTTGCGTACAATTACTGATGAATACAGTGTATGTCGCGCCCAAATCACTGTCAATCGATATGAGGGCTATCCTACAAGGAGACTCGGTCCAGAAGGACACGCTCGCTCTTGGCGTTATGTGGATTCGGATTCACCGCGCTGTCGGCTTAAGCAAGCAAGACAAACGTGGGTCCAAGCATGGAGGTAGTGATCCGTATATCACTCTCGCCTTCTCGAAATACGGAAAACCGATGTACTGCACTCGCGTCATCACCGATGACCTTAACCCGATCTGGGAAGAAACGGCCGCTCTTCTGGTTAGTCCTGAGCTCATCAAAGCTGATGAAAATCTCAGCGTGGAGCTATGGGATTCTGATCGCCATACATCCGATGACATTGTTGGAAAAGTTGAGCTTTCCATGCAAAAGATGATGCAGCATCCAGGCAAAATGTATCCCCAGGTTTCAAAGCTAGCAGGTATGGACGCCGATAGCGAAATGCCTGGTGAGCTGCACTGGGAAGTCGGATATTTCAGCAAGCCGAAGTTCAGGCCTGAGCTTAGGACGGACGGTAAGAACAGGGCGCTTCCGGACAAGCTGAAGGACGACCCAAGATTACAAGACGACAAAGGTGTGATCAACTCGGAGGAGGACGATGCAGTCATGCATACTCCACCTGACCCTCTCTGGCCCAGCGGTATTTGCAGTGTCGTTGTCCATCAAATCGTCAACTTGGAGCTGGAAAACATCAAGGGCACTTCGGGAAGCCGTAACGGACGCGAATATGAGCCTGCGAAGCCTTATGGAGAGTCACATGAAGAAACTGGTGGCGAACTGCCGACGAGTTATTGCACGATCCTTTACAATGACGAACTGGTATATCGAACGCGTGCAAAGGCAGTTTCATCACAGCCTATCTTCGAAGCGGGAACCGAACGTTTCATTCGCGACTGGCGCTCTGCTATCATCACAGTGACAGTTCGCGATCAACGTCATAGGGAGCACGATCCAATCTTGGGAGTTGTACCTCTCAAGTTGTCTGATATCTTGGAAACATCTTCCCAGGTCACTCGATGGTATCCCCTAGACGGTGGCATCGGCTTTGGCCGAATTCGGCTCTCTCTTCTCTTCCGCAGTGTGGAGACTCACCTGCCTCCTACCATGCTCGGATGGGATATCGGTACCTTCGAGTTTCGTTCTGAGCGTATCTTGGCAACAGGCTATACCCATAGCCCGAAGCTCAAGCTGCGAACAGGTGGCAGTAGTGGTACGATCAGTCGCGCCCATTCTCACAAGCTTAGTGAAGGTGATGGCTACTACTTCGATCTGACAGACCACGATGGCAGGGATAACATCCGTCTTCCCGTGAAGCATCGCTACAGGTCACCAATCGTGTTTGAATTCCACGTTTCAGGCAAGCGCAAGGCAGATGCTTACGCTGTGATCTGGTTGCAGCACTTCATCGACAACGAGGATACTGATATCAATATTCCAATCTGGACTACGGCTCACCCTGCTCGTCTTACTCAAAACTACATCACCGAAGAGAATTGCCATGATGAACCCGGCCTTGAAGACCTGAAGGAAATTGGCAGGCTTCAGTTCCGTGCGCGGTTCAAGGCTGGAACGGACGAATCACATGAAGCGTTTGTTAGCGACAACGATTCTCGTGAAACGTATGAGACTTGGGAGGCTTGCCTCACGGAAGGTGTGCGCACGCGTAAGGTTGAGAAGGAGCTTCCAGAACGTATCCAGCAGCTTCACGAGGAATCTCTCACCAAGGGCCGTGATATTCTCAAGAACGCGGATGAGGAAGAGAAGAGGAAGTGGCTCGCGAAGGACGGACAAGACTGGTCGGGTGCCTTCGGAGACAACCCCAAAGCATACACCACTCATGGCAAAAAGAAGAGAGAGCCAGGTGCGGAGGACCCCGTCCACGACCGTTTCCATCCTTCCTCCGACTCCGACTCCGATGACGGCTCTTCCGATTCTTCTTCTGACCTCGGTATCGAGGACGCTACTACTCGCCGGTCCAACGGCGGTCTTCAGCATCAGCGCACGGATCTGTCACCCAACAACCCCCGGATGTCTCAATCTACCGCTCGCACGTTTGGCACCACGGACACGAGTACCACTACCTCCTCCAACAAAGATATCAATAGGCAAAACAAGAAGGCTGAAGAACGGAAACATCGCGGTCTAATGCAGTGGAAGCCGGCGCGGAACGCGAAGTTCACAAAGGACGAAGCGAAGATCGGTCTGCGTAAACTCAAGAAGAAGCTGACCGGTGGTATGGAGGGTAGACAACCTGGCGTTGAGACGGGTGAGTACCCCATTTTTGCTATGAACGGGGATGTTGGACTGACAAAACGCAGAAACTGGATAAGGCCTTGGTGGTATGTTCTCTGTGGGAAGTTTTTTGAGTTTGTTTCGACAAAGACAACGCATGACAAAAATCGGGTTATGCATTACATAATCATGCCTAAGGCAAACAAAGGAATGGCGGCGAGGGTGCTCGTCAGCGTCCTCTCTTTTTTTCTATACGATAATGATAACGCATCCTTCCGCGGAAGCAGGTGTATGGGAACAGGAATACGCAAATATATGAATTTGAACTTCTTCGGTCTGGTTATGTCGTGCTCGTATGCTCTCGGTTTGGTACAGAACCGGTTGTAAGCCACGTTCCCCTCGTCACTAAACCCCGACAGATCTAGAAGAGCAAAAACTACAAACAAACCATGTCAGAGGTATATCTGTAATACTCAGGCACTCAAGCTCCGGGCTGGCAGAATTCCCGCACACCCAGCCACTGGAGTAAGGGAGAATACAAACAGCCAACTGAATTTATACAAAACAACAGCTTAGTTGAAGAAATTAATGAAGCAATATATCCAGAGAGAAAATCCCTTGTCCTTTCTATCTACTTGTGCAGTTGGTGTATTATCTACATATACAAGATTTGAACATCTTTGCTTATTGCCACGTAGTTCCTGTCTTCATTTGGTATAACTCCTGGTGCGCGGGGGGCTTGGCTAGCCGTGTTACAAGTTACTCAAAAATCATTCCCAAAAGTGTCAAGCTTTTGACAGTTAACCGAGAGCCATGACTCCATACGTTATCAATATCTGGGCGCTCTATTGCTTGCGCAGATGCCTAGTCAATTGATGACGCGGCTAAAGTATCCACGGTCTTGAAATTAAGGCGAGTCATAGTTCGTAGGCAAAGTCAGGCCATCTCGGGATCGTCGTTGCGAAGGCGTGGTTAATTACATTGACCGAACCGATGGCCCGAGCGCTAACGCAAGAGTGAATGTCCTCATCCAGATACGTCACATATGTCTACATCGACAGCCCAATTGTTGCGTATCTCGCGATGCGGATTTTAAGCGGAGTTTGAAGCGCCTTGTTCATCACATTTTCTCGGCTCCTTGATTTCTCCTTTCTTTGCCTTACCGGTGGTCTGGTAAGTTAACTGGGCGCCTACAATGCGGCACAGTCCAACGACGCGAGGATGTACACGAAAGAACCGACTAACTCAGCTACCCACCAAGCGATATCTGAAGACACGTCGACAGCCCATGGATATTTTGCTGCTGCGCCGCACACTACTGCAACGGCGACATGGGAAACGCCCTGCATAGCCGCTGCGGTGTGCATGTGGAGATAGTGTGTTAGTGGCGCGTTATGCATGAATTTTGTAGATTGTATCGCTTAATGGGATGTGTAGGTATGTTCATCAATTGTTCAGTTGACCTGTGTTCATACAACGTGGATGCTGAGAATCTGTGGATATTAGGGCTGTGTATAAACGAGATAGACGCTTAGGCTTCGCGGCAGCGGTAGTTTCATGCTAGATCTCGATCTACCGATGGGCTGGGTGGTAAGAGGTACTAAGGTATCCCCTGGATATGTTCTTGGATTGCTGTCCACCGCACAGACTGTCTGTAGGCAAATCTCGGCGAGTTACTAGAGAAATCGTAGCTAATGGAATATGTTATTTGGAATTCACGTAACTAACTTCCTAGTTTGGCGAGGTTCGAACACACCCGGGGCATACGATGTAGTAGTGTACTGCTATCTTAATGATCATCACTGCGCCTTTGATGCTTTGTGGGTTAAATACTCCGTGGGCCAAGACTTTGTCCATGATCTTTTCTCAAATCAGGAGGAATTGGATGAGTTGGCCTGTTAAGTATTTGGAATCAGGCTGAGGAAAGACCCACTGGTAAGAAATCGTCCTACCGCATCATGTCATCCCAGGAACAGTTGCCATTATGGCTTGAGAGGAACACCGTGTGTTACAGAGTCCATAATGCGACATGAGAAACCACTGATTTATGTCTCTTGGCTCGGGTCAGATTCCTTCTCTCGATTCTCACGGTCCACAATTTCTGCCTGGATCTGCAGCTACCACATTCCCCTTCACCGGTTCTGGTCTAAAGAAGTCAAGGTCACTGAAATGTCTCGAAATCTCTGATAGCCTGAACAAAATCAGGTTCTACGGAGTTCGCCAGCGTCTATCCAATAGGTCTTCAGGCAAGGGCATTTACTGCCGAAGCAGGTGACGCCATTTCCATGCATGCAGGCCCAACATAGTTCTGCACTATCACCTGGCCGTTGCTTATGCATACAAGGCATGCGGAGTGATCACTTAGACCACTCAAAAGCAGTGGAGTCAGCGGGTATAGCGACGGTTTCCGCCTGGTAGCTCGAACGTGGGAAGGCAAGTGGTCGGAGCTTGTGCGAACATTGTGATGGCAACTGGGTCGTAGCAAGAGCTGGACTTGGGTGCCTCCATCTCTATGGAATGATTTCATTGGTAAAAGGTCATACAGCATGTTCGGCTTATTACCAGAGCTGACGTAGAAGTTCGGTCATTTCGCGCTTGGAGGTTGTTGTAAACAATTCAAGTTTGTTGTTTTTAACTATAAAGTGTCATATGTGGCAGTGGCGCAAGAGTTGCAGCATCGAGCCCTGGGGAATAGCTGACGCGCAGCATGTCACATATTCCCACAGCCCGACCGCGGTTCTGGAGCCTATCAGCAGATACTTCCGCGCTGATCATGCATAGGGCCTGATACTATGTGGAGTGAAAGAAAAAGTGGCTGCCTGACTTGGCACGACATCCATCAAGCAGCTCTCACTATGATTCATTATACCCATCGATCCCGAAGGATTCGGCTCGGTTCCGCCTGCAGCTCGCCTAGTTGTGACCGTGTGGACTTTTGAACTTCGACGGATATGGCTCTTGGGAAGAAAAGATGATCACTTCACGATTGTTGAAATATTTGCGCCACCTACGTTTCTCTTCGTTGATCAGAAATAGTATACAGAAGATGATCCAATGTTACATCTCCATTGCGGTTGCCACTCAGTCTCTAGGGCCACCAACCCTAATAGCGGTTCATAACGTTTAAAAACAATATAATACAGCCCGCCCAACTGAACCATCAAAATTCCTCCATAAGCGACCCATACAGGAAAGAAAGAACTTGGAGAAATGATCCATGCATGTGATTCTCATCTCGACACGCTAAAAGATTTTCTCAACGGCTTTGACGGGGTGCGCACTAATGTCATCATTAGCGTTATGCGGAAACATAGAAACGACGGGTGAGAGTGACCTGACAATGGGCACACAGCGAGTCAGCACTATCTACCCAGCGATAGTCTCGAGGATGGTCCTCTCTCCTTGCATTCTTGCATTCGAATTTGGCGTATGCACCGCCTGACGCCCCAGTGGCTTTTCCTCCGGGAGTGCCCTGAGGTCGGGGATTTTGGGCGTTCGCGGACATGGCGGCGTTGTGGCGCTGAGGGGTCGAAAATTGATATTCGGGTTGATACAGAGGATTACAAGAAAGGTTGTGAGAATAGTTTCTTGAAGTGATGTGACGTGATGCAGTTGTTTGAAGAAACGTTCTGGAGCGAGTATGGGTTTTATAGTTCTGCTAGGTGGTAAGTGCCTCATATTTCAAGCTCCTGCTGACCATCTCGTTAGAGAAGGTCTGTGTATCATCCGCCGGCCCGCGTATGTTTCATGCATGGTCAGTGAGCATGGCACTTTTGCAACAACCCGTTTGGTCAGGGAACGCCACACGACGTTGCCGCACCAAAGCCCATGCCACTCAGGTGTCTGAGCTTATAAGCTTTTGAACATCACTTTATCAGAGTGTCTCATAATGGCGAGGAAGGATCTCGATGGTATTGTTCGAAACTCTGGGCCTGACTCGGAGAATATGAGCTGACACCTTCGATGACTGCAACACGGTAGAGAAGCTTGTAGCGAGTTTATCGATTAGTCTTGATCAAACAACATGAAGCCACAATCTATAGTCTATCTTCGGTGCTATCACTGCGATATCATTTAGCGAGGATGATCATGTATACTTTTCTGATTTGCGTATAACCATGAGAGTTGACGTCCCGCTCTGAAATGTGAAAGGTATAATCAAACAAGCAGTCGATTTTCGATTAGCTGGGAAGCGAGAATATGTTCCATGAAAAACGATAGTTGATTGAAAGACTCGGAGAAGCCAATCTGTACTTCATGATTCTGCAGAGTCTACAGGGAAGGTCGGTTGCAAGCCTGATACGCATCCAACTCGATCATACTTACGTCAGTTTCCAATACACCTAACAAACGCCCATGTTTACTGCTTAGCTATCCAAATTCTCTGAGAGGTTGGATGGTAATGCACCAGCTCCCAAGCAGATTTGCTTACTGCCCCTGCAGTTTCTAGGACTGGCTGACTGCAAGAGGCATGCATGCCTGCTATGCCTCGCTCTCTCCCCGCACTCATCCCTCGTACACGCACTTTCTTAGTACATTGCCTAGATTTTTAACGTGACACACTACCACCGAAGAACAAAGTCCGCCGAACATGAAGTCCACCACTATCGAACAGTCAATAACAGTGTGTCTAGACACAAGCTGGCATTGCCATTCAGAAATTTCAAGTGATGGCTCGCACACTCAGGGCGACATACGCGCACTTGGTAAGCCAGTCTGTCTTGCGTTATCCTCAAACTCAGAGAATGGCAAACTGGCTGTTGCCAATCAGCTGTTCCTGGACAGGTACCGCGATACCATCGACACACGTTTATTGAATCGAAATGACGGCATCTACCCACTCGCAGCAAATCATTTTGTGTGGCAACGTAGATTGGAAGACACCTACGTTATGCTGGAGTATCCATTTCATACGCAAAAACGCACAAGGTGCCAGTACATTAACGATGTATTTACCTTCTCAACTGACTATCATGCCAAGCCGCTCCGCTCGAAGAATTGGAGGATGAGGAAAAGGAAACTAAAGAAGATGGCGATCAACAGCAACATCAACCACGATGTATAAAACCTCTAAGCCATATTTGGTATCATAGTAGAACCAACTATGCAATGAGCTTAACTGAACTACCAAAAGTTTAGGTAAAGCCTTCCATGCTCTCATATAACAAGGGAGCTATGGCATCTTCCAGTAGAAGGCGATGGATATGCCCTAAACGAATGTCGGTATGCGCTCGTCTTAACTTGAAACTTTCGACAGCCTAGAATTTTCAACCAGCTAATGGTTGAATTCGTAGACATTCGTTTGCAAAAATGGATACATCGATTCAAACTTCAGTTGTAGAACGTACATATAGTTTAGCATGTATTTTCGGAGTGATATCCTTTGTAAATATGCCATGGATAACTTCCTGGTGCTCTTCACCATATAGTATGATTCAAACGCCATAAAGAGATACAATATAATGCCGTTCGGGTTTAGAACTATATCCCTTATTGATTCCACATACGACAACGAGGTTGTTCATCACGAGCTGATCTGAGGAGACAAGTACTACCACTTGCGCCATGATATGTAAGACGCTTTTCAAGTTTGGAAGCAGTCACGGTAAAGCGTTAGTATAGTGATGATATCTCATAAGATATGGACAAATTTGAGCCAGGTATCGTTATTGTACACGACCAATCACCTTCTTAAACATACTCCAACTCCAACGAAGCATTCGCGCAAAGTGTCTCACACGTTACCCAGGCGGCGAAGGAGTTTGCACAACCTCTTTCAATCCTCACGACACCAACCCATGGTGCTGAGGGTTCCTGAGAACTTATTCCCGAAAGATTTCATTTTGCCTGATACACCAGGCAGGGTCAGCGGTGTGGTTGCTGGGCATGTGCTGAGAGTGAGGGGTGTGTTGGGCCAGCAATAAGATGACCAGATGAGATTATATTGAGAGTATGTCTACGAATTACCAGATTGCGTTCGTATAGGCAGACAGGCGGATGGTTTGCTGTCAAACGTATCTGTGAAGTTGCAAACACATATTTCAATTTGACCTTGTGTGGGATGTAATTGATAGGAGTGAGGAATCGGCTGAGACGGATGTGAATATTGATAACGAGTCTCGGTGACGAAAGAAGGCACGCCTTATTTTCGAGAAGGATGGTACTACGTCGATCTAGTGTTGCCTGATGTTGAAATGTTGAGAACGTGGCTAGCTACACAGCGATGATGTGGTATTTTGATTTTTGTGGTTTGTAGAGCGGGCAAGCCTTCTTCTACAATTCTATCAAAGATCGAGCATTGTTTCGGACTGTGTATCGTGAGATATTCTCACCACCTTCGTGTGGGCCGGTTGAGGATAGTTGGAGCCGGATGTGATATACCCGAGCGCATTTGTCAGCTTACCTATGCTTCCTTCTCATGGGATTGCTTGTTAATGATTGGTAACCGTTTAATAAAACCCATGTGTTTACGTGAGACCAACGCATACCAATATCACACTTGAAGTGATTTGGCAATGTCGGTGTACTTGGAGTGGGATAGATTTGTAAGGCGGGGTTTATATGACGGACTTCCGCTACGGAACTCCTCCGCATCCTGATTGGTGTAATGATGAGCTATGAACATATAAAAGTGGTCTTTTGCGTCGACTTCAAAGAACACCTACACATATCTTCCTACAATTGTTTCCAATTCAGTAACTTCACAACATGTCGTCTTCCATCAAGCCCATCAAGATCTACGGCAAGCACGGCCCCAACCCGCCCAAGGTGCGCATGGTCGTCGAGGAGCTCGGTCTCCCATATGATCTCGAGGATGTCCAATTCGCCGATATTAAGAAGCCCGACTTCCTAAAGATCAACCCCAACGGCCGCATGCCAGCTATCTACGACCCGAACAACGACTTGACGCTCTGGGAGTCTGGCGCAATCCTTGAATACATCACCGAGAAGTACGACACGGAGAACAAGATTAGCTTCGCGCAGGGAAGCGACGAGTACTACCTAGCCAAGCAATGGCTCGCTTTCCAGGTAACAACCCAATTGTGGTTTCGAGGCAGATGGCTGACATGGACAGATCTCCGGCCAAGGTCCATACTACGGCCAGGCAGTCTGGTTCACCAAATTCCATTCCGAGATGATCGAGAGCGTACAGAAGCGATACTACGACGAGATCAAGAGGGTGACCAACGTATTGGAGACCCATCTCAAGACACAGCCTAAGGGCCAGGACGGACCATGGCTCGTGGGAGGGAAGTTCTCGTATGTCGATTTGGCCTTTGTGCCGTGGCAAAACATCCTTTCCTCCTACTTGGAGGGCAAGGTGGATACGAGCGAGTTCACGGCCGTGGCGGAGTGGCTGGGAAGGCTTAAGAGCCGCCCTGCGATCAAGAAGGTCTGTGAGGACCCGTAGATGGCTTAGAGAGGAGGTGCTTTGTGAAATAAATAGTAGATAAGATATAATTACTACTTGTAACAGGCATATCTGTCCCGCTCGATGACGTCACCGTCAAAAACAGCGTAGAGCTTGTCTTTCGCTGTATATTACCCTGCGTGTTATCCTCTGCATGTGTATTCAACACTTCAAACGTGCATTGAGTCTTAGGGATTTCCGCTCTCCTGACAGCTAGATATACCGGGAAGCCATGGGTGATTACGCGTTGATGGCATGATTCGATCCACTCCACATTCGGGTATACGCTATGTCCGCGGGGTCGTACATCACCTCCGTCGACGCATCCAGTTCTCGACTTTCTCGACGGCGCGCTGGATGCGGCTTTCGTCGTCGGCAGTCGCTGACGCGCAAGTTGTGATCGCGTCCCGTCATGCACAAGTCAATGTTCAACTCACACACCACACCTACGATTTGCGCACAACATGACTTCCCTACCAAAACCCCTTCGCGTTCCGTACAAAACAGTACAGAATGTAGACCTACCAACAGACATCTATGTCCCTGAGCAGTCCAGCAAGTTCGCACCGGTACTCATCATGATCCACGGCGGCGCTTTCATGCTCGGCTCCTCAGATCTCAACAACAAGGACCAGATCCAAGACTGTTTGGAGCGAGGTTGGGTCGTCTTGGGGATTGAGCATCGCCTTTGTCCTGGTGTGAACGTTCTCGAAGGTCCTATCACGGATGTAAGAGATGTGCTAAAGTGGACACAAAACGGTGGACTGGCAAAGGCGTTGAAAGACAATGGAAACAAGGTAGTGCCGGATGAAGAGCGTGTGGTGGTTATGGGTACAAGTTCCGGTGGGCACTTGGCGTTGTCTACTGTATGTGTCGTCTTGCCCTCTCTTTTTCGCATGCAGAGTTTGCTAACACAAACAGGCATGGGATGTTCCCAAACGCCCCCTCGCGATTCTCGATTTCTACGGCGCAAAACACTTCAGAGACCCATTCTGGTACGAAACTCTAGACAGCTTACCCGAACACTTTCGCGAACCCCGGCCCGAAGGGGAGATAGAGGGTCTTTATAACGAGAAAACAACATTCGTCGGTGGTCTCTCCTTAGAAGGACAAGCCGCCGATCCCTCGGCACCCAATCCTAAAACTCGACAAGCATTTGCAATGCACCAGATTTCTACTGGGAAAGTGATCAAAACCATCTGGCCCCAAACGCCAGATAACTTGCAGCTCATCGATCCAGTACTCAACGTTAATAAAGATTGGCCGCCGGTTGCTATTGTGCATGGCACGGCGGATAAAATGGTGCTTATGCGACTGAGCAAAGAGCTCGAATCACAGCTCATTGCCCAAGGCGTCGAGACGGAGTTTATTGAAGTTGAGGGGGAACCGCACACTTTTGCTGGGTCCATGAAGAAGGGGTCAAAGACGTGGGATACACAACGCAAGGGATTTGACTTCTTGGAGAAGATCATCACTACGTCTTACAATAGCTAGGTGTGTTGATGCAGGAGAGAAAGGGATGTTAGTTGTGCGCTACAACCCAAGATTACGCCTCATTGTGAAGATAGGGCTGAGCTCAAGGTTTGGAATCCGAGGACTGCGATCTATGCATGCCCCTAACAACAATCCCGTTGCTCCATCTTTTTACGTCGGTCTCTTATTGCCTCCGATGTGCGTCGGTACGATCGATGTACAACGACGTGGTCGGGATAGCACCCCACACTACGGCCAAGCCCGCTGAATGTGGGGTGGGATCGCGAAATGAGGGGCTCGTTTACCCCTCCATGAGACCAAAAGCATTTGGTGTCTGTACGCCAGCTCTGATTTGGCGAGCAAAAAGTCGGTACACCCTTGTCCTGTGTTGTACGCTCGGGATCATGCGGCCGTACAACCGTATGCGAACACGAGTCAACAGGATAGGTAGAGCTCGAAACAAGCATTTGTCAGAGAGCAGTGGCCCCGTTAAACGCAGGAACATGGCCAATGGTTCGTACAATGATGACCCAAAGAACGTGAAGCGGCACCGTTATGGACCAGACTTCTTCCCGGACAACTCTAATGATCACCCGATCTACCCAAGCATGAACATGGTGCATATGTCAGTTGTGCGATCCCGAATAGTACTGTCTAGCTGTTGTCCGATTACGGTTGTCGGTACATGATCGACTGGGTTTCGTACCAGGGCAACGACTTCGCAGTCAAGGGTGTTAGTACCTCCTTCTTTCCTAGTTATTAACTAGAGTCCTCACGTTTGCTACCACCTCTCCTCCGCCTTTCCTACATTCCCCTTCCCCAGCCACAAAACAACTTGAGTTCACTCCTAAAACACCTCCAACATGTCTATCCCACGCGTAAACGAGCCTCTGGGGAAACCCTCACCTTACATCATCCCCGCCTACGAGGGTGAATCGATAACTATCCCGGGAACACGTTCATCAATCCGCATCCTTGCTTCCCAAGCCGAAACCGATAACCTGCTCTCCGTTTTCAACATGGACGGCACGACTGGAGATCCTGTTGGTTTCCACTATCACGATTACGCACACGACGTCTTCATGTGTACACGCGGGAGCATGAAGCTCCAGCTCGGAGACAAGTGCAAAATCCTTCGGGCTGGTGACTTTGGCTACGCGCCACCAAAAGTTGTCCACAGCCCGCAATTGATGGACGGCGTGACTGAGACGATCGGCTGTGTCACACCTGGAGACTGGGTCAATTTCTTTCGGTTCGTTTGCGAAAAGTATGACGGTGTCATTGGAGACGAATTCGATAAACGGAATACGGGTGCGCACTTTGGCTCTAAGATCATGGAAATCAAGGCCAAGTACGATGTGCAATTCGTGCGCGACCACGTTGCTGCTGAAGTTTCTGAATTCGACGCCGAGGACTCAAAGCTACCTGATAGCCCTGCGGCATACTTTTTGAAGGCAGATACCGGGCCGGCGTATCTGCTTGAGGGCGTACTGGCGAGGCCTTTTATCACCACAAAACAAACCGCACACCCAACAGGGAACTTCGCCGTTGCGAGTATCGAAGGGAGCAGCAAGTTGCCAAACAGCATTTTGAGCAAGCCTTTCACATTCGAAAAGGTTCATCAGGCATTCTATGTGATGACTGGCGCCATTTCGATAAAAGTTAACGGCGGTGAGGCCAATCTGGTCCGAGTAGGAGAGACAGCCTTCATTCCAGCTGGCACCGAGGTCTCGATTGAGTTTGTGGACAGATATAGCCGCTTCTGGTCTTTTTCGAGTGGCGATGGGTTGGAGACATTAATCTCTGAGGCTGGAGGGGCATATGAGGGCAAGATATTGCCTGAGCAGCATCAGGTCAGAAAGACCGATGCCGATGCGATTCGCAAGACGGCAGAGAAACTCAACCTCAAGATAAGCATATAAATATAATTGTCAGCGTTTCTTCATTAAAGTCGAGGCTCACCAAACCATGCACCTGACGTCTTTCATCTTTCAGAGTGTCGATCGTTGCTAGGTGAGATAATTCCTCCCACAGAGCCTCAACCGTACTAGCCCGCTCCAGCACCTCCAAACCGCCCGGCATACACCCACTCTCCATCGTCCTGCACCCGCCACCGACTAGCATACACACAACATTTTTCCCCATCCTCCTGATCTTGCGTAACGTCCAGGTACCACTCCTCCCAAATCGGATCCCACTCCCAATCCTCCCAACACCCCAACAACTCTGCCGCTCTGTCTGGCCCGAGATTCGCTATGTGCGCCATACTCCTGTGCTCCCAGACACCCCTCGCTTGATTAAGGTGCCACCTCGAGAGGTAGACATAGGTTTGCTGCTCAGGGATGTGCGTGTGGAATTCTTTCCACGCAGGGTCCCAAGTCCACGTATATGTTGAGAAAGATGAACGAGGGGTCAGTTGGTGTGAGGGGTGGGAGTGAGTCACTACTTGATCCAGGAGGTCGATGGCGGATTTGAGATCAGATATGTCGAGGATCGCGGAGCTGGCGGTCTGTGAGGAGGTGGGTTGTGGATGCCATTGCGAGCGTGAGCGGAGAGTGTGTTCGATTGTTTCTAGTTGCTCTTGTAAGGCGTCGACTTGAGTCTTCACGTCCTCAGTGGCAGGTATCAAAGTCAGAAAGACTGCTCCATTGTCGTCTTCAGGTGCCTTATTTGCGTAAGATTGGGCATCACTACTTGGGTTTCAGACGAAATGGCGTACATGATCTACAGGCACAAGAACACAGTTCTGTTTGCCGCTCTCTATATCTATCTTGAAGCTTTGGAGTGTGTCCGTAAGTGCAGACACTGCTCTAGAAAGGTCATGCGCTGTTTGATCATTCGTCGACGAGGAAGACATAACGACGAGAGGGTGTGGTAACGAGGCAAAAGAAGTACTTGTTCAGTATTCAAGTGATCCAAGTCTCTAGGAGAGGTAGTTGTTACGAAGGGGAGAAAGCGAGAATGTTCTTTTTGTCAACATCGCCACCGAGCTTCGCAGGAATCATGACTGATCTACCTAGCAATTCAGAGCGTGCATCTCGCACGTGAGAACCATGAGCCCCTCAGCGGTCAGCCCATGTAAGATCAACGTATGAAAATCACACTCGGGTGTAATAGATGTAAGGTCCAACGAAAGCATGCAAAGTTGAGGTGTCAAGGTTGGGAGTGGACCGTGCACTCATGACGCCTCAATCGCGACCGCGACGCGATCCTGTGTTCGACTCCCTTACAACATCCAAGACCCCGTGATCAGCTTCGATGTCGGCCATCTGCAAAAGGATATGCAACAGTACATCGCGTGGTGACATACATGGTTGTCACTATGGCGCTGCGAGGAGGGTTCTTTCAACGCAATAAACGCTTCGGAAAGCACAACGCTTCCTTTGGTACGTATATTTGTTGATCTTGCGGTTCCTCGACGAAAGATGAATTACCTTTGAATACAGGGGGTCATCCAGTAGGTCAAGGCCTTCTTAGGGAACATTGTGAGTTTATGACACCAATTCAACTAATCACCCACCAACTGGGCCAACTATTTCACTCTTTGCATTTCCACAATGCACAGCAATCGCGGTTTATATGGCGTTGGCGGCCTGCTTTGTATGAAAACTTTGTGCCAAAAAACCCCGATCCCTAAAATCCCTTACGACCACGATGAGACCATCAATGCCCGTCTGGGACGCTAGCATCGACCGTCCTACTTTCCTTTCGTCAAACCTAGCACTTCCTGAAGTGATCAGACGAGACTCAGCATGCACCTCGTCTAGTATTACAGATCTGGAGTCAGAGAACTCCAGTACCGAGGGTTCAATACTTATTACCGCGACAAGCATCGCTGAACAGGTCCAAAACACTCAAATCAGGATATTTCTCAACGGCGAGAATCTCGCAACATCGCCAATAGCGCACGTTGGACAATCACACCGACAAGTTCAGATCCCCGCCTCCCTTCGACCACGGAATAGCTCCATCCTTCAAAGTCGAAACGCACCATATACTCAACCTCTTCGGCAGAGGTACACCAACCCCGGACCTCTATATTTAGGTCCAACCGGATACATCTATACGCCTCTCTCCGCCCGTACCCCAGAGTATGAGTCGTTGCGACATGACTTTGGGATTCGCTTTCGAAAGCATGTGGCACCAGCCCAAGTCATGTTGAATTGGGACTTACTATGCGATGAAGATGCAACGCCAAATTTGTACAGGGAGCGGCTCGTCGAGTGCCTTACCCCTGGATTCCTGTCCAAAAAGCCGAAGAAGCTGAGAGATGAGGATGAAGAGATAAGTGTTGATAGCAAGAAAAAGATGGGGTTGTTTGCCAAAGTGAAGAATTGGGTTAGGAGAAAATTTAGTAAGTTTGCGAAGGGAAGCAAGTGGGGATGTGAACTACGATAGAAGTCGACATTAGGATACATAGATTGGTTTGGAGTATCTCTATGTGTTGTTACGTACTCTGTACACTACCTGCGTTTAGGCATCGCATCTTCACATCGTTCTCATATAGCTCGACGGACACGTGTGAAGAATTCACCAGAGTCATTGTTCGTCGACTTCAGTAACGAAGATTCACAGTGCTTGTCTTACAATTTCCTCACCATGTTGCCAGGTCGAATCACTGCAGTATATACCCCAATACCAAAACACTCTTGTCGTTATACTGAGTAAAACAATCATTCCAACTCCAAATTCTAAGACACTGACAACTGCTTCAAACACATAAATAATGTCCAGCTCTCCCACAACAGACAAAACCTCCATGTACCCTGAACAGTTCTGGGCCCTTGTGACCAGGCCCCATTCTCAGGAAAATCGCAACGCTCAGCGGACTAAAGACACCAAAGAACTTGAGCGATGGCTGAACTACGCAGATGAGGAAGATTATAAGCCAGCAAAGAAGACAAACAAAAGTATTTCCCGTCTTCAGACCAGTAGGGAGGATGTGCAGATGCCATGTCGTTCGCGAGTCGACTCTGTTCAATCCGATGCTAGTGCTCACACATCTTCTGGCTCTAACGCAGATACTCTGAAGGAGATATGGTCGAGAAATGGGGACGAATCTGCATCTGCAAAGGGTTCGGCGCGTATAGAGGGATTAGGATTCTTTCCTCGATTTCCGCTCCCGTCGTGTGCGCGTGAGGAAGCAGATGAGGAGTGGGCAGATGAGAGGCTGAAAGCGGAGAGCGAGGCGCGGAATCGTGGTGTGATGAAGAAGGTGGTGGAGTTCTTTAAGGGTGTATAGAGCAAGGCGTTGATGGGTCAGAAGCTTCGAAAGAAAAAAGGCATGATGAGATCTGGAGTTCGTTGCAAAACGGACAAGCACACAGTCGTGATTTTTGGAGCACAATGAGTCTTTGGTCCCCACGCCTCCTCAACCGCCGATGCAACGATGTAGAAGCTCCAATCCATTCAAGTTCATCTCTTCGTTTCCGCGTGCCATAATGCTATACGCCAAAAAAACGCCATGTATGCCTGCACTACCCCGTACACTACTGTACAACCGTCCAGGAACCTTTCTTGTCTTCCCATCATCTACTAATACCCCCGCATTGCTTCCCCCGCCTTCTTCTCGACATAATACCCCGGGTCTGGCCGTCTCGACTCGCGCATCTCAGTCTTTGTCATCGCATGATCCACTTCCTTGACGTCAACGAGCTCTTTGATCCTCATAATTTGACCGGCGACAGATTGGCTGACGGGGTGGTAAACGGTCGTCATGCGTTTGCGCAGGCCGAGCGCTTTGAGGACACCTTGTGTTTTAAGGGGCATACCGATGCCGGATCGCATGAGTGTTATGCGGAAGTAGGGCATTGTGGAGGTTGGGATGGATGGTTTGGCGCGTTTGCGATGGTGGGAGTCGAGCGATGGGTTTGACGGCGGGAGGCGGATGGCGGGCGGAAGAGCTGTGCGAGAGTCAATTGAGGCGTCACTTCATCATCTCGAGGAGTCTCACCTACTGTTTGTGTGGCTGGCGCTGTTTGATGCCCGTTTGCGCGCTCACGATCGCTACCCTGGACTTTTTCGATGTCGGAGCGACGAGCGAGTTGTCCGGATGCGGTATGGTCGCATCGTGGAAATGTGGGGCAGAGGCTGATTCACGTGCGCGCAACCTTCACTCCTCAGGCTCACCTTTCAGCAAGACCATCCTCTCCTTGGAACCCTGTGATTGGATCGCCATTTTTATCCATTTCCTGTATGGGAAATAGCGGTGAGCGTGTCTTTACAACCTCATCCGAGAATAGGCATGCGTCTGCTCCCGAGACTGCAGGCTGTCTGCTTACTCGGGAGGGAGCCAGCATCCCATGTCTACGGTGATTGTAACGTATCTTCGATTAACGAATGGGAGTTTAAGCGGAACTGCTCTTCCCGAAGCGCCCACCCGCTTGCTTGTACCACATTGGCATAGGAAGGGATACAATGAAATGACTGATAATATTGCAGCGGCAGCATGCTTGAATACCTCATCTATCTACGGAGGAAGAGATGGGCAATGTACGGGTACAGCATCGTAAACACACGTCTTTGACTTCCCTCTCTTTTACCCTTTGAGGTTGTCGAATCGTTCTCATACAGTCTTGCGTTTACCTCATTACCTTCTGTGTCTATATGTCAGCCAAGTCCTAGAGGCTCTCGTCAGTGGGGTGATGCATTTTCGAAACTCTTCTTCTCGGCCCCCAACGTCACCATTATCAGTGCCCGCTGTGCCACCGACCCACAGTCATCGACGATGTTCCACGCATCGCTCATGCATGCGCAAATCCAGACCCTCTACATTCCCAATGGGTAAAAGTGGGCCTGCCGTCGCCGCAATCCAAAATCTTGCCGATGGCGTGTACTACACCCGTCTCTAGCGAAGGTCTAAACGAGGATCCTCGCCAACGACTCCATGCTCATAAATCTCCAGAGCGTTGGCCTTCCGTCGACCCGGTCTTGACGTCCTGCATCATCCCAGACGCACAGCCATGTTTCTTTGTTTAATATCTCATGGCTCGGTAGGGTGCGTTTGCCAGCACTCAACTCCGACGGGTATTCGACTTCTCAGCGGAAATGTAAACGATCATGATGGACGGGGAAGGGATTCGACATGGCCGAGCAGCTTTTGATTCAAATGTGTTGAACCCGTTTGAATGGCTCAGTTCACCGCTTCACTCTTCTCATAGTATTAATACAGCAATGTTCTATCTCTAGTATGGCTCTCATTCGACATCCACCACCGCGTTCATCTCATCCTGCCGCCTCAGCATCACTGCGCCTCGATTGCTACTCGTTTTCAAGCGTTGTCCTATCAATTCTCCTTCTTCCAGTTGAACTCACACTATTTGCCACCCGCACTCCCTCATACCCACCATCCGAACCCCAACAAGCCTCAAACCCCCCTAACCATCCACAAAATGACGAGCAAGTCCCCTCTCCACCCCTCCACCACCAACCACTAACACCCCATAGCAGTATACACCCTCTCCCTCAACCACCCACTCATCCCCACCCCACCCCCCTCCCCACCAACCTCCATCCCCCCACTCGTCTACCGCGTCCACCGCGCCTCAGCCCAAACCCGCTACGCCTTCGGCACAGGCTTCAGCGCAAAGAACCAAACCACAATCCTCAACTACACATCAGCCCTCTCTCGCTTCGGGCTCGCGCACCTCACGCAGCAGACCAACATCTCCAGCCCCTTCATCAGCGTGTACGACAGCCTGGCACACGCGGAGCGCGTCGCTAGGTTCTTCAGCGAGAAGTACGGCGAGGATACGTATGTTGTTACGGTGGATACGCGGCATTTTGCGAGGGGGCCCGTGTTTCGCGCTGCGGACCTGCTGAGGGATGGGGAGGGGGAGGGGAAGGAGAAGGAGAAGGGTGAGGAACGTGCGCAGTGGCTGCATTGGGGGGAGTACCTCGTTATGTATCGGATTCCCGCGCAGGCGATTCGGGATCAGACGCCTGTGGCGCAGGGCGAGAATCAGAAGTGGAGGGCTGTTGGGGTGATTGGCGGGGCGTAGGCGTAGGGCCTTGGGTCTGTGGGACTGAGAGGTTGTGTAAACGGTTGGATAGGTTTCGTGGGTTGCTTTTCGTTACTTGGGTTGGAACTTTCTTGGGCGTTCTTCTCTTTCTGCATCGAGTATCGGCTTGTGGTGTTGGGTTTGGGTTCATCCCGGTGGGATGTCGATATAGTTGATTTTCTTTCCTATTTTACCTAATTTGGTATGATGCTACATGGATATGTTTACTTGTTATGGTAGAGTACAGCTCTTTAATCACCACTTCGATGTATTTCTACCTTGTTCCTCTTGACCACCTCACTAGTCATACGAACAAAAGAAGCAAGGCAGTGAGGTCGTTTGTATGATTATTGGTGAATTTGTAGGTTACATCTATAGAAAGTGTGATCTCGATGCTTTCAGGCCGCGCGACCATATATACTCAACTACTAGCAGGAATACAAATCTCAAGTCTTCCCTCAGACTACGAAATGTGTACTCGCGCTATCTCTAAGTCTTATCGCAGTATTTGGAAGACGTATACCATTAAGCTGGGCCCTTTGTGCTCCTCTTCTGAGTATGACCTGTGCAGCACTCTTACGCGTCATGTCAGTACTGAACAACGAAACCACCTTCCTCCGGTTCCAGTCCGCTTGCCGCGCGCAATTCTGCTCTAATCGAGCTAGGGCTAAAGACATCATCCCCATCCGTCATGTCCTCAAAGTTTTCGAGCATCTCGAACCCTTCTCTGCCTAGGGCACGCAGCCCCTGAACGATGTTATCCATTCCGTCTATTCTGGTTAGCAAGTTGTATTACAAAGGAATTTTAGTATTGGTTGTTACCTGCTTCATCTACATAGTAGCTGATATTATAAACGAAGTCAATATCCAGCTCCGCAAACTCCTGCTCAAGCGTCCAGAGATGCAAGGGAAACTCGCCAGCAGCGTCGTCGTGAGAGTAGTTAATGAGAATCGAATGCAAAGTGCGAAGGAAGTCGAAGTCACTCATGAGCAGCATTAGAAGTTGATCGTCGTAGTCGATATCCCAGGGCAAAGCGGATCTCTCGTAATCCAGGACCAAGACTTCGAGATTGGGAGGAAGTAGTTCTGGGAGCGATGTGAATCCTTTCCACATGACGTCCTCATCTCTGGCTCTATCTCGCTGTTCAAAGAGACCTATGGGCTTTCCCATAATAACACTGAAGTTGATTTCCAGGTGCTTGAGCACGCACATTTCGGCAAACACGCGGGTGGGCGGAAATCTGTCTGTCAGGTCCATGAAACTGTCGTGAGAGGTGTCGAGTACAAGCAGCTCTAAGGTCTTGCAATGAGAACGTAATGCACCGATGACGTCTGTGTACCATTGAAGTTGGTCAGACGGGACGGAAGAGGCGGTGTACCTGAAACTCTTGACAGTCTTACACGCAGCCACGAGTCCAGAAATGACATCAGAGGAAACCGACGAAACATGAAAGTGTATGTTCTCGACCAAAGAAGAACCGGGTGGTAGTGATTCAACAGTACTTGCAGATGACGTCGACATCCAGTCAAGATTGAAGAACCGAAGGGATGGTAGCAACATGATCTGATACACATGCTCAGTGGATAACTCGGTTGCACCTAGAGTGATTCGCTTGAGCATGTGAAAGCCATGATTCGTGTTAAGGTCAATGGAAGACTGATGGGCGGCGTGAAGGATAGGATCGAGCCATGCTATATCGCTCAAGCAGCCCGATATATCCGTGATTTCTAACGCTTGAAGAGATTCCCGAGAGAGAAGGATAAGGAGACCCAGATCAATGCTTTCGGGGATAGTTGCAAATAGTTGAATCCACGTATGCTCGTATGGTAGAGATAGACCGTGAAGTTTTGCGGACAGTTCTTCCACGTTTGTGCATGAATTGTATGTAGATGGTGAGCTTTCTGTTCGAAAGGTGGCGTCAAAATGTATCTTCTGAGGACGGACAGAGAAACGTGTAGATGAAAACACTCTCTGTAGAAAACCACGGATAGGTCCCTTCGATCCTGCGGAATAAGTACGATACAGGTAGCGCATTCCAAAAGGATAAAGGTATCGGCAGGTTCGTGCTAGAGCAGCGAAGGCTACCCGAGCATGGCGTTCGTGGGCAAAGTCGTCCAGCTGTTCGCAGATCTCCAAGATAAGCTCGTCTGGCAAAGGCGCAAGAGGGTTCGCCATGATACTTTGCTGATGGTTCGTACTGGCATCCACTGACGCAGCTGTCTCGTTCTCGCATTCTGTGCTGCGCAGTATACGCCGCGATTTAGGCTACAAGTTCTTAACCACACATCCAAGTGACTTGAGGTGAGTGTAACAACTTACCAAAGTTTTACCGTCTGCGTGGGTCGTGTGGACCATGTTTAGTGTGGTGAGAGACAAAAGTGTTGGAGTGGAATAGACGAGAACAGCGGGGCGCAAGGCAGGCACGAATCCGGCGTTTGATACATGACTAACCACAAGCGGTCGGAACGCGGATGGGACGCGATGTCACGTGTAGAGAGCACGTAAAGGCAATTTCGAGACTATTAACCGATCGGATGTTTTCTTGAGGAGAACTCGATATCGAAAGACTGCTTTTTGCTTCTTGTATCCTAAAATAAATAAATGAGGGATGAGTCATGAACGATGTGGCACACAAGTAAAGAATAGACGTTAGAATATGAGAAGTAACTTGTATCGGACCGGATTCTGCAACAGAGCAACATTGTAGGGTAATAGAAAACGCCAGCTCTCATAGTGTATTCAACAGGACATGAAACATGCATTGGCTGATCGACTAGCCAAACCCTGGACCTTGTAGTACATATATTTATTCAACAAATGGCTGGCTGAGCGCTGAGCGAATTCCAGAAATTACAAAGGAAGGTCCCGTTGCGCGCCTTCCGCCTTGGGCGATTACCAGATCCTCAGGCGATCAAACAAACCTTTGCAAGACCTCACGCTCCCGTCGGTGGGTGTGACGACGCGCGATTTGTATTTAGTGAGTATGACAATTGGCAAAATACACCAATACAATCGGACCGAAAGGTGTTGTGCCTCAGAGAACAGGAGCTCAATCCATGTAGGTATTGTCATCCCCAGATCGACCTGGTGCTTTGAGACTGGTCTCGACGAGGCTCCTGTGGTTGTTGCAGCGTCAGGTAGAGTTGGCGTGCAGTTGCATCCTTCGTGCCCTGGTAATTAGACGTGGCTGAAACAGCGGACACATGTTGTGTCACCGTGGAAACGTCAACCAGTGGTACAAGTATCACTGCTTCTATCAGGTGATAGTAACCGCGAGTTCATTGTGATCTGTGGCTAGGTGTCAATCAGTTACTCGTGCGGCTCGTTGATTGCGTTTACGTAGGGGTGTGGTGAGCGGTCGTGGCACGACAAGGTACCCCAGATGGATTGCTGCGCACCCTAGCTCCTACGCGGCTGCTCTCGACGACAATTTGTGCTCCTGAAACACGGCCGCAGACTCACTCTAAGCACAACATTTACTTGAGGAACGCCTCACAACTGCAACCAAGTTGATATTCGACGGGCTAATTAAGCTCCCGCTTAAAGTCTGCACGGAGCCAATCCCCAGATTTCAAGGCGTATCAGGGGCAATCCTTCGCCGTGCAGCGTCCGCCCGTCCCGATAGGTATCTTCCTGAATCAATCTGAGGAGGCCATAAACCCCCCAAGACGTCGACTGCTCGTGATGCCCTCGCGCCCATCCCACCCACGATAGTCCGACACGTCAGTACGTCAGCACGTCTGGCGCCATGTCGCGCTGGAGGCCGTTACCACGAATTGCCTTTGCGATATGCACGTATCCATTCCAGCCCTCGTCGCCCGCCGACCTGCCACTCGAGATTGGCGACGAACTGTACATCATTGAGCAGGGGGGGAAGGATGGCGCCTGGTACCGGGGCTACTTGGTTGCGCCGCCCTCGCTGCTGGCGGGCCTGACGAGCGTCAAGGGCCAGACACTGGAGGCGCGCGTCTTCTCGGGCATCTTCCCGCGCTGCTGCGTCGAGGTGCGCGAGGTGCTGGGCGAGCGGAAGAGTACCGGGCCAAGCGAACACACGTCCAACGGCGTCATCACGCCCACCGAGAGCACACGTACCGCCTCTCCCGCCGCGAAAGGCGCACACCGAACCTCCAAGACCGACGCAGCCTCCGCCCTCACACGCCGAAAGTCGAACCGGAAGCGCGCCGGCAGCCACGGCTCACAATGGACCGCTCGCGAGGAACACCTCCAGCAGCTCGCGCTGCCGCTGTCTCCCATATCAGACCCCACCGCCCCGCGCCCCCCTGCGCCTGTGCCTATGCTCAAGATTGGCGACGAGACGCCCACATCAGCCCAGGAGCCCTTGGTCGACGAGATTGCGTCCTGCCTGCGCGAATGGCACTCGACCAAGGTACACGAGCTGCTGCTGGCGCGGAAATACAGCGCCCTGGATCACATGTCAGCACTCGTGAACCGTCTCGACACAGCGCGCCGCCAGCTGCTGCACAAGGTGCTGACTGCAAAGGAGCTGGAGAAGGTGCGCGAGGCGACCGTGTGGGATCTTGTGGCTGGCAACAAGATGCTTTCTGGGGATGTCATAGTGCGGAGCCCCTCGCAGCGCGGCCGCATATTGACAGGAGACGACTCGGCCATTGATATCACCAGGCTGCAGTCAATGATGAGTTTGCTGGAAAGCCAACCTACACCTCAGGCTGACGAGCACAACCTACATCATCTTTTCGTCAGCCTGAAGAGTGTCTTGGGTGACGTCGTGGCGGGAGCGGCCCAAGTGAGCATGCACCTGTGTTTGAAGACGCCTGGAACGGCATCGCAACCTCTGTCGGAAGCATATTCGTTTGATCTAACCGCACGGGATGGAAGCGCAGTCTCATTCGCTAGCGACAAACTACGTTCGCTTCTCGTCGACCTTAGCTCAACTGACATTGGAGAAGGCGCAGGCTCCGGTACCGGCTTGTATCTTGTGTTTCGGTTGATGACAAATGAGCCCATACACATGCCAATTCCTGGAGAGAAACCGGGCGTGCCCACCGAGAGCACATCCAACAACAATTCAGGAGTGCAACCCTCCCAACAAGGAAGTGTCAAGAGCGGGAGGCGCAGTGCCATGTTTGGTTCCAAGCGGACCAAGTCAGCCAATCCCAGAATGACTGACTTAACCAGTGCCTCGCGCCCCAGCACCGAGTTGAATCGCTCTCAAAGCTCGGAAGTCCGACCAAGCTCTGCGTTGTCCAAAACCAGAAGTCTGTCCAAAGAACAAAAGACGCTGAAGAGGGCTGTCGCAGTTGGTGTTTTGCGCGTGAACCAACTGATCCAGGCTGAGTCAGAAGCTGATCAAACTGTGACTATGTGGTCTACGGCAGCCCCTACGGACGAAACGTCGGAAGATGACGTTGGCTGGGATAACTTTTTGACCGACGTCTACCCAAGCGCAAGTGGAAAGTACAAGAAGAATGCCCCTATCAGTCAGCTGACGCTTCATCTCAAAGCTTTTGTGCATCCGGACGCCGACGGCTTGATCGAGAGGACGCCGACATTGCTTCAGAACATCAAACAGACTAGGAAGATTGGATTTACAGGCGCGCCGACTAAGCCTCGCAGCGACATTTACCTCACACTCGTCGAGCCTTTCCTCCCAAAGAATGCATTCTTAGCTCACCCCAAAACCGGGACAGTGCCCCTCATGCAATCTTCTCCGATGGGAAACTTGCAACTGACTATCGAAGTCCGAAAGAGCTCAGGGGAGCGTATAGAAGGATGCATTTACCCTTCAACCAACAGTACAGGACATACTGCTTGGCGCACAACAGCAGTGGAGCGGGGTGAAGGCTGGAGCTCGACTATTCGACTTGCCATTGACCCACAACATGTTCCTGGATCCCACCTCGTCATGAGCGTTGCAGATGCGCCCGGATTTCCATTTGCGCTCTGCTGGATGCCTCTCTGGAACCAAGATGCTTTTGTCCGAGATGGAGACCATGCCCTGTCCTTGTACCGATATGACGAATACACATCAGGAATGATCGCAGGAAAAGGAGCCTATCTTGGCCTGCCCTGGAGCGTGAAGAAGAAGGACGAACATGTGATGGGTCCGATGGCCGCTGTACATGTCAGAACATACCTCTGCAGCACTAGATACTCGCAAGATCCCACGATACTAGGTCTCATCAAGTGGCAAGAACTACCAGCGGGGGAGCTCGTTGGACTGCTACGACGATTCAACTTTGTTCCAGAGATTGAGATCGTAAAGCTGTTGAGCGAAGTGTTTGACGCTCTTTTCGCCATACAAAACCACTACGCTGGTAGTGATGAGTATGAAGACTTAGTTTTCAATGCCGTAGTTTTTGTCCTGGGTATCGTTCATGACCGCCGCTTCAACCTCGAGCCGCTGGTTGATCAGTACGCACGAACAAAGGTGTTTCATTCCCTTGTCACATCTTGTCTCATGCAGAGCTATGGTCGGCTATTGTCCAAACCTACAGATTCCGAATACTCGCGACGACTGCGGGCCACCTTCAAAGTCGGAAAGCTCATCATGAAATTCCTCGTGAACGCTCGAGAGAAACAAAAAATCAAGGAAGAGAGTATAGGGATCAAGAACCGGGCCCAGTTCAAGAAGGAAATGAGAGGCTTGTTCACATCACTAGAGGATTTGATGAAGAATCCATCCCCTGTACTCGTCGGCACCAAAACCCTGCTAGTGCAAAACTTCCATTCTTGGCTACCGGAGCTCGAAGGCTGTATGTCGACCAAGGACATCTTCAAACTGGCTGAGAGCTTCATCGAAGCATGTACAGCAGTTCAAGGCAAGCTCATACTGTACAAGCTGCTACTCATCCACCACATTTCTGATATGCAACTGTTCCGTACACAGGAAACCCGCCGTATCCTCCTCGTAGATACTGTGAAATGGCTTGCGCCCTACTGGGGTAAAGTAGAAACTGTCACTGATCAATGGAAGGACCAAGTGCGCATTTGCTGCTCTGTCATTGCAGCTCAAGTCGAAGACCTGGGACCCGAAGCCTGCGAGTACATGCCCAAGCTGGTGGACTCGTACCGCGCGATACAAGCAATGCCTCGACCAGCCAAGAAGACACTATCGCTGTTGTTTCCTACTGCCTATCCGTTTCAGACTAAGCCAGCTACAACTGAGGCGAATTTCGACGAAGCCTTAGCGGAGATATCGGCTGTTCTCGCAGCATTATCTGGCTCACCCGTACTGGTTCCACTGGACTGGTCAAAAGATGATACATCAGACTTCATCTCCGCTTTGCTGCAGGTCTACATCTCAATCCTTGACTGCGAAGCATTTCCACGGTCATGGCTGAGTGTCCATATCTTTCATCACAAGGCTACGATGCGCGCTTTAGGGAAGCTCTTTAACAATCTTACAGAGTCTTTCCTTCCTTTACCTGACGAAGCAGACGTTTTCAATACCGAGATTTGGCGTGCGTTCTTCGATGCGCTATTGAAACTTGTCGGCAGTGATGCGCTTGCCCTGGAGACTTACCCCGAGCAGAAGCGGCGAGCCGTCTGGAAAATCGCTGGTGATGTTCGCGAACACGGCGCGGAGTTGCTCCAACGCAGTTGGGAAGCTATCGGCTGGGAAACCAGTGCCGAGGACAAGAGCCAGTACGGCCTCGAGAAGATGGGCGGCTTCCAAGTGCAATACGTGCCTGGTCTTGTTTGCCCGATTGTGGAACTATGCCTCAGTGTACATGAGGGCTTGCGTAGTGTAGCAATCGAGGTTTTGCAGACCATGATCGTTAGCGAGTGGACATTGAGCGAGGATTTGTCACTCATTCAAGCAGAAATGATTGACTGCTTGGACCACTTATTCAAGACGAAGCACCTCACCGAGGCTGTAATGCAGAAGCATTTCATTCAAGAGCTCGCGGACTTGTTCGATCCGGTGACTCAAGATCCAGAGGAGCCATTACTTACAGCAGTCCGAGACCTCATTGCGATAGTCGAAGAACTACTGGACCTCCTCGTTGCCGTACACAGCACGGAAGCAACGGGTGAAGTGTTCCATGTCATGGACACCTTGCACCTGATGGGATTCTTGCGAGACATGCAGAAGGAGGATATATATGTTCGCTACGTGCACCAGCTTGTAGAGTTGCAAGTTGAGGAACAGAACTTCACGGAGGCCGGACTCGCACTTCGATTACACGCCGAAATGTACCAGTGGGACCCTACCAAGTTTGAAGATGCTCTGGTCGAACCTCATTTCCCACAACAAACCGCGTTCGAGCGGAAAGAGCAACTATACTTCCAGATGATCGAGCACTACGAGAACGGCCAATCGTGGGACAATGCATTGGGGGCTTACACGGAGCTTGCAAACCAATACGAGCACAATGTGTTTGACTTTGTCAAGCTAGCCCGGACACAACATGCCATGGCCAAGATCCACGAAGGCATCGCAAAGGGCGAGCGCTTAAATGCACGCTATTTCCGGGTAGTCTACAGAGGGTTGGGCTTTCCAGTTGGCCTTCGCGACAAGCACTTCATTTTTGAGGGAACTGCAAACGATCGATTGGCCTCGTTCACAGACCGCATGCAACAGCAACATCCTTCAGCGCTGATAATCAATCCCGGCGCAGAACATGATGTTGAGGGCCAATACTTGCAAATTTTCCCCGTCAGCCCGCAAAAAGATCTTACGCATCCAATCTTTCAGCGAGCGAAGGTTTCTCAATCCGTGAAAGACTACTATCTCCTCTCTCGGCCATCACAGTTTACATCAGCTTCGCGCCGCTCGCCGTCCAACGTCGCAACAAAAGAGATGAGAGTCGAGAAGACAGTGTACACTACATCTGAGGCGTTTCCCACCATTCTGCGAAGAAGCGAAATTGTTGCCGTGGGCGCGGTGACGCTTTCGCCGCTGCAAACAGCTATCGAGCGCACCTCCCGAAAGACTACAGAACTTACTGCCACTGAGCGAAGGATTGCAGAGGGTGATGATACAGCCTTTAACATGCTGACTCAAGAACTCATGTACTCGGTTGACACTGATCTGGAAACATGCGTCGCAAACTACCACGAATTGCTTCCTAACCTACGAGATTCGATGGCATCGGAAGAAGAGGAATCGGATGTCCAACAGCCACCAAACCCACTGGAGAATGCATTGAGGGTGGCCTTGATCGACTATGCTTTGGTCATTCGCCGTTGCTTGGCGTTGTATGTCAGGCCTGCTCAGCAAGCCACCAAAGCAGACCTAACACAACGTACGTAATTCCGTTTCAGCTAAAGTAAATGACGCTAATTGTTATGTAGGATTCGAAACGGTATTCTTCCGAGAGCTCGCCGTCCTAGCGCCGGCGAATGTGAGGCCGTCTTTACAGTCGCCAGCAAGTTCATGGGTTGATTCAACAATCTCTCGATCTCGAATGGTTAGCCCAGCACTCGACGAACAAGTAAACGGGACAAGTATCACCTCGTCGGTGCTCAATGGCAGGCCAGCGCGACAAGACAAGAAACGGCTCAGTCTGGCCTTCTTGACCAAGGGTGTCTTGATGGGCGATACCGACAAACCCAAGGAGCAAGATCCCAAGCCATCTTTGGACTACGCGCCTGACGCCGACTCAGAGACGTCGTCGGTGCACAGTCGTGGCCGCAGCAAGAGCAAGGAATACTCGCGCAACCGGCTGAGTTTGAATTTCCTTCGCCCTACTTCTCCGCTCGAAGCATTACCAAACTTCTCCACCTCGTCAATCGCCAACGAGACAGAAGACGTCGGTCGACGTAGCCTTTCCCGTGCTCCAAGCTACAAAAGCAAGCCCGAGACAGACGGGGATGATGTGCAAAGAAAGGGCAGTATGAAGAAGCGGCTCAGCTTTATGAACATTTCCAAGAAGAGCAGCAAGACTAGTGTAAAGAGCCGAGTCGACAATGTCCTGGTGGAGTAAGGGAATTTTGGATAGCTTCAGAGATGGTCGGCGAGTAAGTGAAGGAATGGTTGAAAAAGGAAGCTGGGGCAGATGTTGGGTGGATTTCAATTGCGCTTGGAGGTTCAGTCTTTCTTGCATTTACACGTTTAATGCTTGGATACGGTTTGGGATGGTTGATTTTATATACCCTTTCATTAGTCTTTTGGGAGAGAGGTGTAGAATGAAAGGATTCTTGCGGATCACGTGCTTTATCGATAAGAATTTTCCAATCCAAAAAAGTTCGCCGTGGACTTGCGAACGGTCCACCACGACAAAAGTGTTGCCCGTCATGTCGCTCGAGGAGAGATTGACCAAGATTCGGGAAAACCCGAAGCTGCAGGGCATGCAGCAGGTAAGTTGTTCTTCTGCGAATTTATATGTGGACTGGCGTTGACGTGCGCAGACGCATGTGGTGCTCTCAGCCCTCGAAGATACGCTGCGCCTGCAAAAGTCCGAGTTCACCCCAACAGCCTACTTTGCCGCGTTATTGGCGCTCCTCGGCCGCCAGATCACTGCCCAGGGCATTGTGAACAAGGACACTGCGACGGCCGTCATCTACCTCCTCGACCTCATCACGCCCAATGTCCCCGCCCCGCTGCTGCGCTCCAAGTTTAGCGAGATCCTCACGAGCATTGCGCCCGCCCTCACGCACGAAGACGCCGATGCGCCGCTACTACGATCGTCGATAGGATGTCTGGAGTCGCTGCTGGTGGTGCAGGATGCGCGGGCTTGGGAGCTGCCGGCCGCGCAGGTCAGCCCACGCAGGGCTGTTGCGGGTCTGCTGCAGATCGCCGTGGACCACAGGCCGAAAGTCAGGAAGCGCGCACAGGATGCACTGGCGAAGGTGCTGGCGAACCCGCCCCCGAGCCCCTCGCTCGATCACCCTGCGGCAGACATGTGCGCTGAGACTGGGCTGAAGATGCTGAGCGACATCGCCGAACTCGCGGCAAAGTCGAAGAAACACAAGGGCAGCAAGGACGCTCAGAGCAAGGACCCGGACCTCATACACTCACTGCAGCTCATCAAGACGATTGCGACATCGTCTGGCGGCTGGCCGAGCAGGAAGATCGACGTATTGTGCGAGCTCTTGTTGAACATCTCCAAGTCGAGCAACGAATTTTTGACCATGGCCGCATTCGACATCTTTGAGGTCATCTTCGCGGGCATGGCCGACGAGCTTGCGTCTGCGAAGCTTCCCCGTCTTCTCGAAGTCATTTCTGAACTACAGCCCTCGAAGAACGACTCGCAGCTGCTGCCACCGTGGATAGCAGTTTTATCGCGAGGCTACGAAGTCTCCGCCCAGATTGAACCTGAAGACACGTTCGCGAAGCTGCCCGAGCTGTTCACCAGCATCTCCGAGTTCCTCACTTCCTCGTCGCACAACATCCGCATATCCGCTTCCGAGGGCTTGATCTCGTTCCTCGCCAACATGATCCCCGAGAGCGTTATTCTTGAGCCGTCAGTATGGGACGAGAAGATCTTGGAGAAGATTGCAAAGGCTGCACAGAACCTGCTGAGCGTCAAGTTCCAGGCTGCCTGGATGGAGGTCTTTAACGTGATATCTGCCATGTTCGAGACGCTTCGATGGCGTTCAGATCCCATTCTCAGATCGGCTCTGAAGACCGTTGGCGAGTTGAGAGGCAACGAGAGTTTCGCTGGCAAGAAAGAGGCTGACGCTGTCATCTCGAGCGCTATCGCTGCCATGGGTCCGGATGTCGTTCTTGAGATCCTGCCATTAAACCTTCCGCGACCACCGCCGGGACAAACAGGTAGGGTATGGATGCTACCCCTTCTTCGCGATTCGGTTCACAACACCAAGTTGGCACACTTCCGGACTGAAATGGTGCCGCTAAGCGAGCAGCTCTATCAACGAGTCATCGATCATGGCACACGAGAGAAGACGATGGAGATCAAGGTCTTCGAGACAGTCGTACAGCAGATCTGGTCGATACTGCCCGGATACTGCGACTTGCCATTGGACCTGGTCGAGGCTTTTGATCAGACCTTCTGTGAAATGTTGGCAAATTTGCTCTACGGACAGGCTGATCTGAGGACGGATATCTGCAGAGGGCTGCAAAACTTGGTTGACAGCAACAAAGTGATTGTGGAACTAGATGGCATAGAGGATCTTGTAGCCCAAGCACGGATCTCCAAAGCTGATGCTAAGAAGAACCTTGAGCATTTGGGAGGGTTTGCGAGCAACATGCTTGCTGTGCTCTTCAATGTGTACAGCCAGACCTTGCCCCAGTATCGAGGTACTATCCTGAGGACGATCAACGCGTACCTCAGTATCACTCCTGAGAAGGCAAGTTCACTCGAGTATGGCTAGAAACGCAACTAACAGGATGTAGGAGCTCATGGAGACTTTTGAACGCGTTGCAACAAGCCTCGAGGTTTCAGTCCCAGAAACTGGATTCCAAACACAAGCAGACAAGCAAAAGCAAGCCACCGGTCAGAACAAGATGCCGCCAATGAGCCACACTCTTATGGACTTGATCATCACCATTTCTCTCTACCTCCCGCGAGACAGCTACGGCTCGCTCTTCCGCATGGCTGAAATCATGATCAACAAGGACAACGACCCGCAGCTGCAGAAGAAGGCGTACAAGCTCATTCCTCGTCTCGCAGAGTCTGAAATGGGTAGACATGCGCTGAAGGAACGTAATGCCGAGCTTCAACAGCTCTTGCTCAACAGTGCAGAGAAGGCATCGGCGCCTGCGCGAAGGGATCGTTTACTCGCGATCCTGCAAGTCATCGAGTCTCTGCCCCAGACTGATCTCCATTTCATTCCAGCGATCCTTTCTGAGGTCGTCATATCTGCGAAAGAGACCAACGAAAAGGCACGAGAGGCGGCATACAACCTGCTTGTCGCGATGGGCGAAAAGATGGCTGAGGGAGGCCAGGTTGTGCAGACCAAGGTACCCAACATGCCTGCTGACGCGCCAACTGTAGAAGCGTCGCTTGAAGAGTACTTCACCATGGTGTCAGCCGGTCTGGCAGCTTCTACTCCCCACATGATTTCGGCATCCATCACTGCGGTAACGCGAATATTGTACCAGTTCTACACACGGATATCGAACGACACGATTACAAACCTGCTCGAGCTCATGGATATGTTCCTCCAGAACCCGAACCGCGAGATTGTGCAGAGTGTGCTAGGCTTTGTCAAGGTCGAAGTCATCTCCCTTCCAGAATCTCTTGTCCGTCCACGCCTGAAGACGCTGCTTACGAACCTGATGGTGTGGAGTCACGAGCACAAAGCGCATTTCAAAGCCAAGGTGAAGCACATTGTCGAGCGCATGGTACGAAAATTCGGCGCCGAGGAAGTCGAACGTGCTTGTCCCGCCGAAGACCGCAAGCTCATCGTCAACATCCGCAAGACGCGCGAGCAGCGTAAAAAGAGAAAGCAGGCAGCCGAGGAAGAAGGCGAGGCACCAGCAGAAAAGCCAAAGGGCAAGTTCGAAAGCGAATACGATCAAGCCGTGTACGGCAGCGAGAGCGAAGACAGCGCAGCCGATTCCGAAGACGAGTTCGTCAAGTCACAGAGCAAGCAACAGCAAGGCAAGAAGGGCGGCCAAACCTACATTGTCGAAGACGAGGACGAGCCGCTCGACCTGCTGTCCAAACGCGCCCTCGGCAATATCTCCTCGACTAAACCGCTCCGCCAACGCAAAGCACCCCAGAGAATGAAGGCGCAGACAAACGAAGACGGGAAACTCATCCTCGGCGCATCCGATGACGAAGACGCGCCCAAGTCCAAGTCTAAGAAGAACGCCGACGAGGATGTCCTCATGGATATTGACGAACAGACTACATCCCTCGAAGCCGGTATCAACGCTTACGTCGACGCGATCCGCGGTCGTGACGCAGCGCAACGCGGGCAAAAGGGTAAGCTGAAGTTCAGCAACAAGAAGCGGGACGATGATGAGATGGATGTTGACGACGGCGACGAGGCGGAGGCCAGGAAGGCGAAGTCTGGCAGCGGGATGGGGAGGGGCAGTAGCCAGCGGAAGGGACTGGGCGTTGAAAAACAGAGGGGTGCGAGCGGAGGAGGCAGAGTGGAGAAGAGTTGGGGTTCGAGAGGGCGGGGAGGAGGAGGAGGAGGTAGAGGCGGAGGAATGAGGGGTGGTGGTGGTGGTGGTGGACGAGGTGGAGGACGGGGTGGCTCGAGGGGTGGCTCAAGGGGCGGCGCAAGAGGTGGCGCGAGGGGTGGTGGAAGGGGATTCTCACGCAACTAGTGTTGTTGATCATGGTGTGAGGCAAAATATCGGCGTCGGATTGATTTTTTTACTACGTATGAAGAAATAGATACCATTCTCTGTGATGCAAACATACTCTCTGCGCAGAAAAAAAGCATGTCACGTTCCATATAATTGGGGAGATTCAGGCTCAAAACAATGCAATGCAGTTCGGACCGAGAAACCTGCGTTCCAGACTTCCCAGTCACCAGCCCCATCCGCTTGACCTGCATTTTGAAGAAGCAAACACACCCATCATCATCAGCAGCAGCAGCAGCAGCAGCAGTAGTAATCTCACCATTCCAGACCGTTGGACATTGCGAACATGAAAGCGTCTTCGGTAGTGGCCGGTCTCTCGTCCAATCGAAATACCAGGAACCAAGTTGCAGCGAAATCATGCAACAGCTTAACAACTACAACCAAGTTTAGTGTAAAAATCTTGTGCCTAAATTTTAAGCTGTATACGCCTTGCGTGCAGTTTAACAAATTGCAATTGTGTAGTTTTGCAGCTTGTAGGAGCCACAAAGAATGCAGCTTACTTCCCGCTTTTTTTGCAGTTGACCGAGAGGCCGGTCTAGCTAATCTCCCTCCGCCCATCTCTCTGAAACACCACACATCTCACTTCACCCGATTGATTAATCACGCGAAATTCCGCGCCCCGCTTTTCTTTCCAACGTCGCACCGCCCTGGGGGGGGGAATGGTGAATTACAATACACGTGCGTTGCCCTCGTCTCAAACACACGCACGCGCTATGCTAGGTCGAGGCTGGCGCGCGATGTGAAACAGGTACCGAGCACGTCGTTGGATCGCGTGTAACCTTGCGCGTCGACGAACCGGGAAAGACAGACGGCGCAGCGCAAATGCGGATCAACGGCGTTGCGTGGACGCGATGACGTGCGCGTTTAGGCGGCGGCGGTGTGTGTGGGGAGCGCCGCGCAAGTGAGCGACGAGGCTGTGTGCTAAGGAATACAGAGATGGTCGGCTTGTTCCTTGCGCATGCGCATCCTTGTCGTTGTCTGGTTACCTACCTAGCGATGGGATGGGTGTTTGAGTGGGAAATCTCCGTTATCGCCTGGGGTGGTAACGTAGCGTAGCGTGGCATGGGGGTGGGAGATTCGTTGACGATGGACTGGACTGGACTGGACTGAACTGAACTGGGGAGGGCAGGCGGTGGGATGAGTGGAGGGAAGGGGACGCGTTGTTTCATTTCGATTTTGAGGGCGAGGGTTGGGGGTGTGATTGGTGATTTGAGGGGGGACATGGTTGTTTGATTACGATGGTATGCTGTTCTGTTTGTACGCCGAGTGACTGACTGACTGATTGATTGACTTGCGGGAGATGAGATCTAAATGAGTAGTAGATGGTGGGGATGGGGATATAAGAAGGCCCCTTCCATCGCCGAATGTAAGTCCATTCTTGATACCATATCATATCATAATACTCACACAGGCTCTGCTCTGTACACACTCTTTTACACACGCGCTCTCTCTCTCTGTCTCTATCTTTGATCTTAATCCACCGTCAAACTCTTCCGTCAATCGAATCTTCGTAATTCTAAACAACCCAATCCAACCTCAACCGCAAACATGAGATTCTCCATCATCGCCGCTTCTTTCATCGCCGCTGTGGCCGCCCAGTCCAGCGCTGTCGTCGACGAGACCTGCTCGGCTATCAGCACCATCACCGTGACTGCGTAAGCTCCTCCCTCCCACTTCCCACTTCCCACCCAGTTTCTAACCCCCCATAGAACCATCACGGCCTACCCCTCGCACACGCCCTCCGCCCCCGGCTCCCTCACCGTCCCCTACCTCACCAGCGCCGTCTCCGTGCCCCTCGGCGGCACCGCCGCGCCCTACCCGTCCGTCGCTGTTTCCGTCCCCGCGGGCGGCGTCGCGAGCCCCGTTCCCTCTGGCACTGCGGCCGCGTCCGGTACGGGTTCGTACTCGGCTCCTACGTCGGAGTTTACGGGTGCGGCTAGTGGGTTGAAGGTCGGTGCTGCGGCTTTTGCGGGTGTTGTTGCTATGATGTTGTAGGTTGTTGGTTGATGGATGGATGGGGTGGTGTGGGGGTGAATGGGAGGGGAAGGGGGAAGAGATGGTGGATGTTGTTGTGTATACCCTTTTTGATAGACGGTGTTTAGTTTGGAGGTGAAGATATTCGGTGTTTTTATTCTATTCTGTTGGTGAATTAGCTCAGTGATGTTTGTGTATTGATCTTTGAGTGATGGAGAATAAGTCGATACTTCGCTGCGCTAGCACTCTAAAGTAAAGCATGTCTTGGTGTTTAGCAGGCTTAATCGCGTGTACGTTTGTTGATATTCGTCCCGTCTACTTACTGACGTAGATCTTGCGGCGGGCAATATGTATCGCGAAGATGAGAGGGTTTGGTTGGTGAACTGATTTGGCATTGCAGTAACCCAACGCTCTACACACATAATCAGCTAACAAGAGGGCCCTGCTCCTCCTTAGTCACAAGCCACAAAATCTTCCCAAATCTACCCCATTCACAACGCCCAAACACCAAGCTTTACCCAGAAACACACCCTACTTCACCCTCCCCATAATAGTCCCTGCCTCCATCCCCCCCTCACCCGCACTCAGCGCCGCCTTCGCCTTAACCGCATTCAACATGCTCCTCTCAAAATCATCCCTAGACCTCAGTACGGCCTCCACCCACCCAATATGCAAATCACGATACGCCTCCTTAAACTCCTCATACACAAACGGCACCTGCGCCTTCTCCATCTGAATAAGATTGAGGAACGACTCCACCACGCGCCATCGCTGCACGATATCACGCCCCTGGTCCCCATACGCCTTGAAGAACTCAAAAACAGGGATAAGATCGTCGCGCAGCTTGCCATCAAACGGATCCGCGCGCCTGAACTTAGCCGATTTATTGCGCACAGCGGAGAGGTACTGGACGAGGAGTTCGTCAGCGAGGGAGTCGATGAGGATATCGCGGAGAGTGCGATGAATCTGGTCCTCAAAGTCGCCGAGGTAGTCTTTGAAAGTCGTTATAATACTCGCCATATCCGTGCGCTTGTACCAATCGGGCGTGAAGAAAACGGGCAGGATGGTTTTGAAGTCCACGATGAAGATGAGCTCGCAGAAGACTTTAATGCAGTGCGACGAGATGTCGATGTATCCGTTTTGCAGCTCCTCGGTCTGGGATTTGTAGCGGTCGGCGAGGTAGGCGGGGGAGACGAGGGGTTCGACTTCGCGGGCGAAGACGGCGACGAAGGAGGCGCGTCCGTGGAAGTCTTCGTCGTCGATGCAGATTATCTGGTCGTTTGCGATGGCGATGAGCCATTCTTGGAAGACGGCTACGCCGTCTTCGGATTGCGTCGGGTTGGGGCCTGTGTATCTGGCCTTTTCGTCGTCGATGAGCTGCGTCCACCCGCGTTGACGGGATATCAGGGCGCGGAACATGGCGTCTACTACGCCCTCGGCTACGTCGGCGCGCTCGCTGCTGGCTGCTACGGAGAGGTTCTGACTTAGCATTGTCCATACGTCGCCGAGTGACTTCGTCTGGAAGATGCCGTCTGGATTAATCTCATAAGCGTTCTTGTCTTGGTCTTGGAAGGCTTTCCTGTCTTGCGAGTTGATGCGCTCCATGTACTGGTCGACGGCGTTGATGATGACCTGGCGGTAGGTGCGGATCAGTTCAGGACCGCGGTTGTCGATGACATGGGGCTCCAGCTCTTCTTCTGGAAAGCCCAGTTTCTTCATCTTCAGGTAGTATTTGTCCACCCAGTTGATGACGGCGAGGAGGTACTGCGGCCCCAGAGCTTCGTCTTCGGCCAGCTTCATGAGGAAGTCGTGCATCTGCCGGTGATAGATGTTGGTGTACGTCTGGAAGATCTTCCACTTCTTAGGCATCAGACCAACCATGCCCAGCTTGACAGTGTTGAGGTTGTTGAAGAACCACTTGAAGTACTTTTCGATCTTCTCCGGGTCCTCGTCAAACTTCTCCCTCGCCTCATCCATGTTCGCTGCGCAGACGTATTCAATTGCCTGGATGAACTTGTCCTTGTAGCCGCGCCGTTCCTTGGGTCCGGCAGAAATGGACTGGAAGCGCGAGGCGAGGTCTTTGTACTCGCGTTGGGCGTCTTGTAGGGCCTGGACTTTCTTGTCCGTCTTCTCCTCCTCCTCGACGATGATTGCCAGCCTGACGACTAGCCCCTCGTTGCCCGACTGGACCAGCTCGATCAAGTTTATGCACGCCTCGCCAATGTGCTTGTCGAACCACTCCACAACGTCGTCCAGGCGCACAAACAGGTCCTGGACTGTGACGCCATTCTCAAGGGTCAAGTTGTCGATGAGCTCGGTGGAGGCATCGGCGGTCGTCTTGATCTGGCGCATAGCCTCGTCGCGAATATCCCGCAACTGAGTAAGACCATGGTGAATATGCAGCAGGTTGGGCTGGTTAGCCGGGTCCTCGTCGTCGCGTGCGAGGAGGAACTCGAGCTTCTCCAGACGGTCCTCAAAAGACTGGATGTCATAGCGCATCTTCTCGACCGACTCGAAGTTCTTGTGCGTCTGGGCGACGAGGTTGATGTGGGGGAAGTCCTGGATCATGTTCTGGGCCTCTGCGCACAGCTTGTCGATCTTCATCATCTCGTCCTTGATCAGATTGACGGTGCGCTGGCCGTCGGTGATGCTCGTCATGCCCGCCTGCGTCAGTTCCAGCTGCTCCTTCAGCCCGTGGCGCAGCTGCCCGTCGACGGCGGCCTTTTTGCGCGTGAACTCGGCCTTGAGGGCGGGGATCTTGTCGAGGTCCTCCGGGTGCCGCAGCAGCTCCGCGAGCTTGGCTGTCGCCGACTCGACATCGCCCATGGTTCTGCAGTGGAAGGCGATCCGGGGGTCATGGGTTCATGGTGGGGTGGATGCAACTCGACTCCCTCGACGTGTTGGTATTGGTGTTCGTGTACGTGTCTGTGTTCGTGGTCGGACTCGGACGTGTCTGGTAGTCTAGTAGTCTGGGGATGCGGAACACTAGCGCATGCGGCGCAAGAAAGTCCCCGCCTCGAGATCCAAATTCGTGATTCACCCGCCAACACATCCCACATTCACAGCACACACACACACACACACACCTCCACCATGGCAGACGAAGAGCTGAACCTCTACGACGAGGTGGAAATCGAAGACTGCTTCTACGACAAGACGCTGCAGATCTACCACCACCCGTGTCCGTGTGGCGACCGCTTCGAGATCTCCCTTGCCGACATGCGAGACGGCGAGGACATTGCGCGCTGCCCCAGCTGCAGCCTGATGATTCGTATAATCTTCGACGAGGTATGCGCTCTGATTTTGTTGGTTTTTGTGTGAGTACTGACACGGCATAGTCCGACCTTCCTGCTGAAAAGACGGATGCGCCTCAGAGCGCTGCTATTGCCGCGTAAATTCATACATAAAACACATCTACGGCGTTGCATAGGACAGGCGTTTGGGCGGGATTTTGGTATACCATAGACTGGGAGCATGTGTATGGGATACGGCAGGAAAGCTTGCCATATCGCTATAATACACCTGAATCATGACTGCCGCCTCTTACACGCATAAGGAGTAGCAGTCAAACACCACATTTACTCTTCATCTTTGAGTGTCGTCCATCAGCGCGGAACTTCATCATCCACGCTCAAATCCACGCCGAGTTCCTTCCTCAGAATATCCGTGAGCGAACTGCCATCCCTCAAGTACACCCAGTCTTCGCCTCCACCACCCTCCTTATGATCCTGTCCCTCCTGCACAAGCGCCCAGTCGAAGCGCTTCGGCCCTGATATCGGCGAGCTGAGCCAGATCTGCTTATTCGGGGGCTGTTTGTTGAGCACATAGCTCTGGTTCTTGGTCGTGAGTTCGATATTCAAGACGCCAGCCTACAAAAAGCACCATTAGCCCACATCCCCATCACATCTCTCACACTGAAAAAAACATCGCCATACCGAGTAATCCACCTCGATATCCGGGCTCTTCTCCTGCTGCTCCTCCAGCCGCGCAACCAACTCCTCCAAATACGCGTCGGCGCGCTCGTGGAACTCTTCCTCCGTGATGGTCGCTGGCACGGCAGCGTGGTCGTGCTCCTCGCTCTCCTTTGGCGCTGGGTTCTCCGTCTCGGGCATGATGCCAACCCTCATGTTCATTGAGGAGTGGAAGGGCCGAATCGCACCAGCGGCGTTGTTGACGCGGAAGCTCAGCGTTGCAGGAGCTCGGCCGATGACGCAATTGGCAGGTGTTTGGGCGCGCAGCGGAGCGCGGACGGTACGGCGGAGGGCCGCGCTGCTGAATCTGGTGACGGACTTCATGGCGGGGGGGATGCGAGATGGATTGTGTGTGGTGGGTGTGTGTGGGAGAGGTGTTGCTTGCGGGGGAGAGCGGAGGTGCGATACAATGCAATGCAAGCTATGGAGCTAGACCACGTCCACGTACCTCCCCGCAACAACGCAACGCGACTTGCACACCAACATCTAAATATCCAAACATTGCAAAACAACCAACAACCACAACCATGATAAACGCAGTCCTAGTCTTCAACAACGCAGGCCAACCCCGCCTAACGAAATTCTACACCCAACTAGTCCGTCCCCCATCCCATCCCATCTCCCCATCCTAACAACCTCCAAGGAAACATCCGTCCAACAACGTCTAATCTCCGAAATCTTCACCCTAGTCGCCAACCGCCCCCCCTCAGCCTGCAACTTCCTGCCCCTCCCGCCCCTCCTCGCCAGCACATCAAAATCCTCAACCCCCTCAACCCCCCACAACGACACCCCCAGCCTAGTAACCTACCGCCACTACGCAACCCTGTACTTCATCGTAATCAGCACGTCCACCGAGTCGCCGCTCGCGCTGCTCGATCTCATACAAGTCTATGTGCAGGCCCTGGATGGCTTGTTTGAGAATGTGTGTGAGCTGGATTTGATTTTTAATTTCGAGACGCTGCATGCGGTGCTGGGGGAGATGGTTGTGGGTGGGGTGGTCGTGGAGACGCAGCTTGAGAGGGTGGTGGAGGGGGTGAGGAGTCAGGGGCGGGTGGCGAAGAGGCCGGTTAATGAGGGGAAGGGGATGGGGTTTGGGGGGTTGGGGAGGGGGGAGGGGGGGGTCTGGGCGGGGCGGTGAGTGGGATGAAGGGTGGAGGGAGGTGTTTTTATACCCGTGTTGGTGGGATGTTGGGGTGGGTGGGTTGCGCAAGAAGGGCTGGGTTCGCGGACTTGCGACGGTGAAAAGGAGATTTGCGCGACAGAGCAAGACGAGTCTTGCAAGAGCAAAAGTGCTTGTATCAGCATTCGAAATGTGTGGGGTAGGATAATTTAGAGACGTAGCGATTGTAAGAGCAACGAATGACAAAGGATAAGATACATATGACCATTTCACAGGAGTGAGATCGAATGAAGTTGATTGTCAATTCCGCCGCCTGAAGAAGACGACTATGCTGCCTGCTATCTACAATTCCGAGTATCCAAAGAAAAGAAAAATGCATGTCGAGGACTCGTCCATCCAGCCTTCCTTGACCCATCCAGGACCATATAACCATTCAAACGCCGTAACATGCTAAACCCAATCCCAGCCTATGCGCTAAAACGCTTTTATCAAAACAACACGCCCATCTCAACGATAACAAAAAGAAGTCTACTCCATGAGTTCAACCGGCGGCCTCGCAGTGCTGGTGTTCTTCCCCTGCGCCTTCTGGCTCGCGATTGGGCCTTCGACACCCTCCATGGCGTCCGGTGTTATAGCTGCTGGGATCTCCGTGGTATCTTCAACGGCGATAGCGGGCAGATTGGGCGAGTCGCCATGGTCGTCGGGGTGGTAGACTATTGTCGAGCTGCCTGTTCGTCTCCGCCTGATAACCGGACTTGTCTCTGGGTTCCCATCTTCTGTTGTCGGCGAGGGCGCATCGTAGGGGTTTGCGTGCGCGTGGAGTCGTGCTAGTGCGGTGGCGAGATCCTCAGCGTGGACGATTTTGTTTGGGGCGCCTTCGTCTTTGACTTCCCAGCCCATGGGCGGACTTGGCGGTGGGGAGATGAAGAACAGCTTGTCGGATTTGGGGAGGGGCAGGTGCTGGTCTGAGGGGTTCAGCGGCGTGTTGAGCCCGAAGTACACGCGGATGCGATAGCCCATGATGGATTCGCCATCGAGCGTCTGCCGGATCTGGATGGCGGATTCGATGTCGAAGAAGGAGACTACTATGCGGCGGAAGGACTTTAGCGGGGCCCAGGTGTGGATTTTTGCGTGTTGGTTAATTGTTTCGCGGATTTCGGTGAGCGTGTTGAACTGGAAGATCTCGGGCGCGTTGAGGTTCTGGTGGCTGTTAGTTTTTGTGGGTGGACGGATGGGTTGGGCGAGAATACATACGGTGATTATGAGTGTGTTGGAGGGAGGAGAGGGCTCTATGAGGGGAGGTAGGCTGGACAGGTCGAGAGATAGCGGTGATGCCCTGCCAGATGATGCTCTCGAGCGCTGTGGTGAGGGAATAGTGGCTTGCATGTTTGCAATCATTTGCGCCGGAGTCGAAGATGCTGAGAAAGTCTGTTTGGTGAGTGGCTGGTGTGTGGGTTGAGGGCCAGAGTAGACAGCCGACGGTGTCTTATATCAAGCTCGCCTTCCGACGGCGTTGGGATCGCTCCAAGGTGCTCCGCCTCAATAGACAAAGTTCCGAGACATGGGCCAATGACATACGTCACAAGCGTCTTCTGGCCCTTTGCACTGCCCCGCGTCACTCTACGCGCACAGTGGTGCCGGCAGTTCCCTGGCTGGCCAGATGATTGACTGAGAAGATGCTAGATGCGCCGAGCACGGGATGGCTTTCAAACACACAACTCAGCCTCGAAAACGCCGTCCACCACTTGCATCGGAGTTTCCGTGAGCTGCACAGTGGCATCTCGGGACTTTTGCCGCATTATCCTTACTGCGGGATGCACGACATGCACAGGGATGCAACTGTGACCATTTCTTTGGCCGTGTATCGCCCCTATCGTGACCTTTTTTCTTTTACAAGTAAAACCTGGATAGACGAGCCATGTAGTGTTGGGCATGGATCACTTGCGACATAGCCATAGGCGCTCTGGCTCGCCTGACCACACGGACGAAGAAAGCAATAGCTGGAAAGAAGCCTCGCGGTCTGTTGACGCCGTGGCGCTGCAATCAATCACTTTCCAAGAGCTTCACGGTATACCGAAAGGAGCATGCATATCTTGTGAATCGACATCTTCTTTGGCGATGGCAACCCCAATGTTTCATGTCTGTGGCGCAGTCAGCCACTCCGCATCAGGCTAGTCTTCCGGGCGACTTTGAAGCTCCCGACTCCAGAATCTTTGGAACAGCCTCGACAGCTCAACACCAGCTCGTCAACCCGCCAACCCACCGACACGTCGCTCTCAGCCTCCCATCCCAGTCGCCCCACTCCCCCTACCCACATCACCAACCTGAAACCGCTCAGCCCGCACATCCACGAAGCCAGCACGCGATGGACTACGACCCCGAAGGCGGCGCAATCAATGTGCGCTTCCTCCAGGTACACTGCCCGCCCTCGACAGCACCGCATCGCACCACTGACTCAGCCATGTAGGCGGACAGCCAGCGCGCCCACTTCATCGTGCAGAACTTCAACCTCGAGACGGCCAACTCGCTGCGGCGCGTCATGCTCGCCGAGATCCCCACGCTCGCCGTCGACGTGGTCGAGGTCATGGACAACACATCGGTCCTCGCCGACGAGTTCGTCTGCCACCGTCTGGGCCTCATCCCGCTGAGCGCAAGGGGCGTCGACGACCTGCTGTACTCGCGCGACTGCGACTGCGAAGGCTACTGCGATCAGTGCTCCGTCGTGCTCACCCTCAACGCGAAATGCACAGGCAGCGAGATCATGAAGGTGTTTGCGCGGGACCTGGTTATTGAGAGCAACAGACCAAACGACGAGGTGGGTCGGCCAGTCATCACCGATGCAGAGGGCACGGGCAGCTGTATTGTGAAGCTGCGGAGGGGCCAGGCCATACACATGCGGTGCATCGCGAAGAAGGGCATCGCAAAGGAACACGCAAAGTGGGCGCCAAGTGCGGCGATAGGCTTTGAATATGACCCAGCCAACAAGCTGCACCACCTGGACTACTGGCACGAGGAAGACGCGGAGAAGGAGTGGTACGTCCATTCCAACCCCTAGCCATACTAGAAAAAAGAACATTGCTTAATACTAACCCCCCACACCCAGGCCCAAAGACAACGACCGCATCAACCTCGACGGCGGCCCCCCCAACCCCGACGAACCCTTCGACTACACCGCCGCCCCAACCCGCTTCTTCTACGACGTCGAAACAGTCGGCGGCCTCGACCCCGACCAGATCGTCATCGAGGGCATCAAGACCCTGCAGACCAAGCTCGCCGGCATCATCAACGAGCTGTCGGGCGGCGCCCCAGACGGCGATTTCGCAGGCGCTCAGTCCCCCACCCTGAATGGCGCGGGCTTTGGCGGCCAGGATGCTGGGTACACGACGCCTGGGTATGGCGGGGCGAGTCAGTGGGGGGGTGCGGGCGCGGCGGGTGGGACTACGCCGTATGGGGCTACGCCTTATGGGCAGAGTTGGTAGGTTGGTGTGGAAGTGGGATTTGCATGGTTGGCGTTTAAAAGGGCGTTGAGCGGGGGGGGCTGCATGTATAGCAGGGCAGTTTGTTATCCTCGGTTGAGTGGGTGATATATATATCAATTTGAATAAGAAGAGTCCGCTGATGATGTCTTTCGCAAAACTCACATACATGTGCAGTATTTGAGTAAGTAAGAGCTGGCAATGATTCGTCTCCTATCTATCCTACAACTCGTTCATCTACGTCTTGCTATCGTGACAGTGGTGTGTGGTTTCCGGCTCATGACTAGTATTACAATGTACAGATGCGCGACTCCCCCATCCAAAAGAGGCTACATGGCTTTTTTCTTTCCGAAACGCGGGCGTGAGAGGGGACTATATAAAAACATGTGTTGGCGTTGTACACGCCGGAAGAACGCCGGACTCCGTGTCTCGCCTCGACTTCATGCCAAAGACTGGCTAAAAGCACTCATACGCACATGACGAGATGTGGAAGTCGTCGTCGTCGGCCAGGGTTGATGCAGGGCGGAAAAGACCAGGCAAGCAAGGCAAAGCAACTTGTCTACGCATTCTTAACAACGCCCACCTTGGCAGGTCTCAAAACCCTCCCATTGAGCATAAACCCCTTCTGCTGCGTATGGAAGCACGTCCCATCCTCCTTATCCGGCTGCGGGGCCTGAAAGACCGCCTCATGCACATTAGGGTTGAACTTCTCCTTCGCATCGCTGGGGTCGAAGCGCTCGAGGCCGTGCTTCTTGAGGGTGGAGATGAGGATGCCGTCTGTCATTTTGATGCCGTCGTACAGGGTGGTGAGGTCCTTGTTGGCGGTGAGCGACTCGGGCGTGACGACGGAGAGGGCGCGGTCGAGGTTGTCGACTGACTCGACGATGTCGCGCGCGAAGCGTTGCAGGGCGAAGTCGCGTGCTGCGGTTACTTCGCGCTTGGTTTGGATCTGCAGGTTGCGGAAGTCGGCGACGGAGCGGAGGTATTTGTCCTGTGGTGGGTGCGTGGGTTAGTATGCGTGTGTGTGTGGATGTAGTGGGGGCGTTGGGGGCGTACCTTTAGGTCAATGATTTCTTTGTCCTTTTTCTCGAGGGATTCTTTCAGTTGGGCGGCTTCGCTGGGGGCTTCGTCCTTCTTCTCCGCCGCTTCGCCTTCCTTGGGCGCGGGGGCGTCGGAGTACCATCGCAGGGCGGGTGTGGATGTTGCTCGTGTGGCGCTGGCTTGGGCGACGGGTGTGAAGGGTGATGAGCGGCGGGCAGCCTGGCGCGAGGCACGGAGGATTGTTCTTTGCAGCATTGTGGATGGTGTGAAGATTGGGGGCGAATGCGAGGGTTGCGGGAGAGTTGATGGTAGACTATCGATGATGCGGGACTCTAAAAATTGCTTTGCATGGCCTGTGCCTTTGAGAGAACTGCAAGGAAAGTCAAGGGCCTCGGCTTCTACTCTTTTTGTTCCGAACCCCCTCCACCCCACCCACGAAATCGAGCTTTGATGGCATGATGCGTGATGCGCCCTTCGCCGTCCCTCCTCTTCCGCATACGCTCGAATGTCGCCCTCACCAAACATAACAGGTCCGACTTTGCGGCACACTCGCAGCGACCGCTAAAGGCAGCATACTATCGAGGAGGCACATCCCGAGCCGTCATCATCCAGCCGCAACATCTACCCACCTCCCGCGCAAAATGGCCGTCTATATTCCGCGAAATCATGGGGAGTGGCGATCCGTATGGACGGCAGCTAGACGGCATGGGCGCAGGCATCTCGAGTCTCAGCAAGATATGCCTCGTTGAACCGTATGGCGACGTCGTTGTAGGACGTAGGCGCGCAGGTTCTGGCGGTATTGATGATGCGCGGGCTAGAGCACAGGCTCTAGAAACGCAGGAGACTGGCGTCAAGGAGGTGGATCTCGACTACACGTTTGTTGGAATGGGCATTGAGAACGACGAGGTGGATGTCGCAGGCAACTGTGGGAACATGAGCAGCGCCATCGGTCCTTATGCGTACAATGCTGGTTTGCTTTCGCGGCAATTATACTCGGAGGGTGATGGAGAGGTCACGGTGAAGATACGGAACACAAATACTGGCAAGTTTATCGAATCGACGTTCGAGGTTACGGACGGCCAGGCAGCTGTCAAGGGTGACTACACTATCGACGGCGTATCAGGCACGGGCTCCAAGATCAAGCTAGACTTCCAGCATCCATACGGCAGCAAGACGGGCAGAGTCCTACCAACGGGGAGGAAAGTGGATAACATTGCCGGTTACAGAGTGTCTTGTGTCGACGGCGCAAACCCAGCGATTTTCATCCGCGCCGACGAAATTGGCGTAGACGGTACAATCCTGCCCAATGACTTCAACAGGCTGCCAGAAAAGCTCGCTCTCCTCGAGCGCATACGCAAGACCGCAGCCGTAGCCATGGGCATCGCAGCTACCGAAGACCTCGTCCCTCGCACAGTCCCGAAAATTGGCCTCGTATCCATGTCCTCGACCCACGCCGTGCTCTCGGGCCAAACACTCAAGACGCCGCAGATGGACCTTGTAGTCCGCTTCTTGTCAGACACGCAACCGCACCGTGCGATCCCACTCACAGCAGCTCTGACGACGGCCGTTGCTGCCCGCATCCCTGGAACCATTGTTGAGCAGTTGCTTGCTCCCGATCCAGTCATGGAGGATACTATTACCATCGGTCATGCAAGTGGGCGGCTGCAGGTTAATGCCATCATGGAAGAGAGTAACAGATCGATACCACTTAGTGCTACGGTTTATCGAACAGCGAAGCGATTGTTTGACGGGAATGTGTTTTGGACAGACAAGGGATTGGACAAGACTGAAGCTGATACCGGCTACGGTAACGACGGTAGGGGTGCGCTTGGTCTGGCATTTGTGCTCGAGAGCCGACAACAACAACAACTCCAGAATCCACCTGCCAAGCCGACACTGCACGAGGCTAAAGAACCGGACCTGGTCGAGCGAGAGACAGAAGCAGTCGCAATGCAAAAGGAGGAGGCGAGAACAGTCCCAGACACAAGGCAGGAAGCGGAAATGCCTCTGGGGAAAGAAGGGGAGGATCCAAGCCCGCTGGTCCCACCCTCAATATCCTACAGACCTCTGCAACGTGGTTCTCTGTTCACTGACACTACCATGCCGACACACCCACCAACCCCCTTAATAACCGCCATCACAGACCTGCAGACGCACCTCACGAAGCTCCTCGCCGACCCCAATCTCGCGACAAAGCCCTACCCACCCTACCTCGCCTCCGTCATTAAATCTTCGTTCGTCAGAATCGCAGACAATTCCGTTCCGATAACTCCACAGGGCGAGGAGTGGCAGAGATGGTCCAAGGGCTTGCATGTGCTGACAAAGGCCGACAGACATAGGCTGGATAAGGCGGCGAAGAAGAGAGAGAAGGCGCAAAAGAAAGTGGAGAAGCTGGCAAGAAAGACGGAATTAAGGAGGATAAGGGCAGAGAAAAAAGTGGGTGTTCATAAGCCGGAGGGGGGATTGAAGATTGAAGAGAAGGAAATGGGGGATGGGGAGACGGGAATGAAGGATGGGGAGACGGGAATGAAGGATGGGGAGACGGGAATGAAGGATGGGGAGACGGGAATGAAGGATGGGGAGA